TTCGTTGTGATTTTCGTTGTATTGGCTCCGAATTTTCGTTACGCTTGTTTGTTATTGATGGTTGTGTACGTCTCTTCTTTGTTACATTTGTTATGCTTTTTTGACTGCTTTTTGTGTGTATTTACTTGTCGGTTTCGCGTTCTGGATTCTCCGAAACTGGCGCATGATAGTGCTTTCTTTTTCTTGATCCTGGGTATGGGTTTGATTCATCGGTTTCGTTTTGGTTCCTTTGCTTGTTCGATTATTGCTCTCAAGTGTGAATTTTGTCCTATGGTTTCAGATCTTTTCTAAATTCGATTGGGATTGCGATTGTTCTAGGGTTTAGTGCTATCTCGGTTTCTGCATTGCTTCTCTGAACATTTTTCATTGGGTTTTCTTTTTTGCACATGATCTCACAAGTACCACTTGCTTTTCCATAGGCTCGGTCGAATTCAGTGTTAGAAATTAGTGTCAGCTCTAGGGCTATATGCTATCGTTTTCATTCTGTGCCAAAAATTTGTACGCTTGCTAAGTTTACTTGACATTTGTGTCACCTTAAACACCGTGTGAACAACTGTGAGGTCTTGCTTTTACATACAATTCCCTTCTTGCTTGGATTACATTTCCTTGATGTTTCTTATTATGATTACACGAAAGTGAATAGACCATTCAATTTTTTTGTTTTGTTTACACTACAGGTCTGTTTTGCCATTTGAAGGATGCCTCTACTAAAAAAGAAGTCACATAAACTACTGGAGCCCCCAAAGAACTTGGAGCCTCAAGAACTTGTCTATCAAGTTCGTCTAACAAAGGAGATCTTTCGAGATTATCAGTATCCTTACTCTGTAGCTGTTACAATTTAAGACTTATGTTTTGTATATTTGCCTTCTCCTTATGTGTGCAGTTAGACGAAAGATTAATAAGTTTAAAACTTGTAATGCTCTTTGCCTGTTTCATTCTGGAACAACCTTTGTTCATATTATCCTTCAAAGGCTTGGTTGTTCATGTTTATCTGTGCACATGCCGTTTCAGAACTATTTGTTTGCTTAACATAAAATAGATTGTACTTGAAGAGGATGAATCTGTATCGCAACCGAGTTTGGACCTGTAAGTCTACTGGTAAAACTAGCTTGAGCTACGAGGAGGCCTTAGATTCAGAAAAACTGGCAAGCAAGAAGGTTCAAACTCTGCCCAGAGAGCTAGTTGCACCTGCTTTGCGCATCATCCAATTCAGTAAGTTTTTAACTTCTTCATTGATTATTTTCGTTCTTATGTTACAAGCGTGTCGAAGTCTTGATTTGCAGAGTGTCCAAGTCTTAGCTTTGCGAATCAGGACTATCTTTTTACCGTTTTGAATTTGTTTGTGTAAGATAATTTTCTGAATACTTGAAATCTCTGGTTTTTGAGCATTATTTCTGACTCTTTTTCCTCCATTTTGAAAAGGTACGCTCTCATTGAAAGATCTTGCTGACAAAATAGCGACAGAGTTGCAAAATTGCTTTTTCGCTGGCGCAGAGTTGTATGGGAAAAGGGATGGGGAACTGCATCCTTGCAAAATCTTGAGGATAGTAACAGATGGGGATAGTAAACCTCAGTATGAGGTAGGCTTCCTTGACAAAGACAAGGAAATAAATGAGAACACAGTGCTCTTTGGGGAGGATCTGTCATGGAAGAAGTTTCCATTTAGTAGAAATTTTCTGAAGTCTTTCATTCGGGATTCCACATGCCACAGTATACCTTGGGTAGTAAATGATTACCTGGCTAAAGCACATGAAATCACGAGAAAGATTCCCAAGGAACTTCAGAACAAATATGTCTTTCAGAATGGAGAACTGGTTCAACAAAGGAAGCAGGTTGATAAAAAGTACACCACCATACAATAATTTGTAGCATTGCCTAGTAATTGGTCTATGTATTAATCAATTTTGTCTCATTGCTAAATTGTAGGAAGATAAAACCGGAAGGGAAAAAGGAAAAAGAAAGAGAGCAGAAAATGGTAAACATGTTGCAGAGGAGACAGATAGAGGTAGCTTTACATGGATGCTCTGCAATTCATTTCCAATTCAATGTTTTCTAAAGTTGGCCAAAAGTTCCTTTGCGATTTAATTTACATTTCTGCTTTATAGCTGACATCATTAATCTTACGTGTTCTCTTGAGCTTATGGAGAATATTGTTAACTTGAGGAATAGAGAAAAATTCGGTCTTTTCTGTATTATTTTGAACTGATTTGTCTTTGTTGGTTTTCTCTTTCCAGAGGTTAATGGTTCTGAGGAAGAGGCTATCAATTACCCAATCGAAGATTTACTGTTGCCACCTGATCCTGATGTCACTCAGCGTCCTTCTCCTTCGCGGGATTTTAGTGTTCCAATGGATTGTGTTGGGGATCTTCTTATGGTCTGGGACTTTTGTACCTCATTTGGTAGGCAGCTGCATCTATGGCGATTTTCTCTTGAAGACTTTGAAAATGCTGTCTGCCACAAGGAGAGTAATTTGGTTCTGATCATGGAAGTGCATGCCTGTCTTTTTCGGTTCCTCATCAATGAACGTGGTGATAGTTTCAAAGCTTTACAGAGAAGGAGTCGCAAGTCAAAGGTCAGATTCTCGTCTCATGGAAATTATATTTGGCTAACAAATTAATATGCTTTTCTCATTCCACATTAAGTTGCCAGCCTTGTGAATTTTCAGTTAATTTTGTGGTTGATGGCCTAGTTGTTGCTTTATTTCATCTTATTTCAGATAACATTGATCACATGGGCAGAGTATCTTTGTGATTTCTTGGAATCAGTCGACACTCCTGATTTGTGCTTCGACATTGGAACAATCAAACGTGGACATTATGGTCTATTGGACCCAAATGTAAAATTGAAAATCTTAAGGGAATTAGTGAACCATATAACTACCACAAGTATGTTCAAGGGGGAAATAGATGAGCTTGTTGAACAACGGCATGCCCTTGGAGCTGCTAGAAGAGAAGAAGCATTGGCGGAGGCCCGACAGATAAGAGAGGAGAAAGAACGGTCCAAAACTGGCGAGGAAGCTAATGGATTTTTAGACAATAATAGGTTGGAGAAAAAGAAAAACAGCCCACCAGTATTAGAAAGCAGTGAAGACAGCAAAAAGAATGAGAGCACTGCAGGGGGAAGCAAGATGGAGAATGGGTCTGTTTCTTCGGAAAAAATTGAAAAATCAGAGAAAAGGTTTGGCTTATCCTATTTACACATAAGCAGAACATTTGGTTTTTGGATCACTTGGGAGCTCATTGTTCTTATGGTTGTGATAGGCTTATGGGTAATGTCTATCTGAGAAAGCACAAAAGGCAGATGATGGATTCAAAAATCGAACCAAAAGAGGAAGATGATGAGGAGGCGGAGGAGGAAGAAGAGGAGACAGTATTCTCGGTGAAGAAGCAGGAGGTAAAATCAGCAAGCGAAGATGAGAAAGGAACTTCAGAAAGGAGGGGGCCCGAACAGAGGGTAAAGTCCTTCCCCTCATAATTATTTTTGATATTTGGTTGTTTGCATATATGCCTGCGTCGTGTCTGCTTTTTTACCCATCAAGTCTGAAATTTTTATTTTTACAAGCAGAGGCAATATTATGAACGAGAGATGGAGAAAATAGTCATACGTACAAACCCCTTGGGTAAAGATCGGGATTACAACAGGTACTGGTGGTTCCGAAGCAATGGAAGGATATTTGTTGAGGATTCTGATTCCAAAGAATGGGGTTATTATACCTCCAAGGAAGAGGTAGCATCAACCCACATGGTTCATTTCCTTGTTTGATCATTTGATTGTATAGATCTTGTTCAATTTTGTGTATGTTTCTTGATTTCCAGCTCGATGCATTGATGGGATCACTAAACCGTAAAGGAGAGAGGGAACTGTCATTACATACACAGCTAGAGACATTCTATGACAGAATATGGTCAGTTTATAGCTTCCCATTTCTCTTTGATGATGTAGAAGAGTAACACCACATTTATCGAAGTCTCCTTGTTTATGTGTCACGGCTTTAAAACCTGGCAATGACTTGTGATTTGCAGCTCTACACTACAAAAGAGGACGAAGGACATTGCTCACAACATAGAAATGGAAGAAGCAGTGGTTAGGAGATCTACCCGTGTAAGAGCTCCACTTCATGAAAATCCAGCTAGTGCCTTCTTGAGATATGTTAACAAGTGGAAAGAGGACTAAACGTAGCAGAAGTCAATTCTGTATAGGAAAAGCTCGTAGTTGCAGTTGCAGCCATAGCCAAACTTACCATTTTCAGCTTGCCTTCTCTGTTTTTTTTTTTTGCTCCTTTAGGGTTTAGTAGAGCTTTACAAGTTACAACAAAAAGGCATAGCCTTATGGTATGGTGAAGGCAAAGCTTGAGTAGAAAGATGGTGTTGGGTTTTGTTTTTTTTTTCTGTTACCATTCATCATCACCTTCTTTTCAGTGACTTTGATTCTGAGGTTCCATTTTTTGTTTTTGCGGGGGAAATTAGAAGTTTTATTACTATTCTTAAAATGCTTCAATTGCATATCTGTCTGATTTTGGTTAGTGGCTATATTTCTAAGCTTTGTTACAGAAGAATTGGATTAATTAGGCTAAAACCATTGATTGATTTTTGATTTTGAGTGCGGTTGGATAATTTTGATGGCATGGCATCTTTGATGTAGCTCCAAAATAAACATTTATACTAGGAGTCTAGGGGAATCGTTGTATGCCTGTTTTTGTATTAAAAAATCAAAACATAAAATTGGTAGTTCAACATTTGAATTTATACAACTACTTGGAGAAGAAAGTCAGTTCTCATATTCAAATACAGGTGATCACAGCCTAGCTATGATTCAGAGGCAAACGAAGGACTACAAGTCTATAATCATCTATTATTGTGATACAACAAGTTAAACAGATCTCTCTATCTTTACAACAAAATGGGTTCTGTCATGGGCAAGGCCAACACATAAAATTTAGTTTTTTTGGGCTTCGATACAATCCAGATCTTGATAAATTAGTGAATTACCAAATGAAATTCTTAAGAATGTAACTTTTATAGATTTTTTATAATTAAAAAATCAAAGTGTTACAAGTTACAACAATAACAAAATGTCATACCTTAAAAAGCAATAAAGTTTCAAAAGAATACCATTAAGCAAAAAAAGAAAAAATTCTAGCGGGAACGACTATTTCTCTTTGTATGTTTCTTGTCAAAACCTGGAGCGACTCTAAGACCAGGAACGTTTTTGAGACCCATCTTGCCAAGAACATTTATAGGGATAGCTGGAGGGATACTAAGTCCCATGCTGCGGCTAAACTCATTGGCTAACTCCACCAGTCTGGTCGTGTCTCTTGCAATCTTCTTCTGAGATTTGTAGTAACCCAACCAGGCCTGATATGCCGCCTCTTTGTTTGTCATTTCCACTTGGATAAGCCCTTTCTGCACCTGATTTTAACATGTTTCTCACACCCATCAATGCTCACTCGAGTCATATATTTCTTAAGAAAATCGTAGCTTCTGACTTCACAGAGGTTAGTGTTATGAGATGTGACATTGGTACTTTGCATACATATTCCAAAACAGTTTATAAGGTTGTTCTAGTTTGCTACTTGCTAGCAAATGGAATTTGAGAAAGGCTTACCAAGTTCAGTAGAGTCACAAATTCATGCTAAAGTTTGCAGTAGTATTTGAAAAAGCTTACCTTTTTCACAGCCTCTTGGTCAATTGGCGGTAAAGACGACTTTGTGATGGGCAAGTCTTTAACAGAAGATAGAAAATACTCTTCCCACGGTGCCAACAATAGTACACCTTCTCCTTCCTTACCTTTCCGACCAGTTCTGCCAAGTCTATGGATATATTGTTCCCTGTCTGATGGCAATCCCATCTGCAAAAGCAATATATACAAACTTCAGTAAAAAACGATTAACTTTGTAGCTATTGTTCAATCCCATGATGGAAAACTACTAAATGGTTTACCTGCACGACTAGTGACACATCAGGGTAATCAACACCACGAGCAGATACATCGGATGTTACAAGGATAATACTCTTAGACTTGCGGAACTCATCAGAAACTCTGGTTCTGTAACTCTGTGGTTTTCTAGAATGGATCTCTCTGACATTAAGGCTTAGCTTACCAAGCAGATCAGCCACCAATCTTGTAACCATAGCAGTTGTACAGAAAATAATAACCTGTAACAGCAAGGAGATCATGTTAATCCAGAAATACAGTGGTGATTCACTATGGCATTGGAGGAACAACATACCTTATAGCCCACATTATCTGCGATGTGTTTTTTCAGAAGACCATATAGAAGCGAGAAATGTCTATCTAATGATGCAATCATGTACATTTGTGAGACCTGGGAGAGAAAACAGACATGAAAAACCATTAGCATCCAATGATATGGCAGGCCATTCGTTCAAATGAACTAAAAAACAATATTTTACCTTTTGATGCGTCTCCCCAGCACCCTCTTGAACACAATTGACGAATTCATGATCCCGTTTCAGAGCAACATGGCATATTTGGCGGACCTTGATAGCAAAAAAACACAGTTCAAGATTCCAACCCAAAAGTGAGAGCCTTTGTGCAAGAAACTGACACTTACCTCTTCAGGTACAGTGGCGGAAAATAAAAACGTTTGTCTCTGCTTAGGGACAGCAGCTATTATCCTCTCGATATCCCTTCGGAAACCCATGTCCAAGAGATGATCAGCTTCATCAAGCACAAGGACTTTCACACCCATCAACCTTGTTGCAAATCCAGAAGTGTTGTCGATATGGTCTTTGAGCCTTCCAGGTGTAGCCACGAGAATCTGAGATTGTGAAAATAAGTTATTATTCAAATTTATACAGAGACATAGATCACCATCTCTGCAGCCACTTTGACTGCAGGGAAGACAAATAATGCAAAAAAAATAAAGTAAATGCATAAGAGGCTAAATCAAGGAACATATCCTAACTTGGACAGGGAAATACATTCTTTTTATCATAATCTCTCTCAATTTATCTATTCTTAGTAATTCAAACCATGAGTCCATATTGTTCTAGTGAAGAACAACCAAATCAGTTTGAAAAAAAAAATGCAACTCTATTGATCAGATAACAGGTTTCATCGGAGAAGTCGAGCTCAATGGACATGCAAGATTTGCTCAGAAATAGTTTACATTAATACACATGTAAATTTTTACCTGGCATGGACTCTTTTGCAAGCGCCTTTGCTCTGTAGGAAGCTTTGTGCCTCCAATCACAACTTGAACACCGATAGATGGGTGATACTTGAGCAAGATGTTTGCCTCTGCAGCAGCTTGACAAGCAAGTTCCCGAGTAGGACATACCACAAGGACAATAATTGGGGGATGCTTATTATCACGGCTTGCAGGAGGAGATTTGATAACAGCTTCAATTGATGGAAGCTTGGAAAAAGAAACATCAACATTAAGCGGAAATCCTAATCAAATGCCTGATAAAATCTTATATCAATGAGCACAGAGGGTAGAATGTCTCACCAAGAAAGCAACGGTTTTCCCAGTGCCTGTTTTGGCCTTGGCAAGGATATCTTTCCCTGGAAAACCAAGGAGTTAAAAGAAGAGATATTAGAGGAATAGTCCAGCTTCAAAATGTTAAGTCATGACAAAACATAAGGAATCATGAAGAAAGATGCAAAAGTTTCTGCCTTGTTCACCTTGGAGAATGAGAGGAAGAGTAGCCTCCTGAACAACAGTCATTGTCTTAAATCCAGCATCCACAATTGCTTTTAGCGATAAGGGAGACAGTGGGAACTGATCAAATCTGTGATAACCATTTTATCATAAAGAGAATTCTCAATCAAACAGAACTAAGAATTGCTCTGAAGCTATCCTCACATGCAAAGCATAACCCAGAAATTAAATAAATTGTACCCTCATTAGAGCAATTGCTTCTAAGATGGTTCACATAGTTTATAAGATACTGAGCAGGAAGAACGAAAAGCAAAAAATGTACCTTGTCTTTGACAAATAAGAATCTGAAGTTTTAGCAATTTGAGCCTCTAGAGGCTTAGTAGAAGCTGCTTTCTTAATAAGAGGCTCAACAACATCAGATTTGCCTTCTCTTCCCCTCTTTAGACCCTTATTGTTGTCCTTGACTACTAATTTTACCGAGTCATCTTCGTCACTCGTTAACTTCTTCAAATGTTTAGCGCGAATCTCTCGTCTCTTCTTACCGGATTTGGGTCCATCGGAATTCATGGAAACAAGAGGAGAAAAGATGGAAGAGAATGGTGAAGCGTATGCCTTAACCTGTAAGGCTCTGTAACTACCAAATTCCCGCCGTCGGTAGTTTTAGGGTTTAAAAGGTTTTGTAGGGAAACACGGTTTAGGGCTTAAGGGTACAGATGCGAGTGGCCCAAAATGTCAACAAATTAGAAAAACGGTACGTAGTTTGCTTCCATTGCTATGAAATGTTGTTTTAATATCAGAAAAACCTTTTTATTAAAGATAAATGTACAGTTGATTTTTGTTTTTAAGTCTTCACAACATGGGCAATGCAACTTTAACTTTTTTTGTCATTTTTAGTGAAAATCGAAGTACTAATGTTAACAAGCCATTACAAACATAAGACCTTCACAAGAAGGTAACTTTTATAGGATTTTTTAGTTAGAAAAGTCTTAAGAGTGTAGCAAGAATGACAAGGGATTACACTTACAAAACACTAAAGTTTTAAGACCAAAGCAGATCACTAGGCAAAAAAAAAATCTACTTGGTTCTAAGACCAGGAACGTTTTTGAGACCCATCTTGCCAAGAACATTTTTGGGGATAGCTGGTGGGCTGTCAAGTCCCATGCTGCGGCTAAACTCATTGGCCAACTCAACCAGTCTGGTCGTGTCTCTTGCAATCATCTTCTGAGATTTGTAGTAACCCAGCCACGCCTGATACGCAGCCTCTTTGTTCTTCATTTCCACTTGGCTAAGCCCTTTCTGCACCTGAATTCAACAAGTTTATTATAACCATCAATACTCATTCATACCCTTGAAAAATCATAGCTTTTAACTTTCAGAGTTTTGTGTTATGAGATTCAAATTCAGTTTCAAGTTCCCTACTCGTTCTGGATTGCCAGCATATATGAGTTAAGAAAGGCTTGCCAAGTTCAGTAGAATCACAAATTCATGCGAGTTTCCCATATTATCTGAAAAAGCTTACCCTTTTCACAGCCTCTGGGTCTATTGGCGGTAGAGTAGACTTGGTGATGGGCAAGTCTTTAACAGATGACATAAAGTACTCTTCCCATGGTGCCAACAATAATACTCCTTCCCCTTCCTTACCTTTCCGCCCAGTTCTGCCAAGTCTATGTATATACTGTTCTCTGTCTGATGGCAATCCCATCTGCGAAAGCAAACAGCTTTAGTAAAACAAAAAAGATAAAATTTGTAGTTGCAGAACAATTCCATGTCAGAAAATTATGGTTACCTGTACGACTAATGATACATCAGGGTAATCGACACCACGAGCAGATACATCGGATGTCACAAGGATAATAGCCTTGGACTTGCGGAACTCATCAGAAACTCTGGTTCTGTAACTCTGCGGTTTTCTAGAATGGATCTCTCTGACGTTCAGGCTTAGCTGACTAAGCAAATCCGCCACCAATCTTGTCACCATAGCAGTTGTACAGAAAATAATAACCTACAACAGCAAAGAAATCGGTTTAGTTTAGATATACAGACATTGGTGATTAACAATGGCACTTGAGAAATAATTTTACCTTATAGTCCACATTATCTGCGATGTGTTCTTTAAGAAGCACATATAGAAGCGAGAAATGTCTATCCAGTGATGCAATCATGTACATTTGTGTGACCTGGAGATAAAACAGACATAAGAAATTGATAACATCCAACCATATGGCAGGCCATCACTCAAATTTAATCTAAAGAGAAGTCGTTTACCTTTTGATGTGTCTCCCCAGTGCCTTCTTGAACACAATTGATGAACTCATGATCCCGTTTCAGAGCAACATGGCATATTTGGCGGACCTTGACACCAAAAGACACAGTTCAAGATTCAAACCCAAAAATAAGAGCCTTTGTATGAGAAAGTGACAGTTACCTCTTCAGGTACAGTGGCAGAAAATAAAAATGTTTGTCTCTGCTTAGGAACAGCAGCAATTATCCTCTCAATGTCCCTTCGGAAACCCATGTCCAAGAGATGATCAGCTTCATCAAGCACAAGGACTTTCACACCCATCAATCTTGTTGCAAATCCAGAAGTGTTCTCAATATGGTCTTTGAGCCTTCCGGGTGTAGCCACAAGGATCTGAGAGTGTTCAGATATGTGAATATTCAACAATATATAGACACAGCTCACTGTATCTGCAGCCATCTTAGAAGCCCAGCTTAAAGGAAGTGCAAGATTTACTTCATATTAATACACAAGGAGTGACAAAAGAAATCTCTTATTACCTGGCAAGGATTCGTTTGCATACGCCTTTGCTCTGTAGGAAGCTTTGTGCCTCCAATCACAACTTGAACACCAATAGATGGGTGATACTTCAGCAAGGTGTTTGCTTCTGCCGCAGCTTGACTGGCAAGTTCCCGAGTAGGACATACCACAAGCACAATAATTGGGGGTTGCCTATTATCCCGGCTTGCAGGAGGAGATTTGATAACAGCTTCAATTGCTGGAAGCTTAAAAAATAAACATCAACGATAAGAAGTAAGAACATATCCCAATCGAAGTCCAGATCAATTCCTATCCAACCAACTTATATCCATGAACCCAGAGAGTATAATGTCTCACCAAAAATGCAACGGTTTTCCCAGTGCCTGTTTTGGCCTTGGCTAGGACATCTTTACCTGGAAAGACAGTGCACAGAAGAAACCAAGGAGTTAAAGAGGATTTCAAACAAGCAATCAAGCTACAAAATGGAAGTCATGGCAAATTTAGGGGATTCTGAAGAGAGATACACAAGTTTCTGAGTTTTCTTTAAAATACATATTGGCTATTGCCGAAGTGATTTGTAAAAGCTTGTGAGATATCCTCAATTAGAAATTGTCACTACATTTCTAAATCATAGCGTTTGTTCTTTTTGCCTTGTAAATGTAAACAAGGCTCATGAAGAAAAGTTCACCTTGGAGAATGATAGGAAGAGTAGCCTCCTGCACAACAGTCATTGTCTCAAATCCCGCATCCTTGATGGCTTTTAGCGACAAGGGAGAGAGTGGGAACTGATCAAATCTGTAAACCATTTACCATAAAGAGTATTATCAATCAAACAACACTAAATGGTCAAAGTAAGTCACATAGTGAAAATAATGTACCTTGTCTTAGACAAGTAAGAATCTGAAGTTTTGACATGTTCACCACTTGGCTTATCAGTCTGAACAGCCTTAGCAGAAGCCACTTTCTTAATAAGAGGCTCATCATCTTCATCATCCTCATCACTACTATCTTCACTAAGCAAATCATCAATGGTTCCCGATAATACTCTCTCCTCGTCCTCTTCACTACTATCTTCCTCTTCCTGTTTTAAACCTCTTGTCTGTTTCCCCAAGCCCCTGTTGTTTTCCAAACCTTGCTCTCTCCTTAACCCTGAATCTACATTCCTCTCATTCCTTCCACGAAAAGATGACCCTGAATCTACATTCCTCTCATTCCTTCCACGAAAAGACGACCCTGAATCTACATTTCTCTCATTCCTTCCACGAAAAGACGACCCTGAATCTACATTTCTATCATTCCTTCCACGAAAAGAGGACTCACTACTCTTTCCCTGAACACGACCGTTCCTTGCACCTTCTCGATCCCCTAACCGCTTGTTCCTAAACGAATCAGCCGGCTCGCCGCTGGTTCTCCTCCGGTTCGGACTCCCAAACCTATCCATCTCACCTTCCTTTCCCCTTTTCGCACCACCGAACCTATCAGATTGGCCTACACTTCCCCTCCTTGGACCCCTACTGTTGTCCCTGTCTACGTTTCTACGAACCAACTCTGGATCCGAGTTCTCTTCGTCACTTGTGAACTTCCCACGCAACGAACTAGGCCTTAAATCGCTCACCCAATCACTAAGCTCTGCCTCATCCTCAATCAAGCTCTTGGACGCGCGAATCTCTCCTCCAGCTCCACTTCGCCGCCCGAATTCGGGTTGGGATCTCTCTGGTCGGGTAGAGAAATTGACCCGGGAACCTAATCCAATGTACTTTAACCTAAAAGGAAAGGCTTTGGATAGAACAGGGACGGAACGAAATGAATAGATAAGTGCGCCAGAATTCATGGAAGGGAGACGAGTACAAGGAAGAGAATGAGTGATGAAGCGTACACCGAGAGGGAACTTCAAGGACATTCTTGTTCCTGTAAACTACCAAGTTCCCGTCGTCGGTGACCGGTGAGATTTAGAGGATAAGGAGGAGGAGAAGAATCGAAAAATGTCGAGAGGGTTTTACAGGAAACATACAACGATAAGGGTTTTAAAGGGATAGGAAATGAAGCAGAGAAACGATGTCGTTTTGTACAGGAGATAGGAAACGGTATGTAGTTTGCTCTCATTGCTTTGAAATGTAATCTGTAGCTGATGACAAAACGGTAAGTTGTTTATGAAACTTGATAATTACTAACTAGCCCATACAAAAGCCCGAGAAGAAACCCAAAAGCCCAAAGGATGTAATCAAATTATGCCAAACCGATTTCCAGATGCAAACCGGTAGTTGGACCAGATGAAATTGTGTCATAACCGCAACCCATGGCAGAACCGAAAATAACCAAGATGGATGTGGGTTTTCTTAATGCTTCCGTACCAACCGCTTCCTCAATAAAACAGTTGCGTTTAGCGCGCAACAGCTTAGGTTTTTGATCAGGTATCATCAATGTCTCTCTATTAAGATACAACTTAGTGAGGTCTCCATTACTGAATCATCTCTGCAAAAGGAGACAAAGAGTGGAACAAGAAGGTGATACAAGGATTTGAAAACAAAAAAAATGTCTCTTTTGTTAATAAAACAAAAACATTACAAAGCAAAATTGCTCCATTGGGATCAAAATTTGTATCTAAATAAGTCTGAGAAAGCAAAATTTTTGGAGTTGGACTTGACTTTTGCTTTGAACTTTATTGGTTTTACTTACGACCCTTTTTGGGTTTTTGTTTCTGATGGCTACGAGCGTGTTCGTCCTCTACTTTCTCATTCGGATCTACTTCCTCAAACTTGACAGGTTTAATGATCATTCCAGCTTTCTTCACAACCTGTACACAAAGGTTTAAAAGCCACAGGGTTTAAGATTAAATGCAACAACATTTTGCAAAATGGGCACTACTAATGAGAGTTTTAACAAAGTAATGAAAAGGTACCTCAGGTCGGTTTAGATCTCCAACAATAGTTGTGGGATTAAACTCAGGTCCAATAGGCATACGCATACTATGTTCGAAAACTTCCTTTGATGTGTAAGGGTAAGGTAGACTCGTTGTATGAAGTTTCTCAGCCTGTCAATAGATTATGTCAGCATGAGATCGGATGGTTATGATGAGCATATTAAGCAAGACACTGACCTTTTTATCGACTTTTTCTGATAGGATAACATGTCTGAGTGAAGCGTCTTTCCTTTTTTTAAGAGCTTGCTCTCTCGTTTTCTTGGCATCTTCGTGTTCTCTAACCATCCTTGATGGTAAACCTCTCTTGTTTTGGGTATTGGTCCAATGTCCCCAACCAGGAACTTGAACTGGTTTTTCGGGTTCAGGAACTTCCTGATTTAGTACCTCTTGCTTATCCTTGTCAAATTCACCTACAACGTCATCACCAGCAAAAGCACGGCTTACAAGCTCTTCTTGAAAAGGAATTTCATAGGTTTCCTTTGAACAACATGTCAAAATCCCATCAACCATTTGCTCTGCTTCATCACTTTCTTCATCACTCTCTGAATCATCACTTTCTTCATCTTTCGTCTCCTTCTGCAGGAGATCAAACAACAGATGTTGTAATCAGAGATTTTGAAAGGGAGAAAATAAAGAACCATTATAACTAACCGGAGAAGGTACCTCGGTTTCCATAATGGTTTTAGTGTTTCTAGCAGGTGAAGCATTATCTTTTACAGCCTCTAAGTCATTATCATCCATATCACTGTCACTACTATCACTGTTATCAAAAAAGTTGTCTGATTCCTTTTTAGACTCTTTTGGAGCTACTGCCCCAAATACTCTTCTACCACCAACATTAGTGGACTTTTTAGAGGTTTCTGCTCCACCAGAGTTCTCCAACTCTTCATACTCCTCATGTTCACGTTTAGCTTCTTCTTTAGCTTCCTCATTTTTCTTTTTCACAGCACGAGCCTAACCAAACCAAAAACATGAATGAGAGGGAAAAAAAAAACAGAATAAAAACATTCAAAAGTGTTTTGAGAAAACAAAGCAATAACTACCATGAAAGGTAATGACATAAGACCAGAAATAGGGGCATCATCATCTTCCAAAGTTTTCAGTGTCTTCTCCTTTGCTTCCGCTATCAGTTTAGAAGTATCCTGATCTGAACCATCATTCAACTCTTCCTCATCACTACGACTTTCATCTTTTGTGGAGTTCATCTTTCTGGACAAAGTAGCATTAATCTGAAGTTGTTCAGATATAGCTGCCCGAGTTCCATCGTATTTCCTATCCAGTCCAAGCCTTAACATGCGTTTGGCCCACGGTCCTGTGTTTTTGTGCTTTAAAGTCATCCGTTCCTGCATATGAACGAATAAGACAATTTCTTACTTTCTTGACAGTGTCTTGATTTGAAAATTTTGTGCAGTGAAGAGGAAATTTTAGACTCACCTTTACTCGTCTAACCTCCTGCTTCTTAGCCTCTTCTTTAGCCATTGCTGGGTCCATGAATGCTCCAACTCCCGATTTATTCAGGTCTTTGTTTTTAAGGCGATGATAAGTTTTAGACTTAATCTTCTTGATTCGTTTACTTTTCAGGTCAACTCGGAAGAGCATGCTACGCATCTTAGCAACATGGTTACGTCTCTTGATGTGATCTTCCATAGATACCTGCAACATAAAAAAACAGTTACATCAGATATTCGTATAAGCTACGTTCAGTGCCAGATAATTTATAAGTCAAGTAAGCTCTGCGTGCAGAGAATTATGAACTAGATCACAAAACTTGCCTCGTTGAATTCAAGAAGCCTAGCTCCATCTTCTTTGTGAGCCTCCCAAATGTGATTATCATCGAGTAGAGAAGCCATTTTCATCTCAAATTCAGTCCTGGGCTGAAATTGTGATGCTATAGCACCAACAGTAGAGTATCCAACATTGACATCTTGGTTAAAGTAAACAGTTGGTGCCTCTCTATTCCTCTTTACCAGAGGCACCCAATTATTAAACACCTTGTCAACTAGTTCTTTCACTACATTCCGTTCCAGTCTTTCTTGTTCTGGCTTTGACAGAGGAGCATGAACAAGAGGCTGCGTATCATTTCGCATCCGGAAGATCATATTGCTTAGTTGGCTATATCCAGGTAATCCTTGAAGAGGCTCCATAAGGTCATCAATTGTGGTGAGGGATTTACCCTCCAGAACATCACGGGTAGGATTGAATTCAGACTCTGGATATGGTTCAGTTAAGACTACACGTTTGCTCTTACTCTCTCCTGAAAAAGAGAGTATAAGATCGAGCTTAGAAATGCAATGAAGAGAAGATAAAAAAGCAAAACTCTGTCTCAATACCTTGAAAGGCTGCAATTGGCAATCCAGTGACATCTTGCAACATCCGTGTGTGCCTATCATCATCATCATCATCATCTTCTGACTCCACGTTTTCATCCTTGGTTGGAATAAAGACAATTTACCAGCGAGACAATTTAAAATAACTTTTAACCTAAATCATTACGTGTTACCCAAACAATTTTGCTTGTCGATTAACAGCCAGTTAAAACAAAGTAAGACTTGGAAAAACCTCGAAATCCTGGGGAAGCTCGAATTCGTAGTTATCGACGCGGTCGTAGCGGTTGTTTTTCCTGGATTCCTCTTCAGGTTCACCTTCTTCGTACTCGTACATATCATCACCGTAATCGGAATCGATCTCATCGTCTCCTTCGTCAGAGTTCAAAGGACGTTCCTCATTCGCAATGGTCTTGAGAATTGAGCTAGGTAAGTGAGGTCCTTTCCTCTTCTTTGCATTAGCTAGGTTTTTGAAACTAGATTTCCTCTTCTCTCCTCCCATGACTGTCTCTGTTTTGAAACTAGTCGAGATTGAGAGAGACAAACTTTAGTAGTAGGGCTTCTCGCCCTTTTAAGTGTTCAATCCCGGTTTCGGTTCGGTCTTACCGTCTTATTGGTTTTTCGGTTTATAAATAATGAAATCCAAACTGTAAAACCTAATTTAGAATAGATGGTTTGGCACGGTTTTGGTTTCGGTCCAGATTCAGGTTCTTGCAAATAATTTACGGGAAAATTCCTAAAAAAAACCCTAACTATTTAATATTTGCTAGAAAAAAACCTGAACTTTTTTCGATGCCGGAAAAAAACCCCAACTAATTTACCGCCGACAAAAAAAAACACGAACTATTTTGTTTTTCCAATTTCCTCTCGTCTCCGTTACGGCCATTAACGCCGTCGTTGACGCCGTTACTATTTTTAGAAAAATTTCTTAAAAAAACTTAAGTTATTTAATTTTGCCAGTAAAATACCTGAATTATTTTTTTGTTGCCAGAAAAATATACATATCAAGATTTTTCTCTTTTTCTTTTATTTCATTAACAATGTAAGGTGGTTAGACCTCATAACTTTATGTGTTCTCTTGAACCTCATACAAATTCTCACTACAATTAAATTAATCGATTTTTCAATTTTCCAATTAGAACAAAACTCACAGTTACATTAGTTGATTCCCCAATTTTTTAATTAGAACAAAAAAACACAATTAGATTAGTCGTTTTTTTAGCGTTGAGTTGGTTTGATTAAGCTAGCTTTACCTTCAATTTTGGTGGATTTTGCTTGATTTGTAAAGTCTGAATAGATCCAAAAACAAATCTAATTGAGAAATTTGAAAATCGACTAATCTATATGTATATTTTTGTTCTTAAATTTAATTGTCCTAAGTAATAGTAAAAACTGAAAACTTTTATGAGGTTCAAAATAACACATAAAAGTTATTAGCTCTCACCATCTTACATTGTTGATAGAAGACAAAAAGAAAAGAAAAATGTTGATCTATGTATTTTTCTCGCAACGAACAAATAATTCGGGTAGTTTTCTGGCAAACTTAAATAAATTGGTTTTTTTCAAGAATTTTCCCAAAAAATAGTAACGGCGTTAACGCCCGTAACGGAGACGAGAGGAAATTGGAAAAACAAAATAGTTGGTGTTTTTTTTGTCAGCGGTAAATTAGTTGGGGTTTTTTCCGGCATCGAAAAAAGTTCAGGTTTTTTTCTGGCAAATATTAAATAGTTGAGGTTTTTTTTGGGGAATTTTCCCAATAATTTTTAAAGAAACTTCGGGTTTGATCGGTTTCTCTCTTTTTTGGTTCGGTTCGGATTTAGATTCTATTTCTCAAGAATTGATTTCATCATCTTCAGTATCTTCACTTTCGGAAACTGATTTCATTTCTTGAGAAACACTAAACAGTAAACAATTGACAAAACGATAGACATCAAATCAAACAGTGAAATAACCTGCACGTAGTAGTTTACAGCCTTTTTTACCAGAAGCAAGTCACCAAGCAGTGTTGTTGAAGAAGAAATGATAAAAACAGAAACAGAGAGCATTTTCCTTTTAATCTTTGTGAGGCTCTTGACAAGACTGTGCCTCTTTGACATGCTTCTCGTATTCGTCTTCTTCATCTTCTTCCACTTCAGCTTCAACGTCCTCTTCCTCTTCTTCCTCAGCTCCTGAGCCCGAGCTTTTGACAGCACTAGTAGATGGAGCTGGATTCCTTGCTTCTCCAACTATCTTCATTATGTCCTCTACGCTTTGAAGAGAGAAGCTCGTGTCTCTCTTGTAATATGCTGCTTGAGCCGACTCTAGCAGCTCCTTTGGCAAGTTCTTCAAGTACCACGGATGATTCTTGATCTCCTTAAGCGTGATTCTCTGTCACAAATGTTATTGGCAACAATCAGAACTGCAACCACATCTTCCTTAAAAGATCTAGCTTGAAATTTGAAAACCGGAATGGTTAAGGTACCTTTGCGGAGTTAGTGACGAATATGCGAGAGAGAAGGTGTTTGCATTCCTGGGATATGTGTACATAGTCCGGGATCTTGTATTGTACAGCCATTATACGCTGCAGGATACCATTTGAATTGTTACATATTTGAGACACTTGACCAATAAGAATAGAAGTTAATCAGAATTGTTGAATGGTGGAGTTACTTGGATTGTTTTCCTGAAGTTCTTTGGATCATTAGGGTCCTCAAACGGGTAAGCTCCAACCAGCATCACATAAAGGGTTACGCCACATGACCACACATCCGCGTGCTACAAAAAACGCAGTCATATGAGTGCCAAAGCCAGCGTCTACGTGCTCTATGACAATCATGCAAATTATGATTATAGAGACTGACCTATAAACATCCTACTCATATAGATTATCACCCCTTCAATTTTATTTTTTTATTCAGACCCTACGCTTGGACATGAGTAGAGACTGATCCATTTAAACCTTAATGGAAGTACAATAACCTGAAACATTTTACACAGACCACGCCAGTACAGAGATATATTTAACCAACTAGAGCATAGATTTTTGAGCAGTCTTTAACTTTGTTTCCTTCTCATATATTTCCCTTTCTGACATTATTTGCTTACTTTGACAACCACTCATGTATAACAACTAACAAGACATGAGTGATTTTGAGTAGTGTACCTTGCCATCATATTCTCTCCGTGAAAGAACTTCAGGTGCTATGTATGCTGGAGTTCCAACAGTCGATTTAGGAATAGAATGTAGTATAGATGACTACACAATAGAAAAAAATATAAGAATCAAGAGACTAGTGGATAGATAAATATACTTTTGATTACAGAACATGATAATCTGCTTTTGGATTGAAGAGAGAGAGGAAAACTGAGCAAAGAAGAAAAGGGAAATGTATGAGTGCAGACCTTAGAGTAACCAAAATCACAGATTTTCAAAAGCGGAGCAGGGCTCCCATCGAGCAGTGTATTCTCAAGCTTCAGGTCTCTATGACATATTTGCTGCACAGAAGCAAAAGAGAGGGGAAGGTTACACAATAACGGAGACATTCAATTTCAAATTTCAAACAAAGAATCTAGGCACAAAACATTGATATTTCTCCACAAATGCCTCATCAGGCACATAACTTTCCTTTCCAGCTTAATGAATATTGGAAGAACTATATACATACCAAGGAATGGCAGTAGTCTACACCACAAATCAGCTGTTGAAAGAAGTACCTAGCCTGAAATGAATAAGATCAAAAGCAGAAACTTATACACACATAAATAACATCAACGAAAATGTCGAAGAATATATGGATCAAAGTGTAAGACTTTAAAAAAAGAAAACAACCTCAGCTTCACTAAATCTACCGGCAGTACAGATTCGATCAAAGAGCTCTCCTCCAGAAGCATACTCCATCACAATAGCAAGATGAGTAGGTGTCAGAATCACCTGGAACCGAATCAAAATCAGATCCCAAGAGAGCTCTTATGTAAACTATCAAGAGCCAAAAAAAAGAAAGAGACTTGCCTCCTTGAACCGGATGATATTAGGATGCTTAAGTGATCTGTGGTTGATGATCTCTCTCGCCACGTTCTCATCTATCTGCAACCCATGATCAACATATACCAAACAATCCAAAAGTTAAATCATCATCATCATTTTGATCTGTTGAATGTTGATATTAAAAAAAACCAATTTCACAAGTTCCTACAAATTCTCTCAAAATGTCTAGCAAGGAGACTTCAGATCATGGTTTTGATCATATCCACTGAGCTAAAAGTAAGAGTTTAAACCCCAAATTCAAAACATGAAGAACCCAGATAGTAAAAAGACAAGACTTTTTGTCAGAAAAAAAACAAACCTTGCGGCCTCTCTCGATGTATTTCATGGCAACAAGCTCTTTAGTGTCCTTGTGTCTAAGAAGGCGAGCCACACCGAAATTCCCAGCTCCCAGATCCTTGACAACATCATACTTGTCCATTTCCGAATCAAAGCGTAATGGATCGAGTTCGAGTATATACGTAGCTATCTATCTACTTATATCCAATACAAAAACCAGATGGGTTCTCATAAAAAGATTTGGATGGGGATCTGAGAAAGAGAAGCAAATTCCATTGATAAGAAATCGTGAGATCCAATACACGCACACACCCATCTGTGTGTATAATATCGATAGAGGCGTAAACGACGGAGATGGAGATGGTAATGGATTGGACCACGTGGATGATCTACTCTAATTCCAATGACTAAGCTTTGATTGGAGTGAGTCCAACGGTAGGTAGTTTCCATCTCTAATTAGCCGACATATACACGGTTAAAGTCTTCTAAACCGGAACAAAGAATCGTCCTTTGTATCAAAATGTTACTAAACCTGTCGCTAGCGATAATAATTCAAACATCTGATTATCTGAACATGCCTAGTGCCTACTTCCTATATAAACACTCTTGAAAAACTATCGGATATGCGGGACAAAAAGATCATATATTTACGAATTAGTTCTGGATAATGATAGAAACTATGTCGATTCCAATGTAATGAAGTGATTTTTAAAGTGATGTGTGAAAGGAAAAAACGATGCTGCATTTTGTGACCTATTCAACAAACTTGATCTATATATGGTTACGAATTGAGAATACTAGTCCGTTTATGCATCGGAACTAAGTGAATTGAAGCATTCTTTCGAGTTTATTACAGCCAACCGCGTGAGAAGACCGAATTAAATTTTAGCATAAAGTGGTTGTTGCAGTAGAGATCTAGTTTTTGTCTTAGATTAGCACTTGTATTTTCTTTTGGTTAAAATGATGTATCTACTAAATTCGTTTAATCATAGAATAAATTGCGTTTATGGAAATAAATAAATGGTGTTATTGTGTTGTGTTAAGGCTCTTCTAAATACAAGCTATTTTGACTAAAAAAGGTCGTAACAGATCTAGAGTCAAAATCTTCTAGAGTTATATACACATTATATATATATTTATCCGCAAGACCATCTTTCTTTGAAGAGATCTATCTTCTTCACTTGGAAGTGTAAAAACCTCAACTTTGCCAAAAGAAATTAGGGTTCCAAGCTGAGATTTTCTACTACTGTAACACAAAATAATGGGTAAAGCTTCGGTGATCCTATACATCACGGTGGGGATCCTCGTGCTCTTCCTCGTCTCTTATTCCCCGAAGAAGAAGGGTGACCACGATCACCACCACGGTGGTCACAACCAACACCACCGCTTAAAACTCCGGTCTTCTTTCAATTTCAAACCCACTCGTCACGATCCAGTTCCGTTCGATCCTCTTGTCGCCGACATGGAGCGCCGTCGCGAGGATAAAGAGTGGGAGCGACAGTACATTGAGCATTCTCATCCGGAGCTTGCCTCTCATTCTCAGAAAGAAACAACCGGTGGTGGACATGAACATGCCCCTGGTCACGAGTCGCAACCTGAGTGGGAAGATTTCATGGATGCTGAGGATTACTTAAACGATGAGGAGAAGTTCAATGTCACTGATAGGTTTGGTACCAATCTTTGATTTTAAGCAAAAATGTGTACTTCAATTTCCTTGAAAGTTTGGATCTTAGATGGATTTAGTTTAGCATTTACTAAAGTTGTCACTTTTTTAAGGAATGAATTTCATTGATTGGTACTTTGCAGGCTGATAGTTTTATTTCCGAAGATAGATGTTTCTCCTACTGATGGGTTTGTGACGGAGAGTGAATTGACCGAGTGGACTATGCAGTCTTCTGCCAAGGAAGTTGTGCACAGAACTCAAAGAGACCTGGATGTTCACGATAGAAACAAGGATGGTTTTATTTCTTTCTCTGAATATGAACCACCGTCTTGGGTCCGTAAGTCAGGTGAGCTGCAGTTTCCTATCTCTTCTTTGAGTTTCATTGACTAAAATGTTTGCTACTTAATATGATCATGCAGAAACATCTGATGACAGAATTGTAAGTATATTTGGATATGTTTCGGTTCTAGCTCTTCTGCCTATGACCACTGTTTGATTGTGATTTTAAGCTGCTAAAGTAAAGAAACTCACTTTTGTCTCTTAGGACTGCTAGCTGACTTGGTTATAACTTAAACAGATAACAATTCCTTTGGCTATGACATGGGCTGGTGGAAGGAGGAGCATTTTAATGCATCAGATGCAAATGGTGATGGTCTTCTGAATTTAACAGAGTTTAACGAGTAAGCGTTTTTCATCTAGTGTAGATAGAAATCAGCCGAGCTAAATCAGGTTCTTAGTACTATCAGTTATTTTTTCTTTCTATTTCTCACAATGTTTTTGCTGGTTAATTCTCTTCACTTAGCTTTCTGCATCCTGCTGACACCAAGAACCCAAAGTTACTGTTATGGTTATGCAAGGAGGAAGTAAGGTAATGTACTGTTGTCATATGATTATTACTGTGGAACCTTTCTTTAGCTTAATGTTTATCAACGGATTCCTCTCCTTCCCTCTCCCAGAGAAAGGGATTCAGATAAAGATGGTAAGATCAGTTTTGAAGAGTTTTTCCACGGCCTCTTTGACACTGTAAGGAACTACGAAGAAGACAATCACAATTCTACGCATCCTTATCATGACTTGCCTGAAGGCCCTGCAAAGCAGTTGTTTGCTCAGCTTGACAAAAATGATGACGGGTTAGTAATATATGAGTACACGCCATAATTACCATTTCCATTAATATCATGCATCCCTTTAACATAACTCCCACTTATCTACAGGTACTTATCAGACGTTGAATTGCTTCCCATTATCAGTAAAATCCATCCTACTGAGCATTATTATGCAAAACAACAAGCTGATTATATTATATCACAGGTACATGACTTTCAATTAAATGGTGTACTTAGCTGCTGAATTGTTCGATGTTACATTTATCTCTCTTTTTCTGATCGTCCAGGCGGATTCAGACAAAGATAAACGTCTGACTTTGGCAGAGATGATTGAGCATCCATACGTCTTCTACAGTGCCATTTTCGATGAAGATGACACTGATGATGACTATGGTTACCACGATGAATTCCGCTAGTTTTATAATGAGTAAGCATCTGCCCACAAACTATTCTCATTCAGTCTATCGAAATATGTCCTAACTTATAACACTAATTGTTATTCTTCAATACAACACAGATGAATAAACAACATCAGGCTCAGTTCAATATAACTTCAAGGAACATTCCTCACAAAACAGGTGATCTCAAAAACATCAGGCACCATTGTTAATCTTCTATACCTTTGTTCTTGACTTACTTACGGCTATTCTTACACTGCAGAGTCCAGCACGAATCTCTCTCACGCAGATCATCTGGTGATTTAGAAGTTAGAAGAGTATTTATGATTCTAAACAGCTGAAAGAAACATACTTTTCTTTGGATCTTGTTCAATCAATTATAGATGGCTTTCTCCATTTCTGTATGTTTAACTTAACACCTTTAAAGCTTAATCTTTTATAAGCAAAGCTTATGAAGAAAACAGTGTTATACATGCAAAGGTCAGCACTGAGCCATAAGAAGCAGACTTTGACCCATAATCTTGAAATACTAAATAGAAAAAAAGGGAGATAGATGTCTTAAAAGTAACAGAGATTCAGGAACTATTGTGACCTGTTTACATTATTTCATACTACAAACCAAACTCTCAGTTACGATTACCAACAATCATCAGGAGCCAAGGTTTGAGATATTGAAAGAAGTCTGAAATCTCACTTTACCACACAGATCTTAATAACTGAGGCAGCTCCAATACGGTGTAGTGCCACGACTGCATCACCATGGTTGCACAGTCCTCTTTGTGTAGCCGACTTCAGAGCAGCTTCAATGATAACTTCCGTGGCTTCACTGTCTGTTGCCTTTGCAGATCCTTCAGCCAACATAGGGATTAGACCTCTGTATATCAGACTATGTCTTGCAGGTGACTCGTCACTACAAGCCCAGTCAAAGGAATCAGTGGTCATGACCGGGACAACCACTGACAGAATCGGAACAGCCGGTCTGTATTTAGCCACAAGGTTAGCGGTTGAACCTCCACGTGTCAACACAATGATGAGTTTCGCCCTCGCTTTGTTAGCAGTCCGTACAGCGGATGACGCAAGACTCTCGAGTGGGCTCATTGGAAGCGGAGTTGCTCGGATCATCTCTTTGAAGATTGTGTTATAATCAAGCGAGGATTCGGCTTCAATGCAGATCTTTGCCATGACTTTCACAGCTATTTCAGGATAAGCTCCTGCTGCACTCTCACCGCTAAGCATCACACAGTCAGTGCCATCAAGAACAGCATTTGCAACATCTGTGGCTTCAGCTCGGGTTGGCCGAGGTGATTTGATCATTGACTCCAGCATCTGAGTAGCTGTGACCACCGGTTTACCCGCAAGGTTACACTTGTAGATCATCAACTTTTGCGCCAAGAAGATCTTCTCTATTGGAATCTCCATCCCGAGATCACCACGGGCAACCATGAACGCATCTGTTTCACGCAAGATCTCATCAAAGTTAATCACTCCTTCCTGGTTCTCAACCTTCAAGATCAAAACCCAAAAAAAAAAGTCAGATTCAGGCCTCAATATACATAAAATGCAATCGCCATAAGTCAAATATATAAGTACCTTCGACATCAGCATTATGCTTTTAGCATGAGATCCAAGAACCTTCCGGACATTAACAAGATCCGAACCTTTACGGACAAACGAAAGAGCAATCATATCGATGCTGTTCGGAACACCCCAACCGAGAATATCTTCAATATCCTTATCTGTCAAAGTGGGAAGATCAACAACAACGCCAGGAAGATTCACATTCTTTCTTTCACCAAGCATCGCCGAGTTTTCACACCGGCACCTAACCGTTCCAGACTCAGGATTACATGACAAGACAGCTAGACTTATGCTTCCATCTGCACAGAGTATGGTGTTTCCGGGCTTCACATCCAAAGGCAGCTTTTTATAGCTCATGGATATCGTTGACTCGTCTCCCTTAATGTCATAATCAGTGGTTATAGTAATCTCTTGACCTTCCTTCAGTTGTATAGGGTTCCCATCTTTCAAGAAACCAGTACGAATCTCAGGTCCCTGCGAATTCAACAAGCGAAATCATAAGCTGATAGTCTCTAAAATGTTTTCTCTAGGCTTGTTTAACGAATTCAGATAGTACAAAATCCAAGATCAAGCCACGGTCTTGAATATACATATAATCAAACACTGAACAAAAGATTTAACATTTCACGGGACAAGAGAATCCATTCCACAGGACGCTTGCAAAAGGAAACACAAGATGGGAGGTTTAACCTTAGTATCAAGCATGACAGCAGCGAGAATGCCTGTATTATGCATAGCGGTGCGGAGGTTGTCGAGTGTCTCTTGATGGTATTCATGGCTTCCATGTGAGAAGTTGAAGCGAGCCACATTCATACCGGCTTTCAAAAGCTTTTCGATCATAGAAACAGTGCGAGAAGCTGGTCCTAAAGTGCAAACTATCTTCGTCTTTGGGATCCTCCCATCATTAGGTAGCTCCTTCAAGATCCCTTCAATGTCTATGTTCGACATTTTTCTCTAAAAGTTCTCTTCTCAAGCTTCCCTGCAACGGAAAATAATTTAGCATAAAAACTCCTACCCATCAACAAAAAACAAGCAAAAGAATCGAAATTTCTCAAATTCGTTAACTTAAGTCTAGTTTCTCGTCTTTTATAGACAGAGATCCATGTCCGTAACAAAGGAGACGATCGAACACAGAGTCCCTCAACCGAACATAGATAACAAGGAACCAGAGTGTCTGAGATTTGGATCCAGAGCATAGAAACAAGGTAGATTAGAGAAGAAGAGAGTATACGGGGAGTGAGGATTTACCTAAAAAGCTCAGAATCTGGATTTGTTGTCGTGTCGGAGCAAGAACCCTTGTTTTTTGGCTTGGACTTGTGTATGACTCTGGGTTTTGGAGTAAAAAAGCTTAACAAAGTTGGTAGCGACCGCCACGTGAACTCGAATTTAGAATTAATATAGAAAGGATATTTTCTAAATCCAATTTGTATTTTTAATAACAAAATTAAATTGCCTTTGACCCCAAAAAAAAATTAAAATTAAATTGCCAAAAAACAGAAAGTATATTAACAAATATTAATATTTGCCTCTTGCCCAATACACTGACGTCTTCATTACTTGAATTTTTTTTTTCTTTTTTTTTGTTAAAGATTCATTTGTTATAATTTTAACTATGTACTTGAAATTATGCACGTTATGTTCATGATTACTCTAGCAGAAGAATATACCTTGGATCGAAAGATGTGATTCTCTCAATTCTTGTTTAATAGTTTGTTTGTTTGTATCCATGAATTTGTGGGTCTTGTATTTTAGGTATAAAGACAAGCATTTTATAAATTTTCCCATAGTATTTTTGGTTCTTTGGGAATTTCAATGGTCATATTCCTAAAACCAATAAATGTCTCTCTTTGTTTCCCTCTTGGCTTGATTACGGAGCCACTTCTTCTACACACTTTTGCTAGGTGTTCTGTTTACTGTACAGTTGACATTTTGTCTGTAAATTATTGGTACCACAAATTTCTGCTAGGTGTTCAATTTAAAGTATTTCACTTTGTGAACAAAATTCATATAAATACCACAGGAAAAGAAATACCATTCCATTATTGAAAAATAATGTAATCTATCTCTATCCTCCGGAGGTGAACTACAAAATGAGTTTGGCAAGATCAGAGGATCAAATCTCTATATTAGTTGAAATCAGAAACAAAGTACATAACTTAACTACTTCCCTTCATAACCTCCATCGGACTAATAAGTCTTCTTGAAACTGACGACTTGCAGAGATGTCAATATGGAGACACTTGCTGCAAAGGGCTTCAAATGCGTTTGGGCGGAACGTACTGCACCCGTACTTGTTGGCATATGGACTGCCAGCGGATTTCCGCCACATACATGTGAAAATGACGAACAGTCAATACGAAAACCGGATCTGTGTCTTTATTTAAAAACCAGAGCTAAGGATTTGCTTATTCATCCCTTCTTAGGTTTCTAAGAGAAGTGGCATACAAGTAAATATGTTTACCTGCATTTCCTCTGGGAGTGCCTCTGAGACAGCAAGAGTGTAGCAACCAGGAGCAAACTTCCCTGGAGACAAGATATTGAAAAGTGTTAGATTTATTTCTGTTCTGTCTCAAATAAAGCTGGCAATATTAGGGAATACAACATCAAGCCATAAACACACAGAAATCAGAATGCAGCTACTGCTCAAACGGATGCAGACAAAACAGTTAAAATTAAATATAAAGCGGGATTTTGATGAATAAAAATATGTAAAGTAGCACTAATATCCCGATCTATAAAGTATAATGGTGAGACAAAAATAACAGGAAACGGAAAGAAGAAGCAACACAGAGTATAGTAAACTTAAAAAGACAATGAGGACGATCAGGAAACAGAGCTGAAACATACCAATTCTTAACCATCTTGCTGCCCAACTTCTGCGTGGATCCATCATAGAGATTATACTGCAAAACAATCATCATATCAAATACATAATTACATGGACGAGACATAGACAAATGAAGAAAGAGACATAAATCAACACTAGCACCACCTCTGTCACTGTTAACTCATGTTGCTTAAAGGAGCATACGTTATGGTCATATCCACAGTGAAGAATTCAACAAAAAACGAGAAATTAGTGGCCAACCAAAAAGCATCAGTCTTTTCAATAAGTATAGACTATACAATTTCATCATAAGTAGAGTCCCACCCAGATTCCGAAATTTCCATGTAACCACAAGTACCAGAGATAGACTTATGAACAAAGCCACGTAAATTCAAAGTAAGGATTCGAATTTAAGCCTTACCCATTGAAATTAGGTGTTGTAACATCGACGATACGTTCATGATCGTCTTCCATTTTGAAGAAAGGACAATTCTCGCAACCAGAGTCTCTAAACTGTTGGATAAATCAGATTAGGCAAAAGATATTCGCAAGAGAAGAAACATGCAAAACACAAGTGAGAAGAGAAACCAGACCTGATCGTAGGTCTTGACGAGGCGGCATCGAAGACAAGCCCTAAGCTCGTGGCCGAAACTCGTCGGAATCTGAGCAGGCGCTTCTCCCATTGTGATTTGTCTCCAAAATCGCCACACGTCCAATATCGAAATTTCTGTGAGAACGAGAACAATGTCTCCGTGTCTATCTATCAGTTCCGTACAGTATAAATACCATAAATGTGGGCCTCAATATGGGCCCATAATGTGGTCCCCTAATCCAGGGCCGTCAATTTCGGGAGGAAATTAATTAATTTTCTTGGAAAATTGGTTATTTTTCTCTAAAATGGGCCAAAGAGTCCATTAAACTAATAATCACAGGCCCATTCATCTTCCCTGCGTTATCTGTATAATAACCTCGGCAACAAGATGAGTTCAATTTGTTAAGGGTTTACAATGATTCATTTCTCCTCCTAGTGGCGTACATAGTTTATTATAGTCAAACTTTCTTTTTCTTCAAAAAACCTTATTTATTCTTCTTGTACAAGCAAAATCGTGTTTGGATAATTTTGCACTAGGAACGGAATCACATAACGATACTTTTCAAAGAAAAGAGCTATTAAAATAAGTCTTTTCAAAAGCTCTTTTCTTACCGAGTGTTCAGATACAAATTAACTTCTGATGGCAATTTCTTTTACCTACTAAGTACTAACTCATTTTTTGTCTATGTTCAATTACTGCGGATTTTGCACCACATCGTATTATACGTATGTATGCACGATGAAGACTAAACCAATAAAATGCAGCTTAAGGACTAAACTAAACGTGTATCCCCATCACTTATACCATGTGAGATATTTTGCCATTCAAAGTTCACCTGCCAAATACGATGCATAAAGATAAAAATTGACCCTTACTATTTTTTCTCTTCCAAGCTAATAGTTGGATTTCTATATACTATTTTGCTGTAACCCATTAATTTTGGGTCCCATTCAAACTCTTTTAACCTTCCAATATTCTCATTTGGTTATGTACAAACTTCTCAATTTAAACATTTCATCTTCTTTTATAAGGGACTTGCTAATTTCACTTCACTAAGAGATTTTACAGTCGCAATTTGTTGCAAAGGTAATAAAGATATCATATTGATGTATAAGGCCTATCTTATATGGCGTTTACTTAGACTTTTACATAACATATGAGCACAACCTAAAAACACTAGACAATTCTACCAAATCACATACCGCCCGCACCAAATCTTTGTTTTCAAAGCATCCTTTCTTCTAGTCCGCCTATATGATAAAAGTATTGGTTGAACGCCAGATAATCTTCGGAGAATAAACCGATATCATTGAAATTAACGTTTTTCTGTTTGTTTATCTACAAATCATTTAAAAACTAGTTTACTATCAACGAGAACTGGTTATCTTCCGATAATCGAAAATTTACGTACTTTATTTGTTCCGTTCCGTTCGATCCGCTAATTCGACACCGTTTTAACATATCTTATTAAGTAAGTATCAAAAATATTAAGGTGAAGATAAAGAAAATATATGAGAAAAGGAGAATGCATAAGGTTTTGTTGGGACTATATAGACGAGAGTAGCCTGTGATCAGCCACGCCTGCCCTTTGCTTCTTCTATTGCCTTCTTATAATATTTGTTTTCCCCTTCTTATTGAGTCCTCATCTCTCTCTCCTTTTCCATCTTCTTTAACGCTTCTTTTCCAGAACTTGCTCCCTCTATCATCTTCTCACCGCTTCCTAAATCTCTCTAGCGGTCTTCCTTCCCCCCTTTGTTTCCGGGCTGTTCCTTAATCTCTATCTCTTTCTCTTTCTTCTGCCATCGCCAAACCTTATCTGGGTTTTGCTTCTTATTTGGTAAGATTGGATTTTTCGCCTCACCCCCTTTTGATTTTATCCTTCTTAGATCTTCATCCCCAAGTGATCCTTCTTCTATTTAAGTTCGATGATGATTTTCACGAATTGGGTTTTTGGGGATCCTTGTTCTAGGTGCACTGTGTCGATTTTGTGTGTTAATTGAGTATTTTTGCTATTGACTACTGTGATTGATTCGATTGTGCGTATCTCGATTCACTGTTTTGTTTTTTGAGAGGTGATTGTTTCGATCGAACAAAGTGAAAGTGCATTTGATTTATAGTTTTGATCAATTGGGTTTTATTCACTGGTCTAATTGTTCTTCATGTTTGAATGCTAATCTCCTTGCTACTAGATCTACATGAGTTTTCAGAGATTAACTTGTTAAAATCCCTTCCTGATTCTTTCTTAATTTCAAGGCTAAGTTCATGCTTTTGGCTTCTCTTATTTGTTTCCTTGTAATTTTCTGATCAAGTGCATTTTTCAGTATTCGTATGGCTCTAATGTGCAATCACTCAAAGCTTGGTCTCATTTGTTGTCTCTGCAGATAATTTATATGGGCTGAACTAGGAATTTCATGGGAGTTGTGGAGGATACTGAACCTCCTTTGAAACGTGCTAAGCGGCTTACTGACGAACCGAACGGCTTCTCCGCAAACTCGTCTGTTAGAGGTAGTAGTGTCAACAACAACTCTTTGGGAGACCTGATGGCAAGGCCTCTGACCTCCCAAGGGGATGACGAAACTATTGGCTCCAAAGGGGTCATTAAAAAATCTGAATTCATTAGGATTATCACTAGGGCTCTTTATTCGCTTGGATATGATAAAACTGGGGCTATGTTGGAGGAAGAATCCGGAATCTCTCTGCATAATTCCACCATTAAGCTGTTTCTGCAGCAGGTTACGGACGGAAAATGGGATCAAAGTGTTAAAACACTGCACAGAATCGGTCTGCCTGATGAAAAGGCTGTCAAATCTGCGTCTTTCTTGCTCCTAGAGCAAAAGTTCTTGGAGCTTCTCAAAGTTGAAAACATAGCTGATGCGCTAGGCACCTTGAGGAATGAGATGGCACCTCTTCGTATTAATACAAAGCGTGTTCATGAGCTCGCTTCCTCCCTTATATCACCTTCAAGCTTTATATCACATACCACTTCGACTCCAGGTAAAGAAAGTGTGAATTCAAGGTCTAAGGTTTTGGAGGAACTGCAAAACTTGCTTCCTGCTTCTGTTATAATCCCTGAAAAGAGGTTGGAGTATTTAGTTGAGAATTCACTTCATATTCAGCGGGATTCTTGTGTTTTCCATAATACTTTGGATAGTGATTTGTCTTTGTATTCTGATCATCAATGCGGGAAGCACCAAATTCCTTCTCAGACTCTTCAGGTTAGACTGCTCCGCTGTGAATGTTACTTCCGTTTTCTTCATCTTGTTGTTGTTTTGTTTCTTGGTGATCATGAGTTTGTCGGTACTATAAGAGAGTCGCATATCTTTAGCTGAGAGGTTTACAGTACAATGTGCTGCAAACGTTTCCACTTCCTTGACAGGTCATTGAAAAAGAAATAGAAGATGATAATAGTCTCAATCTGATGCCTCTTTTCTTTTTCGGTTATTCCTTTTCCATCATTGGCTATGTAGTACATTTTAAAAAAAATTTGCTGTCACCTGTATCCACGTTCCTCTGATTAACTAATTACTTGTGTGGCATCTTTTTTTTCTGTTTGTAGTTTAGTCAGACTTGCAGTGCATGTGTGCGTTACTGACTTAAATCACATTCGTTAAGTTCTCTCTACATAATGGTTCAGATCTTGGAGTCACATACCGATGAAGTATGGTTCTTGCAATTCTCACACAATGGCAAATATTTGGCTTCATCTTCCAAGGATCAAACCGCAATTATATGGGAGGTAATGCTGACTTACCAACCAAGGCTCACTTGAACTCAGTTTTGCTAACCTGTCAAAGTTTTGATTTGTTACCTATTCTAATTGAGGCAACCCGTTTACTGATTCACTTGGAATGTACTTTTCAGATCAGCGTAGATGGGCACATTTCACTGAAGCATACACTTGTGGGCCACCAGAAACCCGTGATTGCCATCTTATGGAGTCCTGATGATCGTCAAGTTCTTACATGTGGAGCAGAAGAGGTTATCAGACGCTGGGATGTTGATTCAGGAGACTGTGTTCACATGTATGAAAAAGGCGGTATCAGTCCCATTTCTTGCGGATGGTATCCTGATGGGCAGGGAATAATCGCGGGGATGACAGACCGAAGCATCTGCATGTGGGATTTAGATGGTAGAGAGTTGGAATGCTGGAAAGGTCAGAGGACTCAAAAGGTATCAGATATAGCGATGACAGATGATGGAAAGTGGCTCGTAAGTGTATGCAAGGATTCCGTGATATCTCTTTTTGATAGAGAAGCTACAGTTGAAAGATTAATAGAAGAGGAAGAAATGATTACCTCGTTCTCGCTTTCGAATGACAACAAATATATTCTGGTAAACCTCCTCAACCAGGAAATCCGTCTCTGGAATATTGAAGGTGACCCCAAGATTGTGTCGAGATACAAAGGCCACAAGCGTTCACGATTCATCATCAGATCATGCTTTGGTGGGTATAAACAAGCTTTCGTCGCCAGCGGAAGCGAGGATTCCCAGGTAAAATCCTCTCTTTTATTCGCATAGTATCATCACATAAGCACATGAGAGAAAATAGCTGAATCAAATGGTGATAATCTAGTCTGTTCTCGGAATCATTCTGTGAATTGGGTAGTGTGGCTGTCTCATTCTACATTTTATCAATTCAGACAGAACATAATAAAATGATAGTCTCTGTTCTCAGAATCTTTGCAGGATAAGGAATATGGTTGTTTCTTTCTGCAGTTAATCTATGCAGTTTTAGGATTTACAGCCTAGACAAAACATAATCAGTTTAGACAGAGCATAACCAGATATATACTCTGTTTCTCAGTATCGAAGAATGGTTGCTTTGTTATTTAGTTGATCTCTCTGCGGGTTTTGGTGACATGAGTCCACACATTTCTGTTATTTGCAGGTATACATATGGCACAGATCTACAGGGAAGTTAATCGTTGAGCTACCAGGCCATGCAGGAGCAGTCAACTGCGTGAGCTGGAGCCCGACGAACCTACACATGTTGGCTTCAGCAAGCGATGACGGAACCATAAGGATATGGGGACTTGACCGGATTAACCAACAGAACCAGAAGAAGCATGTGCAAGGAAGTAGCAGTAACGGTGTGATTCACCGATGCAATGGGAATTGATTATGATAGAAAAAAAAGAAAAGGAATGACCTTCCTTAAAACTATTTAACAGTTATGTTGTTTCTTCTTTCTTCATCATCCTCTTTATGTTTGCTTCCGTTGGTATGGAAAGCAAAAGAAAGAAGGCAAAATCTGTTTCTTTTCTTTTTTAAAAAAAATTCTGAACCCATAAGTGGAAGGAACAAAAAGGAAAAAGAAAATGCAATTTGCAACATAATTCTTCTAATGATGTTACATTGTACATACAGTTTGAATGGTAGCATTTGCAATTGCACTTACCTTCTTTATCTCAGACTTGTGTTACTGATCCTACTCAGACGAGTGCTATTGTTTTTTTTAACCTTTAATTCAATGTTCATGTCTAAATCTGTTTACTTTGTTATAATTAGCCTACTTAATTGATCGCATGTCTACTTAAATTTGAATTGTCCTTTTCTCTTCATTAACCTGCATTATGCAGATTTCGATTTAGTTGTTTGTTTTTTCTTTTTGTGTGTTTTATTGTAGCAAGTAGCATTTGAAACAATGGTTTCGGTTGAATTACCTTTTCTAATGCGATTATGCAAGTAATTTACCGATCAGTAAAATGGTTTTTAGAATCTTAAGTTGATTTTTTTTTTGTCAATATTTAAATATTAATTTACCTTTCCTTTATTTTTTTTCCTATGAAATACAAGTACAGGAGGATCAGAATAGCAAAGGATTAGCTCAATTCCAATTCTTTAATTCAAAGGTTTCGATCCCTAACTGTAAAATCCCTAATTCGACAGACAGAGAGAGAGAATGGGAAGTAACCGTCCTAGGAATTTCCGGCGGCGAGGGGACGACGGCGGCGATGAAATCGACGGTAAAGTTGCTACCCCCGCGGCAAAACCGACTTCGACTCCTTCTTCGTCGAAACCTAAAACTCTCTCAGCCTCGGCCCCGAAGAAGAAACTTCTAAGTTTCGCCGACGACGAGGAGGAGGAAGAAGATGGAGCTCCCCGTGTGACGATAAAGCCTAAGAACGGCAGAGACCGTGTCAAATCCTCTTCCCGTCTCGGCGTTTCGGGATCTTCTCACAGACACTCTTCAACCAAGGAACATCGTCCCGCTTCTTCTATCTCCACCGTGGCTCCGCTTTCTAACGTGCTTCCTCAGGCCGGTTCTTATTCGAAAGAGGCGCTGCTCGAGCTCCAGAAGAACACACGGACGCTTCCCTATTCTCGCCCTAGTGCCAATGCCGAGCCAAAAGTAGTGCTTAAGGGTTTAATCAAACCTCCGCATGAGCATGAGCAGCAGCAGAGTCTCAAGGATGTGGTCAAACAGGTTTCGGATTTGGACTTCGATGAGGATGGTGAAGGAGAGCAGCCTGAAGATGCTTTTGCCGATCAGGCAGCGATTATTAGAGCCAAGAAAGAGAGGATGAGGCTGTCACGTTCAGCACCGGCGCCTGATTACATATCACTGGATGGTGGTACCGCAAATCATTCTGCTGTTGAAGGAGTCAGCGATGAGGATGCAGATTTTCAGGGGATTTTCGTCGGTCCGAGACCACACAAAGGTGAGAAGAAAGGTGTGTTTGATTTCGGTGATGAAAATCCTACTGCTAAAGAAACCACGACAAGTAGTTTGTATGAGGATGAGGATGAAGAAGAGAAGTTGTGGGAAGAGGAGCAATTTAAAAAGGGTATTGGTAAAAGAATGGATGAAGGGTCTCATAGGACTGTAACTAGTAATGGGATTGGCGTGCCTTTGCATTCTAACCAGCAGTCACTACCACAACAGCAACCGCAGATGTATGCTTATCATGCTGGGACACCAATGCCGAATGTTTCTGTGGCTCCTACCATTGGTCCAGCTACTAGTGTTGATACATTACCAATGTCACAACAAGCTGAGCTTGCTAAGAAGGCATTGAAAGACAATGTTAAGAAGCTTAAGGTATTGTTCTATGAACTTGGCTTCTTCCTATATATGAATCTGCTGCCTTCTAGTAGGGTTTGGTTAGTATCTCCGTATTTGTATGCTGTTAATGATATTCTAGTTGATTATTAGTTTAGGTGGATTTTTTAAACTTAATTCACCACAGAGGTTTTCCTAGTATCTCTTTGCTATTTGACTAGTAATGGGACTGATTTGGTTTATGAGTTATATTCTTAGGTTTAATTTGGTTTCTTACGAACTGCATTTATTTTGAACTATTTGCCAGGAATCTCATGCAAAAACGTTATCCTCCCTTACCAAGACAGATGAGAATTTGACTGCTTCGTTGATGAGTATCACAGATCTTGAAAGTTCGCTATCTGCAGCTGGAGATAAGTATGTGTTCATGCAAAAACTCAGAGACTTCATTTCTGTTATCTGCGACTTCATGCAGGTATGCTTAATATAATGTTGTTTCTGTATTCATATACATGTTTGCTTATGTTGCAGGCCGATTTTTATTCTATGTTTGGTAATACCAAATTACCAATAGCTACTGCTTTCTTAGTAAATCTTATTTGCCTGCATAGGATCATGAATCCAGGGGAAATGAAATAGATTAAGATTTAGTGTTATTTTGCATTTGTTTTTTTTTTTTAATCTTATCTCTAAGTAAACAAAGAAAAAATGAGCTCAACCCATATTTTTAGGCGAATCTAGGTTCTCGTGGCATATGCTTTCTTTGACATTTGGAGTTAGATTTCATCTTTATTGAAAGCAAACGATTTCTGTAATATTGAAACTAAAACTCGTTTTACACTATTTTACATGACATAAAACAAAATATATTTCCTATATAGAGCTGTATGGATTCTTTACGCATAACGTATACCTTCATAGAATGAAAATTCTAGCTGGTCATTCTTTTGTCCAACTATGAAAACGAACGACCAGTTGTGAACCCTACCATATTTTTATCTATACTGCTTTTGTATTGCTCTATGCGTAAAAACAGTTGGAAGCCAACGTTGTTGTTAGAATAGAACTCCTAATTACTGTTGTGAATTTTGTTTTTACAGAATAAGGGTTCCTTAATTGAAGAAATTGAAGATCAGATGAAGGAACTTAATGAAAAACATGCTTTATCTATTCTGGAAAGGAGAATTGCAGATAACAATGATGAAATGTTAGAGTTGGGGGCCGCTGTGAAAGCAGCAATGACAGTTCTAAACAAACAAGGAAGCAGTAATTCAGTGATTGCTGCTGCCACAAGTGCTGCGTTGGCTGCCTCTGCTTCTATAAGACAGCAGATGAATCAACCAGTTAAGCTTGATGAATTTGGCAGAGACGAAAATCTGCAGAAGCGCAGGGAAGTGGAACAGAGGGCTGCAGCCCGGCAGAAAAGGCGAGCTCGATTTGAAAACAAGCGTGCATCAGCCATGGAGATTGAAGGATCTTCTCTGAAAATAGAAGGAGAATCAAGCACTGATGAGAGTGACACTGAGACTTCAGCTTATAAGGAGACAAGAGATAGCTTACTTCAGTGTGCTGATAAGGTGTTTAGTGATGCATCTGAGGAGTACTCCCAGCTTTCAAGGGTGAAGGCGAGATTTGAGAGGTGGAAGCGAGACTATTCATCAACTTATCGGGATGCTTACATGTCTTTGACCGTTCCCTCCATCTTTTCACCTTATGTAAGACTGGAGCTTTTGAAATGGGATCCTCTTCATCAAGATGTGGATTTCTTTGACATGAAATGGTGAGCTACTCGCAGTTTCCGACTTTCCTAATTATCCAAACATTCATTCTCAGACACAGTTTACATATACTATCTAGTAGGCATTAGTCTCTTAAGAGGGTTAGCTAAAAACATTGTTTTTTTTTGCATTTTTGGAAGTGATCTAACTTGTGATTTGTGTCTCCAGGCATGGATTGCTATTTGATTACGGGAAGCCAGAAGATGGGGATGATTTTGCACCAGATGATACTGATGCCAACCTTGTCCCTGAGCTAGTAGAAAAGGTTGCGATTCCCATTTTGCACCATCAGATAGTTCGTTGCTGGGATATACTTAGCACCCGGGAGACAAGAAATGCTGTTGCTGCTACAAGCTTGGTGACAAATTATGTTTCTGCTTCGAGTGAGGCCTTAGCAGAACTATTTGCTGCTATTCGTGCTCGCCTTGTTGAAGCCATTGCAGCTATTAGCGTATGAATTTTAATTTGTTACATCTCTTGCTAATTTCGTAATTGATCTCATTGAGTCTGTTATGAGATTCTGGACTAATGATATCCTCTGATTCTTTCTTTATTCTCCAGGTTCCGACATGGGATCCGCTGGTATTGAAGGCTGTACCTAATGCTCCACAAGTTGCAGCATATAGATTTGGGACATCAGTCCGTCTTATGAGAAATATATGTATGTGGAAAGACATTCTGGCGCTTTCAGTGTTGGAGAACTTGGCTCTTAGTGACCTTTTGTTTGGAAAAGTTCTACCCCATGTCAGAAGCATTGCATCAAATATACATGATGCTGTGACAAGAACTGAAAGAATTGTTGCTTCTTTGTCTGGAGTATGGACAGGACCAAGCGTCACAAGAACCCACAGGTAACACTGATTTAACAATCAAATTCAAATCTGAAATTTTACTTTCTCACACATGAAGGTTTCTCATGGTTCATTGTAGTGAAACATTATACATAGTTGCATCTTGTGATGTTGCATATTGTTTACCAATACAATTACAGTCCGTCTGCATGAAAAGTTATCTTGTTTTTTACGAGTGCCAATGCAAGAGTAAGTAAAGTGAAGCTGTCAAATCGGGACTAAGATGTTTACATTACATACTTTTATCTTACAAAATCTGGGCAATTCTTTCGAAATTAGGAGTATTGGTCGGGCTATGGTCTTTATACTTTTTTGGAATCTCATTCGTCTTAGACCAATCATTTTCATTGTTTATCTTCATTTGGTTCACATGATATCTGCATCTCATTTTTGGACATCACCACATTATGTTGACATTCGCCTTGATACATACTAAAATATTTTATTTGACTTTGCAGTCGTCCACTGCAACCTCTTGTGGATTGTACTCTGACACTCAGAAGAATTCTCGAGAAAAGGCTTGCCTCAGGACTGGACGATGCAGAAACCACTGGTCTCGCCCGCAGGTTAAAGAGAATACTAGTAGAGCTCCATGAACATGACCATGCCAGGGAAATTGTCAGAACATTCAACCTCAAGGAGGCAGTTTAGTGAAAATTTTATTGATGGGAAACTGGAAAGTCAACTCAGAAATCTTTAGCCTCAGGTTATCAGTTACACCTTTCGGACTGTACCAGCTAAGCCTCATGACTTCAACATCGAAGATTACAACTTTTGGAGTCCAAGAAAGTGAAATTTTCCCTAGGATTTTACATTTCAAGATGTATTAGGCTAGCACCAAAAGCTTCCGGAATCCGTTTTCAGACACAGAAGAGTTTTATTACTTTGGCTTAATTACACTAACTTTGGCTTAATGTAAGTGTAACCTCTGTGCTTGTAGAAGACCTTATCATAAATATAGAAGCTAAAGCATCTGTAGTCTTTTTTTCTTTTCTTTTTTCCTTTTATATCTGTATGAGTTTAGATTTAGCAAAGACAATATAATTTCTATGAATATAAGCCACAACTTGTATTGTTGTGCTGCATTTTAGATGCAGTAAATTTCTATTACAAGCTGTGTCATGCTTTTTTGCAAAAGGGCAATTTCTGTTGGAATCAGACTCTTCTGCTGTAAACAACACAACTTGGGATATAAGTCAATAGATAGAAGAAGAAAACCCCCTTTGGAAAAAAATCCTAATGTTGAAGTTGGTCGTTGAACAAACATCTTAGGAAGTGGTGTTAGAATCATCTTCTTCATTTGAATCTTCTTCTTTATCCGAAGAAGACTCCGCTGTTTTCTCAAATTCCACCATTTTCTCAAGTGCCTCTATATCTCCAGCTTCAGCAAGGGCGTGTATCCGCAGCTTCTCTGCGTCTTCGCTGAAATGTTTTGTAGAGAATGTCAAGTAAAAGGAATATTGTAAAAGCATAAGAATAAAGCTGCAATTTGAGAGTTAACTTACTCTGTAACTCCAAATATTTCCTTGACGATTAAGGAGTTGTCTTTTGAGCAGAAGTCAGGAAGCTGTTGAAGAGAGAATGGAGTTAGAAAATCTATCGCATATACAAAACAGTGTATGCATATCTGACTTAATCATTGGATCAATGAAGATGTTGAAAGAGTAAGCAGATTCTCTCAAGTATAAGTAATGTTTCCACATTGATTACCTCAGAGAGATAGTAAATCTTTCCAAAAAGCGCCTGCACAGCGAGTTTTCTCTTGAATCCTTTTTCTGTAAACCCTTGCATTTTCATCACCACTGGACCTGCAAACCCAAAAAATGTCAAGAGCAATAAAGAAGAGACTGCAACAATGGAGAACCTTTACCAAAGTTTTAGTTACCTTTTTCTTTAACAATACGACGAGAGATCTCATTTAAAATCTCAGGAATCTGAGAATCATTCAAACCAGAAGCTTTTCTTAGATGAATGAGATCAGCAACAAGGTCAGGATTAAACGGCTTCTCATTCAACGCATATCGAATGTATTTCCTCAATATCTCCTCCATGTTAAACTCTGTCTGGATTGTAGAAAACCAAAATTCAGCATTCTCATATCAAAATTCTGAACTGGAATGATTAAGAGATCAAAGCAAAAGATCAGTGACATGTATATATATTCGCACCTTTTGTTCAAGTGCCTTAAGCTCAGAGCTATGCACTGTTCCATCTTTCCTTAAAAGCTCATCTATAGATCTGCAAAGCATAGCATTCTGATTCACCTGAAGAGATTCAAAAAAAAACCAAAATTGAATCAGCTTTTTTGTTGTTCAAGTAAGATCACAAAAGTGAGAGTGGAATCAGAGACCAGTTTCTTGCGTTGAGCTTTAGGAGAAGAGAACTTCTGAACGGTTTTGACGAAAGCAGTGACGAAAGTGACGCCGGCGTAAGCTAACGGAACGGCGAGCATCCACGGCAATTTGCTACTTCCAACTCGAGGACCAGGAATCGCCTGAGTCACCGATCCAGTGAACTCGACTAGGTCTAACGCCTTCTCTTGAATCCACAACATATCCTCCTCTACTTCCTCTTCTGTTTCCTCCTCCACGCTCGAATTCTTCTTCGCCGCCGGCGTCGGAGCCGTGACAGTATCAGATTGTTTTTTCGGAGCTGCGGCGGAAATAGAGAGGTGTTTCGGTCTCAGCTGACGGAGAGAAGGTAGTGAGACGAAAAGTGGTGTTCGAGGGAGAAGCAATGGTTGGCCATTGTTTTGGCTACGAGTCTGGAGAAATTGAGATGAAGGTAGGAGAAGAGACGTCATTGTTGAAGCTCGACGATTTGAAAAGACGGCTTCGGATGCGGCGGAGCTCTACAGTAGTTAGCTTCTCGGGGAACTACGACGGAAGGTGATGGAAGAAGATATAACAATTTCTATTTATTTAGAGGGTATTAATGGGCCTTCCTTACTCGGCCCATTTATTTCAACAAGAAGAAAAAGTGAATTTAGCAGTCTTTTACTCAGCCAAATGGAATTCGTTATAGAAGTCTTTTAATTACCACACAAGCTAGAATTTTTGTTTACTCTCATGTTAAATCGGATTATTATTACTTATTTGGTTCACAATTTGAAGTGATCTGGGCATGCTAAATGCATGAGTAAGCCAATGCAAGGCACATGAACATACACTTTAGAAACTTGCAAACAAAAACTTGCTTGAAGTGTCTGCATCAACTTCATTTTCTTTTTCCATTTTATAAATGTCTAAAAGTATGGATTTGACCGCATGATTCTATAACTATTCTTCTTCATTGATAAGGCAATAGAACAGAGTATTTCTAAATTTGCAGTAAATACAGAAGCTTTTGGAACATCCAGGTACTAAAGAATAAAACCTAGTTATACATTATCGGGCCAGAACTCCCTACAGAAGGCTCGTTCAAATTCTTTTTCCTGTAAATGTTTTTCGTGCTCTATCATCTTCCGCATTTTCTTCGAAAGTTTCTTGCTCTTCTTTGAGACTTCTTCATCCTGAAGTTTTTAGTAAAGAAAAGATAAGTTTATATGCCTAACTTAAAACAAATGAAACATAAAAAAGCTCATGGCAACGTGATAAACCAAAACCAAGTCCACCACTATTGAGATATGAAGTGTGGTTGATGCAGACTCTTTATCAATGCATGAACACTTTTTCATCATTAGGTATTTTCAGATTTAAAGGCAATCGCCTGTAAGGGTTTAAGAAAAGAAAAAGACCTTAGCCTGAGGCTGTGCCGCTTTTCTCTTAGCTGGTTGTTTAGCTCCCAGTCCTCGTTTGTTATGTTTTGGCTCTGCCTGTACAGGCACCAATATACCCTGTTCAGCAATTCCAAGACCAGTGCCTTCCCTCCAGCCATGCTTCTTTAGGAGCTGAAACCCAATGTTGGACGAATTTATAGCAGCCAATGAACTGCTTGAACCAGAGGACTCACCCATAACGTTCGACACCTGAACATATTAACTCAATTGTCAAAAAAAAAAAACAAAAGGAATGCACATTCAGTTCTGCTTACTTCTTGTGGTCTATTCAACACAACTAGAAACAGACCCAAAAATTTCTTACCACTGAACAGTTACAAAATGTAAATAGGTTAAATGCAGCACAAATGCATCCAGAAATGACTTATACCTGAAACCTATTAGCAGAGTCAATGGCGGCCCATAAACTTGTCGAAACCGAGGAATCTCCCATAACAAATCAAAACCTAAATATAATGAATCAACCATCAGAAATACTTTTACATTTTAAATTCAGGGTTAAATTAAAGCCAAACACACGAATTCGCTTGTGTTGATCCTTGTCTGGAATAAAACAGGGCAATTTTCATAAACCATGAGCCTGAATCATCAAAATATTGGAGATAATAGATAAGACGGTACTCACCAAAAAACGTGAAACTCAAGCCGTCGTCGAACACCAAGAAACCCTATAATCGTTAAGACGAGCTGATCAAAATTGGGCCGATATCGCTTCAGTTTCCTCCTGTCTCTATCGAACCACCGCCTCTGATAATCGCCGGCCCGAGGCAGTTGGATCGTCTTCAAATATCTGAACGCCGATTTGGGAAATTAAGGAAATTATAAAAAGACACCTCTTATGTTTCTAAATGCTAATTATTCCCAATAGTTTATATATATTTCATATTCGACCCACATATTTTACGTTTATCGGTTTAGGATAGATTCATACCGGGCTTGAATATTTGGGCCTGATCCAACAAGGGAGGCCCATAAAACATTAGAAAAGTTAACGTCAAGAAGACGCGGACTAATCTAAACCAACCAGTTTATCTCGAGTTCGTCGGTCTCAGGTGGGCAGTGATTATAACTCCGTCTGTTCAAGCTCCCATTCTTGTGGCCTTCACGCTTCAGGAGGAACAAAGACCAGTCTCTCTCTGTACGACTACTTCGCGGAAAATTTCGTCTCCATGGTAAGCAATCTGTTTTCGCGCACTCACTTTGATGATCTTCGTTTTCATTTCTAGGTTATACGATTTCTTTCTCGATCGCATTTGTTAGGGTTTTCCGAATTTAAGACTTTGATTGTATTTATCTCGAATCCAGCTGAGTTATTTCAAAATGCGGAATCTTCTTTCACATAGATCTAGCGGGTTATGATTGATTGGAATTTTGATCTGCTCGAGATTATCGATTTAGAGCGATTGGGTTTATTCACTTCCTTTAGTTTGGTTTCGTGATGTTGAAACAGCGATTTTATCTGCGACGCTTAACTCCTGTATCATCAATTTTGTTTTGCTTTTAAATGAATTTGCCATTAAACGTCTTTGTTATATGGATTTGATGATAGGCACCCGTGAGGGGGATTCTTGGCTTGCAAAGGGCAGTGTCTATTTGGAAGGAAAGTAACAGACTGGCTCCAGCTTTGAGATCATTCAGCACTCAAGCTGCATCCACTTCTACCACTCCACAGCCACCTCCACCTCCTCCGCCTCCGGAAAAGACTCATTTCGGTGGTCTCACGGATGAAGATCGGATTTTTACTAATCTCTACGGTCTGCATGACCCATTTCTCAAAGGCGCGATGAAGAGAGGTGATTGGCATAGGACCAAAGATTTGGTACTCAAGGGTACTGATTGGATTGTCAATGAAATGAAGAAATCTGGTCTTCGTGGACGTGGTGGTGCTGGTTTCCCTTCTGGTCTTAAGTGGTCCTTTATGCCTAAAGTTTCTGATGGCCGTCCTTCCTATTTGGTTGTCAATGCTGATGAGAGTGAGCCTGGAACTTGTAAAGATAGGGAGATCATGCGTCACGACCCTCACAAATTGTTGGAAGGGTGTTTGATCGCTGGTGTCGGAATGAGAGCCAGTGCAGCGTATATTTATATCAGGGGTGAATATGTGAATGAGCGTTTGAATCTGGAGAAGGCTAGAAGAGAAGCATATGCAGCTGGTCTCTTGGGGAAGAATGCATGTGGTTCTGGCTATGATTTTGATGTTTATATCCACTTTGGTGCCGGTGCGTACATTTGTGGTGAAGAGACTGCCCTTCTTGAAAGCCTTGAAGGGAAGCAAGGAAAACCTAGGTTGAAGCCTCCGTTCCCTGCTAATGCTGGTTTATATGGTTGTCCCACAACTGTTACCAATGTGGAAACAGTGGCTGTTTCGCCTACCATTTTAAGGCGTGGACCTGAGTGGTTTTCTAGTTTCGGTAGGAAGAATAACGCTGGGACAAAGCTGTTTTGTATATCGGGCCATGTAAACAAGCCATGCACGGTGGAAGAGGAGATGAGTATACCTCTCAAGGAACTGATTGAGAGGCATTGTGGAGGTGTTAGAGGTGGATGGGACAATCTACTTGCTATCATCCCTGGTGGTTCATCTGTTCCTCTGATTCCTAAGAACATTTGCGAGGATGTGCTCATGGATTTTGATGCGCTCAAGGCTGTCCAATCAGGGTTAGGAACTGCAGCAGTCATTGTGATGGATAAATCAACCGATGTTGTGGATGCAATTGCAAGGCTCTCTTACTTCTACAAGCATGAAAGCTGTGGGCAGTGCACTCCTTGCAGAGAGGGAACAGGTTGGCTTTGGATGATCATGGAGAGAATGAAAGTTGGCAATGCAAAGCTGGAAGAGATTGATATGCTCCAGGAGGTAACCAAACAGATCGAAGGACACACAATCTGTGCATTGGGTGATGCAGCTGCATGGCCCGTGCAAGGTCTGATAAGACACTTTAGGCCAGAGCTCGAGAGAAGGATCAGGGAACGCGCCGAAAGGGAGTTGTTACAGGTTGCTGCATAAGTACCTTGTTAACCAGAGGTTTGCATCTTTAGTCCTTGCTGATTCATCTTGCTCTCTTTCAATCTTCTGTTGCAACCTTAAAAGCAGATATCTAGATTTTACGCAGCCTTAGTTGATTGAATTTGTGAAAAGGTAGCTCTGTATCTAGTTTCTTTGGGCATTCAAGAACTTGAGCAGTAATGAACAGTTAGTTTCCGTAACTAGCTTCTGCTCTGTCCTTGTCTTACAAAATTGATGTTTTTGCAGGGGATTTACTATTATTCTCCATGAAAATAAAATCTGAATGCACACTATTAGTGGTTTTGGGATGCAAAGCTACTGCAGAAGGGGAAGAAGGTAATGTATTTGTTTGAATGGTTAATGTTAAAACTCTCTTCAAGTTGTATCAGAAAAGAGCGGTATTTGCTCTTTTGCATTACTCTACTTTCTTTATTGTTTGCTTGTTATGTTATTGACTATGAGAGCACATTTTGGGAACAACCAAACAAACCCTTTTCATGTTTGAAATAAAGAATGCTCCTTTTTGGGTTTATAAGTAGTTTACATTGCAAATAAATTGTAATCAATGCTTCTTTTTTGGCATTTTCTGAAAAGATATTTCTAGGATATAAATTGGTAAATTTGTATATCATGGTTTCTGTCTACTTGATATAATAGTCCAAAATGATTGTTTTGGGTAATATATAGGATTAGTCCCAACTTGATTTCGTAAAATTAAACTTAGTAGACATCAAAACTATAAACTTGATATCTTGTACAACCTTTCTAAAATTTTACTAGAACCTAAAACTATATAACGAGTCACCTAGATGTTTTGGGTTTGTCTTCAATGGAATAACTTGAAAAGAAAAAAAAAGATGGAAGTGATATGTTGGCATTGAAATGGAGAAAGAAAAGAAAAAGGAAAAGAGATAAATGAAGGGGGAAGAGCTGTGAGGGTGATGGGGACCGGTCTGATTGGATATTTTTGGAGGATATTTATGGATAAGACGTCAACATCTTCCCTAACTTCTTTGTCCACCTCTCCACCTTTTTTTCCCCTTTCCAATTTCTTTACTAATCCATAAAACTACTGAATGAATCAACAAGCTGTAGAAAGAAATTACATAATGAAATAATGTGATTATCAACTTTGAACATATTTTATTACATTTTACAGAAATACTTGTTGACGACAAAATAATAATAATAACAATAATTATGGATTGGTAGAAATATTTCCCAATTTGTCTACTTTGAATGATTAATTTTGTATAATTATGGATTTGTTGAAATAACTTTTGATTTTGTAATCCATAAACTCTACACGATCACAAAATTATCAAATGTACTATTCATTGGAATCTTTTATATATATAACAACGCAATTTTGAAATTATACGGAAGACGTATTTCTAATTCTAGTCTTTAATCTTTTAATTATGATTTACCGTTATATACGTTTTAGATAGCATTTTAGATTTTCCACATGTCTATAAATTATTATCGAATTTTCATTCGCGATCGTTTCGGTTATTTAAAGAAAATTAGAGATTTGTTGATTTCATATTTAATAGTTTTATAATTTTTGTCAACAATTATTTTAACTAATAGTATGTTTTTTGTAAAGCTTCAAAAGGTTTTAAAATATACAATCTTCCTGCAAATGAATAGTAGTATTTTGCAAAATCCTATACAACGACTAATCCAGTATTGCATTTGCATGACTCGGATAGTTATTAGCGTTTTTGTTGTTGGAAAAACGTCATAACATAAAGAGGGTTTCGAATCTGAGCTTAAGTTTGAACAATTTATACAAAATAGTTTGATATATTAAATTGCCTTATGATAAAACATATAATCACCGTACAAAATAATTATTATTCATCAATGATTGCCTTAGACCACGAAATAAAAGATCTAGTCACATGCTAAAGCATTATGAAAGTGAAAAAGAAAATCTGATATGAAATTTCCAAAAATAAAATTTAACAACGATGAGTAAAAAATACATGGCATACTTTGGTCAACAAAGAAAAATTAATTGGAACTATAACAAAAAGTTAGAGAGTCAACAATACCAAAATAACAGCGGACTTGAGCTGTGAAAACTGTTGCTATCAATCAATGTGTGGGCGCTTATGGTTTGAACTTCCCCTTCCTTTAACAATGGCGTTTTGACCCCTCTCTCTCTCTCCTTCTCTCTCAGTCTTCTGGGTTTTTCCAATTTCCCTTTCTCTCTCTCCTTCAAGTTGCTGCAATCCCTAGAAAACCCAAGAAATCCCCAATTTGATTTTCTTATAAAGTTCACATTTTTGCTTCTTCTTCCGCCAATCCTCCTTTTCCCTCGTTTCAATCTCCGTTTTGCTTTTGGCTATCAGATATATATTTCTTCGTGCTTCTATCTCATAACGATAAGTTTTATTCATCTTTGCGTCTTAGTTCATCAGTAGAGAGAGTAGGGTTTTTTTTTTGCGCTTATTAATAGGGAATTTGATTTTGTGGGGGGTGTGAATCCATATTCGATTCCCCAAGCTTGTCTCTTTATATCCGTAGTTTAGTTGTATGGTTGGGCTTTGATTGGAATATCAAGGGTACTTTTTAGCTAGGTTCAGTGATACTTGGAAGATCTGAGTTCTTCTTGTGTTTCTCAGCTTTGGGATTCTACTAAGTTTGTCTGTAAATCAGTTTCTAGATTGTGGAGATCTAAAAGACACGAAATTTGCTGAAATCTGGTTGATATCCCAGATTTTTTAGAGGGATTAGGGTAGATTCTGTAGAATTTGTGCGGGTTTGATTGGAAACATGACGGTGGAGGAAGTTAGTGATGGTTCTTTGTGGAGTAGGGAGGATGATATTGCCTTTGAGAGAGCTCTAGCTAATAACACTGATGAATCAGAGGAACGGTGGGAGAAGATTGCTGCTGATGTTCCAGGCAAAAGTGTTGAACAGATTAAAGAACATTACGAGCTTTTAGTTGAAGATGTTAGTAGGATTGAATCAGGATGTGTGCCTCTTCCTGCCTATGGGTCTCCTGAAGGATCAAATGGTCATGCTGGTGATGAAGGAGGAAGTAGTAAGAAAGGAGGTAACAGTCATGCGGGAGAGTCTAACCAAGGAGGTAAATCAAAGTCCGATCAAGAACGACGAAAGGGTATTGCCTGGACGGAAGATGAGCACAGGTGATCTTTGTTTATTTATGCTACTAATCATTTCCTGCTTCTTCTCATTCTTTTAATATTCTTTCAAAATTATGTTTCTTTTGTGCTCCATGTCTTCATTGTGTTCTGTAACATTGATATTATTTCTCTGAGTGACAATTTTAGATACTCTTAGGTGTCTAATTCTGTGAACCTTTACGAAATCAGGAGTTTTCAAAGTCATACTCTACTTAGAAGCAAGACCTTCACTGGAACTTTTAGGTCCTTGGTCTCCTCTATCTGATACTTTAAATGAAAAAAGAAAGGATTGAGTTTTTTTTAGGGGGGACTAACCCGAGGTAACTCTAGAGGATGCTTGAAGGAAAAGTAGAGATTTCCTGAAGTGGTTTTAGTTTCGTGATTGTTTTAAAAGTCTCAGATTTTATTAAAATTATAACTTGGCATGGGACAGAGAAAGCTGTTCTCATAAATTCGCTTTACCTTCCTGTCCTAGTTGCTATATCATTTTATCCACCATGTTAGAGATGATGGGGAGATGCTATCTAACCCCCGGGACCATTTTGACCGTCTTTTTCCACCACTTGTTGAAGCTAGATACTGTTTTTCATGGTGAAACAGTCCATCCAACCTCTGTTATTGGAGAAACCCCACCTTCCTTTTAGAAAGAGACAAGAAAATCTTACTTTGAAGTTTAGTCTTCATTTATCTCTCTTGAAGATGCAAGTGGTTTTGGGACCTCATTGGGGTAAATAAGGCGTAAAAACTAGAGTTAAGTATATACTGGTTATATTAGTGGCATATAATTAATTACTCGACTGTTTTCTCACTTGCTAAAGATATGGGCAACTGATGTAACAGTAAAGTCTATCTTTGCTGATTAAATGTTTTGCTTGGAGAGTTAAAAAAATGCTTATTTCTCTGGTTGAAGCCTTTTTTAAAAAACTTACACCATTTTTATAAACTTGTGTTTTTGCCATTATCTTGATGTACTCCCATGTCATCTTGATCATTTGGTGGTTTACATGTGCTTTTTGGAGAAATTGAGTTTTGGCGGTGATAGTTCCTCCTGGTAAATTAGAAAAGGCATAGCTATTTATTGAATAGGTAAAGTAGGACAAGAAATCACGAGGTTCATTTTCAAACACTTTGTACTGGTGTCTAGATATGTCTTTCCTGCTTAGTTAGGATCCAGTGGAGAAGCACTTGAGAAGTAGCTGGCATTCTATCTGCAGATTAGCTGTTGAGGTAGATGCAAGACAAGACCTTAATGTGTTACCTGCAATTGTTTTTAGACTGTTTCCGTTTAGCAGTGGTTTGTGTGTGTTTCATGTTTGAGACTATGGCCTGGAAGTTTCTGCCCTTTTGGTTGTGCAATGATTCTAATGAGCTGTTGTCTTTGTCTTTTCTATGTTACAGGTTATTTCTTCTTGGTTTGGATAAGTACGGGAAAGGTGATTGGCGTAGCATTTCTCGCAACTTTGTAGTAACAAGAACACCGACCCAAGTCGCTAGCCACGCTCAAAAGTATTTCATTCGTCTAAACTCAATGAATAAAGACAGAAGGCGATCAAGCATTCACGACATCACAAGTGTTGGCAACGCAGATGTCTCAACGCCACAAGGACCAATCACTGGTCAGAACAACAGCAATAACAACAACAACAACAACGCCAGTTCTCCTGCTGTTGCTGGAGGAGGAAACAAATCAGCCAAGCAAGCCGTCTCTCAAGCACCACCTGGAGCTCCTATGTATGGAACACCCACCATAGGTCAATCAGTAGGCGGACCATTGGTCTCAGCAGTTGGAACACCAGTGAACCTCCCAGCTCCACCTCACATGGCTTATGGAGTCCATGCTGCTCCAGTCCCTGGCTCAGTGGTTCCTGGTGCAGCAATGAACATGGGTCAAATGCCGTACACCTATGCCGCGCACACCAACGGCTCATAGGTAACTCGAAAGCACCTTTGATTTGATAGTGCACTTGGTTTTAGGTGTAAGAAAGATGTGTAAAGGATTTAGTGAATATTCAAGCTTGTTCCTTGAGTGAGTTTTTTTTATTAGTTAGTATGTGGGGATTTTGTACGAGGTCCGAATAAGATATTAAGATGACATGATTAGTTTGCAGACTCCAGAAGCAAAAAAAAAAAGAAACACTGTTCTTTGTATGTGAACACAATAAAGCCTCTGTTATGAGGCTTACAACAAGATATAGACAAAGCAACATTGTAAATCTTTTTCTCAATCAACAATCTGTTTGAATTATCAATTGTTGAAGTTGTAACTCCTTTTGGATGTTGTATAAATCGTAGTTAAAGAAAAACAGAATCGTATACATAAATACTCGGATATTTAAGCACATCCTCTGTTGGAGAACGTTTAAAATGGGCCTACAAGAAATTTGTTGGGCCCATCGGCTTGAAAAAAGAAAAGAGATTTCATTAATTAGGTTTTCCCCGACGATTACTTATTATTGTTCGAAAAAGTCATTCCATCTTTTTTTATCTTTGATCTTTTTGCTTCGCTTTAGCTAAATCAATGGATCGAGCTCTGTCGTGGTTCCGACGTTTAGCAGTTGGGTTTGAGATGCGAGAAGGAGCAGCTTGGAACGGAGAGCTAACAAATAAGGTAATTATTTTGGTTCAATCTGGTTTCTCCGATCAGATGTGAGCGAGCATCCTATCCTATATATTATTATTTGGGGTAATACTGTCCCGTTTTAGATATATAGTTTTCGACATAAGGAAAAAAACCCTCTCTTATTTGTGGTTTAAGCAAATACATCTGCAATGGGAGTTGGAAAAGCAGCAAGATGCAATGACATCTGTGATAGCAAGTTTGAACAAGCATGGGGAGGGAGTTTATGTTATAGCCTCTACTTTCATGTCCTTGAAAGGGTTGGTCGAGTGCTTGACATCCCCGGAGGTGGCTATTCCTGTCAGTGCTCTTGGCGTTGGACCTGTCACCCCTGGGGATATCTTCAAGGCCCGTAAACTACAGTTTGCCACTGTCCTCGCGTTTCAAGTCAAGTTGACTCTAAAGGCCAGGCAAGTAGCAGAAGCATTGGAAGTCAAAGTAATATGTGGTGACTCCATTGAACAACTCTGCCGACTGTTTCGGGAGTATACCACCAGTGGCAGTGAGCTGCTGCGAGAGGACAGGGCAGTGAGTGATGAAGCAGTCTTACCATGCGTCCTCTCCATGTTACCCAAGTGTGTGCTCAACAAGGAAGACCCAATTCTCGTGGGAGTTTATGTTGTTGAGGGTTCTCTCAGGGTATGCTTGCTTTTCTTCGCTTTATTCTTCTAGCTAGAATCTCGGTGTTTTTTTAACTTTTTGCTTCAGGTAGGGACTCCATTATGCATTCCAGACAAAGCTTTCATCAATATAGGACGGGTTGCATGGATTGACAAGGACCAGCAACCTGTCAAGGTTGCAAGCCAAGGCGACAAGGTGATTATCAAGGTATGTTTATAAGATTTTATTATCCCACATCTTCTTCAAGCATGGGTAATTAATTGATTTACTTGTCATGTAGATTGTTGCAGCAGACCCCAAAACAAAACAGTTGATGTTGGGAAGAGATTTTGACGTTGGAGATGTTCTTGTCAGTCGCATCCCTAGAAGATCTATCTACCATGTGGCCCATTCCATCATTCCAAGCTAATGACTGGGTCGAACAAAAATCTCATCCTCTGGTTATGTCATTTTCTCGGTGCTTTAGTTAGTTATTTCTTGTTAACGCTTAACATTATCTCATCCTGGAAATATTTACATTCGTTGATGATATATATGAACAACAAGTCTTTGAAACAGAGGCCAAAAGCATGGAAACAGAGATAAACGAACAACATTAGATGTTTAATATTTTTGTTGCTCATAACTGACCTAGTAATTTATAACATCAGATAGATAGACTTGCACAAAGCAGGTAACTTGACCCCATGGATTATTCGATACTGAAAACGCACTTGAGATTACACAAGACGAGCACGTCCCTCCTGGATACCAGGGCCTGCAGAAATTAAATTAATTTCAGTTAGCAATTGGGATACAAGGATTAAAAAGAGTTATTTTGTTAGCAAGGTGGGAGATCTAGCTAGACCTACCCTGTAACGAGATTTGAGCACATTAATAGATTTCCTAGAAACGTGACTGACAAGGATATCATCACTAATGTCAAAATGGCTTCCAAAGCTAAGTCCTCGTTCTTCCGGGTTTGATGCAACAATCTGTGTAATAGCAAACGAAAGCCAATTATATATATACTAAGATAAAGCTAGCTATAAGTATTATTGTTTTGAGATAATCTCAAACCTACCTTGATCATCACCGGGTCGCCTAACCTAGCAACGTCGACGGATCGGTGGTCCTTTTCAATCCATGCAATACGTCCTATATCCAGGCAACCACTTCGCAGATTGCAAATGGGATATCCGACCTGAAACCAAAAAAGAAATGAGCTGTTCAACAGATGCATGTTTGAATAGTTAATAGATAATACGGTAGGGAACCTTAATGTAACCATGAACAACTACAACTCCGAGGACAACTGGGTCGTCCTTGTTAAACACACAGTTGGGTAAGATGCGGAGGACGCATGGGAAGATTGCTTCATCATCCATTTCAGTCTCCTCTCCCAGCCGTCTGATATGCTCTTTGAATTGTTGGCACAGGGTTTCAAGCACACTGCCACGGATTACTTTGACTTTCAATCGTGCTGCCAGACGAGACGCCTCATGTGTCACGTCCACTCCAAACGCCAAGATAGTGGAAAACTGCCGTTTCCCATCACTGATTTTAAAGGCCTTCCTGATCTCCACTGGGGTGATAGTTCCTAAGTCCATAGCTCTTACAGGTATATCCACCTCGGGGGATGTCAAGAAGTCGACCAGTACTTTCAAGGAATAAGTGGTAGAAGCTACGGCTAAAACACCCTCCGCACTTGTGGTCAAATTGTTCACAGATTCCATATCGGTATCGTCTCCAAAGCCCGGAAGTAACTGTCAGATTCATCTATAGTGAGACTAGAGAGAGTATATACACTAAGCACAGAAAGAAACCAACGAATTAAATTACCATCTCTGATATCATCCTAGGTGTTTCTCCGGGAATATTAAAAACATCTCCATCGGTTAAACTAGGCAAACTGAAAAAAAAACGGATCAAATCTCAAATAGATTTAATCTATAGAAGAAATTAAAGGCCAAAATCACAAAGAAAGCTTACTCGAAACTCCAAATCGCCATGGGAGGAGAAGAAATCGGACAGCGGCTTGATTGGCAAGCTACGTCGAAGCACACAAAACCTATATGTATATATGATGAACTGTGTATTAAGGGCCTTGGGCCCAACATCGAATCCCGGTTAGGGTAACTTATGGGTTAGATAAGTGTATACCGGAACTTTGATATTGTTATTCCCGGTTTTGTATTGTAATTATGGGTTAGATAAGTATACTGTATACCGAATCTGAACCGGATTTCATATAGGAATGTGAAGACACCAATAGATTCAGTCATTGTTACTGGACAAGTGAACAAACAAAACATCTCCTTTCATATGCATACTTGGTCAAGCTGAAGCATAGAATCAAACCGACTCTTCTCCGGTTTCATTCTCCTGGAAATTTCGTCAAGAACCTGATAGATCTCATAAGATCTTGGGTGTGATTTATCTTCCACAGTAAATTTATGAACTTCAACTCCTGCTTCCACAAAATAGCTATATCCAGCAGCCTTTGTCATCGTTTCCTTCTTCATCAACTTCCGCATCCTCAAAACTCCATCCCACTTCTCATTGGCTGCGTAGATATTTGACATGATCACACAGTTACCTGGATTTGTGGGTTCAAGCTTCATCAGTGCCTCACTTGCTATCTCTGCTATCTCAACATTGCCATGAAAACTACAAGCACCCAAAAGGGTTCCCCATACGACAGCATCTGGTTTCATTGGCATTGTTTTGATGAGATCACAGGCTTCTTGCAGCTTCCCAACACGCCCCAAGAGATCGATCATGCATCCATAGTGCTCTAGCTTTGGCGAAATCTTGTGAACTTCCTCCATGGACTTGAACAATTCTTTGCCCTTCAACACCATCCCACCATGAACACAAGCTAGCAACAATCCAACAAATGTCACTGCATCGGGTTTTTCTCCTTCTTGCTGAAGCACCAACGGAAAACAATAGTGTTAAAAACCAAGGTATCAAAACATGCTTGAACTGATGAAGAAACAAACAAAAATGCTCACCAACATTTGGGCATAAAGCTCAAGAGCTTCGCCGTGCTTCCCGTGAGTAGCTAGACTACCGATCATGGAGTTCCATGAGATCAAATTTCTCTGGTTCCCAATTTCATCGAATAACCGTTTCGCTACATCAATCATTCCACATTTTGAGTACATCTCTAGTGTAGCATTACGCACGTAAATGTTATCAAAGAACCCGTTCTCTCTAGCATAGCCTTCTAATCTTCGGCCAATCTCCAATTCCCCTAGATTCGCACAAGCGGGGAGAACACTAACTAGAGTAATATGGTTTGGTTTCACTGATTTGTCTTTCTCCATACACAAAAACATGGTTAAAGCTTCGGAGTAATTCCCGTTCTGAGAAAACCCAGAAATGACGGTGGTCCACGAGGTTACGTTCTTACGAGGCATTGAATCAAACAAGTCCATTGCCGCCTTCATATCACCTCGTCTTTGATAACCCGTGATCATTGCATTCCACACGGGTACATCTCGGTTAGACATTTCGTCGAACACTCTGCGCGCACAACACAAAGCTCCTAGTTTCGCATAGGCAGTGATTAGAGCAGTGCAGCAGAAGGAATCGGACTCAAACCCAGATCTAAAAAACTGAGAATGAAGCAACCGTAAAGGTCGAGCCGACGAAAACGAAGCAGAAGCTGCGAAAATGAAATTGAAAGTGTGGTGATTTGGACGGATGCCATCGAAGGAGAGGAGATTATAGAGGACGATAGATTCATGGGGCTGATGATGAACAGAGTAAGATTGAATCAGCTTGTTGTAGAGGAAGATACAAGGGTTTCGATGAAGATCGAAGAGCTTTCGGGCATAAACAAGGTTGGGAATCAGAAGCAATCGTTGTAAGAGATCTTTGGTTTCGTCTACGCCTGTTCTCAGACAGTGCGCGTGGAGCTGCTTGATCTGATTCATTCCCACGCGTCAATCTTTCGCACGTGCTATTAACGCGCAAAAACCAGTGAGACGCCAAAATCTGTGACATAAACGGCGACGTTTACTAGTATTAATTATTATGTATGGGCTCAATTTTCGTAAGTCGTACTGCGGAAAGATTAAAGACTACGGCCCATATATGTCACCAGCTACCGACGTCGTATTGACTGAACTTATTATATCTTTCAAAAAGAGAAAATGCAAATATTTAACAAGTTTATAAATTTATATAAAAGCATTATTTTTTATATAGAAAAATATATGAAAAATTAGGATAAATTGGAAAAGGAAAAATATATATATATATATACTCCATCAATGATTTAATGCCATTTCTCTATTGTATACAAATTATCTTCTAAACAAATATATATACTCTGATTCTATACTAAAACTAAAGAATATTATAATAATAACATATCGTTGAAAAAATAAATTAATAACAACATAATTTAAAATAATTCATCTATATATAATCTCCATTGTGCTTTGATGATGAACATTCGCATCATATAACTATGGATTTCACTAAGAAAATATTGTTAGTATTTGCTCTCATCATTATGTTGGGTATCTCTTCTGTTCATTGCCGTCCAAGTTTCAAACCCATACCTTGTAAGATTTTGTTTACTATTATTTCTTAGTTTGGTAAATTTTATTTGTTTCTTAGTCTTTCATTACTGAATTTTACTAAACTATAGTACTTTTTTTTTTAGTGTTTGAAGAGAAATTGACTCAGTGTTTCGACACAAGACCATGTCTGCAAGGGATGTTGAAATGCATTGAATTCTGTAGTTCAATGGGGACTGCGGATGGACAATGTAATAATGAAAACCTTTGTTGCTGCACACATGAATGACATTTAGCTTTTTAGTCGAAAATTTTACTTTATTCAGATAAAAAAATAAATTTTACCCCAAATTAAATAAATATAGCTTTGTTTGCTTAACGATTGGATGAATGCATATTTGTTGTTTCAAGCTTTTGGGCTTTTGAGTTTTGACGCTTGTGGTTGTGGGAATATATATTGATAACTTGATTTAATGGAAGACAATTGAGGTCGAAAGGTCATTGATTAAATTTATTCCATCTCAAACAACAAATTTACACAATTCTGAACAAAGCAAAAGTCTAACAAAGTGAGATTCTTAACAAAATGATTAGTTGGACAAATCACAAATACAAATGTCTTTTTTTTTGCAAAAAGGCAAAGTCATTTGGAGTTTTTTAGCAGAATTTCTTTTCAATTTTGGCATGTCTTTCTTTTATAGTATTTCGCCGTACTAATATCTATAGATATGGGTTTGAAGCTACGATTTTGGCTTAAATTAACTTTGACAAAACTTGAAAACATATTGAGTTATAATACTATGTCATCGTACGGACAAAATAATAATAATAATAGTCTTAAAAAATATTACGCTGTGTTTGAAAACAATCACGATATGGTGGAATTGGTATGATACTGGATGCTTTGATATGTGGATATCGGTACACCAATACAAAACTTCCTAGTTATTTTGATACCGAAAACTTGGATCTATGTATATATGAAAATGATTAGTATGAAATTTGGTCAATCTAGCAAATCATCAAAATATATTACATCTCCTAGAACTCTCTAAATCTGGTACCAGATAAAGAGTGTCTAGGAAAACATTGAGATCTAGCAAGTTATATAAACAAAACAAAAGTATAAACTAAGTGATGTTCTTTAACACATTTTTTAATATTACCCTAAACCGAAATTCCTTTTGGATACAAATAGCAGCATTAACAAAACTTCCTAAAGCAGAACCAAAAACAACTTAAAAGTTGTTTGAAAGAACAAAAGCACAAAGCTAATTAGTTTGTTTTCTTGTCATCTTCTTGGTCAGAGATCTTCTTTGTATCCACAGACTCATCCTCACCTCCAAAACCAAACTCGTTGACACGTGTTTTGTCCACAGGATAAACCCATCTCTGGTACAAGTATATTAAGAATATCACATCTGCAACAACAACAACACCAAAATTAGAACATCATCAATTTTTGTGAATTCCAAAACTATCCTACAGACATGTATCAATAAACTCAGGGAAGATGGATTTGTATTCACCATCTCGGAAGACAGAAAGGCGATGCAGCATTGGCATTTTGATGACAAAAGCAAAGAGATCGTCGATGATTGTGTTGAGGAACTTATATGTCATTTGCCTCCATGGTAAATGTGCTACTGACTTCAGCTTATAGTTGATGAACAATTGAGGACACATCATTATGAAACCTGTGGAAACACAAAACACATTGATTTCAACAAGAGTTTTGAGCTGGCCTAAGATTATTTTGAAGGATTTTTACCAAACATGTAGACGCAGCTCGTTAGTGAAGATAGGATCCATGAGTACCAGCTCTTGTGGCGTTCATAGGCAAGTGAATATATGGAGAAACCCACAACAAGGAGGAGGAGCACATAGGATAAGAATTTAATGGCGATGTCGTCATACTCCTTGGTCTTGTTGCTTGCATAGGATTCACGGTCGTGGAACCTCAATCTTGGAATCATCCCACTTCGATCAACCTGGGAAGTTTAAATGTTTGCCACGGATTAAATGCAAAGCAACAAACATCAGATGAACATGTCACATGCACAAAAATACTTGACTCAGTGATCGGATTGTGTGTCATATTAGATGGTACCTCAATCCGCATGGCTTTCCCTATTTTCCAGAACTCGATGCAAACACCAACTCCAGAGCTAGCCAGTATCATCCATGAAGTGTCGTTGTCAAGCAGGTAGAGGAAGATGATAAACTGACAGATAAAGTTCAGTACGACAGACTTTGCAGACAGTCCTTCCATAGATTTGTTCTTGTTCCAAAACTGGATATCTGCAGGGAAAGTAACAGGTAATTAAATAGCTAATTTCAAGAGGCATTTTAGGAAAGTAGATGTTCTTTCTGGTCTTTACCATTTTTGAATGCAAGGAAGTCAAATACAGAATGAAGCATCGAAACAAACATTGTGACGCCCAACAGATAGGGATTTCCTTCCAAAAACACCCTCTGCAAGTAAATTATACACCATCAAAAACATGATCACCGCAGCTTCGATTTACAGAAAGCAATTAATCACATCTCTATACTACGTTAGGGATCCCTAGTTAGAGTCGTTAGATGCACATCCTAGTATATAATATGACAATGAAGCTAACTGGGCATAAAGGACCAGAATTACCTTTAGTTCGTCAGATTCACCATCAAGCATGCTTCCATAGCTACGGTGAATCTGGAAAGACTGATCAATCTGCTGAAACAGCTGCCACTTTGTCATGCTTATGGGGCTTACTTCCAGATTAAGTGGCAGCTCTGAGACCGTCTCATTGATTAAAATCAACTTGTCCCTTAGCAGCCAAAACTCATTGAAGAAAACTGTAGGGTAGTAGTTTACTGTACTAGGTTCCACCAGTAAGTCTGCCAATAAAGTTAAGTAAAGGAAAGAGCAGAGATGGACCATCACACCTTTAGCATGGCAAAGTGAAATCATCATATATTCCCATTCCAAAGATTAACAGAAAAGCAAAAAGAATTAGGAAGCATAGGTTCTCTGTGCATTTATGCACAAATATGAAGTGAGGAGATGTGGCACTACTTCCAAGAACCCAGAAACTCACGTTTGGCCCTTGAGGATTTTGAATTTTCAAACAAGTTTAATCCAACTAATGTAAAATTGGCATGGAAGATGATATACACATGCTAGTGACTTTGATTGTTAGAGAAAGATGTGTATAGAGAGTTGTCAAAAACTCAAATAATCATAGGAAGATCATAAAATAAAAGGATACAAGGATCAATGTTTGGTGGTACACCATGCTGTGGATAGCTGTACGGAAATCGAAAACAATTAGCAAACGTCTTACGAAATTAAATGTTAAGAGTGAACCATAATAAATCCATTATTCATCTATCAGTTATCAGTACTAACTAACTTACCGAGTAAAGTCATCGACTAGGTTAATTGTGACATTTGGTTTCCAGTAGGATACCCATTCCACAGGGCCCTCATCCTTGAGATCCGAGTCCTTACCATCAACCTCCTGCGAAGTTTGCTTTGTGTTAGTTCATAAGAATGAGGGCCATCACACTGGCTCCATTACAGGCTAAACAATAACATAAACACATATAAAAAAATTCCGTATAAGAAGTTTCTGTAGAGACACACCTCAACTTCAACATTGGATTCATCAGAGTCTTTGGGATTTCCCAACAGACTCTTCTTCTTATCTGCTTTTCGCTTTGGTAAGTAAGTTGCAACGGCTGAAATAGTGAAAAGAGTCATCCAGTTTAGCGGATACAAGAATCTCACTACCAACAACTGTAAAAAAGGTTGTTTGTCTAACGAAAGGGAAGTCTTACGGTGTGTCCTGCCAAAGCAGTTAAGAGGTTGGTATTCAGGATCATTAGGATCTATAGGATAACCAGATCGAGCAAAGAAGACATGAGCATATAGACTTCCATTATTCTTCAGTGCCTGGAACAACAAACATCTTAATTCAATGGAGCAAATATATTAATCTCGAAGGAAGCAAATGAAAAAAACCCAAATTTCTACTACCTCGGATGGATAATACGTCATTGACAAGGTCCTAGTGCTCTCTGGCTTCCACACAGCATAAGGTATGTTTGTCTCGTGCCAAATAAGCGCACCTTCATTGCCAAAGTCATTAAATTTCTCATGCTCCGAAAGATAAAACCACATATCCTGGAAAAACAAAAACACAAAACAGTAAAACCCTAAACCACCAGAAGTTGAAAACACTAAGACAAGAACAAATTGTGTGATTCGACCACAAAAGAAACGTACTTTATTTCAAAAGAGAGAAACGAATCAAATTGCATACGAATAGCAAAGTAATCAACACAATTAACCAGAAAATTACCATGGGCTCTCCCCTCTGAAAGAGATTGGACATAAGATGAGAAGGCTTAGAAGGATCCGATGGTTTTTGTTTCGGAGAAAAGAACTTAGAAGCAAAGTAGCAGAAGACGGCGATTCTAATGATTCCGGTAATTGTTTGCCCAAACCCACCAGCTTGTCGTTGCTGCTGCCCATCACCGCCGTCAACCACCGCCGCTGTTTCACTTGCCGGCGGCGCCATATTCGCAGAAAGATGCTTTCGTCAGTGCCGATTCAAGCTGAAATATGCAACTTTACCGTGTGAGATGTGTAAAGCAGAGTCGACGAGAGAGATATATATTTATGGAATTTTCTTTTGGAATTTTCTTTTTTTCTAATTATTCGAATAAGAATAAAAATAGTAAATTTGCACGTAAGGACCTAAGTAAATTAATATATTCTTAGTTAGCCCTTCAGTTTATATTAAATCGGAATAGTCCATATATATTCATAATTTTCAATTCACTCAGTAAAAAAAAACTCTCGCTTGCTTTGATGTGGAGAGATGGAGACTGAGCGACACCTTTATTGCTTTATAAATTAAGAAACTTGATAAAGATATTGCTTTATCAGTTTCTCTATGTCTGTTTCATATGGACAACGCTTATATCTAGACTAGAGTGTTACAAGGGTAGGAAATCGTTCTTGCATATCAGGTGTTTGTGAAAATGTCTGATCCAATGTAACGTGGATTTTGTGGATAAAGGAACGTTTCTGGGATATTTAGGGGAAAGATGGTACCTTTACGGCAATTTGTTCAGAATTTCAGACTTTTGTCTGGTTTTGGAACTGATCACAGGGTTTTTTTGGATGTTGTCAAAGCTTGTGCTTCAGTGTCTGAGCTCACATCAGGGAGGGCTCTGCACGGTTGCGTGTTCAAGCTTGGTCATATAGCCTGCACTGAGGTCTCGAAGTCAGTTCTTAACATGTATGCGAAATGCAGGAGAATGGATGATTGCCAGAAGATGTTTAGGCAAATGGACAGTGTTGATCCTGTTGTTTGGAATATTGTTCTGACTGGACTTTCTGTTTCTTGTGGTCGTGAAACGATGAGGTTTTTCAAAGCAATGCACTTTGCAGATGAACCTAAGCCCAGCTCCGTTACCTTTGCGATTGTTCTTCCTGTGTGTGTTCGCCTTGGGGATTCATACAATGGGAAGAGTATGCATTCTTATATTATTAAAACCGGTTTAGAGAAAGATACACTTGTGGGGAATGCTTTGGTTTCCATGTATGCCAAATTTGGGTATATTATTCCTGATGCTTTTACTGCATTTGATGATATAGCTGACAAAGATGTTGTCTCATGGAATGCGATTATTGCTGGGTTTTCTGAGAATAAGATGATGGCTGATGCATTTAGATCGTTTTGTCTAATGCTGAAAGAACCTACAGAGCCAAATTATGCAACAATTGCAAATGTTTTGCCAGTTTGCGCTTCCATGGGCAAGAACATTGCATATCGAAGTGGTAGACAGATTCACAGTTATGTTGTGCAGAGATCTTGGTTGCAAACCCATGTTTTTGTATGTAATTCACTTGTGAGTTTCTATTTGAGAGTCGGAAGAATAGAAGAAGCAGCCTCATTGTTTACGAGGATGGGTTCCAAAGATCTGGTTTCATGGAACGTTGTCATAGCCGGTTATGCATCAAATCATGAGTGGCTTAAAGCATTGCAGTTATTTCACAACTTGGTGCAAAAGGGGGATGTTTCTCTTGATTCAGTAACTATTCTCAGCATCCTTCCTGTCTGTGCGCAGTTAACTGACTTGACCTGTGGGAAAGAGATCCACAGTTATATTTTGCGCCATTCTTACCTTTTGGAGGATACATCAGTTGGTAACGCTCTCATTAGTTTCTATGCAAGATTTGGTGACACGAGTGCAGCATATTGGGCCTTTTCACTGATGTCCATGAAGGATATAATATCTTGGAATGCTATACTTGATGCCTTTGCAGACAGTCCAAAGCAGTTTCAATTTTTGAATCTCTTGCACCACTTATTTAACGAAGCAATCACTCTTGACTCTGTTACTATTTTAAGCCTACTCAAGTTCTGCACAAATGTACAGGGAATTGGTAAAGTAAAAGAAGTTCATGGGTACTCAGTTAAGGCTGGTCTTTTACACAATGAAGAGGAACCCAAGCTTGGCAATGCATTGCTTGATGCATATGCCAAATGTGGTAATGTTGAATACGCTCATAAGATTTTTCAGGGTTTATCAGAGAGGAGAACTTTGGTTACCTATAACTCATTGTTATCAGGATATGTTAATAGTGGAAGTCATGATGATGCTCAGATGCTGTTCAGTGAGATGTCTACTACTGATCTCACCACTTGGAGTTTGATGGTTCGTATCTATGCTGAAAGTTGTTTCCCTAATGAAGCCATTGGTGTTTTCCGTGAGATTCAAGCTCGAGGAATGAGGCCTAACACTGTGACTATCATGAATCTCCTTCCTGTTTGTGCGCAGCTAGCCTCTCTGCATCTAGTAAGACAATGTCATGGATATATTATTAGAGGCGGACTTGGTGATATCCGCCTGAAGGGGACTCTACTAGATGTATATGCTAAATGTGGCAGCTTGAAGCATGCATATTCTGTCTTCCAGTCAGATGCTCATAGAGATCTGGTTATGTTCACTGCTATGGTAGCTGGGTATGCTGTACATGGTAGGGGTAAGGAAGCACTTATGATCTTCTCTCATATGATTGACTCAAACATAAAGCCCGATCATGTTTTCATAACTACTCTGTTGACTGCATGCTGTCATGCGGGATTAATACAGGATGGATTGCAAATATATGACTCAATAAGGGCAGTTCACGGTATGAAACCTACAATGGAACAATATGCTTGTGCTGTAGATCTACTTGCTCGAGGGGGTCGACTTGATGATGCATATTCTTTCGTCACACAGATGCCAGTTGAACCCAATGCAAATATATGGGGAACACTGTTAAGGGCGTGTACAACCTATAATAGGATGGATCTGGGGCACTCAGTTGCAAATCATCTTTTGCAAGCTGAATCTGACGACACTGGAAACCACGTTCTAATATCGAATATGTATGCTGCAGATGCTAAATGGGAAGGCGTGATGGAGTTGAGAAACCTAATGAAGAAAAAGGAAATGAAAAAGCCAGCAGGATGTAGCTGGCTAGAAGTGGATGGGCAAAGGAATGTCTTTGTGTCTGGAGATTGTTCTCACCCTCGTAGAGACAGTATTTTTGACTTAGTCAATGCCTTATATCTTCAGATGAAAGAGCCTGTGGTGTTTTAATAGATGAAAATTGTGAAAAACTGCAAAGCTAGATCATGATGGTCTACACAAGGACATTGCACATATGTTACAGAGACAAATCTTGAGTGAGATAATGTAAGCGAACAATCTTCCTCTTCCAATTATAATATTGTTGTGAAACTCTACATTTACATAATCTTTGGGGGTAGTAGGCAGAGAACAAGCTTATGATTAATCTGTCGGGTTTATGGTTTGCCACTCGAATTGGGAGATGCTAAAGGAAACAAAGTAAGCAATTCTGGTTCTGTATACCCTGGTTTAGACCTTGGCGATGGATGCAAGTAAAAGCGTCTCTCTTTAATGGCTTTCTCCTCTTCTTCGATGTTTGTTGTACAACTATCTGGTTCTGCTTTCTCCCCTTCTATCAAGGACAAGTTAGAGAACAATGAAGAAGGGGTGCCCACTGGACTTGTTAAAAGGTTGGTATTACCAGATTTAGATGATGGTGTCGTACCAGTGGGCTTAAAGCTTAGAGGAGGTTTGACAATTTCAAGCTTTGGCCTCATACATTGCCTTCTCTCATGGAGCTTTGAAGTCGGCCTCTTTTGTATGGCGGTTTTTATCACTGTTGCTTCTGGTGTTGCTGCTGCAGCGTTGTTCTCTGATGGACCTGTCAAGCGCTGCACAATTTCTCTGAAAGTGTTGGTGTCAGTTTGGACAAATGTAGTGACAGGCTTGCAGGTTGCAACGTTCTGACTCCCTTTGTTATTCATATGTAAGTCCTTCTCTGACAAAACAGGCTTTGATTTACACCTTTTTTTGGCCTCTGACCTGCAACAAAACTACCGTTTGTTCAGCTGATGAGAAGATGAAAAATATTCAAACATGAAAGGTGACTTTTCAGATTTTAGTCCCATCAAGAGAACCGAGGAATGTCAACTTCATGCGAGTTCAAAGATGAGATTGATGGAAGGTAAAAATACTCAGAAGTCTTCTTGTAATCCAAGATTTGATATTTCTTAACGATTTCCTTGGTCATAATTTTTCAAAAACAAGCAACACAAAACATAAATAGCTACAGATACAACAGATGAGGTAGTCGTGTACTTAAACCTCACCATTTTAAAAAGAGCACTAGATTCTTAAATGTATCCGTGGAAAAAATAATAAAAAATTGGCTTTTCCTGAATTTGCTTTGACTTGTTGTATACTCAAAAATCTATGTCGAAGTTTGGTACTATTACTAATTGTGGGAATGACAATGAAGAGGGTTTTTCATGACTTATATCTATCTTCTTCATCATCATCTTTATGGTGGTTACTTGTTCATATGATGAGAGAACTGTTTATAAAAGTTTCTATGTAGCATCCATTTTACGATTTGATAACCAAAGTTATATCTCTAGCTTTGGGGTTTCTGTTCTATGCAACCCTACAGAATCACAGAGAACGAAGAAAAAAGGACCAAAGACATACCTGAAGAGCAAGCCGAGGCAGCAAGTGGAGATAAAATCGAATGAGAATGCCGGTTTTTTTGAATGAAATAAAAGAGAGAGAAAGAACTAAAAGAAGATATAAAGACTGTTGTTGGTCTAATGGTCACAGCTCAGAACTTGTTCATATTACCAGAAAAGAGAAGAAAATGAAAAGAGGAAAATCAGGAGAAGAATATGGAGAGGAAAGAGGAAAAGGACTCTTTTATCCCTTTGTTCTTAACCGTTTTTGGGTTTGGGTTTTTATCAGAGAAAAAGAACTTGTATTATTTTGTTTATATAACTTAGTTTGTTTGGTCAAACATCAAAATGACATAATTTGTGATGAGTTTATTTCATTGTTGTCGTGAAGGAATGGAGAAAGGAAGTTAAAGAAGGAAGAAATGCATGCCGTTTCGGTTAAGGAGATGGGTAGAGAGAGACGTCACAGCAACCTTTCTCCCCCGCCCAATTTATAAACCAATCGGTTTTTTTTTTTTTTTGGCTGTCTCTATTGAATGTGATGAGATATTATTAACTGAACTCATGACAGTTTCTTTAACTGCCTCTATTCCTCCTCTGTGGATAGTTTTGTTGACTCATTTCAAGTTATGGCCATAACAATTAACAACATTATTCACTGGCATTTTCAAAGATAGGAGGCAACAATCTTTACCTGTGAGTTACCAATACGGTGTCGTTTCTTTTCCTTTTTTCTTTGGACATAAATTTTGTTGCACGATAATAGTTGACTCTTTTGTATAGCGTTTTTATTTCATTTCATATACAAAATTAAGGAACCTGAATACAATTTTCATATCTTGTTTTTATAAAAATATTACAGCTTCTAAAATTCCAAAACTACCAAAACAAATTTATGAATCTTATTACTGTAGAGGTGTTTATAGTCGTTTGAATCTTGTAGAACTTACCATATGGCTCTCTAACTATCTTTATTCCAAACCTCAACCATTTTTTTTTTTACTATAATGCTAATCGCTGAGCATAAAGCAAATTATACATCATCATGTGATTTCTACAATGTAACCATTCTTTGTTGTCTTTGTAATACCTTTGATTATGCTAAGGTTGCCCTTTTGCCCTTTGCTTCTCTTGACTACAAGCAAAATAAGATTTTGATGTTGTTAGTAATCAACTACTGGGTGTGTATCAAAGTGAAGAGAAATTAGGGTGGAGAGGAGAGAGATACCGATTTTCTTGAATCCAGAAACTGGCTATATATGTCATAGAGCTTTTGTTTCTCGGTTTCGGAAACTGATGGTTTAGTTTTAGAAGCGATCGACTTCAAAAGAGGATCGGTTATTATTGGCGTAGTTCCGGTCTCAGGTTTATCTTCTCTGTTCAGATACTCGTGTACAGCTGCAAGTTGCGCATCTGAGAGAAGAGCTTGAATATCAGCTCCACTGAAGCCTTCAGTCATCAAAGCTATAGGCTCTAAGTCAATATCATCAGCCATTGGAAGCTGCAGAAATGCAGAAAGATTTTTTGTCATTTTAACTTAGATAAATCTAATTTACATATTGTCTACGTAGACCAACAAATGAATGCCAGCATCTGATGGGAATGGCTTAGCCATAGAGGATTCTAGTTAATGGTTGTTCAGATATGTAACATACATACTTTACATGAGATTTGAGGGAAAAAAAAAAGATAATTAGCAGAAATGATGTAACTCAGAGTACTAACCTTTCTAGAAAGAACTGTAAGAATCTCTAATCGTTCTGGTGGGGAAGGAAAGTCGCACATAAGAAGACGATCAAGCCGGCCAGGCCTTAGGAGTGCAGGATCAAGTAGATCTGGTCTACTGTTAATTGAGTCATATATCCATCAAGTCATATATCCATCTTTTGTATATAATGATTAACATAAACTGAGGACTGAGAACAGGCTTCAACGTTAATGGCTCCTATCATATATTGGATTTATTATTAACTATCAACTCAGAAGAATTCACCGTTTGCTGTTGATTCTGTGATACATTGAACACAAAATAAAATATGCAAGATAGACTTATTCGGGTGTGAATACCTGGTTGCAGCAAATACAAAGACACCGGTTAGAACTTCAACTCCATCCAGTTCTGTCAAAAACTACGCAAAAGAAAAATATGATATGAGATGTTTGAACTTTACGTGTATCGAATATGCACAGACTTTGAAGTAACTTACTTGATTAACAACTCGATCAGTTACACCGGTATTATCATGTCCTCTCTTGGGAGCAATTGAATCGAATTCATCGAAAAAGAGTATGCATGGTGCTGCAGCTGCTGCTTTTGAAAATATATCACGGACCTGAAAGAAGTGTGTTTTTTCATTATTGGATATGCGGAACCATTAGGATAACATTTTTCAGATTTTTAGGTAAAGAGACTAGCAGGAATAACAGTTAAAAGGAACAAAGCTGTCTGAAAACTTTTCTCTAGAAACATTCTCAGAGATTTCTTTACCATTCTATTGTTTAATACAAGGTAAAGACTAAGCAAGTAACCCAGAAGAATATAAAAAAAAATCAACAGTAAAGATAAAGCATGCGTCATTAAAGAACTGAAAAGCAGTATAATCATCTCAAAGGTTCTTAAAGATGGAAAACAAAGAAAGGTGTCATTCTTACCGCTTGTTCAGATGCACCAATGTATTTGTTTAACAACTCAGGCCCCTTCACTGATATAAACCGTAGGGAACACGCTGCAGCAGCTGCACCAACAATGTGAGTCTTCCCACAACCGGGTGGGCCATACAAGAGAACATTCGATCTCAAACGCAGAGGAGATTTTGCAAAGATTTTTGGAAATTTTGATGGCAGCTCAATCATCTGGACATGGCAAAGAGTAAATAAGTTGCATATCCAAAATTCTCTCTCTAAATAAGAACTGGTTCAAACTGTAGTTGTTAGCATAACTAGTAGCTCTTATATAGCCCAGTGGAATTATTTCCGTCAGATTCATTCCAAGATATTTCAACTTATATCAACTCAGGTCTTACAGAAATATTGTTTCCCATTGAACACGACCTAACTTCAGTAAGAGAATATCCAACGATATAAGTAAAAGCCAGCAGACAAAGACGCAGGTAACAGAAACTTCCTGGTTGCAATTATAAAAGGATAACAATATCGGCAAGATTTCCTACCCCACACTAATTTAGATTTTAATGAGGGCAACAAAATCAGATATGGCAATCAGCGTACTTATATACCTCTTTGATAGCATTTTTAATATGAGTCACACCTCCCACATCTTCCCACCCCAAACGACCACCTTCAGAGGCGGATTTTGTGATGTCACGCATGGCAACAGGCACAAAATCATGCATAGCTCGAGTAAAGTCTTCTTTGACCAAATTATATTTGGATATATTTGATTCACAAGGTAGATGCCGGCCAATGGCAGCATGAACAGCTCTATCAACCAATATTTCCTGGAAGAAAAAAAAAGAGAACTCAAAGAGAGCACACTGTAGATTCGCGGATAGAATGATAATCAAATTAAAAACGAAATAGCAAGCTTGAACAAAAACAATATATAACATGAAAATCACAGATAGTATCAGCTTCCAAAGTCTGTCAACATTTCTTTCAAATGTCTTTTCTGGTCTTAGCACAACGGCAAATTTAAAGCATATATAAAATTTATAATACCAGGTCATATGCATCATATCCTTCACATTTAGCAGCTAAGTCAAGCAATATGTCTTCTGAACAGTCTAAAAGGCGTTTCTGTATCTCATGCTTCAGTATGGCCCCACGTTCCGAGGTAGCAGGAGCAGCCAGTTGCACATGGAAATCAAACCGTCCTGAAAATATCAAATGAATAGTCACATGAACTGATTCTGTTAGAAATATTATTGTTAAAACAGGTAGAGATAACACGTTTGTACCTGATGAGCTCAATGTCTGTGGAATTTGCTCTAGAGACTGGACAGAAGCAACGAATGCAAGTGGGCCAATTCCACAAGAGAAATTCTTGTATTCCTGTTGAGTGAGCAAAAATATAACTGGTTAACTAAATGTGAGTCTCTAAAGGCATATCTTGGAGAAGAGTGGATTCAAGAAGTTCCAAGAACCACTTAATGTTGTATGCGTTAATAAGAAAGGTGAAAGCAGTTATCCGGACTATCAAGAGAAATGACGTTTGTCTTCGCATGGAGGAAGTCTTGCATTCAGATAATTAATACACCACACTTCGGAAAGTAACTCGTGATGCATAGATAATTGTGATCATAAACGTGCATATAATACTTGAAAACAGTGGAACAGTTAAACCTGATATCTTTCAAGAGTTCATACCCCATAATCATCTATAACATCTGTTAGGAATTTTGTAAGCATCGTAACCCCAACCGAAGCTTGTGTTCCTTCGGTATCTGAAGACGATGAGATAATGCTATCGAGATCATCCAAAATGATGACGGATGGTGCATGTTCCAAGCCCTCAGCTATTACACTAGAAAGGACTTGATGGATGTGTTGAACCTTCTCCAAGGCAAGCGTTGAACAGGATACTAAAATCCTGCACAAGGAAATCAATACTTAAGACCACATCTGTACCAGAATTAGTCTCTTGAAAATAAATGGATTTGGTTGGAGTAGATCAGTGCAGACAAACATAAACCTAACCAAAATCACTCACACATGAGCCAACAAGTCTTTCTGTTCTTCAAAGTACTTTGCAGCAGCTCTAGCCAATATTGTCTTTCCTGAACCCTATCAACCAGAAGCTTGAACCAGTAAACAACCAGGTCGTCTCAACCAGTAAGAAAAATGGGAAATTAAGAAACGACTACAAGCCAGAGAAATAATGTTTCACGGTTGTAAGGAAGAACAAATCTAAAGATTCAAGATAAACATTCTGATACTCATTCCTGGCCAAAGGGGTAGCTTTTGAATGGGTAGCGTACTAACTTTGCGAGAGAAGGAATCATTGGGGAATTTAAACCCAAGTAAATCCAAGGGCCAAAATAAAAAGAACTAAATTCATATTAGAGGAATACCAAATGGAACAACTAAAATGAGAACTCACAGGAGGCCCATATATGAGAATATGTCCAGGTGATGGAATCTTGAACTTGCTAAACCACATTCCAGCTGCAGGAGACAACAACACGGCCATTCCTGCATAATAGCATTGTTGGCTTTAGGAACAGATCCGTTCATAAACATTCTCCAGATGCAATAAAAGACGCAGGTTTAGATCAACCACATATCAACGCAGGTTTAGATCAAGCTAAGAGAGTAAAACCTACTCTTGATAACATCCGACACGATTGGGCCCATCCACGTCAAGGAGGATATATCCGGGGAAACACCTTTATTGCAGTGTGTTTCTTTAGCCGACGTTAAATATATAGGGTCGCCAAGATTCATCTTCTCAAGCACTGGCTCAATATGCACCACATTGTCGCTCTTCTCACTTCTATCCAGGCTAAGATCATACCCAGCGAATTTATCACCAAGCAAAGACTCGTCAGAGACCGTCATGACGTACAAAATTTCTAAAGGAGTGTTTTTATCCTTCTTCCCACTTTCCCAACGATCATTAACAGAAGGCTGCCCGTCTCTGGATTTATACGATTCGAGCCCTCTTACTTCGAAATGGAAAAACGTTTCTCGTCCTACAATTAACGAACTAACATCAACTCCTGTGACTGACGCAATAGCATCAAGCTGTGCCAATGACCACAGGCGAGTAAGGCATTCCAATTTTTTCTTATTCTTAACTTGATAGGCATTAACTTGATTTCCTTCGTCATGCAAACCCTCAGATGAAAGAGCTGTAACAACCTTATCGTGCACAGACCAGTCGACAACATCCACATAGGTGCTCAAGCCAGATGGTGGATGACTGCTTTTTCTAATAGAATTATGATTGCCAAGCATATCTGTACCCCTATCCAGCACCTTTTCATTTTCAGAAATCTTGAAGACGCAAGGAGAAAGTGAAAGAGCAGGAATTTCTTTGTCTTCATTCACATTGCATCCCCTTAAGTAAACCCCTACATACAAGTGATAACTCTTGCTCAGACATTTATTTTTCTGTGGTAACAATGCTCGATTGAGAATGGAAAAATGCAAAATGACGCTTTTTATTCAACCTGCACGATAACTTTCAAAATACCTTACAAGTTTACTTCCTAATAGTCACAACAATAGAAACAAAAACAAAAATCCTAGTGTCGCATACTGTGAATAACCAGCCAAATTAACTTCAGCTCAGTCTCTCCACACATTTTAATGACCAAGCTGAACAGATATATAAGATTTTTACACTAACATCAAAATTCTGGACGTACATCAAACAAAAACATCTGAATGTTTAAGCAAAATTTACTCACATGAGTGTAGGCCTGCTCCGAGATAGAGTCGAAGAGACTCGACCATCATTAGATGTCCTTTAGCAGCTAAATCTGAAAAGACAAGACGAAGAATTGCTTGACGGGGCTCTTTCTTCGCGCTTGAAGTACCATTCTCGGCCACCTTTGAAGCTTCACTGTTTTTGATATTTAAGGCTTCATCCTTTTTTGCACTTCCTTTCAAAGGTATTCTAGGGGATACAGAAATCAACTGAAGAGATTCTAGAGAGTATTTCTTGGCAGTTTCTGGATGAATGTAGGCAATAGAAGTGAGGGCTACCCTTAGCTCAAATCCTCTGACATCAGCTTCATGAAAGGCTGATCTATCAGTATCTTGTACACGTAATAGAGCCTTCACATTGTTGCATTCTTTTTCCTGACTCTTTTTTGCCTTGAGATTTCGGTCACGCCTCTTTGGAGCCACAGCCACTTCAGTTCCTGGCACAAGTTGTACTGAAAACGAGCCACCAGTCAAGACAATTCTGTCATTAATCAATTTGTAATGATTGTAAACATAAGAGACAAGTAATCATGGTAAGCCCCTTCTTGTATCCCAGGGAAGATACGTTGAAGAATAAGAAGAAGAAACTTGAAAAGTATGGTATAGACAACAACAATACAACAAAAGTGCGGATTAAAGATGGTCTTACCCACCCCTTTTGATGGAAATGTTGAAACCACTGCAAACCTTATCACAGTTCGGTCATGCAACCACAAAGGGAATTTCATGGTCTCATGTAGTATCCTCACCTGAAACACATGTTTCGAAAAATCCTTCAGCAGACAATTTGCAAACTGATTACGCCAATGTCACATAACTAGAGTCACAAACCTGACTAAGTATAGCTGCCTCGGCAAGTTCTGCATTGAGCTCAAGAACTTCCCAGTCATCTTCAGTCTCTGGTTCGACTGTTACTAAAGTAGCCTTGGGCACATTAGGAAGAACACGAGCTTTAACAACTGTACCATCAGGCAACGAAATGCTTTCCGCAAACACTCGAGCGACCTTATTGAAAGGAACAAAATCAAAAACAGAGGAAGAGAAGAGTAATCAGAATTCCAAAACCAAAGTAGTAGATCAATGGATTTTGACTAAACGGGATCAAATATAGAGAGATAAAAACCTCGATGGCAGAAGAGGAGGAGCTAGAGCCGGACCAAGCAACTGACCAACGGCGGTCACCGGAGCGGAGCTCGACAGGAAGAAGCGGAGGAAGAGGAGAGGAGCTAGTGGATTGAAGCGCGTGTAGTAATTGACGAGGGAGTGAAACGAAACAGTCGACGCCGGCGACGGTACTAACCACCGCTTCTGTTTCCATCACGTCGGAGAGGATGATTTTGCCGATTGCGAGACAGGTACAATTTCCTAAGCTTATCTTTTTTGTCGAATTGCTAGTCTCGTTTTGGGCTTCAATAATTTATATTTGGGCTTGTCTAATTTCCTAATTGGGCCCTTTAAAAGCTAGTTAATTTTATTTTTCTGTTCAAAGAAAATTTACATGTAACAAAAAGAGAAACGATATGTATACATCTATGGACTAATCTATGAATCATCCCGCAATATGCAACATTTTATGTCATCACTACGCATGAAAAGTCTCTACCATTTGTGAAACCAAAAACATAATAGAAAACGCTTCTACAATTTCTCGATTGACTCAATTTTTACGTATATCTTTGCAGTTAATTAACGATAATGTAATCATTAGAGATCCACATTCAGATTGGAACCAAATCACCACCAAAAAGATGCTGAGAAGAAAGATGAAATAGTACTACAAGTCTACAAAATTGGAAAGTAACAAAAACCCAAAAATACATAAACAAAAAGAGAAGGATTTGTTGAGTTTTTACTTTTTTTTTTAGAGACGAGACAATTGAGAAAGATTAATAGGGTAACAATCGGATTTGGAACCATTAAAGGCTCTGAGAGCAATTATGAGATTAAAAGCTTGTGTTGGATGAAATGCATCCCAGAACACATGTCGGTCTCTGAAAGCACATGGTACCGCTAGTGGCAAACACGTTATTTCTCCTCTGTTTCTCCCTACTCCACAACACCCTCTATCCGTCACTTCAAATCCTATAAACCACAAAACAACCATCCATTTCATATTCTAATTAGATTTTAATAACGTGATATATATGAACTTAGCTTAAACGAAACATTTGATCGAATAAAGTACTATACAAGAGACAAACTAGATACTTAACCGTAATTAAAAGGGTTTGTGAGGATATCCACGGCGGCTCCATAGGTATTGCCATAAACAAAGATGGCTTCACTAGCAGTTTTACTATCGGAATTAAGACGGTCCACCAGCGACACGAGGCGGTTGTTGAAGAGTTCAGCCATCTCGTTAACCGCCTCCACACATTCACCTGGCGGAGCCGCTCGGGCGGCTAGTTGGTCCGGTATGCAACCCAATGGACCCACACCGGCTATTACAAATTTCCTAAACCCCTTTCCGTACAATTCCTAAACAAAAATATAGTATTAAAACTCGTATTATAGAGAAATAAAGAAAATGGTATAAAGATGCATGAATTAAATAAGACTTACAAGGAGATGAGTGGTGAAATTGGAGAGAAGGAGGTCGGCGAAAGAAGTAGGGTCGTAAATGGAGCTAGTGAGAAAAAGCGTTGGTTTCAGATAATTGTTAATGTAGTCATTGTTACCCAATGACACCACCACCAATGACTTTGCCGTGTACTCTTTTACTGACTCTCTCCTCATGCTCCTACTGATCTCCATTAATGTCTTTTCGAAGTTCTCCACTTGTCTTCCCATGCTAAATCTCTCTCCCTACATCCATGCACAGGGCCGGCGTTAGGGGGGTTCCAGGGGAGCAAATGTTCCGGGCCAAAATTTTTTTGGGTAAATTTAAGGACCCAATTTTTTTTTTAATAAGAAAAAAGGTATTTTAAAATATTTTTAGTATGAAAAAGGCCCAAATATTTTATTTAGTATAAAAAAAGACCAATTTTTAAGATTTTTTAACATGAAAAGGCCCATTTTTTTTTATATATGAAGAAAAGGCCAATTTTTAAAATTTGTACAGAGACTCCAAATTAATTGAGCCGGCCCTGTCCATGCATATGCATGCAACCACATTTATTAGAGTTTTTTTTGGATTATTAAATACTCATGTCTCGTAGGCAAAAGCATTTCATGCACCCTATCAAAGTCACTCGACATTAAATACTCTTCGTTAGAGCATCTCCAATGGGAGGATGTAATGAAAAAATTCAGAGGTTCTCTTGAATTAATTGCAAAAAAATAAATCAAAAGTGAATAAAATTGAGAGAGCCAGCTCTCTGAAGAGAGTTTTTTGAGGATGAGAGAGCCGACCACGTGTCCTTATTTGATTGGGTCGTCATATTTAACAAAACAAAAAAATAAACAACTCTCGTTTCCTCCGCAAAAATAAAACTAAACACGACTACTCCCTTTTCTCTCTGTCTCTCTCGTGACCAAACAGAAAATCATTGATCTATGATTTTCGATGAATCAAGCCGTTTATGTGTGTAATCGAGGAATTTGAGACGCCGAAATCATCAAGTCAACAGAAGCTGTTGTCCATTGGCGGAGGAAGACCAAACTCAATCGGAACCGAAAGTGATTTGGAGTGAAATCTGTGATGGAAGCTCCAAATTAGGTATTAATCAAGCAATTATTGAGTGTAAATCGTGATTTAATTTTGTATTTTGTGGTTAAATCTCCTAAATTAGGGTTTTATTTTTTCTATCTCCAGTCTAATTTTCTGTAGTCAATAAAACTTGCGAAATCCTAGTTTTTTTGCTGAATTTGGGGGAATTTTTGGGATTGAAGGTACATTTTGTAGCTTGGAATTCTAATGGAACAAATCTTGCTTCGGGTTCTGTTGAACAAACGACTCGCATTTGGAATATCGAACCACACGGTCATGTAATTTCTTTACCTTTTGAGCTATGGGAACTTTGTGTGTTTTTGATGATGATGAATACATATGGAGAAGTATTCTCTTAATCGTTTAGTTTTGCTTCTGAAATATGCCTGGAGCTTGGTTTAGAAATCTGTAAATTTTCTAATGGATTAGCTTTGTGTCATTCACAAATATTACTATCAATTGCTAAGATATGTCTTCTTCGAGTTATACAGGTGGAAAATGCACACAGCAGGCAGAACTTAGTGGAGAGAATATAAACATCACTTACAAACCTGATGGGACACATGTAGCTGTTGGTAATAGGGTATTGTCTCGAGCCCCATCTCTTTACACTAGCATTGTTCCTACATGAAGTGTTGTATGCATTACATGAAGTGTTGTATACACTAGCATCTCTCTTATTGGCCAATGTAGGATGATGAGCTTACCATTCTGGATGTCCGTATCTGTCTCCTTCCCTGTCTCCTATTAAAAGTGCATGCAGTTATATTTCACCTAAGTCCCTTGTTCATGTAATAATCGCCTAGTAATTTTCTGGTGCTGTATGGAATGTTCTCATGTCTTTCGTCTTCTTGTAACAGGTTAATGAGATTGATTGGAACATGCCTGGAGATTTTTTCTTCTTGAATACTGGAGTTGGTGAGGATTTGAAATTATGTACTTTCCTACACACGATTCCCTAGCTAAGAATTCATTGTTTTTGAACTTCAGAAAATGATCTTATTGGAAAGTTTTATATGTTCCTGAACTGGTATTGGTAAGGAATACTGCCAATTTTAATCTCCTTATGTGAAGTAAACCGTCTTTGCTCATATATTTTGGTTTCTCTTTCACAGAGCAAAGTCGAAGAGCTGACCAAGAGTCTCTTGGATTTGTGCTTATGTACTTCTTAAGAGGAAGGTGTGTTGATTTTTCGACTTGTTCTTTGTGTTCTTCTTAAAACTTGTGTTCTACTTAAGACATGTTCTTTGTGTTCTTGGATATATGTTCTTTTCGACTTCTATACTTCTTAAGAGAAAGAAACTAGTTAACATTGTTTTCTTTAGCAAGGTATTGATTTTTTTTTTGAGATTTAGAGATTGTGGACAAAAATTTGAAACATTTGAAGAGAACCCCACTTGAGAGATACTACCATTGGACTATGAATTTTGTTTCAAAAAAAATACAAGCTCTCTTCTTTCAAATTTTCACAATTAATATTAAAGAATGGGAGAGAGCCCATGAGAGGGCTCTCACCATTGGAGATGCTCTTAGTTCTATTGGTTGAACTCTTCCGGCGAACTTCATGCACCCCAATTCAGTTTTTTTTTACTTAGCTAAAGATAAATTTCAATATCGAAAACCATGCGTGTGCTTATTAACAAAAAGCATAGCACAAATCAATTATCGGTTTTACTTTTGGAAATTTCGAACTTGGATTCTTTATGTGAGTACTCAATCGATAAGACCAATTTCGTTAAACAAAATTTTTGATATGATGAACTAACACGGTAAAAAAAAACATATCCTATTTATTTCAAAAATGTTTTGAACAATAAAAATAAACATTTAGAAAGAAAAAAGAAGAAGTACCAGATGTCGACCGGTTTCCTCTAAGATTCCTCCGGCAGCTGAGGCATAGTTCACTCCCTGGAGAATATCCACTCCTCCGTCCACCGTGTCCATAAATGCCGGTATCTCCGGCAGCCCTAGCAACTCTCCTGCAACCATCCACATCCATCCCCATCATGTTAATTGTTAACCTAAAACAAACTAAATAATTTAACACAGAAAGGTAAAAGGGTGAATCTTGTTCTAAATTTATGCATGCATTGATTTCAAAACCAAATGCATGTAGAGATCGATCGATGTATATGTAAATATGTACCTATGTACCTATGAAATCGACGATAGTTTTGCCGTTAGAGAACCGACCGGTGGGTTGATTTCCAGCGAAATCAATGCCGTAAGGGAGATAGTTGGACCTAGCCAGCGAGTTCAAGTGGTTATTGTTTCCGTTGTCCACCAACGAGTCTCCGAACACAAACATCGCCGGAAACATTGCCGTCTCGGATGAGTCTTCTCCACCGGCGAGTACTGCTACTACTAGAAACCATGGAACAAGTACTAATGATTGTACTATGCAAGACATCATCATCATGTCTTTGAATTTGAATATTTCACTATCATGCATGGTCGCTCGAGATATATAAATAGATCATGAATCATGATTGTGATGGTTCCTTCCTTGGATTTTATTGTTTATTATTTTTATTTCGTATCAGTGAATTTAATGAGTTCTGTTTTCCGTTGACTTATATAACAAAATATTGTACTGTAGAAATCAAGATAAAAAAGATGAAAAAAAAAAAGAAATCAAGATAAAAAAAACAATAAAATCTAATGGTATATCTGTGAACAACTCAGTTAATATAAAGTTTTAAGAAAATATGAAAGATTGAATAAGTATGAGGGCAAAACCGCAATAAATAAAACCTAAGTGCACGACGGTCTGTGACAAGAAGCAAATATTAACGCGAAAAATAAACATTTATCCAAAATTAAGCAGCAAACCAAGGAGAACGGAAAAAATACTTAGAGAGGCAAAAGTCCGAATCCAGTTTGGCATTTATACTTCCCGGCGGCAAAAAATCCAAAAGGGTTTGCTTCTTCGTGCTCTGCTTCAGTTTCAATTGGTAAAAATATCCTTCTTTTTTTTTAACCTTCGTCTGTGTGTTCATTTTAGGGATTCAATGTTAGTCTGGTGATTCAAATTCTGTGTTTTGCCCTAGGTTGTGTAATAATCAAGTGCAATTCTATCTGTTTCATCAGTGGATTTTTGGGTTTGTGAATTTGGGAGTGATGAGTGGTGTTCCAAAGAGATCTCACGAAGAGGGTGTTACTCATCCATCTTCTTCTTCTTCAGCAGCAAAATACCCTCACGAGGATTCTGGATCTTACCCTAAATCGCCGCATCAGCCTGTTACGCCACCACCGGCTCAGGTTCATCATCACCATCAACAACAACCCCATCAGCATCCCCAATCTCAATCTCAACCTCAACCTCAACCTCAACCCCAACCTCACCTCCACACGCTTCCTCATCCCCATTCTCATTCTCACTCTCATTCACCACTTGCTGCTGCTGCTGCTGCTTCTTCTGCTCCTTATGAGGTTGAATCTAGAACGGTGGTTAAGGTTGCCAGAAGTGAGCCTAGAGATGGAGAGAGACGCTCTCCTCTGCCTCTTGTCTATCGGTCTCCGTCCCTGCCCACTACTGTTTCTTCTAATGATCCTCATTTGACTCACGCCCCTGTGCCCATGGAACCGAGAGATGGTACTAAGGATGGTAGGGAAATTAGGGTTGAGAACAGAGAAAATAGGGGTGATGGAAGAGAGATTTATGGTGAGACAAAGAGAGAGATTCAGGGTCCTAAGAGTGACAGAGATGTGAAGTTTGATAGATCAGTAGACGACTTTAGCGGAAAAGGTAATACTGGAAGCTATACTAGGAATGATGGGAGAGAGATGTATGGCGAGACTAAGAGGGAGATTCAGGGTCCTAAGAGTGACAGGGATGCCAAGTTTGAGCGTCCAGGGGATGATTTTAGCGGAAAAAGTAATACCGGTAGCTATACTAGGGATACCAAATTTGATAGGGAGAATCAGAATTATAATGAACAAAAGGCGGAGATTAAGATGGAAAAGGACGGGCATGCTCACTTGGCTTGGAAAGAGCAGAAGGATTACCATAGAGGCAAGAGAGTTGCTGAAGGTTCGACTGCAAATGTGGATCCGTGGGTTGTATCCCGCGGTAATCCGCAAGGCCCAACTGAGGTTGGGCCTAAAGATCTCTCCGCGCCAGTGGAGGGGCCCCAGTTAGAAGGACGTGAAACCGTCGGAGAAAACAAGGTTGATGCAAAAAACGAAGATAGATTTAAGGACAAAGATAAGAAAAGAAAAGAGTTAAAGCATCGAGAATGGGGGGACCGAGATAAGGATAGAAATGACCGTCGAGGATCCGTGCTTATTGGTAGTGTCATGAGTGAACCCAAAGAGATTGGAAGAGAAGAAAGAGAATCCGATAGGTGGGAACGGGAGAGGATGGAGCAGAAAGATCGAGAAAGGAATAAAGAGAAAGATAAAGATCATATCAAAAGAGAGCCAAGGACTGGTGCTGAGAAAGAGATCTCACAGAATGAGAAAGAGTTGGGAGAAGCATCTGCCAAACCATCAGAGCAGGAATATGTGGCACCAGAGCAGAAGAAGCAGAACGAACCGGATAATTGGGAAAAAGAAGAAAGAGAATCAAAGGAAAAAAGGAGAGAGAGGGATGGTGATTCAGAGGCAGAAAGAGCTGAAAAGCGCAGCAGAATCAGTGAAAAAGAATCTGAAGATGGGTGTTTGGAGGGTGAAGGAGGTACTGAGAGGGAAAAGGATGCCTTCAATTATGGAGTTCAGCAGCGGAAGAGAGCGCTGAGACCGAGAGGCAGCCCACAAACCACAAACCGCGACCATGTCCTCTCACGGAGTCAGGACAACGATGGGTGCGTCTCTCTGTCTTCCTCGTTTAATCATAATTATAAGTTTCTCATTGCTTAGAAGAATCCTTTATCTTTAACATTTAGAGACGCATACCCCCTTGATTAAATTTGGAGCCTATATAGTAAAATCTGCGGGTGATACGATACTATATGATGAAGGGGGCAATTATTGTTGAATATCTTATTACCATTATTGTTTTTCCTCTTAATAGATAAAAAGCCTTTAAAGAAAATTGTGCAATCATATTTGTATTTTGTAGTGTCTTATCTTTTAAAACCAAATTTGATTTTTCTCTGGATTCCTCGCCGCTCATTTTCTATCTGTGTTAATAATATTATGTCTTCTACCACACAAGTTAGGTATTAGCTAAGCTCAAGACTTTCTATTTAATTACTAGTCTGGCTTTTAATGTATCATCCGTGTTTGATTGTGTTTATTTTGCAGAGTACAAGGTAATCATTCATTTCTATATTCTCAAGAAAGGATGGAGTTGCACTGCTTGGAGAACAATAGTAAAAAAAAACGGTTAAATTTTCTTTTACATATCACTGAAATGGTCATCTACGAACACACATGTACTTGATAACCAATTACCAATCTATTTAGAGGTTTTCTTCTTAGGGTCGTCCTTAGGTTACTGTTCTTTACTCTCACAGTAGAATGTCAAATATATAAAGAACCTCAAGATCTAAAAAGATGGACCTAAAAGTCGGTTCGATCCTTAATGCTACTTGAAATTTTGGCTGCTAAAAGTTACTTATATCCCTGGCTTTATTTTGAACTTTTATCATCTCTCTGTTGCTTTTATTTTCTACAAATTTTAATCTGTTTGCACTTAATAATTTGGTCTTGTTGAATTTTATTGTACTTATGATTCAGGCAAGTCAGAGGTGTCGATTGTTGTTTACAAAGTTGGCGAATGTATGCAAGAACTGATTAAATTGTGGAAAGAATATGATTTGTCTCATCCTGATAAAAGCGGTGATTTTGCAAATAATGGCCCCACTCTTGAAGTTAGGATTCCAGCTGAGCATGTTACTGCTACAAATCGCCAAGTAAGACGAATATATTACCCAAATTTTTCTCATAATCATTTTCATTGTTTTTCTTCAGATAACTTGAGTGTTGTAGACTTGTAGTTTCTCATACAGTTTTAGTTCCAGTCTTTTTATCTGTTTAATTCACTTCGCCTATTAATTTGGGAAACACGGCTCTTTAGAGCATCCCTTGTTTGTTGCTTGCTGAGACCTTTGGCTCGTGTGCAGGTAAGAGGTGGCCAGCTATGGGGAACAGATATATACACAGACGATTCCGATCTTGTTGCTGGTACATGTCCTAATGAGTCTTATGCAATTAATATCTTTGTATGGTCCGAACATGACACTGATTCTGGTCTACCTGCCACCCAGTTCTCATGCATACAGGTTACTGTCGTCCCACAGCTTCTCCTCCTCCACCGACAATGCAAGAGCTGCGCACTACTATTAGAGTCTTGCCGTCACAAGATTGTAAGTTAGCTTACCTCTATCTTACTTTTAATTCCTTTAACTGACTGTTCCACGGGAACTTCATACTATGTTGAGTTCCTCTCTGTCTTATATCAAGAAAGAACCTTTATCAAACTTCCAATTTAACTGATATATTTGTTAGACTACACCTCCAAGCTAAGGAACAATGTCCGTTCTCGAGCATGGGGAGCTGGAATCGGATGCAGTTACAGAGTTGAGCGGTGCTATATACTGAAGGTGATTTGACATGTGCCATTATCTGTCCTTCTAATTTCCTTGATTTTCTTCTCCCACTATGTGCATAATATCTAGTTGAAAGTGAATTTGTGTTAAAATCCTTATGGAAATTCTGATGATATGATTCCAGAAAGGAGGTGGGACTATTGAACTGGAACCTTCTCTTACACACTCCTCAACTGTGGAGCCAACACTTGCACCAATGGCTGTTGAAAGATCTATGACCACCAGGGCTGCAGCTTCGGTATTTTCCTTCCAGTTTGGAAATATCTGCTCTCTTAGTGTTCACATTCTTCACTTCATTTGGATTTTAAAATTTGCAGACAGATTGCAGTATTGTTGAGTGCAAGCATTTTGTGCAATCTTCTTACAGCTCTTAGATTATAACATATGGCATTTTTTGCTTGCATAGTTTTCTCATATTTCATATCTTTCAAACACTGACGACTTGTTTACTGTTCTGTAGAATGCTCTGCGGCAGCAACGGTTTGTACGAGAAGTCACAATACAATACAATCTCTGCAATGAACCTTGGTAACTCTTTGATAATAATCTCCCAAAACTTCAAAGAATTGTTCACAGAATATTCCTAAATTTATCAGGAATCTTTGTCACCTAAAAGTTATCAGACGCAAGGTCGGTTTTACTTACGGATCAATCTTCTTGTCTGCAGGATCAAATATAGCATAAGCATTGTTGCTGATAAAGGTCTCAAGAAGCCTCTTTTCACCTCTGCCCGCTTGAAGAAAGGAGAAGTTTTGTACTTAGAAACTCATTCATGCAGGTATTCACAAATTATATAATCACATGTTTCTTTTATCCACATTAATGACATAAGTGGCCGAATCTAATATGTGTATGCAAAAAGGTATGAGCTCTGTTTCGCTGGAGAGAAAACCATCAAAGCAATCCAAGCGTCTCAACAACAATCATCACATGAAGCTATGGAGACAGATAATAATAATAAGTCACAGAACCATCTGACAAACGGTGACAAAACAGATTCAGACAACAGTTTAATCGATGTTTTCCGTTGGTCACGCTGTAAGAAACCTCTCCCGCAGAAGCTTATGCGGTCTATCGGGTTTCCACTCCCAGCAGAACATATCGAGGTTAACATTTTTTCCCGATTTGACACTTGTTTGGTATTCTTTATAAAACAACTGATGATGATGTGCTATGGATTTTTGGAATGGAATAGGTGTTGGAGGAGAATCTTGATTGGGAAGATGTACAGTGGTCACAAACTGGTGTTTGGATTGCTGGAAAAGAGTACACACTTGCTCGTGTTCATTTTCTCTCGCCCAACTAAAAAAAACCTTTCATGCTTTGCTTTTTGCTTACAAAACTTTTTATATTTTATTTATGATTAGAGACTACAGTTACTTTGGCATGTCTTGTCTTGTGTTCTTCTTCCTTGTAACATTTATTTTAAGTTAAATGTTTAATTGTTAATTTGGTGGTATAAGAGTTCAAATAATCAAATCCCCTCTTGGATTTTTCTTCCTACTTACCATTTTGAAATTAGTTTTGTTTTTCAATTATGGTGAGATACCAAAAAAATTGAAGATTAAGCACTTGACTAATCAAATCAACATGCACTTGACAAATTAAATCAACAGAAGAAAATAAAGGGACCTCTACTCCGACGATATATAGAACAAAGAAGACACCTGCTAGTAGGCTAATGTTGTTTTGCTTCTTCGTATTCTTTCAACAATGGCTGAAACAGGTCAGAAAGAATCTCTTCCCTCCTCACTTTACGAGTCCATGCTACTTCCACTGTTTCTCTGTCAAAAAGAGACTTCCACATGTCCAAAATGTTAGACTTCATCGCTTCCCTCGCAAACCCATTCGCCTCTGAAACATCCTTGGCACACCTCAACTTCCCACCTAACTTCTTCAGAACTTCTTCAACACTAGAGGTATACTCTCGGCCATTTGCCCAGGTTCCCTTTACTTCGAGAATTAAAAAAAGATTGTGCATATCACTCATTCCAGCATCAAAATCCTCAAAAGTCGTCCTGATCAAATCCCATTGGACCGACTTGCCACCAATATGATACACTCTATTCTTTGGTTTGATATCTTTTGAGTAGACATGATGAATAACACGAAGCAGCCTTTCCCCTGCGGGATTACCAACGTTCGGGTCCCTTTTAACCCTTCTCCATAAGTTCGAGCAGAACTGTAACACGCTACGAATTTCATCACACAGCAAGAACATCGACTCAGCAACATATAGCGAGAGCTCAACTCCTAGTTGCACAACCTCCTCTATAAGCTCCTGCTTTGCAAATTCAGCCCTGCCAAACCAACAACAACAAAAAAGAAGATGACTTTGTGAATAACCTGAGTCATGAGTTGAGGAAAACTCTCAAAGGGGCCATGTAGATACTGACCCTAGAATGTAAGGTGGATAAACGGGTAGTGCCGGTATCTCGCCATGGCAGGAGTCCCCCGAAATAGGCTGAAACAGGTCGCTATGGATCCTACTCCTCGCCACTTCAGGAGTTGATTCGCCAGCTTCTTCGTCAAAGAGAGACTTCCACAGGTCAGAAACGTTAGACGCTACTGTCTCCCTCTCAAAACCATTAAGCTCTGAAACATCTTTTGCGGACATCAATTTATCTTCTAGCTTCTTCAGCACTTGTTGTTTGTATTTTATAATAGCAGAAGACAACAGCCGATCATCGAAAGAGCAATCTTTCTTCCTGAGAAGCGAAACAAGGCGACTCAGAATGATGATCCCGTCAGTAAAGTCCTTCCAAGTGGTCCTGACCAGTTCCCATTGGACCGAGTTGCCACCATCGGGACAAGCTCTGTTCTTGGGTTTGATATCCGTTGAGTAGACATAGTGAACAACACGAAGCAGCCTTTCTAACACAGGATCAGAGGGAGGTAATGTATACTTCAAGAGCTTAAAGCAGAACCACAACATGGTATGAATGTCATCACACAGCAAGAACATGGAATTAGCTAGAGAGATTGAGAGATCAACTCCTAGTTGTACAACCTCCTCTCTAACGTGCTCTTTCCCAGAGGACGTCCTACAAAACAAAACAACAAGTCAGTGTTCAAGCTAAGCAAACTCTCAAAGGGAAGGGACCAACTAGTGAAATCACTGACCCCGTAGCATATGGATAATATCTGTACGATCCCGGTAATGGACGGATACGACGCACACCACCATCTGTCGGTTTGGGACTATCATCATCAAAACAAAGACGATAACAACAATTAAGAATTCTAAATCAAATGCAAAATTACCCTAGACTAGACGAGGACGGTGATAAACTATATCGTTACTATATCATTCAATCAAAAATGAATCGACGTCACAGCTTCTATAGAAATTGAGGAACGAAGCACAAAAAAAATCAGAAAATACCCGTTTAGGTTAGTGTAGATAAACGAACGAGTCACGGGCTTAAATTTTTATACTGAGCCCGTTAAGGCCCGTTAAGGCCCGTTAAGGCCCCTGGCCCACTTTAACATCACATATGCCAAGGACGGCATTTTGGTAATTACATGAATGTCTCTTTCTATAAGGCAGATTTGTGTTAACTTGAATGTAGAATGGCTCCTCTTTAGAAATGATTGCAGTTGGAATCTTCTTCATGTAAAAACCGACACTCATTATGAAATGTAAAGTAAAGTGCAACTCTGATCAACAAAAGATTGGTTTATTACTTTTCTTGCCTATACTGAAATTGATTGAATAGTTTTTTTCTTTTCTTAATCAGCTACTTAAGCCTTACATAAATAACTCTGAATCGTTCATAAGACTATCTCTAATATTGTAAAGCTGGAGAGGCCAGAGAAGAAAAAAAAGAGCCAACAATACTATTTACCAAAAACTCATTTGTTAAACAAAAATCCTTTTTTCTTCCCCTTCTTTCTCTGCAGAGCCTGCAACCAAATCAGCAAACCAAACAATCAACCACTGCTTCTCTCAAAAAGCTAATATTTGTATGATTATGTTGAAATTGTGATGCTTTGTTTGAAAGGAAACGAATCAACCATGTTATCGCACAAGATAAAATGGCTATCAGTCTCCAACATTACCTTCTTAAGAAATAATCTAAGGGTGAGCACAATTGTGTCTCTTGAGCTGCCAAATACAAACACAAAACAGAAGATTGACTGCTTAATACAAGAAACCGAAAACTTCAATGAATACTTACTTGGAACACATTAAACAACTTCATTTCGATAGAAAACACGAGCAGATTATTCAATGTATTCAGATTCAAGTTTAGACTATTGATGATTCAAGTTTCACTTTCATCCATTTTCATAGAAAAATTCCTGATTTAAACGACGTAGGCTTTTTGACCTACTTTACTTCATCCAAAGAAAGCCAACTTAGACTTACCAGCTAAGATCTGTTGCATCATTGACCACTCGACAGAGATGCTCCACACCATCGCTACCAATAATCACAAAATCCGCAGGCTGATCAAAGGGAATCACAATCTAGGAGCAGAATCAGAAAGATCACAATATTAGTTCATTCTTCGGTATGTATGTTAAAAATTAAGTCAGCCAATATTGCATTTCTAACAAAAAGGGGCAAATGAGGCAAGACTCTTACATTAGTAGAAGAGGAGAACTTTTCTGTTATTACAGGGTCATTAGTAGGTTTGATGCTGCAGCCTTCTTTCTTAATAGACAAGGTAGCTGCTTCCCATATATCCATATAACCAATCTGTTTCAAAAGAGAGAACACATAGTAAAAAAGCAATACGCGTACAAGTGAGAGAGTAACACAGAGGAGGTATATGCAGGGAAACCAAAAAACAAAATTGTAAAAGATGAAATAAGAGAACTGGCATACCGAATAGGAGACTTTGAATAAAGCATGACCGTTATAAAGACTCTTCTCTATATGACTCTGCATCTCCGGATCTACGAAAATAGAAGAGGAAACCAGTCACCAGATAACTCACAGAATAAGCGGCAATCCCTGCAGTATCTAAGAATACTAACTGCAAAGTAAGCTTTACAAGAAATTTTCTTATTATTTACCAGAAACGCTCAGATCTAAAGGAGCTAGAATTGAATAATCAGACCAACCGAAAAACAGCCAGAAGAAACCAATACTGAATTATAAACTGATAAGTCATGCAGTTTCGAATTTTTTAACTCTACGCGTTAAAGAAAACAAAACAGGTCACGCAGTAATGCTTTCTCCATATGAAGTAAACTATGGAGGTGCGGCAGGTATGGATCAAACAAGCCACGGATCGAGTTTTGTTAAGTACATGAGCGACCAAAGTTTCTGAGTAAAAGCATAAACTTACGACACGTGATCTTGCAATTTTCATTGGCGAAGACCCTCACAAGCTCCCCCTAGATTCCGAAAGAAAAGCAGACGAATAAAAAAACCAGACAGGTAACGAAATGGTAATCACATCTACCACAATATTAAAGTCCCCAAACATATTTGAAATAGGGGTTGATCACATGTTCTCCACGGAAAGTGAATTGGATGCTTTAGATGTATTTTCTTATTCATCAGAAAAGATTTAGTAAAAAAAACCTTGCGGTTCTTGTCATCCAAGGGGTGAACTTCAATAGCAAGGTATAAATCAACATCATCGGCTGTGACAAGATAATCTGGCCTCTTTGCTCCTGCGTTTGGACATTGTCAACAATCAAGCTCTTATCGTCATATATATATATATATATATATATATGTACATAAATTTTCTATCACCATATCTAACTGTAAAGAAAAAATGGAAAGATAAACTCTGAGAATAAAGCAAGGGTAGTAGGGGGAACATATGTACCATCAATGTAGTTCACTGATCCATCTTCCAGATGCCGTACCCACTAAAATTTCAAGAAGGGGAGAAGATATATTAAAATGCATTTTGACGTAAAATGGGTAAAAACTAAAGCTTTCTATTTCGCATGCACCTCAAAATTACATTTTGTCGTTCCGTTGATAGAGTGACCAGAAACCTGAAGCTCTCGTCCAGGAAAAGGTTCTCCTGATATCTGTAAGTCTGCTATACCTGGCAACGGATCATCATCCGCAGCTGCCAAAAGTAATTCACAATATTTAAAACAAAGTGAAAGACGGTGATGGAATTGTTATTATGCCACTATCATTGTTATTAAACCATTACCCTCGGAAAATGATGAAGATGGTTCTTCAAGAACTGGGGCCAAAATCGGATAATTTGAGGGGCTAGGATCATCAACAGCCACATAAGTCGAATTTTCCAAAGTTGTATTTGTATCTGCTTGTACGTCAGCATATGCATCGTCCATAAAAGTATTGCTGAGAGGCTCACGAAACTGAACACGATTATTTGGTCCATGAGATTCATCTTGATTGAGAGCTGGTTGCACAGGCATCTGGAAGGCTGGCGATCTACTGTTACACGACACATTTGATCATTGAACTAATTTCAACATTGCAATCAAAAGCATTCATCCACCATTAGCTTTCATAAAACCCAGGCAAGGACTCAGAAAATGTTACTGTGCTACAAAATTAACTTTTTCGTGGCCATATAGAAAAGAACAAAAAGTACCAAGAAGAAATTAACGGTTCAGAGAGTAGCAAAGAGTTAATAAAATGTCTAATTGACAGAAGAGCTTGACAGTTTTTAATGCTCGGCATCTTTACTAATCCCATTACCCCCAAAAATTACAATATTCATTGCTTTCGGCAGTATCCTTAAAATCCCTATCTTTGGTATCCGGGAATCAACAGCAAAATTAGTGTATTAATACCTCTCAGGACCATCAAGATGGTAAATACTCGCAGCTGAGCCACCACGCCTGTCTTGATGATGGTGTTCTGGATCTGTCTAGTGGAAACAAAAGAAGGGTTTTTGGGTTCAAGTCACTTAAGAAAATTGAGGGGACATTAAGGAAAGCGAACTTACTGAATATCTCAAACCCATGCCAACAGGCTGATATGGTGACAAAGGTGAAGCATTTGAGTGGTTTACATCTGACTGCCAAGGTGCTAATTGGTATTCTGTCTCCTTTAGCTTTGTCTAGCACCAGACAAGAAAAAAGATCAGAACGAATCACCTTATCATATATCAGTAGGCAAGAGCTCCAGCATCAACCGTAGGACTAAACTGTAATAACAAATGAAACAAGCGCTGAAATATGATGTCAGCAGACGCCATACCCGCATATCATACCTCAGTAACATTGAGCTTCTCCTGCAGATGCCTAAATAGAACCTGAATATGATGTAAACATCAATCACATGTTGTGACGGGAAAAAAATACATAAAAACTTCACTCCACCATCAAGGAACCAGGGAGCTCTATCAGTCACTTTAGTTCTCTATGGTGCTCAACAGTTACTAAGGACACCATTTTATCACTTTTTTGTATTATGTTTTACTTTTATGAATTTCAAGGGGGGGGGGGAAAGTTGAAAATTTTCCAGCCAAAATGCAGAGCAACCACCCAAACTACTAGCATACAATAACTAATTTTCGAAGATAGACAGTCAAGGAGATCTGAAGAGCAAAACAAAAAAACTAAGAGAGATAACAAACTTAAGATTATATTTCTAACCTTCACATTGCTAACAATAGACTGAGAATCCGAGATCTGTGGAAGCAGTGAATATTCTGATAGAAGAGGTAACAAGTTCGATACAAACATAGACCTCTCTTGCTCTGCAGCCTGATAGAACCAAAACAGTAGCTTCCATTTAGATTTATAATATTATACAATGAAAGTGAGGTATCAAAGACAAGTCCGATTTTTTGCCAATTGAACCACTAAAAATGATACATAAGAAATGATGGAAACTAAGATTAATGACTGGAGTCCAATCATAAAGGATTACAATATAAAGTAGAAACGAAGATCAAAAATACATATGCCAGAAGATAGAAAATTATAGTCACATAGATATAAGATGGTAATACCTGCAAGGCATATGTTAGGCGTATATTTTCCTCAATGATCTCTTGTCTGTAAGAAAGAGCTTTTGATGCAGCATCAACAAGGTCTTGTTGTTGTTGATCAAATGCCTGTCACAACAAGAAAGATAAATTACCCCCTAAGTGGTTAACAGAATTAAGTAAATAATAAATATAATTCGATACAAGATAAAGTTACACATATTTTGTAAGAAGTAAAAATAAAGCTAACCGAACGCATGTGCGCAATACGCCTTTCCAAAACATATTTTTCATTGCGTATTTGGGCTTCCTAAAAAAAAGGCCAAAAGGTTAGTCAGACAATGTAGTGTAAAATCAACTAAGTATGCATAAAACACTAGAGATTAAAACTAGCGATTCACCTTGGCAGAATAATCAGCAAGATATTTTCGTAAGCGCAAAATCTCTTGTTCTTGTTCTTGGACCTTGTGAACGAGTTCCTGGATAATTGCATAGTCAGGGAATCATTTTCTCACTTTCACTAAGAAGGAAAGCTAGATAGTAAGAGTGACTGAGACCTGCTTCCATGCAGTCCCCGAATTATTTACTTCACCTACTGGCATCAACTCATGAGAAGACGAGTTGATGTGTGAGTCATGATCTCCTTCCAATAGCGGTCTAACAAAGGAAAATCAGATACTGAATTATGAGAATACACTCTGCCTTGATGCAAATATAGTTGAACCATGAGATAAACATAAAACTGCAGCACGGGGGCCAGTGTTGGTAGTTAGAAGTTCAGTACCTCATAGGAGATAATGATATTGTAGATGGCGACGAAGACAATTGAGAGGTTCCCTCACCACCTACAGTTCCTCTGACAATGCCATTAGTCATGATTCTCTCAGAATGGTCTTCAGAACGATTACTCACAGTAGCTTCCTCTCCATTTGGATACACATGCTGGTGAACAACCAGCATACCTGACGAATCAGTACCTGAAGCATTGATTTTGCCTTTCCTCCGGTCAACTAGATTAATACCAGCGGCCGACTGGTGTAACGGGGAAGACCCACCGGTTGTAGTATTCGAGTGGTTTCCTAGATCAGATGTCTGGGGCAAGGATTCTCCTGATTTCTAAGAAAGGTAGAGGGAAAAAAAAAAACTATCATGTAAACCACATATGTACCACAAATTTGGTCAGCGAGACCCTAAAGGCATGCAATGGAAATGTCAACAGAGCTCTAGGGAAATCCCTGAGAAGCATTACGGACCAAAAGAGACATATATTTCTGTCCTTTGACCAGGAAAATGAAAAATCAAACGACTTACATATTTGGCAAGCTCCAGATATCTTCTCTGAAGTTCAGCCTTTAAGAGGTTATTCTCTTCCACCTGGTCAGAGATAAAAATAAAAAATTGTCAGAGAAGACCAAGAAAATCAATCTGCTGGACGAGAATCACACTCTATGTCCAAATCATCTCCCAAGTAAGTATTTAAACAGATTCAGATGGAACCAACCATTTTGCAGTAGAAAATGAAAGGAGACAAGGAAATTCATAAACGGATCCTACAACACAAATATACTCCTTAACTCATTTCCATTCCCTGGCATTTTCTGCAGCTACTTTGATATGCCTTAAAGATACTTACACGGAACTTTACAAGTGATGAAATGAAGTGATTGAGCAAGTACTTGGAAAACTTAATGCTTTCTCATTTGAAACAATTTCAGAGATACAAAAAGAGAGAGAGAAGCTAAATATGATGAACACAAACCTGCTGCTTGATTGTGGCTTCTGCTGCTTCAACAGCTTTGATAACTTGAAACAAGCTATCGTTTTTAACGTCGTTTTCATGGGAACCTGAAGATTCTCCGAGTTCCACTCCTGAAAACCTCTCGGCAAGTCTTTCTTCATGGCCGTTGTCCATTTTCTCCAGTCCCCAAAAGCTCACGAATCCGAAATCGAACCCTCGAGAAACTGAACCAAAAACACGGCTCCAATTTCGGCCTACTCTCAAAATCTCATCTGGGTTTTCGAGTAACAAATCAACATTTAGGTATTACCCGAAGAGAAGCTTCGAGATTTCAACAGTAAAATTTCGAATGAGAAATTGAAAACGAGCTTGGAGATTAAGAAAGAATGGTATGATTGAGAACGAATGATGAAGGTAAGTTTCGAATCATATAAGAAAATAAAAATGGATTAAAAAAAAAAGCTTTTGCTTCTTCTTCTTCTTCTTCTTCTTCGAGCAAACTCTCTCAGTTTTTCTTCTGGAGTTGTGACCTCAGAATTGGGTTTCTCATTTTTATTTTTTGGTTCCAATTCTAATTATTAAAGTTGTTTTCTTCTCTTTAATAGTGTTTATTAGATATAGAATATTCAGGACTCATTATTGTCTTAAATAATTTATTATCATTATTACACCAAATTTTATTATTTGTTATTTTCTGTAATTATAGTAACATATTTTTTTCTTTGTTTTTTGGCAACCTGTAATTATAGTATCTTACTAAAAGTTCGATTCTTCGACTGTATATCTTTCTAATAATTATTTTATATATCTTACTTGAACCACCAAACAAAATTAACACCTAAGCTTAATTGGAAAACACTCATTGTGTACTAACAACTAATCAAGCATTGGTTTAATTTCCATAAATCTCCTTTTATGCTTTAGTAGGCTTCCTGGCAACAAGATTCAGTATAAATATTAGAGAAGAAACTGCAGAAGCAATGACTGATAAAACAAACTGTTCATACTCGTGGAGTCTAAGGTCATAACACTATTGGCTTCACATCCTTTTTTTTTTATTTGCTGTTTACTTAAAAGGAGGAGCAAAACCCTACTGCAATTTGAAGATAAATGACAAACAGATTACTGAAATCACTTTTGACTGAATCTAATAGTTTTCAAAGTACTGCATTAGTTAGACCGACGAAGAACATCGGTTAGTAAAACTGCGGAATCCATGCTTTCTCCTGTCATCCAAACCCTGAAGTTTTTGGTGAAGTACTCCGCGTCTCTCCAAGCTTTGAGTTGTATGAGAGAGAATGGTCCCTGTACAAGACCCTGGGGATCTTTGTATAACCAGTTTAACTTTTCTTTATCATAAGACAGAACCTGGACGTCTTCAACTTTAGGGTCCAGGGTCTCTCCATCATCGTTTTCATCTTCATCATCGTCGCTCAGTTCGATTACTTCTGATGGATTTGGTTGAACTTGAGATCCGTTGTTTAGATTAATTACTGGTATACTTGACTGAAGCTGAGAAACTATACACTCTTTAGTCGGCGTCTCTCCTCCAACGATGCCATTTGCTGGCTGCTCTACATCTCCATGAAGATATTCATCACCTGTAATTGAGAAGAATGCGGATTAGTATCAATTCCAGAACCATCTCATCCTTTATAAAGAGTTTGGATACTATATAATCGAGCAAACCAGACAAACCAGTTGACGCAAATCAATATCGAATCTTTAAAAAATCCATATGTCAATTCCTCTCTCAAAACCAGCATAGCTACAAAGGACATATTATATATCTCTTTTCTATTTTCACTCGCATAATTTGCTCGCTTTTCTCTTTCAGATTCTGCCAGAGCCAAAAAAAAGAAAGAAAGAGACACAACAACCTCTATGCCACCAGATGCTGGCGTGACTTTTCTAATTTTTGGTTAAATCAATAATTTCATATGACGAACGCAGTAATATCCACTGTCTTCTCAACATCCAAAAGGCAGATAAGATGCAAATATATCGTCACAGGCAAGAACATTCGTAGCTAAAGATCGTTAACATGTTAAGTAAAATAAATATTTGACAGGTATAACAAAGAACAATGGTGGTAAGATGCAACAAAATGAAACAAGAAACCCTATACATGTTATGACGCACCTGCAGAAGCAATCCATGTTGGTAATCCCTCGTTAATTTCCGTACCATAAGACGTGATTCCCGGAGTTGAGCCAGGGTTTGACATCAGATAGCCATTATTAAATTGTTGATCTTCTCCACCAAAGAGGTTGCGAACTTCTGGGGTTTCTTGGATGCACGATAATGGGGATTCACTCAATCGTTGCTCGTTGTCACTTTTATGAGCCTCAGGGGACGACACTTCAGGGTTTGGTACAGGTTCCTCTCCAATAACTTCTGGAACTTCGCGGAGTAGACGGGCCTGTTCTTCTGGATTTTGAAGAAGCTCCCGCTTCTCCAGGTACTCGGACAGCGTTACAACTCATGAAATCAAGGAAAAGCTATAAACAAAGATTTTTTCTCATTTCAGATCTCACTATCACTTATTCCGAACATTATTATTCATTTAAAAGTAAAAGAAACAAAATTATATCCCAAAAAAGGATATTCTCTTCGCCATCCCTTCTCATTAGCCCGATCAATAAGCCTTTTTAACAATACAATTTCTCTTCCAAGCCACTAAAGTTGACGATCAAAAGTTGACGATCAGTTAGAAGATATAGGACTACAAGTCGCTTTTTCTGCTTAAAATACAGTTAAAAGTTGATCATCGTAAATGTACTGTGCTTCAGATGATATCATTGTCGTCACATTCATAAGCATGATGAATAAGATATACAGAAATGAATCATGAGAGGAAGTCGCAAATATACGTGTTTTGTCTGATCTTCATGTAAACTTCTAGCTTTTTCTTCCATCTCCACCTATCCAAGGTTCAAAATGAATTATGATTAAAGAACTACAAAATCTAAATGTCATGAACAGCAAGGTTAGCAAGTCGCTGGGATACATGACAGAAAAATGTAAATCTTGAACAGAGAGAGCCGCAAATAACTATCTTCCAAACCTTTGAAAATGGGGTATCTGGGCAATCTTAATAGAAAACTTACAATTGTGGGCTTCTTTAGAAGTCCGTTCTTTATTCTCTGATGTAAATCTTCACATTCCTCCTGCAAAAAGTTTACATAAAGCTATGATAAACCATAGATAATATAGGTTAAAATGGGGGAGTTCGTCGAACATTGTAATGGTGAAAGACAGTACATCTTACATAACTAGAAAACAGATCCCAATGGCGGGTTCTTAAAAATACATGGATACCTGACTTTTCATCGATCATAAGCAAAAAAATTGAGAAATGAACATTATTTCTAACTTCTAAGTAAATTACCTGGGAGAAATTATCATCAGACAGCACAGATATAGAAACATCTTTCACATAATTTGTAACCTGAAGAAGAAAATCATCAGTCCCAGGTTCCTTCTTCACGCCTATATAACAGACAAAACAAAAGCACATAGAGAGTTCAACTTTCTACAACAGACCAGACACAGACACAGACACAATCACAGATAAAGACTTTCAGAAAATTACCTGTCACCTGAACAAGCTGATAAGGGTACTTCTGAAGATAATCATTAGGGTCAGACTTGATCCTCACAAAACTTCCCAACATTTTACTCTCAAAGGTATCAGGAGACTTCACCAATTCCTGGACTAAGCTCTTTCTCAAGTAGAGAAGCTTGATATTATCACTCACAATAGCAGCAAAAGTACCTCTAGGTTTCTTAACAACCTTACCTGTCCGTTTAGCTATCTTCTCCGAATGAGAAATGATCTGCGGCTCATCCTCGTAGAGAAAATCAAAGTCAGAATCATCCTGGTTCTCTTTATAATGCTTTTCAAGGAGATCATAGACTTTCATCCTGAAAATCGTCCTAGACCCGAAAAGCGAAACCAATCTTTTGTCGCACACAACTTTCTTCTTATTGGAAGGATCTAAAAGACCTTCCTTTGCAATATACCTAGCAATAGTGTCACTAACATCATAACGAGAGATCATTTCTGAAGTATCTTTACCAAGTGATTTGAGAAACTCAATGAGTTGTTTCGAACCCCATCCTACAAATTCGAATCGTTTAGGTCTCGCTTTCCTTTTCCTCGAAGAAATCACAGAGCCACCATTACCCTCTTCAACCCAAGTTATATCCCCCATTACAACCCAAAACTTCTCTCTCAAAACCTAAGAAAAACAAAACTCACAACTCTAGCTTAAGAAACTATAAACCCTACTACTGCAGTGGAATGCGAACCCGTACTGTCGCAGATATACCAAAAAAAAGTCGTCGCGTGGAAGAAATTTCCCTACAAAAACTTGTTAATTTGACGAAATGCACGAATTGGAAGAAAACCCCAACGAGCTAATCGTCGAAATTAGTCGCTCTCCGAGAAGAAATTGACGGAAAGCACAAAAAACCCGACATGAAAAAGAAAAAAAAAAAGGATGGGAGAGAGAGCACAGATTCTCAGGCGACTTTGAGAGGTGAGGCTGAGAGGGAACCAGTGGCAGCAACCTCCACGTGCCCTCTTTTTCCGTTTTTGTTTTTTTTCACGGTTAATTTATTACTGCAATAACTTTTTCTTTTTTTACCAAAAAAAACAAACAAACAACTGCAAGGGGGGGAAGCTCCTAATTGATACCAATTGTCAGTTGTGTTAATAATCACCTCTCCAATGGAAGCTGAAGCAGAGTGGCATTGCAGGCATATATATTCCCATCACAAGCTGGAGGCATACCCCAATTGCTACCTACCAACATTTCAAAGACATGTATCTTCTCTTTTATGCATACAAGTAGAAAAGCAAATGTAATATAGCTGATAGCCTAGCGATGCAAGCTAGATGTGAATCTCTTGGCCAATTTTGTAATACCTCTTTGGTTAATGAAGTAAGTTGACGGCTAAAATAAAGATTTTTAACTTGTTTACACAGTTTTGACATTTGAGCAAAGATAAGTTTCAATCTTTTTTCTCTTTTTAAAAAAACAGGTTTTAGAATTAATCTCTATTCTTTTTGGACTTCTCCTTGGCAGGTTTATCAATAGAAGATGGACCAGCAATATACTCCTCTGCATTCACTCTCTCGTGTGTCTTTTTCTGCTTTTTAAACTCCTTTGTCTTGCTCTGCAACACCACAAAATCAATACAACAAAAACCGCCTCAGTGCCATTTCACCAAAGCAAACAAGAGAGGTGTACTGATAAAGATTTCATTTTACCTTCAAGGATTGTGTTAGCTCGGTTATGTCATTCTTTCCATCCTCTGAATTGTTTGCCTTGCTATTGTTGTTCATAGGCTCCTGCAGTAACCAATCGAACAAGTTAGTGTTACGGATTTAAAAGTTTTGATATATAAGGTAGAGAAACGATAAGTATCTTGTGACACTCAAGTTAGAAATGAGACCTCAGGTGGGAGGAATGAGGCATCTCTCTTTCTTTTGTTCTCAGTACTCTTCTCTGTCTGTTTCTCTTGCTTCTCCTGCCATTTTTTCTCTGACTTCTTTTTGTCACTCATAAAGTATTCTCCAGACTCCAACTGCATATCAATCTGGAAAAAAACCATAAAACAAGTTCAAAACCATGCATTAGCATATGACCTAAGAAAACAAAAGACAGAAAGCAGAAACTAGATTGTGCGCATATAGTAAAACAGCTTTATAGAAAATACTTGTTGAGAAACATTCTAACATATTGGGTTTAACACCACAGAAACACAGAGAAAATGATACAATGAGAGGATAAGCAAATTTCCTACCTTGCTAGGCGGTTGAGGCGGTGGGAAAGGTGTGTATGGCTTCTTCTCCTTGCTTTTGGGTTTCTTTTGCTTAACATTTTTCCTGTCAAATCAAATTGGAAATAGCTAAGATATATGCGCTCATGAGTTACTGAAATATTAAAATATATCACTCAATTTACTCATCAAGAATAGAGAGGGACATACTTCCTGAATGTGGGAAGAAACCTATCCCAGCTTTCGTTTGCAAGAGCTGGATCCTTCTCCAGTTCCTTTTTCATCATGAGAGTCTGCATAACCAGGTGTTGAAGTAAATGAATCCATTTGACATAGTCTATTGACAAAGCTTCTAGAACAACTTCTTGTGGGAGTATTAAGGGAAGCACATAGAACCAAAAAAAAAACATACACACCTTTATATGGTATACAGGATGCATTTTATTCTGTACGCAGTCTTCCACAATCCTTCTGAGCTGTTTGAGACCTTTAAATGGACCCATCGCGGCTACAGTACTTCCCTGTTAGACATAGATTAATTCCAATGAACACGAAAATATCAAAAAACCATAGAGAAAAGAAATTTAAGAATGTAGCGAGACATTTGCAAAAGAAACACACAATTACCTGAACTAGAATATAACAGTTGGTTAATATTTCCAGCGCCTGCAAGAAGCCAAAATTATTAAGCCTCAAAGCAAAACACAAACAACAAATATTCGACAAGTTCTCTCAGGAATTTGCATAAGAATACAATAGTTTTGCATAACAAATTAAGCATTACATTACTAGTATCACTAAGACTATCACTAAACATCTCTCTCATATATACGACGTGAAATCAGACATTTTACACACCTTCAAGGTAGAAGAATTAGGACCCACAAGCCGCTGCCTTCTTTTAACAAATCTTTCCTGCAAAAATAAGTCTATATAAGGACCAGATATCACGAAGTATTCTAGGTTTATAGTAGAATGTAATATCAACGTTATAAGGTGCTATTGGTTAACTTTACATATGCCAACATGGAAAGGGACCAAAATGCAAGCACAGCTGTGAGTAATAATTGAGCCCCGAGATAAGATTGAACGGTACCTTATTCCTAACCAAGTTACCGATCTTGATGATATCACATTGCACCTCATCTTCGAGAATCTTAATAGCCTGTAGCGCAAGTGAAGAAAATCCATAAAGTAGCAAAAAACCCCAAATATCCAAAATTAACAGACTTCTAATTACATAGAACAAACACATAGCAGTGTCAAGTTTCCCCAAACAGAAACAGATTACAGCTTATTCTACCAAAATCTTCAGTGGAAAAGAGATGCACAGTTTCGATTCTAACTAAGCTCTCTTGAAGTGGACACTAGTCGAAAGAAAGATGGCGAAACAAATACCTGAGGAGCAGGGACACTTCGGGAAAGAAGCTTAATCAAATCCCTAGCTTTGACAATGATGTATGGATCTCTTGTCTTCCTCGTCGTCGAAACAGTCATAGAACCTTCAACCTACAATCGCAGCCACAGAATAATTCACACAGATCAACAAAAACCCAGAAAAAAAGAGGTAAAAGCAACTAGAATAATTCCTCTACTCTACAAAGACGAAGTGAAAACGAAGACGCACCAAGTTGAGCTTGCAGGCGACACCGTATTCCTTGAGAGCAGATTCAACTCTTGGCCAAGACTCCTGAAGATACTTCTCTCTGTACTGAGGAAAGAGAGTGGAGAATGAGCTGGTTTCGAACATACCGGTGGGATTCCATGCCGGATCAAACTTCTCGATTGTCCAACGGTCGATGTTTGGGTCATCATCCCATGGCTTCGGCTTGTCGTGTTTACCTTTCTTCCTCACTCTCTTCTCGATATTCTGCTCCTCGTGCTCAAGCTCCTCTACCTCCGCCATTGAAGAGGTCAGTTACTTCGTATAGTGACGGCGGCAAAGCTTTATGATGTTTGACCAAGTGAAGCTAGAGGTATTTGATGACCAAGTGAAATCAGAAACACGGCGTAATCAGAAGTGGTGGTGGTGACAATCGAAACCCTATCTCTGTTGGCTTGAGACTTCGCCGTTTTAACACAAATGCCCCAACGTTGTTGTATTGGGCTAGAGTTCTATAGACAATAATTTTAGGCTTTAGGATATCTCTAATAAACATATCTAATTGGGCTTCTATATTTGGCCCAAGAAATTAATTATCATATTTACCTGCTTCTTTTTTTGGCGCAGTAATTAATACATTAGTTAGTTGGCGGATATCCCAAAGTTGCTAACCGAACCAGAGTCTCTCCACACTCTTGTTGAAATCGCCGAATTTCTTTTTTTGCCTCACACACAAAAATACACATACGCAAAAATCATGATTCATCATTGCTCAATTACGAAACCCACTTTCTCAGTTTCGATCTCGACTCAGAAGCATCATCATCATTCCAGTAATTTCGTGAATTTGGGATTCAGAATCCGATGCGAATCCGGGGATGTCTCGTCGCCGTTGCGGACCAATGCGGTGTCTTTGTCGTCGGAGATGGAGGATTCGTCGTCTTTGAAGAAAAATCTAATGGAGTTAGAAGGGAATAAGAGTGAGCCTTACCCAGGAGGAATGCCGAAGATGGGTCCATTCACTGGGAGAGATCCGAATGTGAAGAAACCTGCTTGGTTGAGACAAAAGGCACCACAAGGTGAGAGGTTTCAGGAGGTGAAGGAGTCGCTATCTCGTCTCAATCTCAATACTGTTTGTGAAGAAGCTCAGTGTCCTAATATCGGCGAGGTTCGCATTTTCGATTGTGTCTATGATCTCGAAGATTGTTATTGAAATGTATTGATTTTATGAATTGTGGGTATGAGAAATTTTGAAGTTTGGTTTATAGACTTGACTGATGAGTACCCTAGATGCTAATTCATTCAAAGTTACTCTAGATTTTGTGGCTTTGGTTTTGTTTCTTTGAAAAAGATTCTGAATTTAGCTTTGATAATGTACAGTGTTGGAATGGAGGTGGTGATGGTGTAGCTACTGCAACCATCATGGTTCTTGGTGATACTTGTACTCGTGGCTGTAGATTCTGTGCCGTTAAAACCAGTAGAAATCCTCCTCCTCCTGACCCAATGGAACCAGAGAACACTGCCAAGGCCATAGCTAGTTGGGGGTATGTAACTTTATTTGATTCCTAATCTGAGAATTCTTCTTATATCGTCCTTTAGCTTCTGTTTATGTTCGTGTTCAGAATTGCTAATTAGATAGAATAAATGAAGAAGGGATGAAAATTAAATATTGGTGTCATTGCAGTCTCAACAGTCACTAATGCATCTTTGTTAATTTATGATGGGTGTATCATGATATGCTCTCTTGCAATTTCCTTTGTTGCAGTGTAGACTACATAGTTATCACCAGCGTAGACCGTGATGATATACCTGATGGGGGAAGTGGACATTTTGCGCAGACTGTCAAAGCTATGAAGGTTATTAGTCTAATTGTTTATGCATTATGTTATTGACATCATAATTAGCGGAAGAATCAAATTTGCTCATTTTGTCAGTCCAAGGTTATAGGATGAGACCTCTTAAGAATACTTTTTTTTGCATTTCTCAAATTTGGTTTCAGAGTGTTTGTGGAATTGAAAATGTATATCTCATCTTTGTAGAGACATAAGCCGGATATAATGATAGAATGCTTAACTTCTGATTTCCGTGGGGATTTGGAGGCTGTCGACACTCTGGTGCACTCGGGACTGGATGTTTTTGCTCACAATGTCGAGACTGTGAAAAGGCTCCAGCGACTTGTGAGGGATCCTAGGGCTGGGTGAGTGCTGTTTTCTTGTTCTTCATTTTTTCATATGTCCTGCAAAATTGGTTATGGCATAGATGGGCTGAGCAGTGAATTGATCCTCTGGTCCGGGAAGTCAATCTCATATTACACAGTCAATTATTTCTTCAATCGGTTAAAGTGAGACATAGATAGTGTTCTGCATCTCTAGTTGCAAATCGCTTTTTTATTTTATTTTTTAACGTGGATCGCATGTGGAGAATGCAGATATGAGCAGAGCATGTCGGTTTTGAAACATGCAAAGATCAGCAAACCTGGAATGATCACAAAGACATCCATAATGCTTGGTCTTGGAGAAACTGACGAAGAGTTGAAGGAAGCAATGGCTGATCTAAGAGCTATAGATGTTGATATTCTAACACTTGGCCAGTATTTACAGGTAAACTAATCACTTAACATTTCCCACACATTTGCAATATTCCTATTTCCAACACAGAAAGATCCCAAATTTCAAAGAACATCTACGATTTAAAACCCTTTCTCTTGTTCCAAAATGCAGCCAACTCCATTGCATCTGACTGTGAAAGAGTATGTCACACCTGAGAAGTTTAATTTCTGGAAAACATACGGAGAATCAATAGGATTTCGCTATGTTGCAAGTGGTCCACTGGTAAAGCCACAAACTAGCTCTTACTTTGGATCTCTTTATGTCAAAATATCTGAGAACACTGAAGATGTCGAAATGTGCTTGTTTGATATGGGATATGTACTTTTTGCAGGTAAGATCTTCATACAGAGCTGGAGAGCTTTTTGTTAAGACAATGGTGAAAGAAAGCTACTCTAAATCCTTGCCTTGATACAACAATGGCTACTATAATGCCAAAAGTGATTGCTGAGACCACAAAGCCTTTTTCCTATCTTTTTTGTTTGTTTCTTCTAATAGACTTCATTCATTTTGGTAATTTATTTGGAAACCATTGTGGATATATAAAAGTTTATACTATATAGTTTTGTGTTTTTATAAAATCCTGCCAATAATATCTGGAAATGGCCTCAAGATATTTACAGTGTTGGATTCTCTATCTGAAGCCACAAGTTCCTCATCCCATATAGCCTTAGATTGTCTCATGTCTGACACGCGTCGCCTCTCTTTTATCCAAAAATAATCCGACTTTAATTTAAATCAAATAATTAGCAAAATTAGTAATCGCCTTAATTAAATTAATCATCTAATATAAATAGATGAGGCGCTAAAGGCTTAATCTTTTTTGTTTACTCTCTCACTTTCTTAAGATTTTTTTTTTTCTGGCTCGGACGCAGATGACTAACGGTTACGCTCTGTCACCGGCGATTATCGCCGCCGTTCGTCCTCCGGCATCTCCAGACTGTCTAGCTGCTGCTTCTCTAAATGGACGCAAATCGATCAACTCTTCATCTTCTTCCATCTTCGTACCTATCTCATTATCTACTTCCTACGGTCGAAGCAAATGCGCCTTCTCAATCTCGCGAAAGAATCCAAGATCGACGATTCGTTGCGATACTGCTGTGAAATCAGCGGCTTCTGTAGACGCGGACGCTGATCTATCGTCATCTACGTCATCGGAGACGGAGGAAGACGAGAAGGCGAAGGAGAAGATTGGGGCTAGGGTTAGGGTTACGGTGCCGTTGAAAGTTTACCATGTGGTTCGTGTGCCGGAGGTTGAATTGATGGGAATGGAAGGTTTAATCAAAGATTACGTTGTTCTTTGGAAAGGAAAGAAAATCTCAGCTAATTTGCCGTTTAAGGTACAATTCGTGAAAGAGATCGAAGGTCGTGGTCCTGTCAAATTCTTCACGCATCTTAAGGAAGACGAGTTCGAGTTAATTGATCCGTGATTGAATTGAAAAGGCACAAGTTTTCTTCTCTTTCTGATCTTATTAGACTTGAGAAATCTTTTGTGAATGGTTTGTTTGTATGTACTTTTGTATACATTTAGCTTATTATATACATAATATTTCACCCATTCTTGAATCCTCTATTGCTGTTTTCTTGCTTCTGATGTGATTTCCCATATTATATTGTTCTTCTTGTGTTGGAGAAACTAAAAGATGTGTCTTGATCCATTGACAAGCTTGGAAGCCTATCAAACTGATTTTGCATTTGATGGGTTCACTTCAAATTAACATCATTGAATTTATCTTATCCTCAAAATCTGTCATCCATTGGAGGTTATGAAGTAGATTGTGGTGGGCATGAAAGTGTTAAAGAGATTAGCTTCTGTAACTCTATGAGTGTTTTCAGTTGATTCTTATAGTGTGAATCTTTGTTTGTAGTTTAGAACCAGGAACTAAAAGGAATGGCATCAGATTTTTTCTAGGGTCTTATCCTCTTTGTTTCGCATATAATCAAATGTGGGATTGCATTCTGGATCTTTGTAGGAGAGTCTTTAAGTTATAGTAGTAATGCTTATTTTACTCAGATGGCATGAGAGTGTTGAGGAATTGGTTCCTGTGTCAATGTGGATGGCTCCTCTGCTGCAACTCTTTGTTGTTGCCATGGATAGTGATAATATGAGTATATGATGTGGGATTTGAGTAGTATTGTGGTTATTCTTCTTAAGTTGTGAGCATTTTTGCTTTACTGAGATAAGATCATGAGTTGTAGTAGACTCATAAGAACCAGCAAGAAGTCAGGTGTTGTGCTAAGGTTATGTACCAAATAATCCATGAGGGATATTGTTCCAGCCTTTTTTCGATTCGAATAGTTCGGCTTAACCTGATTGAACCGGGTTTAAAATGTTGTAATCCGATAAATATGAGTCTAATGAAATCTCTGCAAAATGTGTAAGATCAAAACTTTTGAGCTTGTTTATAAACATTAAACAGTAACGAGAAAAGATCGAACTAGGAAAGAAGAAAAAAATGTACGAAAATAATCTCTTATCGCTCTCTGCATGCACCATGAATCTCAATTTCGCTTTCTCCCCATTCCTTGTCTCTCAGAGACAACCATTCTCTCCCCAAAAGCGTAATCTTCACACTCTCATCGCTGTTTCTGCTAATTCCGACAACCTCGCCGGTGAAAATAACGGCGGAATGTCGGCGGTGAATAAAGGTTCTGGGACTACGGCAAGAGGAAGGAGATTACTCAAGGTTAGAGAAGAGAAGAGAAAACGCGACTACGATCGTCTTCACGATTACCCGTCTTGGGCCAAGTACTTGTTGCTTTCTCTTTTGCACTCCAAGTGTTTGCGTTTTTGCCTAAATCACGAGAACCTTTTACTGAATTGGTGGAAATTAAAATTGCAGGGTACTGGAAAGTGCGTGTAAAGATGATGAAGAGCTTCGAGCTGTTCTTGGTGATAGCATTGGTAACCCTGAGCTCATGAGAAAGAAGGTAATCGTTCGTTTGGTCTCTTCTTTACATATTTATTGTCGAATGAATTTTGTTCTCTGTTATAGTTTCTTTCTTAGTGAAGATTTGGCATGTGTTCGGGCATATATTTATATGTCTTGTTTCTATCGATTCTGAAGTTCGACATGTTTATGTTTACTACCTATTCAGGTTGAAGAAAGAGTTAGGAAGAAGGGAAAAGATTTCCAGAAGCAGAAGACTGGTTCTGTGCTTTCTTTCAAAGTTAACTTTAGAGAGTGAGATTCTTTTTTTTCTATCTTCTTCATTGCTTCACCTTGGTGTCTGCATTCTACAACATAAGACTACTTCAGAATCCCATTCCATAAATTACTCACCGTTATATGACCACTATTCTTATTTTGATAACTGCAGCTTCAATCCTGTTGATTCCTTCATATGGTTTGAACTCTATGGAACGCCTTCAGATCGAGATGTTGATCTCATAGGAAGTGTAAGAAAATTGTCTTCTTTTTGCTATTGCAATGATTCAATGATTTTTCCATCTCTTTCTTTTGACCACGAGTTTGTTTACAGGTTATACAGGCATGGTATGTTATGGGGCGATTGGGCGCTTTCAATACATCCAACTTGCAGGTTTATTCATCATCCTCTGTTGTTTAGTTGCTAATCATGTTTTTTCTTCCTGTTTCCATGGTCATCTTCATTCTCGTCTTAATGATATAATCTAAACTATGATTGCAGCTAGCAAATTCATCTCTAGAATATGATCCTCTCTATGACGCAAAGAAGGGCTTCAAAGTGATGCCTTCATCGTTTCATGACATTAGCGATGTCGAATTTCAAGACAACTGGGGTCGTGTGTGGTAAACAACTGTTCTGACATCCTTTCTAATGCAGACTATTTCCTTAAAAACCTTGTAATTAGCCTGAACTTTACTTGCACTGTTTCTCGTAGGGTTGATCTTGGTACTTCCGATATCTTCGCCCTTGATGTGCTTCTCAACTGTTTAACAGTTATGAGTTCAGAGTAAGTAACACAAGAAGACTTGTTGTTCCCTTTTATCCTCTTTGATTGATTCCTTTTTTTGTTGCAGAAAACTTTAATTTTTGTTAATATAAAATTTCAGGTACTTGGGCATTCAACAAGTAGTATTTGGTGGTAAACGAATGGGAGATTGGGAAGAGGGAATGACAAATCCTGATTTTGGGTATAAGTACTTCAAGATCTGAATTTTCTAGAAAACAGTTTTTGTTAAATATAGGCTTCTCTTTTGTGCTCTTAAGAACAAATAGCTAAACAGTGTGGAAGAAATGATAACCTAGATCAATACAACAGCCGAAATGGCTCTTTACACACCAAGTTAGCTTGAAACCGAGAGACAGTACCGTGGAGATTCTGCTTCCGCAAGGCAAAGGTAACGGACCCGAGCAGTGGCCAGACGCAATACGCGAGGGTTAGTTAGTCTTCCATAGACTCTTTTGGTTAGCTTGGTAGAATTAGCTTTAGTATTGTTAAACTCCACACTGGAACCAAATCCACATCCAAAAAGTACGGAGTCATCATGATGAAACTTCTTGAAATGTTAAGTTAAGTTCATGCAGAGTCTTAGCCACCAAATTTCCTCTTCTGCAATATCCACAAAGAGATATATAAGACACAAGATAATAGACTTAAAAAAAAAAAGAGAAGATAACCATCCAACTCTTCATTGTCCAGTAGATGAAATTTACCCACCTTGCTAAAGAGGGAAGGCAAGCCTTGATTTTCTCGAGTTCGACAAAGCAACAGCTGTACCGCTCCATCCTGAATAGCAAAAATCATATTTGACTTGCCAAACAGAGTAAATTGCAATCGAAAATGACAATGAATGATAAGAAGCTCGAACCAACCTTTGCTCAGCCTCAATATCTACACCAACAGATGATGGAGCCGAAAGCGACGAGTAAATTTGTGACCCATACATTCTTACCAGCTTAAGCAGCAATTCCAGGCAGACACTCAAATGACTAGAGACATGAAATGGTAATTAGAAAACAAAAACAGAAAACTACGGATTGATAGTAATAGATGACCACGTCATTACTCATTATGTTCTTTAAAATGAATTGCTTACCTATCAATGTTGCTCCCTAGAAGAGTTGTCAAAAGGGGAAGAAGAGAGGTACAAGTATCCAGTGTCAAAATCTCAGGTCTCTCGTTTACTATAAGTAGTACATCCGCAACGACCTGTATCAGATGAAATCATGAGAGTTTGCGTAAATGGAAAATATTTACATGGTGTTTATTATATACATGAATTTGAAAGGAAACAAACAGAAGTTTCTTACAGCATTATCAGCCATCTTCTCTATTGAACTTATCGAGTTTTTAATATCATTTCTTTCCCAATATCTACGGACAACCTGCAAAGTCGGTGAAACTCTTTAGAAGATAAAAAAATGTTTATGGAGATCTGTGAAGTATTACTGCTAGCATTCTAATTAGGAAACAGACCAAAAGCATTAGTATGCTCTGTACTTTCATGGTGTTACCTGTAACTTAGCCAAACGAGACTGCATGGAGCTGACAAATTGATCGTGTTGCCCCATTATGTCTACAACAATATCTTCTTCGCTAGCAGAAGTGACTCCTTGATCAACTGGCTCATGATTTCCTCTGTGCTTGACCTGCATGAAAGGATATAATGTCATAATTATCTCTGTCGTAACACAGCGGAAGCATGACTATATGAGATGTTGAACACTAGTAATTGGGAAATTTTATGTCTGCTAACATGCTGAAGATGCAGGACCAGTTAAAATTCAGTTTTTTAAAAAAAGGATCTGAGATCTGACTAATTACTCGTTGCTCTTTATTTTGTCCTTCCTCATTCTTCGTTTCTACAGTCCCTGTTGTATAGCCTCGAGATCCCAAATAAAAAAAAAAAAACAAAAACTCAAGGCCATTACCATATTGGAAGGGCGACTGTTTGGTGCAGTCATATTTCCACCAGAAGAACTCGAAACAGGACCCTCAAAGTTTGAAAATCTTCCTCTTCTTTCTCTATTTAGAACGAGGGAATGCAGTCTTCCTAGTATGTCAAGGCAGATAATTAGAATCTTTTCATACGCGCATTAAAAGGGAAAAACAAAAAAAACAAACAAATGTTGGGAAAGAGTTACCTCCTTTTCGACTTTCAGTAGGACTTGAATCTCTATTTGCATTATAGCTAATCAAGTCAGCTGAAATAAAGAGTTAGTTAGCTCAGAACTGAGAACAGCATCCAGAAAACTCAGACACAGCTATCTATAATATAGAAGGGCCAACTAAACAAAAAGTTGTTTTACTGAAACAAATTGTACTAAAAAACAACATGTATACCTAAAGACTGATTCCTAGGATCTCATAAATATAAACCCAAGTCCTTCAGAAACTCAGAAAAGTGTTCTCCAGATTTAAGATGCCACAATAGCTTATCAATATGAAATGCCATTCATATTTGCTCTAAAACAAAGGACGACTGGAAATGCGTGTAAACATACAGTTTTCGTCGTGATTTCTCGGAGGTGATCTCACCAGTGATCTTGAATTAAACCTTCCAAATACCCTGTATCTGCTATCTTTATTTATTCTCTCAGCTGTATCCCATGAGCCACCTTCGTCACTAGGATATGTATTCCCATCTTGTAAAGTGATTGGTTCTATATGTTGAGACTGAGACCTTTCAAGAAGCGAACTGGTTGGTAGATCTGGCTCATTTTTGCTGCTTGACAGCCTCCGAGAATCAGCCGCCTTTGACTGCAGCGAATATGGCATAGTTCTTCCAATAATGTCAAGTTCTGCTCTGAATTCAGATGCCTGCTCAATTATTGGCTCCGTTCTGGGGACAATTACTGGAAAATAATCTTCTTTATTGATTACAGGAGGATTCGCCTTTGGGTTAGCTTTTCCAAAATTTCTCTTGGAGGCTGCAGCAGTGGGGACAACTGTCGAAATACCAGAAGCACTTTTTGGAGCACTGGTCAAAGTAACCCTGTGAGGAGAGTCTGATACACTTCCTGTGGCTTCAGCAAACAGCAGACAAACCAAAAGATGCGATAGCATTTAGTAAGCAGCAACACAATAACAAAAAAAGTGAAGAGAGAAGAAAAAAGAGAGCAAAGTAAAAACATACATGACAGATTTCTTGACTCTTTTACTACGTCTGAGCTATGATGAGTGACTGACAACCTTCCGAGAGGCTTTGGTTCCTTTACCAAAGGATCTGAACTTTGAGATGCTGATGACCTTCCAGTAGACTTTGTTTCTTTTGGCAAAGGATCCGAGTTTTGAGAAACTGATAATTTTCCAAGAGACTTTGTTTCCTTCAATAAAGGATCCACTTTCTGGGAACCAGGCAACTTTCCGAGAATAACCTTTGAGCTGTTATCGTTCAGACCTGATTGATCTCTGCCTGAGCCCGATGTTTTCTCTGGATGAGAATTTGACTGAGTGGCGCTGGCGCCTCCACTCATAGGCTCAGTGCGCTGAGGATGTCATTAGAAAATTGAATGGAGAGCTTAGAGATAACAACCATGGAACAGGCAAAACTATAAGAAAGCATGTAGGGGTAGAGAGAGAGAAATACCGAGAGGTCAACAACCCAAACGCCAACACAATTTTGATTGTATGAGCAACCGAGAAGCTTTCCCTCGTGAACATTCATATCCGACAAGTTTGACCATCCAACATCCACTCCATCATGACATCTTATTGGCTCCCATGAGAAAATCTACAATTTGCATGGAAGTTAGTGTGAAAAGACAGCAAACATGTATATTAAGATGAAAAGGATGTAAGGATTATAACATTGAAAGAGGGATTTGTTAAGTTCATAAATTTCTAACTGAGACATCCGGAAACTTACTTTGAGACTTTCTTGCAATCCACAAAGCACACTCTTTCCGTCTGGATTAAAGGTCAGGCAACGGACCCCAGTAGTCTAAGAAATGAGAATATTAGAAAGTTGAATGAAAGATCGAATACTTGTAATTTGACTCAATGCATAACTAGAAGTAGTATAGACAACACATGATACCTCAGTTCCACCAGAACCAATAAGCTCGAATGTTTCAAGGTCCCAGAATTTTACAGTCTTATCAGCTGAACCTATAACAATAGGCAAAAAAACATAATTTAAATGAACAGTAAGGAAAACGATGCCATAAGAAGAAATATCCACTACTGAAGTCTCTCTCATGTCAAATCCTAACGCTTAACATATGAGAAAGCTGTAAAAATGTGAGTTACTAAGAGACATGATGCAACAGTGATCTAATGATGTCAGGGTTAGTTACACCATGCAATTTTGCTTATAGCACTCTTAGCTTTAAGAATGAGTCGGGTTCATATCATTGTGATAATTCTGTCACCCGATAATTTAGGAGCTTCAATGTTAGGAAGTTTCCGTAGTTAGGATTATACAGACCTGTTGCCAGCAGAAATTCGTGGGGATGAAAATCTAGACTCTGAATTTGCCCTTCATGACTCTTAAACTCATGCAAAAGTTTTCCAGCAGTCAAATCCCAAACCTGGTGAAAGCAACCCACATATCAGATCCAACGATAAGAGAGAGAGAGACCAAAAAATTGCAGGTAGCTTGCTTTTCATGATAACAAGTACAGTAAGCAGTACAAACTCTGAGATGAAATCATGAAACAAAGAGATAGGAAAGCCAGATAATCTAAGTATCCAAGTTGATCACGTAGTATAAGCGTATTTAGCACTAAACAAAAGTTTTCCCCTAGGGTAGTAAGGTCAGCCGCATAGAGGTAACATTAAATAATCGCATGTTCTCATCCACACATAACGAGCCTACTCTGAAATATTTGTTGATGACAACCATCTCTCAGCACCAGTTTATGCCTATTTAACAAAATGTGGTTTGTCCTCCCAAATACATACTCAGAAAGGAAAAAAGGCAGCTACAAACCTTGACAACATTATCTTCTCCTCCAGATACAATCCAACGACCATCTGGAGTAAATCTGAGTACATTGACCCCTCGAGTGTGACCCTTGTAAGTATGGATGCATCCCTTCTTTCTTATATCCCATATCTTGAGATTAGTGTCTAGAGACCCAGAAGCAAAAAACTCACCAAAAGGGTGAAAATTCACGGATACGCAGTTCGACCTGTGACCAGTGAGAGTTCTGACAACTACTCACCGATGCGACCAAAATAACATATTCAGTAAATAGAAGAGGCGGGTGTGGCTGACTAACAGAAAATGAGAAGAGTATCTAGATAATCATATATAGAAGTACTAAACATACCCTTTGCCTCCTCGAGATCCCAAAGTTTAATTGTACCACTAGCAGCTCCTGCTGCTACTAAGCCTTCCGAAGCATCAAACGTTACTGAATCAATCCCACTAGAGTGCCCATACAAGCTCTGACAACAAAACAGCCACAAGTAGGCACTCAGACAGAAAATCTTCCAAACCGCGCTACTACGTAATATCTAAAGTGTGTCGCATTTCCCCTAAAACTAATCTACCGAGGCATTCCTAAATAGAAGCAGCGGAGGGAGAAATGAGAGAACTAACCAGGATGGCGTTGGGCTTACCAATAGCCCATAGATTGACCTTGTGATCTTCCCCGCCTGTAACGAGAACCCTGGAGGACTTCCTCCCAATCTTAAGACAATTAACAGCAGCAGAATGTGCCACAAATTCCTCTTTTTGAATGACACAAGTCAAGGCTAAACAATACTCTGAGATGAGACTCTCGAGTCAAAGAAGAAATTGACTAAAAGTGTCAAAATTTAGAGGCACCGAAAAGTAATAATGAAGACACAAAACACAAAGCTAAGAAGTGCATACAGATCTCGTGAACCCAAAAGAGCTAAAAGCAGCAGATCAAGCACGAGACGACACTGGAGTTAAACCAATAATTCACCAGAAGTAAACCCTAAAAGATGAAATCAGAGAAAAGGATACGGAGCTTGTAGGCGCGCTTGGTGTTCATGGCGGAAACGAAACCCTTACATCGGCGACCATCCAAATTCTTCTACTCACGAACAGACAAAAATCCAGCTAGTAGCAAAAGCAACTTAAGATCTCAACAAACAGCAATTGCAATCTGAAATCTCGAAATGGGGAAACAATCCATAGAGAGAGAGATGAAGAAAAGAGAGCATACCAGCAAAACCCAGAAGCCCAATCTCAGCTCAGAAACCAAATTTAGGGGATGAAATTGATTGGAAAAGAATGCAGATTGAAGAACAGTATCTTGCAGTAAACGTCGTTGTTGCCTTTACGAAGAAGATAAAAATGGAGCTTGTTGGATGAGTTAACTTATAAAAATGGAGATGTGAATGACACACAGACAGACACACAAGGAAGCAGAGAGAGAGAGAGAGAGAAAGGAAGCTGCTTTTCCTATTACTTATTACCTCTTCTTCTTCGTATCTATTCAAAAAATTTCAAAAAAATTTCAATTTTCTGGCAAAAACGTAACCAATCCACCTATTCAAACAGACCAAACTTTAGTTAAAAAGTTGATTCCTGAAAAATATACATGATTAAATTCTACATTCAAACTAAAATCGTACCAATCTGAATTATAGTCGTAATCAAGTTACTCCGAGACTAAACATAGAACAAAGCTATGCTAAATGTGGATTCAACTCCCAATATAGTAGTGTTTTTAAATAAAATAATTCAAACTATATTCTGATACAGTAGGATATCATTAACATATGATAATTTTGTGTCACAGTTAACTTATGATATTTTATATTTTGTTGTTCTTTTTTTTCTTTTTTTTGGTCAGTTCAAACAAAAGGGTGATATTTTTGTCTAATGAGGAGTATTATATTTGTGTTTTTCATATTTGATTCGGTTCATATTTTCAGAAACTTTAGTAGCTAAGCAGTATAATTAGTTTATCGTATTTGAAAATTATTGTCGGTGCTTAGTACAATTAACACTTTAACAGGTGATGGTCGTTTAGGATAACGTAACCGGTTTATTTTGGTTTCCTAATCGGTTTAGGTTTTGTAAATCGAATTTGGTACCTTTGCAATTATTGGTCTGTTGTCCTTTTTTAAGTTTCTAAACAAATGTAACGTTTTCTTGTTTTTAGGTGATAATATTGTTTTGGTGACTTAGTTTAGGAAAGGTCTGCAAAGAAAGAACTTAATGAGATTAATGACATTGAGGAGAAAGAAGTTGGCTATGAAGATAATGACGATGAAGAGAATTTAGATCACTGATTAAAACTTTATCATCTTCCGTAGGTTTCTACTCGTAGTTAATTGATGAAGTTCTGAGAAATGTGATGGGTTTTGAATTTTGAACTTCTGATGTCTAATTTGGTGAAATTAGTTAATGCATTGTTCAGTTTTATCAATGAATTATTGTAAGCTTAAGCTTTTCATATTTCCAGTGTTCAAATGGGTTGCCTTGTATGTTTCCGTTCTGTCTCAATCTTTTTTCTCTCATATATGTGCATTTGATATAATATTGTAGGTGATATTGATTCATTTGACTATCTACTTTTTGTTCATGGCTTGGAGCAATTGCATTCATTAGCATGCATGCAATCAAATTATCGAATGTCCAGCTTTAATGGCAGACTAAATTCACATATATAACAAGGTAACTAATGCCATGATTATTTAAAGCATAATATTTTGCGTTCACAAGAAGAAAAAGGTAAACACATAAAGCAAAAGGGTCCTCCGATACAAAGGATTAATGGACCATGCATGAGAAATATATAGATTTGGAATTAAAATATTGGATAAAGATTTAAGGTTAAAAAGTTAATCAAAAGAAAACTTGAAAACACACACAGAAAGGGATGAAAACAAAATAATTAATTAGCCGATGTAGATGTGAATCTTGAGTGCGAGAAGGAAGACGCAAACAAGGGAGAAGTAGAGAAGAGAATGGACGATAACGGAGACAGCACTTGTCTGAAAATTACCAAACTCAACATATTTTTGTCGTCCCGGCAACTGAAACAGAAGCCCTGGCGTCAGCATCACGAAGAGTATCACCGTCACTAGTACCGGTCCCCAATCCGACATTTTCTCTCTTTCTTGATGATGATGCTTGCTTAAACGAGTATTGGAGAAATGAGACAGTGGGTTTTCATTTATAGTGTCATAGAATAAGAGAGAGGGATTGGAGGAATGTGAAGAAGGTGGGTCGGAGAGTTGATTCATGAAGTCACTGTTGATTCTCTTTTTTGAAGGGTTTACTTGTGAATCAGGTTTTGGTTTTTTTTGGGGAATTGTAATGTCCTTTTTCCAAACTAAGTACCTATCGTGAAAAGTGAACTAGAGATATATCATGTAGAAAATCATCTTAAATACTTCTTAGATCGTTATAAGTTTTTATTTTTTCTGATCATATTTTGAGTATTCCAAGTTTTAGCTTTTGAATAATGATGGATATATAGTTGTTGAAACGGATTAACGGATACCGTTATTGAATACTTCACAAAACTTATAGTTTTGAAATTCATAACTTTTTATTGTCCCGAGTTACTTACTTATGATATTTGATTAGCACCCAACATTGAGGTAACATAAAGAAGATAATATAGAACAAGAACAAAGATATACTGATTATCTACTGTTGATCAAAAAAAAAAAAGACCGGCTTTTAGACAAACCGAATTAAGAAATAAATATTCGGTCGGAACCAAACAGCCAAATCGAATGTCCACGACAACTATAAAAGCAAAGCAAAAAGCATCAACCCTCCTAGTTTTCGTATCTCTGCCGCAGCCAGCCAATGAAAGCTCAGAGAGCCCCCGACATGAGAAGCAAAATACTCTATACAGGATCGGTTATGCAGGACGTCCTAGCGAGAAAGGATAAAGATGTAAGTGATATGATCTCCTTAATTTGTATCTCGGTCGGTTGTTTTGCTTCTAATTTGTGTCCACGTACTACTTGTGTGATATTAGGAGCTTGAAAGTCTGATTCGGATATTGAGTAATCGTGGTATGAGAGGCTGCAGGGGAACATGGGAGGAATTTGTAAAAGTATACTTCCCAACGTTTGGACGAATCATTACTTGTCCTTCGTTTTATCCACGAGAGGGCCTCCTCACTTTCCTAGCTACATTCAGGAAGAAAGAGGATGAACAGGTAATGACAAAACATGTACAATTGTTTGATATCTGAGACTTATCTATATATTGGTTATGTGTGTGTTATTATTACTCTCAAGCTATTCTTGGCTTGGAAAATGAGTCGCGGCCGTCATCTGTCTCACGTAGTAGTCTCAAAGGAACCTTCGGACGGTACTCATTTGCAGGTGTGGATTTCTTACAACATCAAAATTTTGGTCGAGTCTTGTAACTCTGTTTTCATGTCTCTCTCTCTCTCGCTCTGGTGTTGCAGAGGCTGGTTCGCTTGACTCATACTCGTGATGACCACCCATTAGACTACTTTTTGCCCCCGGAGGACAAGGTTTGTGTTTTTTATTAACAGCTATTTTTTTCAATTATAAACAGAAAAAGTTGTGAATTGTTAAAAACAGGATTGGGTTGTCACGAGGAGGTGGGATGGTAAAGTCGGTAGTAAGATGGTTGCTGTTTGTTGTGAGATGGTTCTTTGTAATGATGGGAGTGAAACTGTTGTTAGAGTTTCTGCAGTTGACCGTTATTTAAAGGTTTCTTCATAAACTTACTTTCTTTTGGGCAAACACTCTTTTCTTTGTTGTTGTTATAAAATGTGTCTGCTTTCTTTAAAAAAAAAACAGGTGATTCTTGACGAATTTGTGAAACCGAATAAACCAGTTTCTGACTACAGAACCGATGTTACCGGGCTTAATGCTCAAGATCTTGAAAGTGCTTCTACTCTTTCTGTCGCAGATTTACAGGTACTTTACACAAACCTTTTTCTTTTTCTTCTTTATATTTTGCACTTGTTAATTGTAATGTCGAATCATTTTTCCCAGGAAAAAGTGGGGAAATTCCTCTCTTGGAATACGTTTATGGTAGGCCACTTTTTGAACCACGATCTAAATGGTACGTACAACAAATATGCTTTCAGTTTCTTCTTTTTCTTTCTTTCTTTATATTAGTTTCAAAACCCTACTGATCGATACGACTCTTCTCAGCTTTGAAGATGGATCATGCAAGAAAAATTGATACTTCTCTTGTGTTTAAGTATGATTATTCCGACGGTCCGAGCAAGCCTCCAAGGCCTTCTTTCGATAATCTGTGCAAGGTTAGCCTGTGAAAGGTTTTCTTCTTTCGCTACTTGAGTGATCAAACATAACTTTTTTGTTTCTTTCTTTCTCTTCCCAGTCTATATTTGGATATCAAGTGCAGGGAGCCCCCCACAAGGCAAACGCTGTCATGCAACTTGTTCTTGCTATAGTAGAGTTAGGAATAGCGACCTCTATTCCACTAACTGAAGAGCTTAAGCTTGAGGCAAATTCTATAAAACTTTTAATAGCTTCATCTAATTTTATCAATGAAATAGACTAATACTTTTGTCCTTTAATCCTTGTAGATGTTGAAAGCTGAGGAGTCATTAAAACTGTCCGTTCAAGCAAAGTCAAAACCCTTCATTCCAGCAAAGAGAAGTCTCACAGAGGAGGACAAGGTGAGTTCTAAGAAACAGAAGAAGGAGGAGAATGTCAACCAAAGTCAGCCGAAGTCAACAATACCAAAGCCTCTGCCTCAAACAGAGGATTTGAGTAAAGCAGAGAAGAAGCCTAATCCTCTGAGTCAACCAGAGTCTTCTGTCTGCAACAATAGGAAGCTTCCTCCCAAACGGTCATCGACAACATCACGTGCTTCTATTACTCTGCGAAACCAATTTGCTATTTTGAGTGATCTAGATTAAGCAATGTGTCATGTGTTACCCTAATGTCTCTAAGAGTGTCTCTATTATGAATATGTAAACACTCTGTATTTGGCAGATTAAGAAATGAGAATTGCATTTTAAAGCTTATTTCTCTTCAAGCTTTCAGAGAATGAAAATGTTTGATGCCCTATTTTGTGTACGTAATTCATAACTTTTTATTGTCCCGAGTTAATACTCGTTAGGATATTTGATTAGTACCCACCACTGACGTGACACAACACAATAACAACAAAGAAGATACTGATTTTGTTTTTTTTCAGACACAGAAGATAATATAAATAACTTTTTGAAAACCCTTGAATGAAATTAATATTTACAGAGAGAAGAAAATGATATATGCCGACCTAAAATCGATATATACTAATATCATGGATTCATGGCTACAGACGTACAGAAATCAAAGACCTTCAAAGTCTTCTTTATGAACGTAATTTTAACTCCATAACAAAGACATATCTTGACAAGAAAAAGACATATATTTCAAAGAACAATCCAGAAAATCATATTTAATCCCAATACAAACAATGAGTCACATTTACAAAACTAGTAAAGTATGTTGCAAAAATACAACATTAAAATTAAGATATATTTTTTTATTGAATTATTAATCAACTATAAAAAAAAATTATTAGTCAAGATCAGAGTAAACCCAATAAAGTGTACAAAATATTTCACAAGTAAGAACTTAAAAATCCACTGATGATAATACACAACCCATATAGATACTTTTCTAAAAAACTGACCTAAGTGTTTGATTTCGATTTTGCTTTCACTAAAACTATTATTTATCATTTTATCCTAGCTACTAGTCTAAGAAACGTGAGCTTTTCGAATTTCCAACTTTAATCTTGGTCAAGACTTTTCCGTTAAATCAATAAAAAATCTAACCGTAAAAAACAAATTAACCTCTTACTATTTATTTTTTACAGCAATTAACCTTCTATTTAAAATGTTTTTAATCATCTAAAAGAATCCAACCATTTAAAATCATGACAGAAAACAGAAAAAAATAGGAATTATATCTTCTTTAGTTATCAAATTGTTTTTAAAAATTATGTTAAGACCTTGGCTTATATATATTAAATATTAATATATATATATGTGGACTGTTAAGATTGTTTTTTTAAAAGCTAAAGAAAAAGGAAAGTACAGATAAGAGTTGCGAGGGGCAAAATGGGAATAAATAGAATTTTATAGAACACTCTGAAGTTTCTTCTACTACAAAGTACAAAGCCAGTGTTCGTCAACTGTCTTCTTCTCACTCTGTGATTAAGCTTGTTTAGAGAGGTTTTGCTGAGATGGCGAGAACTAGAGCAATGGTGATAAAGATGTCAACACTTATGATACTGATTTCATTAATGGTGATGAATATGGTCGAGTCTTCGAGATCAGTTAACAAGGTTAATAATGGTGACGATTCTGAGATCTTACGAAGACACTTGCTCACTAATGGCCTCGGCGTCACTCCTCCCATGGGGTTTGTATTAATCTTTTTCTTTCTCTCGCTCTGTGATTAAGCTTGTTTCCTTCTTAATGGTTGGTGGATTTTACGATTGATTCCCAAATTTGGAGTTTGTGAAATCGAAAGACAAACACATTCTACAACCACTAGTCTTTGACCAAACTCCCAAATAATAAGAGAAGAAATAGCTTGAATTTAACTTCCATATCCTGAAAGTTGTTGTTAATAATCGATTGATTTTTCTATGTTGTGAAAAGTGTTTATATTTTTGTGTTCTTGATGATGTCTGAATTAAGTTCAATGTAATGGTGTTACAGGTGGAATAGCTGGAACCATTTCAGCTGCAACATAGATGAGAAAATGATCAAAGAAACTGGTGAATTCTCAATTTTTCTCAATCCTGGATTATTCTTGCATGCTTGTAACAGCTGATGCTTTGGTTATCTTAACAAATCTTGATGCTTGTAACAGCTGATGCTTTGGTTACTACTGGCCTCTCTAAGCTTGGTTACAAATACGTTAACATCGGTATGTATGCTCTTAACGCGAAATATAGATCGAATATCAGTACTCTGAAGTTGATTAATGTTTCTTTCATCAATATGATTGCTTAAAGAGTAAAACTTTTCATGAGTTATTGCTCTTCACAGTACTGAAATCTTGGTTTGTTCCTCAGATGATTGTTGGGCTGAAATTTCTCGTGACAGCAAGGTATTATAACTTCTTTGTGTTTACTGGTTTCATTTATTGTTCTGCAGTTTTGCTAGATTTTATCTTCGTTAACTCTGTTTTCCAGGGAAGTCTGGTGCCAAAGAAGTCAACTTTCCCTTCTGGTATTAAAGCGCTTGCTGATTATGTTCATAGCAAGGGCCTTAAGCTCGGGATTTACTCAGATGCCGGGTATATTACTATTGCTTTTTGCCTTTTTGCAAATTTTCTTACACATTGGCCTCATAATTTGTTTTGGTTTACAGGTATTTTACCTGCAGCAAAACCATGCCAGGTTCTTTAGGCTATGAGGAGCATGATGCCAAGACATTTGCAGAATGGGTACGTCCATGTCATTCTTGTTTTCTGACATTCTGAGAAACTGGTCCCTGACCTGAAATTCAGACAATAAGTAGTAACAATGCTTGGCTCAAATTTCAGGGAATTGATTACTTGAAGTATGACAACTGCAACAACGATGGCTCTAAACCGACTGTCAGGTATAACTGATGACACCAGGTTTAGCCATAAAAGTTATAATATACATTCACTGCCAATAATAGATGAATGATACCATTCAGGTATCCGGTGATGACCCGAGCTCTGATGAAATCTGGCCGCCCCATCTTTCACTCATTGTGTGAATGGTATAAATCTTGTTCACTTTCAAAGAAACATTGTGTTGTTTCTTCTGCAGAAGAATAAAGACTTCTAAATTGGTTTCTTATCAGGGGAGATATGCATCCAGCTCTATGGGGATCTCCAGTAGGCAACAGTTGGAGAACCACTAATGACATCAAAGATACTTGGCTTAGGTAAGAATAAAACAAAAAAGATGGAGACATGTTTCTTAAAAAGATTGCTTATCTTGACAAGGTTTTTGCTTGTTACAGTATGATCTCAATAGCAGACATGAATGAAGTCTACGCTGAGCATGCAAGACCTGGTGGCTGGAACGGTACTGTTATTATATCAGCAAGAGACTACTGCTTTAAGTTTTAGGATTTGGAGATATATTGATGACGAGTGGGTGACTTTGTTGTTGGTTGCAGACCCGGATATGCTTGAAGTGGGAAATGGAGGAATGACGAAAGACGAGTACATAGTCCATTTCAGCATATGGGCAATCTCAAAGGTAACTTATATTCAGGAAATAGAGAAACTCTCTTCAATCAAAATCTATCAAGTCTGTAACCAATGCTTTATATATATCACAGGCTCCTCTTCTACTTGGCTGTGACATAAGAAACATGACCAAGGAAACAGTGGAGATTGTCGCAAACAAGGAAGTCATAGCTATTAATCAAGGTACTTAATTACTGTTTAGCCACCATATGTCCTCTTAGAACCATGTTTGAATATATATAAAAAGAAAAGGAAACGTTTCTTGTAGATCCACACGGTGTTCAGGCCAAGAAAGTTAGAATGGAAGGCGATCTCGAGGTTAGATTACATCTGAAAACACCGACATATACTACTCCGTCTATAGACATAAGCTTTCATCTAAAAGAAAAATGTGTTTTGGTAATGAATTGGGAAATGGAATCAGGTTTGGGCAGGACCATTGTCAGGTTACAGAGTAGCTTTGCTTCTGCTGAACCGTGGACCATCACGAACTTCGATTACTGCTCTCTGGGATGATATTGAGATCCCTGCAAATAGCATTGTTGAAGCCAGAGATCTATGGCAGGTATACATGCATACACATAAATATACAACTGCTGTAGATATACATACATATATACATAAACCAAACACCTTTAGAAGATCAGATATTTACTGATGAATGTGTTTTGTTTGTGATATGAGAACAGCACAAGACATTGAAGCAAAAGTTTGTAGGGAACTTGACAGCAACAGTGGATTCTCATGCGTGTAAGTTGTATATTCTCAAACCTGTTGCCTGAAATACATATAGAGAGAGTTAGTGTGGCTACGTTACGTTGTATTCTCCAATAATTCTGTAAAAACAATAAGGGTTCGTCTCAAATTGGATCTCCACAGATATTCTCCAATAAATTGTTCTACATTTGCTCAAAATGTGAAAGTTTCTCTACTGAATTAATCCAAAAGTGTTGTCAATGAGTTTGAAACGATATGTGTGTCCATATAATGGTGAACCTTAACTTTTTGGCTTTTCATTTTGTTGCGTACGAAACACGTTATATCACTTGTGCGTTGGTCCACTTGAAGCTTTGGCTAATGAAAATAAGTGGTTTGGGTGCAAGTGGGCATTACAATGTGAGACTTCGCCGTAAAGTATACTCTTTGTACATGTGTCGTATATGTTGATTTTAATTTATTTTTATGATACCGATTCTTAGAATAAAAGATAGAGATTACATACGTTTGGTTATTTTTTTTAGCAATTTGGACCAGTTCAAACTCTAACCAACCTAGAAACAGTTTTTGTTATTATTTTTATTCTAATAGCGTTTTAAAACTCAAAATTATGTAATACTGTACTTGACAAAAGTGACAAAAAATTAAGATAATATCAAACATCACACTCGGAAAGCATGCGTTTTAAATAATAACCATTCGAATGGCCACTGACTTGTACTTGTAGGACCGCATGCACAGTTTGTGCTCATCAGCGCAAACATGCCCACTTCAAGTCTGTCTAGCTAGTGGTGGAGTAATCTGTACGTAATATGTACATCATTTTAATAAAAATGATTCGATTGAGTGTACTAGAGTCCAATGCGATAGTGACAATGAAAAGTGAAAACCTTACGTGGCTTTTATTGAAACGCGTGAAGAAAATTCTGTCTTTGTATTTTTGGATGTAAATGGCGTTATCAGAGCTTCAGTGTTGGCTTTGAGGGTAAGCAACATAAGCGACCGCTTACGGCCCTGACTTGAATATTAGAAAATGTTCACACATGACTTGATTACATTCTATTAACATAGGTCTTTCATCTCATTACATGTTCTTGTTTATTACTTTTTAATGTAAATGTTTTGTCATTTTCTGTTTTTTTTCTTCAAGATTCTTGTATTTAGAGTTTCAGTCTTGCATATATAAAAGTGGTCATATAGGTCCATCATTTATTTTTGTTTAAATAGGTGTATGAATTAATTTTACTAGTGTGTAAACAATGGTAACTTCAATATAAATCGTTATAATTATTTGTATAATCCACAAAAACACTAATACATATCATCTAAATTAAGTTCATAGTGATTAAATATGTAGCTTAGTGGTTTATTTATACTGCTAATATCTCATAATTAATAGTCAAACTCTAAAATATATTTTTTTTCGCTTAGAGCACTTAAATCAAAAATATTTTTTTTATTTTTTCGCTTAGGGCACTTAAAATATTTGGACCGGCACTGCAGAGTTTAACTGGTTTATTCATAATTAAAAAAAGTGGGTCACTCCAAAAATACTTGTTAAATTTTATAGCTAAAAATATTCCTCCTTGTAAATAGCAAGTTCACTGTGCTATATATACTTCAGTTCCTGAGACAGTAAAAAAAATAAAGAAGAAGAAGTTTGGATCGTATTAGCTTGCTAATTGTTTTTTTGTTAGAGTTAGCTAAACTTTAAAATTCATTATTCATCATCATATTTTGATAAAGTTTTGCTTATTTTTCTAAAATCCGGAGACTATGAAAAGAACATATCACTCCATCGCTTATACAACACCGACTACACAATTGTGTTTATCTGGTTAATGGTTAACCACAATAAACGCTTTCTTTCTATATCAATCGCAGCCTTTCACTAACTATTAGAATTAGTTATGAATACGTCCCTACTACACAGTTACAAACGACCTCTTCTTTTCCTCTATCTTTTTACACTTTTTGCGTCACAACCAGATAACATATTTATTTTCCATATCCGTGATTGAAACGCAAAAGACCCACTTGTTATGGAGACAACTAAGACAGTCACAGTGTGTGTGTATATAAATAGAGATCGGCATGATCCCACAGTTCCCCACTTAACCATCAACATTTATTATAGAACCTACTTCTGATTTTTCTTGAATCTCTCTCTCTGAGTCAGTGTATAGCCATTGAAGGGAATTAAAAAAAAAAGCTTGATCAAGCAATGGTTCTTATTGGTTTCTTCTTAAGATTCATTACCTTCACTCTGACTCTGACTCAGATCGTTGATGGGTTTCAGAGTCGAATGTTGATGCACAATGGACTTGCTCTCTCTCCTCAAATGGGGTTCGATCTTCTTCATCGTTTTTTTTTTGTGTTTTCATTTCCTTGACTTACAAGGTATTTACCTCTCATGATTACTCTCTGATCAGATGGAACAGCTGGAATCATTTTCAGTGTAACATCAATGAGACCCTCATCAAACAAACCGGTGATTACTGATTCTACTAGATAGAAAGCAAATCTGATGCAAGATTGATTGATAGTAAAAGTAACTCTAATAATCTGAGTTTCTCTGCAGCTGATGCAATGGTTTCTAGTGGTCTTTCTGCAATAGGTTACAAGTATATCAACATAGGTACATAAATTTTATACATTTTAGTGTGATTACTCTGTTTTATCCATCTCACTGTTTTCTTAAGTATCGTGTTCTGTTTTTCTCTGTTTATAGATGATTGTTGGGGTGAACTCAAGAGAGATTCTCAGGTTAAATAATCTTGTTTTTCAGAGTGTTTGAGAATCAATGAACGTAAATGAGATGTGTTCTTGGTGTATTTGATAGGGGAGTTTGGTTGCGAAAGCATCGACATTTCCTTCAGGAATCAAGGCTTTATCAGATTATGTTCATAGCAAAGGGCTAAAGCTTGGGATATACTCTGATGCCGGGTATAGATACACACAAGATACTTATGTTATCACTTATCAAACAAAAATCTTGTTAAGACATAGTTTCTTCATTGATCATCTTTTTCTTCTAGGACTCTTACCTGCAGCCAAACCATGCCGGGCTCACTCGGGCATGAAGAACAAGATGCCAAAACATTTGCCTCATGGGTATATATGTTTGTATGTGTTACATCTGAACTCATTTCCTAAACCTTGAATCTGTGTGCTTTCGTTATCGTGTATTCGACAGGGGATTGATTACCTGAAGTATGATAACTGCGAAAATACTGGGACAAGTCCAAGAGAAAGATACCCTAAGATGAGCAAAGCTCTGTTAAATTCAGGAAGATCCATATTCTTCTCTCTGTGTGAATGGTAAAAAGACTAATTAAGGAGAAGATTCACTTATGTTTTAGTTCAGACAACTTTGGTCTGATGATACTAAACAAGAAACTGAGTTGTAAGTGCAGGGGACAAGAGGATCCAGCAACTTGGGCAGGAGATATTGGCAACAGTTGGAGAACAACAGGAGATATCCAAGATAACTGGAAAAGGTTTCTCTTCTTTAATTGTTTTTTTCCCACTCTTAGTGAAACAAGAACTTGAAGATGTTTTTCTCTTCCTTTTTTGCTTGTTAGCATGACCCTGATAGCAGATCAAAATGATCGATGGGCATCTTATGCAAGACCAGGATCGTGGAACGGTAAATATTTTGGAGTAATTAATATAGATGCGAGTCAATTCTATCGATCCCCCAGAAAGTAATATTGGTTATCCGGGTAAAACTGAAACAGATCCAGACATGCTTGAAGTGGGAAATGGAGGGATGACTAAGGAAGAATACAGGTCGCATTTCAGCATCTGGGCATTGGCAAAAGTATGATGTTTTTTTACCTGAAAGACCTAAACAGAGAATGAATGTATCCCTACTTAAACCAATGTTGGATTCTGTTCTCTCTTTGCAGGCTCCTCTGCTGATAGGGTGTGATCTTAGATCGATGGACAAGGTTACCTTCGAGTTGCTTAGCAACAAAGAGGTGATTGCTGTTAATCAAGGTAAATAATATAGCAAAAGTCTTAACCACTTCAGAATCTGCTCAAAATGAAATCCAAAAGTGGTAAGAGTTTGACCTGTTTATGTTCAGACAAACTTGGGATCCAGGGAAAGAAAGTCAAGAAAGATGGTGATCTTGAGGTATTATTTTTCTTATATATGTGTATGCAAATACCAAACACATAACATATGTGGTGCAATGCAGGTATGGACAGGTCCGCTAAGCAAGAAACGAGTAGCGGTCATCCTATGGAACAGAGGATCAGTATCTGCCAAAATCACAGCTCGATGGTCTGACATTGGCCTTAGTTCATCAGATATTGTTAATGCTCGTGACTTATGGGAGGTAAGTTATGATAAACAAAACATGCACTAGAATTCTGTTTCCTAACTAGAACTCACACCTGAAATCTAATGATGAACCATGATTATGATGAATGCAGCATTCGACACATTCACGTGTTAAAAATCAACTCTCTGCCTTAGTGGAGCCTCATGCCTGCAAAATGTACACTCTTACAAGACGCAAGGCATAAGATCCTGCTCTAATGCAGCTAAAGTTAAGGAAGTAAAACCAAAGATTGTACCAAATCATCTTCTAGCCTGATTTTGTATCTACTATGCTGAATATGAGATGCCAGCATCAGAAATACTCAATCCAAGTTACATTATAATAAGAATAATTCGAGTTTTGGCAAATCATATGCCGCTTTTAAAATAAAACTGACAAATCCAGATGTTCGCAAAGTTTTCATCTAAACATTCCATGATAAAAAGATACCACTACCAGGCTTATTTTTCTACCGGCAACATTACATCACCAGGACCTGGAGGATATATGAGAATTTCAATGCGGAGATAATTACCACTCACCAGTTACCACCCCACTTGAAAATGGCAGGTCCTTAGATTTCTCAGCCATAAACATGTCGAAATCGCTGTGGCTGAACATGCGTTTTCCCAGCCAGGAGGCAGCAGACTCTTCAAGCCTGTTTATGATCTCTTGATCTGAGGTCCCTGGCATGATCCAAACTTTGTCAAGCTTGGTAGTCAGAACTCCAAAAGCAGGAAGCTCAACTTTTGTCTTTTTAGGAATTGTTTCTGAAAATCACAAGAAAAAAACATCAAAAAGCTATCGATATACACTTGTTTTCCAAGCATAAATTCTGAGGGGAAATACCTGGAATAACGGGTGTCAATGAATGATATGTTAGGAAATACTGATTCAGGGTTTTCACCGCTGGAATTTGAATTCCCCGAGACCTATAATATATATCAAACAACCACATTAGTCGTTATTTCATATAAACAAACAATGTAGATTAAGCGCCATTAACTAGTAATCCAACGAAGAAACATGAAACTTTAAAGAAAAGGGCTAAAAGCTGAGAAGAGACATACCAAGTTATAGAAAACCAACTGTTTTCAGACAGATCAGAGGTTCTAAGAGTATTCAATCCATGGTGCTTCTTAGCTAGTTCCTCAAACTTCAACAAAAAACAGAATCTCCCCATTTGATATATCACTACAGAGAGACAAATCTAAGCAATCCAACATCAAAGGTAAGAGCTTTCACATACCATCATAGTAAGAGGAAGCCTAGCCGCCTCTAAGCTCATTGTCTCATTGTATTCAAAGTAAAGATGACAGTCCTCACCAAAGCTCCTAAAATCGAGAAAGAAACAAACAAAATGTCAACCAAATTCTGAGTGTCGACATTAGTACACAACAACAATAGGATTCAAAATAGAGAATTTGTGACCTTGAAGAAGAAGAAGAAGAAGATCCATCATCAACAAAGGGTTTCTTGGTGAAGATTTGGATGGCGGAGAGGGTGGGAGCATAATACTGATTAGCCTTCGTCCACGAGTCCTTCAGCGTAAGAGGAACGCCGACGCAATTAGTGCTCCACTCGTCGTAGGCGGACCAGATGTCACCCAGGCGAAGGTGAGGCTTTTTCACTCGTTCTGCTTTGCCTCTTGAAGAAGACGAACCGACACGTTTCTGCGCGGAAATTTTTAAATTAGGGTTTTCGATTTATACGGATTCAACATTTCAAAATCACCCACCCAGTTATATTACTTGGATCCGGGTTGGGAAATAATAGTAATATTTAGAGACAACCCCCTCGTATTATTTTATATCACAAATCGACCCAATTGTTTCAGTTTCTTCTATCTACTACCCTGTACAAGGGATAATATTTAGCACTTATGACCCAAGTAGTCTTTCAGGCGTGTGTATTTCAGTTTTTGGTTTGGTTTTAAAACAAATTGTAACCACATTGTAATCGAAGTTATTTTGGTTTGGTTTAGATCAATTAGAGTTTAAAAAAAAATTGTAACCACATTTTAATCGAAGTTATTTTGGTTTGGTTCGGAACAATTAGAGTTCAACTCGGTTTTACTATTGGTTTTAAGTTACTTATCTAATATCGATTAAATGGTCTACAATACATTGTTTTTTTCTAAATAAATAAAAAGAATTTAATACGACACGCGTCAGCCAGTGAGACAATGGGTTAAGCTTTGTTTTATCATTCAACGCTATCATTAATTAATATATTGTAGTTTAGTTATCTGTTTTTAGTAAAATACCTTTTTGAAACTTTTTCTTTGTAACGACTTTAGTTACATTGTTTTCTTCTAAATGATTTAATGATACAGTCTAAAACTTGAATTTTTCTTTGAAATTGTTAATCTTACAAGAATCTTCATACCAACACTAGCCTAAAAGAAGAGAATTTTTTTTTATAGAATGCGATTACATGCTTAAATGAGTTTCTAACATAAGAATTTGTCTATGAATTTATCTAGGACAGACATGCATTGTGCAAAAGTTTCAAGTATACATATATGTAATTGTAAATTAAAAGATTTTTCTTACACTAGATTCTCCATGTTCAACTTTTTTTGAAGGGGTTTACCTCAGATCGAATTTATGTATAAACCAATTTTCATACTGCTAAAAAGACGATTCTAAATTCATCTGTCAAATGATTAGAAAAAAATGAAAGGTAAAAGTTACCTCAGTATGGAACTTGACGCGGACGGGAAGAGAGATACTTTTAAGAAAACTTTCGAAATTAGATTTACCCTTGACGCACACGGGAAGAGAGATGCTTTTAAGAAAACTTTCGAAATCAGATTTGCCTTGTTCGCTCATTTTTCCCCTGGGTAGCGGTTTCCCTTGTAAATCTGTTTTGTTACGTAGATATTTTACTCAGACACATAATAGAAAAGAACTAGAGAGGTTGAGGTATATATAGAGTAAAAATAATATTCCATCGAAAAAAAGAAAAACAATATGAGATATCAAGATAAGGTTAAAAAAAAAAGTAAGAACAAAATATTTTCACCAAAAAAGAATTTGAGTAAGTATCATTGGATATTTATTTAGTTAAACACACATGGATTTATTAAGGTGATAATTAATATAACACTTGCCAAAAGAAAACGAAAGACTTTAAATTCATCATTTTTTAGTTACCCATAGTTTTTAAAGAAACAACTATAGTTAAACAACCATTATATTCTAGTTAAACCCATCAAATGGTGTTAGTAAAATCGTTAATTAATTTCTAAAATAAAAACCGTTTACCAAATCTCAAAATTTACATTGGATAACCAAATACCATAGAGGATTTTAGAGAACAAGAAGAAGAGACGAACAAATGTGTGTGAAGATGATTCATGCAAACCTAAGATAAGATATAGTATATGATTTACACACAAAATAAATGTCATTCTCACATACTTAAATGATTTTATGGTTATAGTTTATCATATTTGTCTAATACTCACATAATTTATATCATCACATGATTTTATAAGTTTTCTTTAGGTCCTTAGAATTTATCTGAAATTTTCAACTTTTATTTAACAAGAATCATGGTTAAATCACATACAATGTGAAGAAGGAAACTGATAATTCCATATTTCCTTATGGGCTTCTTAGTTCTTTTCTTTTCTCAACATTTCTTTTTTATAAAATATTATCTTGTTAATTGTTGTAGATGTACCCTGGAAAACTAATGTGACAACTAAAGTAGTCTAAAGTGTGCGTATGAGCCAGGGCAAGCTTGTTCTATCGCAATTTCTCTGTTTTCAATTCTTTGTCAACTTTTAAAATTATACTATACATCTTTAATTTCCGGTTGAGTCGCACGTTAGAATTTTTTTTACACTTTTTGTTTAGCGAAAAAAAAGAATCTTTTTTTTGATTAGAGGATAAGCTATTTTATTGGGCATAGAATGTCACGTCCCAAAATATTGACCAATTTCCTCTTCTTGTCTTTTTGTATTGACTTCTATTTCATACTATAAATTAGTCCGTTGCCACAATTCAAAATTCCTGACTCACAAGTGGCTTCACCTGCTATTTCCTCCGATAAAGCATTTACTTGTTCCACATAATGAAGCTTCGATTGATTTTAGTGTTTTCTTTTAGCAAAGCCTTAATTATCCTATCCGACTGATTAGCAAAGCCTTAATTAATCGACCACATAAATGTTCAAAACTTGACATTTTGTAAATTATCTTGATTTTTTTTAGTATAACTGGATGGGCAAGTCCATGTGGACACTCCTAGAATCCGGCGTTTCCAAATGACTGATTATTATCTTTTGTTTTTCTTACTATCAAAGACGCCAGAATATATCCTCGTAGAAATCCAAAATCGTTCTCAATTCATTATTCAACAGCTTAAAAAGTTAAAAATGCTTAATTTAACATTCACATTCTCTGTGTTTTTATGTCTCACCGTACCATAGTAGCAACCAACTCATCATTTCTTCATTACAAAAAAATATACAGATAAACGTAAAGCACGCATATAAATCATGTAAAGTAGACAATTAGGGACATGCATTTGCATGTTGTGGTAGATCACATCACATGCATTGGGTGACGAATTGATTCAATTGTAGATATATTAATTCATTCTATGGAGGGATCCCTTTTTTTTTTTTTTTTCACTAGAAGGATAGATTTCATTGATAAACATGGAATACAAGAGCCGGCAAGGGACAAACCCTTCCAGAGTCTAAGCCGGCGAGTACATGAAGACTCCCAGAGACAAATATCAAACTAAAGAGAAACCTTAGGGGAAAAAACCCGAACAACTAAAAACATAACATCCGAACAAGACTTCCCGGATTCATAATCCAAAGACTCAAATTAAACTTACAAAGCCTAAATCAAAATAAAATAACAGATCTGAGACTAGAAGACTCTCCTTACCACAACCTAAACTCGATGGAATTGAGAGTCACTTGTAGGAATGAAGGAGAACGAGATCTTCAAGGTGGAATTTCAAAGTCTAAGGCGAAGAAGGATCGGATCGAACCTGCGCCTTTGCCATGGATGGATCGGCCAGATCTGAGGCTGAGCTTGGAGGAGAACAAAAGACAAGCCGCAAGAACCCAAAGGAAGAAGATTTAGACTTTATAAATTCAGATCTGAAAATCTAGATGTGAAACCGTTGGAAGAAAAGAAGCTCGGATGCACCGGTAGAGAAAGGGAACCGAAACTAAAGCATGGAACAAAGAAAACCCCGGTTCCGGTGCTGAAAAAGCCACCGGAACCGGTAACCCTAGATGGAGGCGGCGGCTGTGAGGCTTTTAGAGAGAAGGCAGAGAGATTTTTTTTTTTAGAGAGAGAGAGCGTTTAACCCAGGGATCCCTTTCAAATCACATTTCCTTTGACGAATACATAACATTTATTTTATCAAATTTTTCTTTATTTTTCTTTTCAAAATATGAAAAATATAAAACCTTATCTCTTTTTTCTCTTAAAAGAAAAAAAAAAAACTTTATCTTAGCAAAGAAAAATGACATCAGAAAGTCGCTATGCCAACTCAGAAAGGTCCAAATCCACGACGTCCCTTCTCCATAAGTCGGCGTATAGATTTTTTTCTTTTTTTTCATGTTCTAGTAATCACAGAAACTTTAAATATACCATTTAAAGATGAAAACAAAAAATGTAAAATGTAAAACATATTAAAGCAAATGAAATTGTGCTTAAATTAAAAGAAAGTCTAATCCTAGATGTGATTTTAACTAATGTATTAGGAATTCTAAACACTTGAGAAATCTAAGATTCAAACCACATGTTTATAAATCTCATTATCTCTTCTCTTATAATTGGATTTACAATTTTGTTTTATAATTATGCGCATAAAAACGTAATTACATGCGTGTAACAAAGCATGATGACGTCTTGCCAACTTGAAGGTTAAAAAGCATGTCGGAGTCTAACGTGAGGGGCTTGTGATCATGTTTCACTTTTTTAATTTTCTCTCTTAGATCTTCTTTTTTTTCTGGCTTAAAGCAGCCAAACACAATGCTTTAACCCTAATCCCCAAAAAAGATTCAAATTGAGATATATAAAAGCTTTCTTTCCCTTTTGCTGAATAGTTGATGACCCATTCATGACTCATCCTCTGGTCAAGTCACAAAAGATTCACTATCTTCGCTTTTCATTGCCCTTTAAATACCTTACCCTTGCAACAAACCATTTCATCAATCAGCTTCATTTTACAAATCACACAACATCAAGATTCAAGATCAAGATCAAGATCAATTACTTAATCCTCTTAAGATGAACATGAGCAGAGTTGAACAACAAGTCATTAGATTTCCAGCGGCAAAGACTACTCCGGTGGGTTACTTACCTGATGAGGCTTCAATTAACAAGCTCCGAGTTTCGGCTTCTTCCAAGAAATCTGAACAAAGTTAGTGCCTACTTAGTTACCTTCTTCCTATGTTGAATTCATATTGTTTTATCTTCTTTTTTCCCTGGAAAACTAAAAGCTAACAGGATTGATTTTTTTTATGACAGGCAACGAAAAATCGATTCTTAAAAGGAAGAAAACCACCGATGGTTTCACCAATGGAGCTAGAGACCAGAGCAAGCTAAGACCAAAGCTAACTGAAACAGTGAAGAGAAAGCTATCTTTGGGCGCTAGGATTCTTCAGGTTGGAGGTTTAGAGAAGATCTTCAAGCGACTCTTTAGAGTCAGTGAAGGTGAGAAACTGTTCAAAATGTACCAGTGTTACTTGTCGACAACCGCAGGTCCCATCGCCGGCCTTCTATTCATCTCGTCCAAGAAAATGGCGTTCTGCAGCGAGAGATCGATAAAGGTGGATTCCCCTCAAGGAGACATGATCCGGGTTCACTACAAAGTGTCAATCCCCTTGTGCAAGATCGACAGAGTGAACCAGAGTCAGAACGCAAAGAAACCATCACAGAAGTACCTAGAAGTAGTCACGGTCGACGGTTTTGACTTCTGGTTAATGGGATTCATGAGCTACCAGAAAGCTTTCAATTGCCTTGAGAAGGCTCTTTCTCTGAACTTTGATGACAACAAAGAGCAATAAAGCCGTGATTTCGGAGAAGCTATGGAGTTTACAAGAAATATTTCATTTCTTCTTTCCTTTCTTGATTGATCAGAAAATAGTCCTAGAAAGACAGAAAATTACTGTACAAACTCAAATTCTTTTTTCTTTTCCATTGTAGACAAATATCAGATGAATATATTAATTCATTTATCTTTACAAATCTTAATGAACTCAAATGGAAACTCTATGGGGCTCTGCACAAGAAACCATTTGTGCTTGAAATACATAGAGTAATGTGCCAAGTAAGCTGAAGTGGCTAAATTACTGAAACCATTTCCCCTTCCACAAATCATGGCTAAATTTCCATGATTTGTGGAAGGGGAAATTTGGGAATTTTGGGTTGTGACAAGTGTCCCTAGGCTGTTATGTCTGGTCTAGCAACATACTCTTAAAGACAAAAGTGAACGATAGAGCGAACAGCTCACTCTTGGCTTCTCCAAGAATTTCAGTTGAGACACAAACATTTAGAAATATGCATTCATAGGAACTAAGATTGAATCAACCGAACTCAACACTCAAGAGTCGAAATTCTTGAGACCGATCTAAATTACAGAGTTGTACCTCCTCTGTTTCTACATGGATATTTGATGTATCAACAACTACGGTACACGGAATTGAAGACTCATCACCAACTAGCAGCAAACATGCCTTATAAGTACCGTTCCCTGGCGGTAAATTAAGTATTGATGATCTCGGGACTGAAATCATCCTTTCACTCGGCATATCTTGTGTTCTGACTCTCAACATAAGCCGGTGTGCCCTGCCAAGGAGCTCCGATACATACCTCATATCTCCCGCCGCAAGAGCTTGGCGTACACGTGTAGAAGAAACTTGCCCTCTGTCTTTTGAGTCCCCTGAGTCTCTCTTTCCTGAGCCTTTCTTCTTGTCCATCACAGAGTTTATGATGTAAGCAGTGATACCATATTCCTCGCACAGTCTCACTAGCTCAGAGGCATCACCAGACGCTTTATATCCAAATCTGTAATTTTCACCTGTGGAAAAAGTTTTTGCAAACAATTTATTTTGTGTGTTTTCAACATGAAATGATACGAGAAAGGAGTGGTTGAGATCTTTTTAAAGTTCACCTGCCACAACTCCGCAGACTCTGAGCTCCTTTGACAGCTTCTCCACAAACAGTCGTGGGGTAAGATGTCGCACACTGGCAAATTCTATCTCATGCTCTTCCGGTGCTCTGTTTCCACAATATGAGGCCCAAGAGGTAAGCACCCTTTTTCGATCACATTTAGCCACTATTGGAGCCCTGCTTGCACAAATTTATATTGTCAGTAGTCACCATGGGAGAGAGAAAAAATTGATTAAAACAACAAAATTGATAAGCAGAATTATATCTAATGTTTGACTATCTCAAAGAACAGGAATCTTAGGTTGGTTTACTTGTAAATTGGAATTTGAACCGAACGACATTCATGCCAAAAAGAAAAGGGAAAGCATGAATACTACAGGTGGGGACACATTACCTAGGCTCCCAACCAAGTACCTCGGCCATTCCAACAAAAGATAATAGATACGGAGTTCCAATTCTTGAAGCTTGAATTGTAAGCTCTCGATGGCCGATATGTAAGGCATCAAACTTCCCTAGAGCAACAATGCCTCCTGCAACATGTAACGTATTAGATGATCATGTAAAAGGGAGGGAACATAAAAAGACACGAAAAGGTGACACAATCTCTTGCAAGTAAGCACATCAAAGAAAGGCATTGTAAAACCAGCAGAGAATTTGAGAGCATTATCATAAGCTAACATCTATTCTTCTACCAAATCTGTACTAACGCTCTTTCCAAAAGGAAAGGAACCACACAGTATCCACAAACACCCATCAAAGAATAGAAAGGTGTGACTTTTCTTAGGAACTTGAATAAAGATGCAAGAAACAAGCAAACTAGATAGATACCTGAAACTGGAGATAACCCTTCAACTGGAAGCTCAGTATCACCTTCTCGTTGGCTTCAGAAGAAGAAAGCAAAAGACCCCGAATTTTACATCAGTCAGATGAATTAAAGAAAAAAATCTTTCTTTCGAATCAAGAAGCATATATCTCGACAATGTACACTTGAGAGGAATCAGAGATACCAAAGCAAGGAGAGGAAAACAAAACCTGAAACAATTGTGAAGAATAGGAATTTCTCCGGGAGTCCTGCAATGAGACCCATATGAAGAAATCATCCGCTGATGCAATTTATGGCTGAAATGATGACTGTTCGCCATAGCTTGACAAGGCCTGAGAAAGAATGAAGAGAGCTGCACAATCTTAGCACCACAAAACCCTAATCCTAAACCAATCGAACTATGATGATTGTGGTCGGACAAATGCTGCAAGACACGTGAGCCTCCGCACAACATGGTTCCGTCTCGTGATTACAAATCGGACAAGCTCGCTCTCACGGAGACTCTTCGCCGGAGCTAAATCACTTTCAAAACACAGTTGGTCAAATTTTATGTCCAAAAGCATAAACCTCTGGCTCAGGGAGAGTCTTTGTTGTGTTTCCAAATTATTCGTCAACAGAAAAAAAAAAAAAAAAAAAAAAAAAACACTTCTTTCACCATTGAGAAGAAACATTATCTGAAACATGAGCAACAACATTTCTTTCATAATTTTCTCTGTAAAAAGTAATCAAACTATTCTCATATATGTTCACAATTGATCTAAGGATCAGTTTACAAAAGGAACACCAGAAGGAACTCTCTGCGCATACTCCACATACTGTCTCCCAAAAAATTGCTTCAAGTAATGCTCCTCATAAGGTATTCTCTCTGCAAAGAACCGCCACACCACAACCGCAAACGCAATCGCTGAAATTGGATTACACAGCATTACTTGCGTTCCCACAGACCAAATGAGAAACCCGGAGTAACTCGGATGCCTCATGATTTGATACACTCCTTCCGTCACAAGCTTATGATGCTCCTCCCGGCGAATCTTTATAAGGTGTGTGAAAGATCGACCTGCTGTGATTATCGCGGTTTTGCGGATGATTTCTCCAAGTATGATCATTATAAGACCGGAATTGCTGATCCACCAGTGTTGTTTCAGCCCCGGGAAGAAAACAATCTCGGTTATGTACTCGAGGACTGATATTACCATTGCTAAAGCATAGTGTTTGCTGATTAAGAGTGAGCTTAAAGTTACTTTCGATGCTCCGTGAATGGCTATGGCGAGAATGTATTCCGATGTGTGGAAGAAGATAATCGCCAGGAACATTTGAGTTAACTGTCTGAATCCGGTGTCACTAAATATCTCTGTCATCGATTCTTCACAAGATTACTCAGACCTGAAAAACATGCGAGTAACAGACCCGAGAAGGTCAAAGAACATCATTAGCCAAAGGTTGGAAACAACAAGCATTCATGTAAAATCCAATCCAACTGACTTCACCAAAGCTTTTTTAAACCCAAATCTCAGGAACACTAACCTCAATCAATGTAACAAAGCTAACATTAATGTTCTTCTAACATTAAACAACAATCTTCTTAATCCAACAATTGATCCATGACATGCTTTCAAAACACAGTTTTCACATGAGAATTGAAGATCTAACTCAAAGATTTATAAATAGATATGTATAACTGATGAATAGTAATGGATTTTTTTATTCTTTCTATACTTGCTAATACTCAATTTAACGGAATCAGAAAATCCTAACCACTAATTTCTTCAATTATGTTTTTATTCCTCGTTTTTTGGAAATCAATTGTCAAAAACTGAGAAACGAAGAATTGAACAGAAACCGTGAATAGCTACGAAGATCTAAGACATACCCACTTGAAATTGGCGGCTGCAATGAGGGAAGTCTGGAAATTTCGCAGAGGCTGAGAGTGAGAATCGCGTGGACTTTGAAGGAGAGAAGCAAAGTTTACACCTTTACCCTTTATTCTTTTCTTGCTATAATTAAGGAATTAGTTTTGTAAACACAGAGATCTCATCTGTTCCATTTGATCCTCCCCGAAAAGAAGAGTCTTTGTTTGGATGATGGAGCTTCCGGTCAAAATCGATGGAGCTTCCGGTCAAAATCGATGAAAAGAAACGTTGCAGGAGCTCCGAATTATCAAGAACAGGTCTATTTTAGGGTTACCGGTTCGAGACGGTTTGATCCAATTTCATCAATTGGTTTGTTCCGGTTGAAATTAATAACGATGGTTAAATTTGAAGTCACTACAAACTTTTGAGTTTTTGTTTTTGTGACTCCAACTAAAATTGAGAAGACAAAACTAAAGTATTTCTATGGTGTTTGAAGCTACGAATATAAGATTTGCAAAAAGCTTTTCTTGCTACCCGCGTAAACTGCTCTGGATGGGCTTGTTATTAGTTTTAAGGCCAATTTTTAGTGTGAAGTTAATTTGATCAATTTGGTAAAAGTTATTGGTTGGAACCTTATTATCATCAGGACCGGCTCTGTTTACCCGTGTTCAGATTTGTTTCTTGTACTAGTGTGATCTTCTGCCCAATTAGCCATTCATCAGTTTTCTTGTAGTTTCTTTGTCTATACTATGTAATCTGTACTAAGAAACTGGACAACTTCATTGACGAACCATAATAGAATTCAGGCCAGAACGTCAGAGTTTTTGCTGTTCTTTAATTGTCTAAAGATTTGATTTAATGGCATTGATTTCTAGTTAGACTACGTCTCTGTTTCGCCAGCAAAAACAGAGCTTTTATGGCGTTTTTAGTACAACAATCAATCAATCAATCTCTCTCTCTTTCTATCACTCTCTGAAACAAATTAATGAGACCAAATATTCTTAAACCCTAAAACCCTAATCAAACAAGCAATAAGCTTAAATTACTCAAAAGAAACCACAAACTTAAGTACTCTCTAAACACTTTCGATGACATGAAACATAGGAATTTTTCTATACATTACCAAAAAGACAAGACCTTTTCTCTCAACGTGGGTCGTGGTCGTCTTCCCTCCGACCCGAACCGTTAGCTCCACCAGACAAAGAAGCAAGCAAATTGAGATGATGACCCGGAAGATAATTCCCAACTCTAGCTGCTGAAGCCTCACCCATTGCAGCGGCTGCGGCGGCGGAAGCTTGCTGTTGCTGCTGGTGTCGGACAAAGAGTGTAGCTGGTTGCTGCTGCTGAGCAAAAACCATCTCCGGTGGAGCTCCGGCTGCAAAGCTCCAGACTTGTCCGAAATCAGGCCTCGCCGGAACAGCCCAAAACCCACCAGAACCACCACCACCCATTAACGAAGTCCCCATTGTGTGTCCCACTGTTAACCCTCCTCCTCCTCCGCCGCCGCCGGATTCTCCTTCATCTGCTCTGACGACACGTTTTCCGAGTGTAAACGGAGAAGAAGTGGAGAGAGAAGCAGTGGAGAAACTTGCCGGAGTAGTGCCAGTTCCAGTGGCGGCTATGATAGAAGGCTCAGCTTGACGGAGAAGCCACTCTATGGTTTGACCATCGGACTTGTGACCTAACTCTCTGGTCAATTGGAAAACTCGAGCTGCGCAAATGATTGGCATACGAATCCTTCTTCCTCTTCCGTCAACTTTGCTGTGTCGATCTTTAGACGGTGGTTTCTTAACGGCGTTAAGAGGTCCTTTGTTTGACGTCTGCTCGATTATGACGCCGTTAGTCACTGCTCCGTCGTTGTTGGCCATGGAATTAGGGTTTCCTTATGTTGGCGATTTCACTAGTAACTCTCGAGAAGAAGAAGAAGAAGAAGAAGAAGAAGGAGGAAGAGGTAATGATTTGAGAGGAAGCTAGGCTGGTGGAGACAGGAAGAAGAGCACATGGCTGGTGGGTCCCACACAGCTCACTTCTGCTAGGTTTTTTAATTTGTCCGGACGCGTTTAAAGCTCACGCGCTTGACTCCGGTGTTGACTATAGCGTTGGGACCACGGTCCGGCAGGAGAATTTAAGTTTTTAGGTTTAGTAGTTAGTTGGGGTCCCCATTTATATGGTTGCTTCAATTACATTAGGTACATTACGAGTAATTAGGATTCGTAGAAAATAAGTAGCTTTACAAGAATAATTAATAATATGAATCGATTTTGGTTTGGCTTGCTAATTCTTATTAGTTCTGTGACCGGTAACCACTATAATGCTGAACTTTTTTACCGTTATTTCTTATCGATAAACTTTGTTATAGAACGAAGTAGTACCCGTTAATTTATAATTCGTAAATTGTAACCACACTATGATACACGTTTACCGCAAGGATCAAAAGTTGTCAATCACTCATCAGACTCGTCATTTTAATTTCAATTTATAGGGATGTCGGATAATTAGATTGCAATTAAAGACAAAAGCTGTTTCCAATTTCCAGGATAGTTGAAAAGATTGGTGAGTAGACTTTTTACACCAACACCAACACTGATTACGATTCTATTTTTTCACGATTTTAAAGTTTTACTTTTAGTCATTTATAATTTCACATCCACTAATTTGTGATTATGTCTCTCTTTTTGTTTTGTTCTAAGATAAATAGATAGTTCAAATAAAATTACAATTACGCGCTTTATGACACTGGTTTACTAATCTGAGTATAATCCAACCACTGTGATCCCCACACGATATACGTTCGTGTGTGCAATTTGTATAATCAAAATTCCTCTTATTACCCATTAAGCAATAATAAAATAAATAATTCCATTTGAAGCGTGACATAATAAAAGGAGCCGTGCCCACCTGGCAGATACGCCGATTTTGATATGTCGTTGCGTCGAGATTTTTTTAAATTATTTCGCGACAATAATTTCTTTATGATTTATGGAATGAGTATTTTTCTATCATTCACATTATACTATATTATCGTTTTCATATTTGTTATGATTATGAAATCCTTTAACAAAAATAATTGTTATGATGATTGTCGTACCCATACGATACACCCATGAGTTACGCTAAAATGCCTTAAAAAAAAAAAACCATACCCAAGCCAACTTCTTAAAGAAGTCGATATAATACGTGAAGGCTATCAAAAGCCATAAACAGAATATTTGTTTGCATGCTTAAATTACGATAGATAGTAAAAACTTGATACTACGACTCACAGCTGGGGAACCACCAAACTAGAGACTTATGGAGAAATTTTAGTCACACTTGGTCGCTACTTGCTAGGATTCAATTGAACTACTTAATTAAAAAAAAAAAAAAAAATCGTTGACACAAAAGTTAACATACAATAGACAATTATTAATGATCCGGCTCATTTTAAAAAGTTATATTGAGTGATTAACTGGGATTTTCTGAATGATTAGTTGTGGGGTTAGCTGGATAAATGCATAGATAATTTTTAATGATCACCAATTTACCAAAAATGCATATATATTGTTTTTTTTTTTAAATACGGAGTAGTATATGTGTACGAATCATTTGACAATTGTCAAATGTGTTAAACAGCTGGAGCCCATTCTCATCTGCCTTTATTTATCAATGGGAATTTGTATAGAATTATTATGGGGGTTGTGGACGAAAATACAAGAAAGTGACACTTCTGTCAAAAGAGAATCAACTCGTGTTTCATACAAATATCTTCTTCTTTCTTTTTCTTTTTCTTTTTCTTTTTTTCTAGTTTTTTCACTTGCGATGCCTCCCTAGATTTTCTTAGCTTACTCCACCAATCAGGATAATCCACGTCATCTCATGTTTTGGTCTGAGAAGATCGCTCTATCTTCTACCATCTGACTAGAGTGAATTATAGACATTCGGAGACCAAGTCGTATATGGTATTCCTTTGATAACAATAATCATGTGAACGATTCACACTCTGGTAATTCAGGCGTCACTCAAAATTCTCTAATGACTTGATTTTTAAAAATTTATCAAACAATCGAAACATAAATCCTAATCACATGTTTCGAACTCGTTACAAACAACTCATAAAACCAGGTTGTATCAAGGCTCGCTTGGGATGACATTAAAGAAATGGTAGATCTCTTCACTGTCAACTACTCCGATCTCTGTTGAACAAGCCGAGCAAAAGACCGGGTTAACTTTTTCGTTGTCTTCAGAACCAGTTTCTTGCATCTCGGAATCTCTCCTTCTTTTACCAACCTTTGAAGGCATTGCATTTTGTTGCAAAACTCTGTCTGTATCTACTTTGCAATTGACCACAAAGACTGCCCTGTACTGTGTCACATACTGCTCGTGCCTGCAAAAGTTTTACTCACTTGTCTCAATCTGATTTCCGCAGTTAATATTACTAAAACAAGCTCCTATGTCAATTCACACAGCTCAAAGAAGTGGAAAGGAATCAAGTTATAAACAAAACAATATCATAGGATTGAAGACGACAGAAAGATATCCATTGTCCTTATCTTAGTCTATCTCATGAGCGTTGTAATAGCCTAGGCGGGTTTGTAATGGATAGTAGTTTTATCAGCAATCGTTGAGTTGGTTAGCTAGAGAGCCAACAGCTTTAAAAGAAAGTTCTGGATTTACCTCGGGTTTTGGGATTGGGAATTGAACTAGTTTGAATTCTATCAAGATTGTCATTCCTAAGAAAAATCTAGAGCCTGTAATAAAATGGTCAAGAATCTCCAAATCAAGCCAACATTCCAGAATCGATCAAGTTACTATCAATATATCCTTCAGGAAGCAAACACATTGGTGGGGATTGAACAATGGAACCCTAGCAACATTGATAAATCAAAGCTTCGATGAGATATAACAATCGTACGAAGATAAAACACCAAGTTCTGATGAATCACAAATGTAGAGAGAGTAAGAAAATGGAAATTACCTCTGACACTCTAAGCAGACAGTGGTGAAACAAGCTGGACAGCTAAGTACAGCATCAGAAGTACGACCATCTCTCTTCTTAACCATCCAAAGCTCATCTTTATCATCAAGATCTGAATCATAGAATTCTGGTTTGATGGAGTAATCAACCTCATCGTCATCCGAAACTGTTACAAGGTAGTAGACAAGAAGAAGTTAGGCTCATCAAATCAATGTACTGTACTACAAAAAAGAAACTTGTGTTTTTTCTTCTGATTACACAGACTCTTAAAACAAGTATTCTGCATTTAACTTACGGCATAAATTGAGACCTAAAGAAGATATAACTTGAAAACAAGAACATGAATCTCAGTAATTGCAAGAAACAACTGTTCATGTTTCAATATCTGGCATAAATTGGCTGAACAGAGTTACCAATAGCAACATCAAAATACACCACAGCCATTCAGAAACTTAGGAAATTACTCAATGGCAGAGATAACGATATCACTTGATTCAATTTCATATTAGGAGAAACCCATAGATGAAGAAGCGAAACAACAAAGGGATTGAGTCGAATCGGCCAGCGAGTGAAAGGAGGGCATAAAAAGGTTTTATTTTACCTGTTTTCTGTGAATTAGTCGGAGAAGCCATGGTTTTAAGATTCGATCTTCACTGATTGTGAAATATACGACACCTCTATGTTGAAGCTCAGCGTCGAGCTCCGTCGGTGCAGCCAAATCGGAGGTTCGCCGACGAAGACGATGACAAACTTTCAAGTTTTATATACGTAACTTCCAGTGCCTCATTGGGCTTTAAAAATAATTCAGATGAAAAGAATGTTGGGCTTTTAGAAATTAAACTAGTATAATGTTAGCCATTTAGGGGTTTTGTTATTATTATTTGCAACAAGTTGTCACAACAGAACATGAAGAAAGGTTTGAATTTCCCATAGACAAAATAAAAAAACTTTACAATATACAATTAGCAAAAAGAAGGTTGTTGATGGTGAGATGATGAAGAAGAATCTGTAAATTTGTGACAAACGTAAAAATTGTGTGGAGATAACGCTTTTGTCTACCTAATCAATCGAATAGTAGTGGAGTAGACACGGGCTGCTCATACAGCACTTGGGTAATACTGTTATCAAGGCAGATAAATGATTATATTGCGCTTACTTTTAACATCCAGACCAAAAGCAAACAGAGAAAAAAACAGCATACTTATAGTAATGAAGGCAGATGATGATTAATTATTAATCCAGACAAAGACATAAGGAAAACCCAATAAAAAAAGGTTTGCATTACATCACGAGTTATAAAAACAGCAAAGAGCTTCTAAAGAGAGAGCTTTCTACTCCCTAGTCATCTTTATTAGCCTATAAACATAGGGGGGTCCTCATCATGGTATTCACCCGGAACAGAATCAACCTTGGCAACTACTTTCCATCCTCCACCAATGTCACTTCCACTAAGTTCCGTAGCCTTGTCTCCTGCGCCTTCTCCCATAATATAAATGAAAGCACTGCTTCTCCTTATAGATATATCCATCACCTCTCCACATGAACGGAAATGTTTACTCAACGCAGTCTTGAGATCATCCTCAGGAAGCAAAGTGTCGTATCCCGTAACGGAAATTCCAAAGCATCTGCAATAAAATAATTATAGTAAGAGATGATCATCACAAGAACATCAACAACATCTCCACAGGGAAAATAAATTTTTACCTTGTTTGATTTATGCTATCATTAATAGTTGGCGGTAACGGTAAAACCTTAACAGCTACTTTCCATCCTCCAACGTCGCTTCCACTAAGTTCCAGCGCCTGCTCTGCTGCGTCTTCTCCCAGAAGAAAAATGAAAGCAGGGCTGTAACAAAAACATGTCTTTAGTTAGCATTTAAAAACGGTCGGAGGGAGAAGACACAAATTAAACAAACCTTTTGATAATACCGCTAGGTCCTCTGTGAATAGAAATATTCGTGACCTCTCCACATGAAGAGAAGTGCCTTCTCAAAGAGCTCTCGAGATCATGCTCAGGAAGCCAAGGGTCAAATCCCGAAACAGAAACAATGATGCTTCTGCAGGAGATGATATCATCAACACACACACAAGAAGAAGAAGAAGAAGACATATTTATTACAGATGCAAATCTACAAGAACTAAAAAAAAATTACCGGAACAATCGACTGCGTGCAGATCTAGAAGCAGCCGCTTCAGGGGAAAATTCAATGTTTGGTCCCTGAGAAGGTGAAGCCTCAACAACTAGTTTACACCCTTCAAAGTCACTTCCATTAAGGTCCAACACTTTCCCTCCTGTACCTTTTTCTCCCCGAATGGCCATCCAAGCAACGCTGAAAGGTAAAAGAAAAGAAAAGCCAATAAGTTGATATTTTATAAAACTTGAGCTGGAAAATTTGGAGGAAGAACATGTTAAACTTTATTATGATACTAGGTACACACAAAAATAACACGTAACAAGAGTAAAATAGTTCTCTGAGTTTCCTAATAATTTCCTAAATCTACAAAATACAAAGTGTTTGTATCAGACAATTACCTGCTGAGATAACCCCTTTCAGGGTCTCTTGAAATACAACACTGTCTGATCCTACCACATGAAGCGAAATGCTTTCTCAACGCGCGGTCGAGATCATAATAAGCAACCGAAGTGTCATACCCCGTTACGGAAAAGCTAATGCAACTGCAATAATTTGATAGCAAGAGATCATATCATCAACACACACACAAGAGTACGTCATCGTCTTTACAGATACAAATCTCTCCCAACAAAAAAAAGAATAGAATTAATTTACCTCCTTTTTCGAATGGAGCCAAGACGCCTTTTTGTAAGCCATTGCAATTTAGGTCGCATGTATGCACCAGCACGAGGCCATACTTTGGCGTATTCGTCCATGGAGACTGCTAGGTTTTCGAGAGGCAATAACCCTTGAAAAAAAACAAAAGAAACCTATGAGAAATCCATAGATAAAGAAACGAAACGAAACAAAACAACCCGTCGAATGAAAATAGAGTGAAAGGGAACACACGATACTTCTTTGCTACGCTTAGCGTCGTCGAGGCGGTGCAGCCAAATCGGAAAAGATGACAAACTTTCAACTTTCAAGTTATAACTTCCAGTGGCTCTTTTTATATAAGCGCTAATTGGGCTGAAAAAAGACTCTTGGGCCTTCACAAATTAAGAAAAGCCCATTTGTGTTGAACTGTTCATGACAATATCTCTAATTTGATCTTTTAGGGGTTTTGTTATTTTCAACAAGAAGTCACAAACAGAACATGAAAGGTTTGAATTTTCCATAGACAAACTTAAACGTTAAAATATAATTAGCAAAAAGAAGTTTGTTTTCATCAACAGATTAACTAAATGCGGAATACATTTGGTATAAATAAGAACAAAGTATATCTTTCTTTGTATCTGAAATTAAAAACAAGCTTAAAAACTTTTAAAAATCTAAAAAGAAGATTAACAATGGCTGGTTTGAAAGTTTTTTGTTTTGCTTTGCTCCTTGTTCTCACTTTCTCAGTTGGTACGTCTTTTTCTTATAATTAAGGTTTATTTCTCAACTGTTTACAATCTAAGAAACTTATTTTTGTGTTTCAATACAAAACTTGTTATGTTAATCACAAAAACCCATGAACTCATATTACATAAAACTGTTTCAATTCTGTGTGATATATTGGCAGATGTTGAAGGATATGTTGTAGAGAGTGGTTCCTTGTGTTGTAATAGCCACCCGAAATTTGGAAAGTGCAACACAAACAACGACGAGCAGAGATGCAACAGTTGGTGTCACAATGGATGCGACAATGGAAGAGGCGGTTTCTGCAAACCTCTGCCTCACGGAGGACAATGCCACTGTCGTTGTTAACTCACAATTAAAAAAATTATGCATGCGTTAATGCGTTTGCTTGATTACTAACTTATGTATGAATATCACATGACTTGATAATAAGTAATAAGACCACAAAGCCAAAGAGCTAAATTATATTATTATTATACTTCTACTCCTCTTGTTAAACCAATAAGCGCAAACCACGTAGATCAAAGTTTTTTTTTGGTCTTCATTATTTAAGAAAAAGTTGCTATAGGTTGACTTTTGTCGGCGACAAAAGAATAGGTTGACTATAGTCAACTTAAAAATCACGTCTGCAAAACTCGCGTTTCAAATCGGAGCAGAACAGCAGAAGCGAAACACGGTCTTTCAGGTGCCAACAAAAACGAAAGGGTTTAGGAAAATCAAAACCACAGACGAAAGGGTTTTGGTCTGATTGTCTTCTTCTCATGGCCTTCTCGAGAATCGCTCTTCTTTGCCAACGATTCTCTAGACAACAACAACAACGCCAACTTCACAGACCATTCACTACAAAGCTAGATAACACCAGATTTCTCTATCCCAATCAATCCAAGCTTGCCCAAAACCTAATTGCGATCTTCACAAGACAACCTTTTTCCCCTGAAGACCCTGAGCTATTAAAACTCGCTCCAGAGCTCAACACCAAGGTAGTTGAAACCGTCTTGAATGGATTCAAAAGATGGGGTTTGGCTTATCTTTTCTTCAATTGGGCTTCTAAACAGGAAGGTTATAGAAACGATATGTATGCTTACAATGCCATGGCTTCTATCCTATCACGTGTTCGACAAAATGCCTCACTGACAGCTTTGGTTGGAGATGTTCTGAATTCTCGTTGTTTAATGTCTCCTGGAGCGTTAGGGTTTTTCATTCGGTGTTTGGGTAATGCTGGGCTAGTGGAAGAAGCAAGTTCTGTTTTTGATCGAGTTAGAGAGATGGGTCTTTGTGTTCCTAATGCTTATACATATAACTGTTTGTTAGAAGCAATTTCTAAGTCGAATTCAAGCTCGGTCGAGTTGGTTGAGGCGAGGTTGAAGGAGATGAGGGATTGTGGTTTTCATTTCGATAAATTTACTCTTACACCAGTTTTGCAGGTTTATTGCAACAATGGGAAGTCCGAGAGAGCGTTGAGTGTTTTTAATGAGATTCTTAGTAGAGATTGGCTTGATGAACATATTTCAACCATCTTGGTTGTATCATTTTGTAAGTGGGGTCAGGTGGATAAGGCCTTTGAGTTGATTGAGATGCTCGAAGAACGACATATTAGGTTGAACTATAAGACATATTGTGTTTTGATTCATGGATTTGTAAAGGAGTCTCGGATTGATAAAGCATTTCAGTTGTTTGAGAAAATGCGTCGGATGGGTATGAACGCTGATATTGCATTGTATGATGTGTTGATAGGAGGACTTTGCAAGCATAAAGATCTTGAGATGGCTCTGAGTTTGTATTTGGAGATTAAGAGGTCGGGAATCCCACCTGATAGAGGAATACTTGGGAAGCTAATATGTTCATTTTCTGAAGAAAGTGAATTAAGTCGGATAACAAAAGTGATCATTGGAGACATAGACACAAAATGTGTGATGCTTCTTTACAAATCTTTGTTGGAGGGGTTTAGTAGGAATGATTTGGTGCATGAGGCTTACAGTTTTATTCGGAGCCTCATGGGAAATCATGAGTCAGATGGTGTGTCTGAGATTGTGAAGCTTCTTAAGGATCAAAATAAAGCAATCCTCCCAGATTCAGATTCTCTTAGCATTGTGATTGACTGCTTAGTCAAAGCTAACAAGGTGGATATGGCAATGACTTTGTTACATGATATTGTTCAGAATGGCCTTATTCCAAGTCTTATGATGTACAACAACATAATAGAAGGGATGTGTAAAGAAGGAAGGTCGGAAGAAAGCTTAAAACTCTTAGGAGAAATGAAGGACGCCGGAGTTGAACCAAGTCAATTCACACTTAATTGTATTTATGGTTGCCTTGCTGAACGATGCGATTTTGCAGGAGCATTGGACCTACTGAAAAAGATGCGTTTTTATGGATTTGAGCCATGGATAAAGCATACTACCTTTCTTGTCAAAAAACTTTGCGAGAATGGGAAGGCTGTTGATGCTTGCAAATACATTGATGATGTAGCTGGGGAAGGTTTCCTTCGTCACATGGTTGCCTATACTGCTGCAATTGATGGTCTCATAAAAAATGAGGGAGTAGATAGAGGTTTAGAGTTATTCCGAGACACATGTGCCAATGGTCACTGCCCTGATGTGATTGCATATCATGTATTGATAAAGGCTCTATGTAAAGCGTATCGAACTACGGAAGCTGATAACCTGTTTAACGAAATGGTATCAAAAGGACTAAAACCTTCTGTTGCTACTTATAACAGTATGATAGATGGATGGTGCAAGGAAGGTGAGATTGACCGGGGCCTGTCTTGTATAGTGAGGATGTATGAGGATGAGAAAAACCCTGATGTTATTACTTACACTAGCTTAATACATGGGCTATGCGCTAGTGGAAGACCTAGTGAAGCAATCTCTCGTTGGAATGAAATGAAGGGCAAAGATTGCTATCCAAATAGAATTACTTTCATGGCACTTATTCAGGGTCTTTGCAATTGTGGCTGGTCTAGTGAAGCCTTAGTTTATTTTCGTGAGATGGAAGAAAAGGAAATGGAGCCTGATTCAGCTGTTTACTTATCCCTCGTAAGCTCTTTTCTGTCAAGTGAAAACATCAGTGCCGGGTTTGGGATATTCAGAGAAATGGTTCATAAAGGAAGATTTCCGGTTTCAGTAGATAGGAACTATCTGCTTGCAGTTGATGCTACAAGTAAGTTTGTGGAAGACTCTAGGACGTCATGCTATCTTACCTGTCTAATAAAAGACGGCAGATTTCCAATTGTAGCTGTTGTGAGTAGAAAATGAGGCAAACACTTCTAATTGAAACAGGGAATACTTACCAAAATTGGTTGCAGAGCTTTTTTTCATCTAATGATTTGGTAAAAGCTCAGTTTTGAAACCAATAAGAAGCTAGCTCCTTGTTGCTAATCTTGGTATGATGCCATGGACCCAGCTCCTTGCAAAGGTATTTGCTCGGGACCAATATTTTCTTTTGTCTTCTTAACGTGATGGACATACATCTGAAAAGGGACTAAGAGATAGCTTATATGGATATGTTTGGATCATCAATAGAAAAGCTAATGTTGATGTTACAATTACTGGTAACCAGGTTTCGCGAGTTATCCTTGATGAGACTATGCGCAGAGGTTCTGTACATCTGGATCAATAGTACTTCATTGGCTATGATTTAAACAAACCTGTTGCAGAAACTTCTGATATTCAGTACCGGTCCTCAACGACAACGAGTTACTCATAGCTCTGCCCACCGCAATGTTCAAGCTCAGATAGTTGCATTTGGATCCAGATTGAAGGTGAAATTCAAGATATTAACCTGAGATGCATGCCAGGATTAGACAGTTGGATAAAGCAGTAAAAAAGCTTTTTGTCTATGGAATCCGGAGGTTAGCTTTGCTGCTTTGTCTGTCTCTTTCAGTCATCAGACCATTGTAGAAAATAACTCGGAATCCACCATTCTGTGTATTTGTCTGTTAATATAATTTTTCTTTGTAATTTTTCTTTTCTTTTCTGAGTAACTGCTGAAGATCAAATTAAGAGAGAACTGCAGACCAAATAACCCAATAACCAAATAAAGGGGTACGTTGTCTACCATTAAAACATTGGGGTTATTAGGATAAAAAATGAAAACAAAAAGGAGGGTTTATTTGTCCTAAGGATAAAACTTCAGGGGTTGATCTGCAATTTTATTCATATCGTTAGTTAAAATAAACCGCTTCAATCAAAACTAGAAATTGAAATGTTGAAATTCTTAAGCCATTGTAAGTGTAAAGAGGTGAATGTTGAAATCATCATCGTCTCTCGTCGTAAACTCGATTCTGCGTCACCAATGCAAATCAATGTCGGAGCTGTACAAAATACACGCCCTCCTGATCACACTTGGTCTCTCTAAGGAAGAACCTTTTACTTCTAAATTTCTGTCTTTCTCTGCTCTGTCTTCATCAGGCGACGTCAATTACGCTTACAAGTTCTTGTCGAAACTATCTAATCCTCCTGATTACGGCTGGAATTTCGTAATACGAGGTTTCTCCAATAGCAAAAACCCCGAGAAATCGATCCGTGTCTATATCCAGATTTTGAGGTCCGGGTTTTCACCTGATCATATGACTTATCCGTTTCTTTTGAAGTCGAGTTCTCGTCTCTCGAACCGAAAACTTGGTGGGTCTTTGCATTGCTCCGTGGTTAAAACTGGGCTTGAGTGGGATTTGTTTATATGTAATACTCTTATCCATATGTATGGTTCGTTCCGAGACAAAGCTTCTGCCCGCAAGTTGTTCGATGAAATGCCTTATAAGAACTTGGTTACTTGGAACTCTATTTTAGATGCGTATGCGAAGTGCGGGGATGTTGTTTCGGCTAGACTGGTGTTTGATGAAATGACTACGAGAGATGTTGTGTCTTGGAGTTCTATGATCGATGGGTATGTAAAAAGCGGTGAATATAATGAAGCATTGGAAATTTTTGATCAGATGATGAGAATGGGTTCATCAAAGGCAAATGAAGTCACTATGGTTAGCGTTTTGTGCGCTTGTGCTCACTTGGGTGCGCTAAATCAAGGGAAGACAGTACATCGCTATATACTCGATGTGCATTTGCCCTTAACAGTTATATTGCAGACATCTCTTATTGATATGTATGCTAAATGCGGGTCGATAGGAGACGCTTGGGGCGTGTTTTGTGGAGCATCCGTTAAGGAAACTGATGCATTGATGTGGAATGCTATGATTGGAGGGCTTGCGAGTCATGGGTTCATTAGAGAGTCGCTCCAATTGTTTCACAAAATGAAAGAATCCAAGATTGACCCGGACGAGATAACATTCTTGTGCTTGCTTGCTGCTTGTTCCCATGGCGGATTAGTGAAAGAAGCGTGGCATTTCTTCACTAGTCTCAAGGAAAGCGGAGCGGAACCAAAGAGCGAGCATTATGCTTGTATGGTCGATGTGCTTTCCCGAGCTGGGCTAGTTAAAGATGCGCATGATTTTATATCTGAAATGCCGATAAAACCGACAGGTTCAATATTGGGTGCTTTGCAGAACGGGTGTATAAATCATGGAAACTTGGAGCTTGCGGAAACAGTTGGAAAGAAGCTTATAGAGTTACAACCACATAATGATGGACGATATGTTGGGCTAGCAAACGTTTATGCGATAAACAAGCAGTTTGGCGCAGCTCGGTCTATGAGAGAAGCAATGGAGAAGAAAGGAGTGAAGAAAATTGCAGGACACAGTATAATTGATTTAAATGGAACATCACATAGATTCATAGCTCATGACAAATCACATTTTCACTCCGACAAGATCTATGCAGTGTTACAGCTGATTGGAACTTGGATGAATCTCGATGTTGATGAGGACGATCACTGTTTTTGTTCTTGACAACAACCACATTCCTTTAACAATGTTTTCATATTTATTTTATTAGATAAAAGGTTAACTAAATTAGGTTACGTGATCAAACTTCAAAGGGTTAGAGTAGAGCAATTTTGATGGGTTGGTGCAGTTGGCAATATAATCCGACTTTTAGTTCCAAAAACAATACAAGTTTATTTCAGCTGTGTCCAAATAATCTATTACTCATTATTTGGGTTCTAGTAAAAGATGTAATGATGTATAAAGGACATAGCTTTACTCTTATTTCTTGTACTGGAAGATATAATTAAAAATGATCCAATGCAATCAGATTTAAATCTCTTTTAATTATCACTCTTCAATTGGAAAAATCATATCAATTTAGCAAAACAAACCCCAAAAGAGTGTGCAGCCATCAATGGCGTGGAATTAGGGGTTTTTTTTTTCTTTTTTTCTTGAAGGTTTCAAGATGGACAAAAAGAAGCAAAAGCTAGTGAAATTCACTTCACTGCTTCAAAAGACCTCTTTCTTGAAAGAGCTCATACATCGCTGCTCCAATCTTAGCCGGAGATTCAACAACCTTCACCCCGGCATCATTCAAACTCTTAATTTTGTCCTGAGCCGTACCTTTACCACCGGAAACAATGGCTGCAACAATCAAAAACCAGAGGAGTAAGTGAGAGCAACAGACCACAAGTAGTAAATCCGGTATAGGCGTTAGATAGCTTATGAAAATACCTCCTGCATGACCCATTCGACGACCCGGTGGTGCAGTAAGTCCGGCAATAAAAGCAACAACAGGCTTCTCAGTACCACTTGCCTGTTTATATTCACCAAAAACCAAAAATTGAATTTTACTCTGAAGAATAGAGAGAGATGGACCAAGTTGAAAGAGATTCTCAAGTGGTATTATTACCTTTATCAATGCTGCAGCATCTTCTTCTGCAGTGCCTCCGATTTCTCCTATGAGAACGATACCTGAAACAGCCAGTTGTTTCTTAGTTTCTCAGTTGAGCTACTAACTACACTAAGAAAAGAGAGGACCTAACGGAATCGAAGCATTCTGAAACAAGAATTTTGAAGCCTAAAGAGATTAGGTAAGCATGTGGTCGTTCTACTAAATGATCTTTAAAGTTAATCTATCTAGTGGAAAAAATGATTTCGGAAAACCGTGAAACAGAATTAAGATAAGGTTAGATAACTTGAGTTTGAAAACCTTACCTTCTGTTTGAGGATCAACAAAGAATTTCTCCAAGCAGTCGACAAAGTTTGTCCCGTTAAAAGGATCCCCACCAATTCCTACACAAGTAGATTGGCCTAGACCCACTGCAGTTGTTTGGAAAACCTGCATTAAGGTCAAAACGAAAACAAAGTTTAGAGTCAGAAAAATAAGGCCTAATATCAAAATCCAGAACCAACAAAAACCAGTTTATATAAATTTTCAAAAGCTCCATTAGTGAAAACAAAGATTCATGTTCAGTCTTTAGCGTCAAAACAATGTTTAGGTCAAAACGAAAACAATGTTTAGGTTCAGAAAAATAAGGCCTAATATCAAAATCCAGAACCAACAAAAACCAGTTTATATAAATTTTCAAAAGCTCCATTAGTGAAAACAAAGATTCATGTTCAATCTAACCTTTGGAGGGAATATTAGACTACAATCCAAATAATTCAAAGATGTTGCCCAGGCTAAAGACTATGGTGAAATAAAACTTGGGTGAAATGGAGGCAGAGAACAAATATCAAACATAAAGAAGACCTTACAGCTTCATATGTCAAGGTTCCAGATCGCGAGACAATTCCGATCTTCCCAGGCTTGTGGATGTATCCCGGCATAATTCCAATCTTGCATTCACCAGGCTTGATAATACCAGGGCAGTTAGGACCAATCAGCCTAGTTTTCGATTGACTGTTAAGAGCATGCTTTACACGTACCTAAATCAGAAACAGCACAAGTTTCAAGTCAAAGAGAGAAGCACAAGAGATAAATACATGAGTATGCAATCCTATGTAATAAGCACTGAAGGAGAGAGATATAACAAACAAAATCAAAGGTGTTGATAATATGTACCATGTCATGTTGAGGGATTCCTTCGGTAATACACACAATAAGATCTAACTCAGCCTCAATACCCTCCATAATAGCAGCAGCAGCAAAAGGTGCAGGAACATAAATTACAGAGGCATTGGCTTTGGTGTCAGCCTTAGCTTCAGCAACAGAGTTGAAAACTGGGAGACCTAAGTGTTCAGTTCCACCCTTCTTCGGTGTCACTCCTGCTACCTATTACAGAATACAAACACACACGAGCTATATTAGCAAAATTACTTGGTTTTAAAGCAATCATCAACAAACACAGAAAATTAGAAACCCATTTCATCTCCAAGATCTAATAGAATTTAGGTGATGCAAAGACTAGTGTGCACATGGTCTAAGAACTCAGAGAATTCGCAGGTCCTAACCTAGACATTTCAATAACACTTGAAGCCTATCTAGCTAAAAACGAGAATACCCCTAATAATGTAACTCTGTAAATGTAGCACAATGGAGAAATACACAATCCAAAACTACTAGAACAACCCTAAACCAATGCAATCGGAAAATGGAGAAATATCCAATTCGAAGAAGATAAAAAGAATCAGGATTTACCATTTTGGTGCCGTACTCAATGGCTTGTTCAGTGTGGAAAGTGCCGTTCTTTCCGGTGATGCCTTGACAGAGGACACGTGTGTTTTTGTCAACGAAAACCGCCGCAGGAGGATGAGGATCCGACGCGAAGGAGCGAGATTGGGTCAACGAAGTGAGAGGCTGGCATGACGGAAAAACCTCTGAGCCGCCGGTAGAACAACGACGAGCTTTTGATGATAGAGATCCGATAAGCCTTGCGACTTGCCTAGACATGATTGATTGGCTTCTTCTTCTCGGTGTTCTCGATCCGAATCAACTTGTGAACCCTAACTGTGTGAAGGCGAGAGAAGACGGAAATGGAACAAAGAAAATTCAGCGGAGCTTAGTTTTGAAGAATCAGCTGAGATCAAAAGCCGACAAAAGAGGCTTCCTCTAAAGGCTACACTTTTCTGAATTTTAGCCCAAACCCATTATTTCTAGATGATGGACTTTTTTTAGAGTTTTTATTTTAAATGTAAATCTCAAAATCTTTGAGAAGATAATAGAGGCATATGCATAAACCCAATATCGGCTTCCAAATTTCATTTCACTGAATTATGTTCGAGGCAAGTAGTTACATACATAAATGGAGAACAACCGAAACAGCAAGCAAAAACCAGAATCACAATCATCAAAGCATTATATGAAACCAGTTCATGGGATATTTCAGCTGACCAGAATCACTAGACTCAATGGTTTTAACAAACTAGATAGTGTTGGGAAGCCCGGTTAGTAGCGGTATTTGGTGGAGTAATCTTTTGGAGCAATCACCAACCCACGACCCTTCCTTGCACCGCGGTAGACGGTCTCGATGATATCGATGAATTCCTGCTTGTCCTTGAGAGCCCAGTTGATCTTGTTGTTGTTACCAGTTCCAAGATCGATCATGATGTGCTTGTTCCTGAAGAAGAACATGACCGTCGAAGGATCGTACAGCTCGTACATGGTGTTGAAGTCTGGAACCTCAGTGATGTCCACCAGATAAATGACTGCAAAGTTCTTTATCGTCTCAGCAACAGAGGAAAGCACCTCATCCATCTACAAAACGCAAAAACCTCTAATCAAAACAGAAACCAAAAACTGAAAATACTAGTATGAAATGTTAGTGAAGGCATAATTCTAATCAGTTCCAAGATAAAGAACACACGAATGGCTAAGGTTTCAAACAATCACCACAAAATATCGCAATTTTCCAAAATCACCAAATCCGCAAGAACAAAACGAAGCATAGATCACAGAACCGAACACTAAAACGAACAAATTCAAAACCTTTTACATAGTAAACATTGTTAGCGGAACCCTAATTTTCATCAGTTCTGAGCTAAGGAGGAACAGAAGAATGGCTAAAACTAATAAACAATCAACACAAAATAACGCAATTTTCCAGAACAAAGGGATCAAAATCGAAAAATATGAACTAAAAATCGAATCAAACATATAATAGAGCTCAAGATCGCGAGAGAAACGTTTGACAGACCTGCATACAAGTCTCATCCCAGTCATGGCCGAAACGAATGACGACGAGACGCTCTTCCTCGGCTAGAATCGCCTGATCAACAGCCCAACCGGAGTGCAGATGCGGCAGAAGATACGACATCCTCTCTCTCTCGACGATTTTCCGATCTGTTTCAATTCGATATTTTTCTCTTGCCCTAATTTTATATTCGATTCCCAATTTTGTTGACGGTGACGGCGCGTTGATTCCACACGTAAACCGCACAGACCAACTTGGGCTAAGCCCATGATAAAACTTACTTTTAGGCCCAATAAAGATAAATCCATGAGATTGCAAAACGGACGGTGATAAAGGTAGTAGAACACCATAATCTGGTACGAGTCACTCGTAGAGGATTAACTCTCTAAAATCTAATTATCCTATCCAATATCCTCTCATAGAGGTGAGAGCTAAGATTTTCCCATCAACTCTCCATTTTGAAGCTAAATTCTCTGATCTCTCTTTCATTCATTTCATTTTTCCCTCTAAATCTCTCCCAACGATTTCCAAATCTCACTTCACTTCGTTGGCTCCACCTGAATCCATGGATATCGCTTCCTCGTCTCTCTCACAAGCTCACAAAGTCGTTCTCACGCGTCAACCATCTTCTCGGGTCAACTCCTGCTCCCTTGGTTCTGTCTCAGCTATCGGATTCTCTCTTCCGCAGATTAGCTCTCCAGCTTTAGCTAAATGTCTCCGGAAACAAAGCTCTTCTGGGTTCGTGAAAGCTTGTGTTGCTGTTGAACAGAAGACCCGAACTGCTATCATCAGAATTGGCACAAGGGGAAGGTAAAAATCTCTCCTTTTTTTCTTTGTCAACTCTTTTGAGTCTATGAGCGCTTGAATGCTATTGGATTGGCTTTCGTTTCCTTAATTCAGATTCCAAGTATCGATTTTTACTGGTCCTCTGGTCGGATCCGTTTTCCTGTTTTGATGGAGTTATAGTTGACAATGTCAGTCCCTAACTTAGTTTTAGATGTTATAGTGTATAATTTGTTAGCCTAGAGATGAGAAATGGTTCTTTTGATTCTTCCTTTGACAGTCTCTGTATTGATCGAAAAGATCAGGTGTATGTGTTTCGGTTATTTGTTGAAGAACAAATGAATCAATGGTGAATGACTTTAGTTTCTGATGTATCTTATCTTCATTGTTTTCTACTTATATACTCTCACTGTGTAGGACAGTCCTCTAGCACTTGCTCAAGCATACGAGACGCGAGAAAAGCTCAAGTCGAAACATCCTGAACTCGTTGAAGAGGGAGCTATTCATATCGAGATCATTAAAACCACCGGTGATAAGATTCTATCTCAACCGCTTGCTGATATTGGTGGGAAAGGACTTTTCACCAAAGAAATAGACGAGGCCTTGATAAATGGTCATATTGACATAGCTGTTCACTCTATGAAAGATGTCCCAACTTATTTACCGGAAAAAACGATTTTACCTTGCAACCTTCCGCGTGAGGATGTTCGAGATGCGTTTATTTGTCTGACTGCAGCCTCGTTAGCTGAGCTTCCAGCTGGAAGCGTTGTGGGAACAGCTTCTCTCAGGAGAAAGTCGCAGATTCTCCACAAATATCCTGCATTACATGTAAGTTTTCACATCTTTCACAACATAGAAACTGCCATTTCTTATGGATCAGTGTTTTATCTTTCTATTTATTGATCCATGTCTTTATTGCCTTTTGCAGGTTGAGGAAAACTTCAGGGGTAATGTGCAGACAAGACTATCAAAGCTTCAAGGAGGAAAGGTCCAAGCAACTCTATTAGCACTAGCTGGTCTTAAGAGATTGAGTATGACAGAGAATGTCGCATCTATCTTATCTCTCGATGAAATGCTTCCAGCTGTTGCTCAAGGAGCTATTGGAATTGCCTGTAGAACTGATGATGATAAAATGGTATGTCTCTCTGGAATTTACTTTATTTGATGATGTGTCCCTTTAAGGGATCTTTGGATTTGCATCTACGATTTATTGTGAACGAATAAATGATCTGACTTGTGTTTTACATCTGTAGGCAACTTACTTAGCCTCACTGAACCACGAGGAAACAAGACTAGCGATTTCATGCGAGAGAGCGTTTCTTGAAACGCTAGATGGCTCATGCCGTACTCCTATTGCTGGATACGCAGCCAAGGACGAAGAAGGCTACTGCATTTTCAGAGGATTGGTTGCCTCCCCTGACGGTACTAAAGGTATGAAAACACATTAACACATGAGAGGATAAATATGAGAAACATCATTCATTTCTCATATCTTCCATCTTTGTGTCAGTTCTTGAGACCTCAAGAAAAGGTCCGTATGTGTATGAAGACATGGTGAAGATGGGAAAAGACGCGGGGCAAGAATTGCTTTCTCGTGCTGGTCCTGGCTTCTTCGGCAACTAAGCCATTCGAAGAAGAGGAGGAAGAGATGTGACACGGACAGAGTCTAGTGTTTAGGAGTATTTCAACATCTTGAAGTCCCGTTTCTTCCTCCTAAATTCTGTTGTAACTTTTTTGATTTTGAGAGAAACATAACCTTTTGTTTATTGATTGTTTTGTTGTATTTAGATTAAATTCCTCTTGCAATTGTACCCCTTTTTGTCCCACTATGAAACTAGTTCACAAGAAATTAGAGGGACAAAATAAAAACCAGAGACTGTAGCTCCATCTCCTTCAATCTTCTTATTCATCAAGTGGGATATACCACACCGGTCTTTTCTCGGAATTGCTCAGCCTGTAGTTCAGCATCAGTTCCTCATTGCACAACGCTTTTGTAGACACTAGAACAAGTGTCTTCAGCACAGGAGTATCCAAACTGCTATTACTACCTGTCCTAGACAAGAAGCTTCCAAATCTCCCCATCTTTACGTCTTCTGTGTTCCCGAAAGCTACATTCGGAATGTAAGCTCGCATCTCTGTCTCTGACAATGGGAAGTCGTAAGGGCAAATCATCACATTAGGTTCCATGTCTTTACCAGGGTGATTGATGAAATGACCAAACGCTAACGGGTTTCTCATTTCAAGATCCGCTTCTACACTACCCGAACCTTCAAGCGGCCTACTCAGCATCTTCCATACCTTGTCTGAACTGTTTTCCGCTGTTGTAGTGTCTGTTCTGATCTCAGGCGTTGGAAAGGAGCATACTTCCCGTGATTCTCCTCCACGACCCCAAGGTTGAGCATTTATAACCGTCCCATCATACCCTGTGATCAGATATGAATTCTGTGCATCAACATTTGGGTACCCGGGAATGTATCTGTAGAATGCAGGAGAGTAAATCACACCAGGGTAAAAGGCTAAGACAGCTCCCACATCTGCTTCACCTTCTATAAAACAACCTTGACCCGCATCTTTGTGAGGTATTAATGATGGTTTGATCTGGAGGGTGTACCCAATTCGATCCTTTAATCGATGTGAGACTTCAGCGAGTTTCAGCGGTTTAGTCTCAGGAACAACTGTGCTGAAGAAGATTCAGTGAGAAATGATTAAGACAATAAGGACTAGAAAGTTTTATTAATTCACTACACAATACACATATTATGTAGACTCACTGGGCTTGTCTGCAGCTGGGACATTGTTGTCCCTTCTTGATTCTGATCCTGGCTTATTTAGTTCCTTTGTCTTTTTAATATTGGTAAGAAGAATCTCGTCCATCAAAGAACAAAAAATTTCGACTTGGTAGTGAATGTTCTCCTGAACTTGCTTCTGTTGCTCAGATAAAGTGGCTTTACCAGCAATCTCAATGATCTCTTCTGCATCAGCCTCCTCAGCATCTCGTCCCAAACGATTATAGCTATATCACAGAGAATCTCCGTGAGAAATATAGTGGAAAGAATCTCCGACAATTACGGGACTAACTCCATGCTTAGTCAATAAACAGACAAGTTGATATGAAATAATCAGGATTAAATCCTTGTGACACTATAAATCTTGTTCAAAAGCACTTGATTACATACAAACACCAACCTTGTAAACATAAACAGTTTGTTAATGTCGGCTTCAAATTGCAATTGCCTTGGATTCTTAGCAAAAGTGGTACTCTTTGCTAGAACACCAACACCCTGGAAAATGACAGAGAACAAAAAGAAAAAACACCATTGAATCAAAAGTGGTCACACTATTACATCAAAACTACTCGGCTTAACATAGAATTAAAATTAACAATGCCTATTGATCATATGAGAAACTTCAAACTACATTTATGGACAGAAAGCGAATCACTGAGAGAATTCAGTCATTTCAAGTATGTTCTAAAGTCTATACAAGCTACAAAATAGAGTCACAGGAATCATCTTATAGTGAAAGACTAAATCCTACAAAAGACTCGAACTTTCTTCATACCCAGCATCAAAACACACATACCAGAGAGGAAGTTTCAAAAATAAGTCAGATTATATAAGATAAGAAATTCATATTTCACCTGCTGAAATTTGTTAAAAAGAAACATCATTTTTGAAAACGCCATTCTCTTTCTCCTCACTTTGAATTGATGGGCAGAGAAGAAGATGAATCGCAGCAAGTGCTTCAGTTGAAAGATCTCTTTGGCTGATTGATTCCAAAAAACGACTCGAACGCTGCTGCCTCTCAGCTCAATGCCTGGGTTGTTTTCTCAAGGGCCTCTCCCAACTTTTATTTAATTAATATTAAAATGTTTAATTGAAAATTAAAATATATCTGATTTCCAAAATTAATAAAGTAGACTAGTGATTTGTTGATTAGTGAAATACTTGAAAAAAAAAAAACAACGAAAAAGGTAAGAGGAGCCTTATAATTAAACTTATTCCAACAAACGAAAAGTTCAATAATCTTATTCATCAATTGAAATTTTCATTAAATCAATTGGGGAAATTGCTAAACGAAGGTTCCAAGACAACAACAACTTGCCATCATGACTTGAGACGGTACTGATCAGAACCGTTTTGAAGGCAAGGGCACTGAAGAAAGGAAGTGAGAGAATAATGTGAGAGATTGTGGCGGTGCAAAGGACGGAACCTGGTGACCGGCTCCTCTCACCGTCACAAACGTTAGTCCTCCGGCATAAGTCTCAACCCATCCAGCCACTTGACTCTTGTGGAACCATGACCTCCACGGTAACTCAACCTTAAGTCCCATCTTTTTTATGCTATAGCGTGTAGATGTTACCGGAACTCTCCCATCCGTATCTCCACTACAACCAACATTGAACCAATCAAGATAAAACTAATTGACAATATATATGAATTTTTTCATGTAATTTTATTAACTAGTAAAAGAAAGATATAGATACCTATAGATCCAGATGCGGAGGCCGCCAGTTGAAAGCTTTTGTATGGTGGGAATCATGGTGGATGGAGCATCATTCCATCTCTTTATTACTCCGCTGAATCACATACACATGCACATATATATACTTTGTTCATTGAAAACATTACCAAATTAAACTTAACATACAAAGTAACAACAAAGTCTTTAGCTATTAGTTTTGGTTAGTACCACGCAACGTAAGTAGGACTAACCTGCAAGGAGAGTACGGATAAGGAAGGTTTGTAACGTTCGCATGGAGTGCAACCTGCACATCTTTCCGGTTGAAATAATTTTCGGCATAACCTTCGGTGCATGGATCGTACCCGGCCGGAAACTTGTCCCACATGTCCTAAACCATCAAAAGAGAAGAATTTGTAAGAAAAAGTAAGAAGAAAGATGATGGTTACATTATGTTACAATGATACAATATTGAATTGTAGATTACGTACGTCAAAAGTAAGGAGACGAGGAGACACGACGATTTTAGGTTTTCTTGGAGAAGATGAGGACAAAGAGGAGAGGCAAACGGGAGTGTAGATGCTGTATATATCGATATCGTTGTAAGCATCCATGAACCCTTTGAAATTGTTGTAGCATTGTTCGGTCTTGTTCGTGGTATCTTCCTCAAAACGGCACGAGCCATGGATGTTGGTGTGGACCTCGTCCGATATTATAGCGTGGCTCCAAGCATAGTCCACTAGTCCTGCCATGTCTGTTGCCTCATTGATCACCGCATTCCCTATCTGCAACGCAGTCACCAAACGAATAAGTTTTAATTTATGTTTACTTATATCTCAAGAAACGTTGCTTCACAAGTAACCTAACTACTACTACATAGTGTGTACCATGAAACCCTTGAGATTAATGCGAGAGTCTTTTGTCTTCTTGTTCCTGTCGTAAATTACCTCCGCAAGCTGAGGAACATAGTGACCTGAATAAAGAAGATCGAAAAAATGTGATTCAATCTTTGTTTCTATATATATACTGATATACAAATACAGATTGGAGTGTCTAGTTCGGCTAAGTCGGCGAACACGTACCGGCGTAACTCTCTCCGGAGATGTAGAACTCGTTGGATCGGAACTCGGGGAATTTCATGAACCAGTTGATCAAGAAAGCAAGAGAGTCGGCTGCGGTAACTTCATCTCCAAGCTTTTGAAGATCCATTGAGTTATTGGTATACGAGAACCCAACCCCAACCGGTGCTTCCAAGAACAACATATTGGCCTCTGCACAAACATTTTTTTTTTAATAACCACAACTAATATATGTATACATGTAGATAAAAAAAAATATATGTTTCAGTATGTAGTAATTTAATATGAATAGTTTTACCTTTGTTCCAAGAGAAATTATTGTAGGAAAGTTTGCCATCGTTGGTGTGAACAAGAAAAGGGCCTAGTTCTTGTGCAGCTCCATAGGCTATTGATGAACAACCCGGTCCTGCATATTAGATTTGAGTTAAACTTATGAAAAATGTTTACAAGTTTCACTATGTAGTAATACAATTCACTAAAGAACATTGTTATTTGCAATTCCATCGCTAAACTGTTATTTGTGGCGGTCGTTCAATGTTCGGCAAATATCCAAAATAATTGATACAACTAAGTTTGTCAAGAAAACTAAAAATAAATGAGACTAGCTAGACGTCAATATATTGTCACGAGTTGTCTATCAAAATTCAAATATCATTATTGTCTACCGAAATTAAATAACTACTCCCTCTGTTCCTAGAAGATTGATTTTCTAGAGATTTCACATTTCTTAAGAAATAATCATTGCTTAATTATTTACTTTTATTAAACATTTTTTAATAAACTATGAACCAATAGTAATCTGAAACAGTTAATCATTACGTCTTGAAATCTACGATTTATTAAAATAAATTAATTAAAAATAAAAATAAAATCTAGAAAATCAATCTTTGTAGAACAAACTAAAAACACTAGAACATCAAACTTCAAGGAACAGAGGGAGTATAAGTTTTGCTATAACTGTGAATACATTGGATTCGTGTGTACCCTTCAATCACGCAACTCATTATTAACAAATTCAACCTTTTTGGTGAAACTCCACATTGTTGTTAAGAAATAGACAAAGCTTTTTGTTTATATCTAGATGTATAATTGAATATTCAACATCTTATCCTATCTCTAGCCCCAATATAAAAAGGCAAGCTTGATATCTCGTATCCCTAAATATCCCAATGTTGGAATGAACCGTGTGCGGAAAAAGACAAACCGTAAAGTAAATTCGTTAAATTGAATGAACAACTACCGAGGGAAAAAGAAGATACAGACAAAAAAATCTTTAAACACTCTACAAACAAGATTTGGACATTGAATGTTAAAGAGAAAGGACATTAAATGATATAAGTCCGATATCTGTCAGAGAGCCGGACCATATACGTCTTCGTTGATATTTTACCGATTATGTTGTTTGATTATAGTATAGTAGGTTTTATTTCACTGATTCATAACAAAATTTGATCTATTTAAAAAGATTTGTTTTTGTTTTATGACAAATGTTTTTACTTAATTAGATCGAAGTTTATTTTCGTTAAAACTGGTTTTCAACTATGGTTTTCAGTTTTCACGTTAATAAAAAAACATGGACTGGTGGAATCAAAATTCAGTAATTGTCCCGAAGAGGCAAGAACCTACTCGTTCCACCGTACATATTGTTGAAGTGCGTTCCATTAAAGTAGGCAATTAAAATTTGTCGGCATTCCCAACTTATCACATTGGTTATCACTTCTCCATCAAGCAATAGTAAAGAAACAAAAATGACGAATAGTATCAGTGTGACAGTGTATCAATGAATGGTGTTTCTGGCTATTTTTATCAAATCATACACGACATCTAACAAAAATGTTGAATAGTATCAGTGTATCAATGAATGGAGTAGATTATAATAGCGATATATAATTGTACACACTATTTAATTACTACTTTAAGTTTTGGCTATTTTATGGACTTAGAAATTTTTGTAAAGAAAAACAAAGAATCCCATCGAAACGACCATATAGTATCTCGTTGTGATACATTTACATTAACCCGCTTGGTAAGTTAGAATGCAGAGTAAGGAGACAGATGGAGTTTGGTAGGACAATGTACACAACTTGATGTTTTCTAAAGAGATCTATAAATAAGTAGTAAAACTTTAGTCCAAATTCAATTTTGTATCCAAGAAAATTACTGCCGAAAACATTTATCTATCCTAATGTTTAGAAAAATCTTTGTTTACATTCTTTTTTTCGTGCAAGGTTTATCTTGTTTTTTTTCCCAACATCACGGCAAGGCCCACGAGATTGAGAGCTCATTAATCATCATTACATTGATTTTTAGTTCGCAAACTTAATCATCACATCATTTGTTTCACAGAAAAGTACCATTTACTTTTAAAAAATTAATCTACAGTACAGTATATTGTTTGGGAAAAAAAAAAATTGTTCTAAAATTTCTCAACGATTTTCAACAGTAAAACCTTACTTATCTCTTCAGACAAAACTATCAAAATTTAAATTTATATCACAACAATATTATTAGTGGTACATCTAACTATCTTTTTAATCAATGTGAAAATGTCTATGAAATGGAAGGAACGCAATTTTGCTATAATTTTTTTTAACAACTTTCACTTCTCGTAAAGAAAATTTGTAAACAGCACAAAACAGTGAAATTCAAAGGGGTTAACAAAAAAAAAAACCTGTGAAATTCAAATTTCGATATAACCTAAGACCAAACTAATGAAATTGCCAAATACAAACAATGATAAGTTTGTATTATTATTACGTCGTTAAATAAAATTTGTTTAATGAGCAAAAGAGAGGGAAACTGACCTCCATTGAGCCAAAGGACTAGAGGACGACGAGAAGAGTTTTGTTGGGCTTCGAAGAACCAATAGAAAAGTGCCTTCTGCTTCTGTTCAGGTCCCAGATTCACGTAACCGGCGTAGTGTTTGAAGTTAACCGGTGGTTGGCCGGGCAAACCGGTTACAAGGTCATCTTCCTTCCTCCCAGAGGACGAAACTGTTACCTTCTTCTCCGGTTTCCTACCACAGGTTATCGCCGGTAACACCAGAATGCACAGTAGCCAAAGTGCGTTCTTCTTCATCGCCAAACGCTTTCTCTTCTCTTTTGTTTTTTGGTCTTTTCAATTATTTATCGAAATGAAGAATAGATGAGAAAACGCCCCCACTTCTTCTACTTTATACTGTTTTTTTTTAAGTAACAGTCTTTTTTTATACTGAAGAGTAGATGTCGACCGTACTATTTCCTTGTAATGGGCCTCAATATGCCTCAATGGGCCTTCCACGCTTTTGTTTATCGTTGGTTCATTACCAATTTTCTTACCTTTTACAGAAAGATGGAGATGTCAGCATCGGAGACTGAACCACATGCCTATGGAGATGGAGCCATCGGCAAATAAATGCTTCTACTTTTTTTTTTTTCAAATCAATTAATGCTTCTTCTTTTTTTTTTCTTAATTAGGAATTAAGAATGCTCAAAGTGTTTAGAAACTAATTAAAATTTCATTAAAATTAAATGTGTATAGTACTAAAGTAGAGCTTTAAAACAACAGCGTCATATAGAAGACGTTCAAAGCTTATGTTTTATATTGATCTCAACATTAATATACACCTAAAATGATAATTTCCAAAGAAAGTGGTTTATTCACAATTGTCTCGTATTTTTACAGAATGTGAATATTTACTTCTTTTTTTTTGAAAAAACTTCAAGCATTGAGCTTAATTAAGGCTGGCGGCTTGATGAGAATAATTTATTGATATAGACAGAGGGCCTGTACCTATAAGGCCCCAAATACAAATTAACAATGCCGTTCATGAAATTTTATATATCGAAGGCCCGAACTATATTGGGAGGCCCATGCGTTTTCTGAGCCCAAACTGTTCGAGGGAAATTATCAAATAGTCAAATTGTTCGAGGACATTTAACTTTTGTAGAGTCCTAATATTCACCAGATATATATATGCAGACAACCTAAAATCAAACAACAACGTTTCAGCGACAGGTGGAAAAGTACAATAGTACAAAACAATTCTGTATATTCGAATAATTGAATATTAATATTCCAATTTCCACACATATTTCCTGATAAATTAAACAAGTTGTTTGACAAAATAAAATAAAGTGTATAACAAAATAAACAAGAACTTAGGTGATCCGTCAGACCGTCACCACCCACCTGTCAACTTATGTTTTATCCACAATCCTCATATTCTAAAACCCTAATTTTTTTTAATTAATCCCCTTCAAAAGATTCGTCCTTTCAAAAGACCAAAACGAAAACAAAGCAAAACAGGAGAAAACAAGAGCCACATAAATTAAAAGACCGTTAGAAAAGAGCAACGAACTTTTTTAGCTCACCAAATCAAACCCAATTTCACATTGAGAGCCAAACACGAAACTTATGCGTCTTAATTCTTTCTTCTCTCATTTCACATTCTTCACCTACTAATTAACTAACAACTTCATTATTTGTAATCTCTTTCCATCTGCAAAAAATTATACACACTCTGTTTCTTTGTTCCCTCTTTGTCACTATGAAGCCTACTTCTTCTTCTTATAATCTCACGGCTACTGCCGCTTTCGTTTCCTCTTCTTGTTTCAGAAGCAACGAGCCTCTGGTTCCAAGGAGGCTGTTTTTCTTGAGAGATGTTCAGATTCTTGAGCTCTTTATTGCCCTTTTAGTGTTTGTGACAATACATTCCTTGCGCCAGAAGAAACGCCAAGGGATGCCCGTTTGGCCGTTTCTTGGCATGCTTCCTTCCTTGATTTCCGCGGTCCGAAGCAACATATACGAATGGTTATCTGAGGTTCTTATCAGCCAAAACGGGACATTCCGGTTTAGAGGTCCTTGGTTTAGCACCCTCAACTGCGTTGTTACCTGCGACCCAAGAAACGTTGAGCATCTTCTCAAGACCCGTTTCCCTATCTATCCTAAGGGTTCTTACTTCCGTGAGACCATGCGAGATCTACTCGGAGACGGGATTTTCAACACCGATGAAGAAACGTGGCAACAACAAAGGAAAACAGCAAGTGTCGAGTTCCATTCGGCTAAATTCAGACTATTAACCAGTCAATCATTGCACGAGCTCGTGCATAATCGACTTTTACCGGTTCTAGAAGCTTCCGGAAAGATCGATCTTCAGGACATTTTGTTAAGACTAACGTTTGACAATGTATGCATGATTGCTTTCGGGGTCGATCCAGGCTGTCTTAGTCCAAAACTACCCGAAATTCCTTTCGCAAAAGCCTTCGAGGATGCAACAGAAGCAACAGTTGTGAGATTTGTGATGCCTAAATTCGTGTGGAAGCTCATGAGGTCTCTTAATTTAGGAACGGAGAAGAAGCTAAAGGAATCAATAAAAGGTGTGGATGGTTTTGCTGAAGAAGTGATCCGGAGGAGGAAGAAAGAGATGTCTCTAGAGGCTGAAATATCGAAGAGACCTGATCTCTTGACTATCTTTATGGGTCTACGAGACCAAAATGGACAGAAATTTTCAGATAAGTTCTTGCGTGATATTTGTGTGAACTTCATACTTGCTGGGAGAGACACTTCCTCTGTGGCTTTAAGCTGGTTTTTCTGGTTAATCGAGAAGAATCCGGAAGTGGAGGAGAAAATCATGATGGGAATTTGCAAGATTCTTGAGCAGAGAGATGATCAGGGAGATGCAAAGAAGAACATGGAATATGAGCCTGTGTTCAGACCAGAAGAGATCAAGAAAATGGATTATCTACAAGCTGCTTTGTCTGAGACTCTCAGATTGTATCCTTCTGTTCCAGTCGATCACAAAGAGGTATCTTCTCTGTTTCACTTACTTGTCTCCCAAGTCATCAAGCTAAGAGTTGATTTTTGGTTCATTTAAAAAAAAAACTCGGAAATATTTTTAGTTCTTTTGCCAAAATTTTGTTTCGTTTCTAGTTTAAGGTACATTTCGAATTGGGAGACACAATATTATTACATAAATAAATAATTATTTTTTATTAGTATATTAAAACCTAGTTTTGATATATTAGTTAAATTAAATGTGAAATTGGTTTACGAAAACAAAACCTAGTTTTGATATATTAGTTAAATGTGAATTGGTTTACGAAAAAAAGAAGAAGTTAAATGTGAATTTAGAATTTTTGATATATTGGTATGGTTGGCTTACTTAAAAGTCTCTAGTTTTATTCGATTTCGGTTATTAAAATATAAAGTACGCATGAGGTTTATACGAGTGAAAAAAATTTCAGGTACTTGAAGACGATGTATTTCCAGATGGGACGAAATTAAAAAGAGGAGAAAAGGTTATATACGCAATATACGCGATGGGACGCATGGAAACAATTTGGGGGAAAGACTGTCGTGAGTTTAAGCCAGAGAGGTGGTTAAGAGACGGCCGATACATGAGTAAGTCGGCCTATAAGTTCACGGCCTTCAATGGCGGTCCTCGGCTATGTCTAGGCAAGGATTTTGCGTATTATCAAATGAGATATGTTGCAGCCGCGATTATCTACCGATATAGGGTCAGGGTTGATGATAAGGGTGGTCACAAGGTTGAGCCAAAGATGGCTCTAACTATGTACATGAAGCATGGCTTGAAGGTGAATATGGTCAAGAGGAGTGTTTCAGAGATAGCCCACTACTACTGCTGAGTGCCTGCCGTCAAGGGGGGTATAAAATTGGTGTACTGTATACTGATTCATGTTTTGAGATTTATGAATTGTAACAAGTGATTGTTGTTTTTTGGGTGATTTTGATTTGGTAGTTATGCTGTATATATTATATCGTTTATAATAATGATAACTTACGACATATTGTATTCTACAAAAAGAGTCCACATTTTTGTCATGTTGTAGAGAATTCCATATATTTTAGGGTCTATAATATGGTGATGAAATGGATCTCTATGTAGGTCCAGGTGGAAAAAAAAAATGATACAACAAGGAAAATGTACATATTATATTGTATTAACTATGACTTTTGCAAAATGCCAATAAAAATAATCCAGATGAATTCGAATGGGTCATAAAGAAAATAGCTAAACGAAGATGTCCAACGTAGAAGTTGGAACGTGGGCACTACGATACTTATTTTCTTATATCAAATTTTACTTTGGTTTATTTTATTTATTTTCTCAAGATGAATATTTTCTTCGTTCTAATCTTAAATCCGTGTTGAATAACGTGGTTCGTTATTTATTGTATACGTTTTTTATTCATAACGTCTGGAATGGATTGGTGATGAAACCGTAATAAAGACCAGGTTTGTATTTGTCACTATTCTTCAGCATTCAAATTTGTACCGCTATATATACTATACTATACAGTAGTAGATGTCACAGAAAAAATATATATACGATACGGTAGTAGTTTTAATTTTTTTCCGCTTAATTAATCCAATAAAACAAATAATTAGGAAAATTCTGACATATTATAATTATTAGTACTGTACTCTTTTTTTTTTTTTTTGAATGTTATTAGTACTGTTCTTTTTCAGCAATAAATTCTTCTTTTTCAGCAATAAATTCTTCTTTAACATGTACTATACTTTTTGGTTCATGAAGCCAAAAGTGATCAAAGTACGAGGGCATAAAAGCCACAAACTGGACCAACCAGATATTGAAAAAAGAAACTCAGATACTGGACCAACCAAATATTGAGGAAAGAAACTCAGAAACTGGACCAACCAAAATATAAAAGAACCTCAGGAATTGAAAAAACAGAGCACTCTCAGCTCAAATATAAAAGAAATCAACTATCGAAAACTCCTTTCAGCCATAATAAAAAAAAAAAATAAAAAAAAAAAATAAAAAAAAAATAAAATAATAATAATAATAAAAAATAAAAAATAATAAACTTTCCTACTCTTCTCACGAAACCTTGGACAAAATCACGAGTCCACCATTCGGGAATTATTTATAATTTTATATGATATATTTTACCTTTTTTATGTTTTACAAAATTGACATCTACATGTATTATTATCATTACTTATTATTTCAAAAGAGTCCCCTTATGATTGTCAAAAAATTCCATAAATGAGAATTTGAGATCTGAATTTATAATCTTTTTTTGTTAGGTAAATAAATTTTTATTTATAACATTAAACCTTTTTCCTATCTTCTTTGTTCCCTTCAATCTTATCTTGTAAAAAAATCTATAATAATTTTTTTGGATACAACTTGTTGTACATATAGTCCTGTCCCGGTTTTCTTATTATGATAGTAATAATTTATGTCACCGTGTTATTTCCGTCGATTCTTCGAAACTGTGTCAACAGTGATCAATATTATTTAAATTAAATAAATAAAAAGAGGATAAAACCCAACCGCTCCGAGCGATATTTCAAAGTCGTCGCACGAATGCAACATTTCTCTTTCCTTCAATTCCACTGCAATGGCGAACACAGAGAAGCGAGTCCGAGAAAGACTCGGATCTTCTTCGTATTTCCTCGGCTGTTTCGGATTTTCCCGGAAAGTATACTCCGACAAGCCGATGGTTACGAAGGAAGACGGTTGTGAGAAGAAGAAGATGAAGAAGAAGCGAATCAGTCGGTGGTTTTTGTGTTCGAAGTTCCGCCTGAAGAACGGCGAGATCAAACCGTCGCCGATCGAGGAAACAGAGAAACCTACTTGGAGAGTAGAAGATGAAACTGATGATAAGCAGAAACCCCTCTCGGTGATAAGTCGTCAAAATATTCCGGTTGATGATAAGGCCATGAATCAGGAAACCAAAGAGGTATATTCTTTCGTAGAATCTTATAAGTTGAGATTTTTCCTTTTCTGTCAAAACGAGGAAAAAAAAAACATTTTCAGACAATTAAATGTCTTTCATGACTAGCATGATTTATTCAATTTATCACATTCTGTGGATTTTATTTAGTTTTTCCGATGTGACAATAAATCGATTCTTGATTTTGGTCAAATTTTTGTTGATATTTTCAGACAAAAGCGAAGGACTTACGAGACATAACCCCTGACCGATCAAAACCCATCGAACCGTTAGGTTCCTTAAAAAAAGACACGTGTCCAGAGCGGATATCTAATTCGACCCGTTACGGGAAACCCGACTTGAAACCAACTCGGTCGAGAAACGGGTCACGGGTCAAAAGGTTTGACCCGGTAATCGGGATTTCGATCATTATATTGACGTTGATGATCATGTTAGTTTGGGGTCGACTCTGTGCGATTCTGTGTACATCCGCTTGGTGTTACGTCCTACCTCGTGTCAGAGACGCAGCCGCGTTGGCCAAACGCAAACGCAACGGTAGCGACGGTTCTCCGTATGTAGGGGATTTGAATTCAGAGTCTTTTAAAAGAAAAGTCGTTTTGGACGGGTTTCTTGGACGGCAAAATCGTGTTTCGTTGTCATGATGATCCTTTTTTGTTTTGTTTTCTATATTATAATGGTTTGGTCATACTTTTTGTTTTCTTTAAAGCATGGATAAACAGTGTTTCCGTTTAATAACGATGATTGATCGATTGTGAATGGACACATTAAGTATAATATATTGTCTTGTGTTTTTAGAGGTCAATATTTAGCAGCCTATTTTTGTAACTAGGAATTTTCTTGGTTTTACCAAGTTTGGATTGGTTTGATTGGGATATATAATGTTCAGCGATCAGTGATGTCACTTGGTATGAATCAAGGAACACGTGCATGAGTTTCTCTTTCTAGGACCATTTCTTTCGTTATAAATAAAAGTTTCTATGCAGTAAACTAGTAAGTATGTATGACGAAAAAAAAAAATTGTAAGTGTTTAGGAATTTGGAATTCCAACGATAGTGGAAAGATCAACTAGTTTTCTTTGTGGGGCAAGAAAATTTGAAGACTTTTAATTAGAGCCGTATTTATTACTTTGGTATATTGTAATACTTAGGAAAATTCAAAAGCACTCTAATCCTCAGTCCTTTTTATAGTAATGGTAATAAAATATAATAATACAAATGCAAACGGAAGGAATACGATCAAAGAAGTTTGAAGAAGGAAAGAGCCAGAGAGATCGCGCTCGATCTTCATGGTTGATGTCTCTTCTTCGATAGGTATCCACAATAGTTTGTAATAACACCACATAAACCATGTTTAAATTTGTTTTTAAAGAACATATATCTTACACACCTGAAGTCAGTTCATAAAGTTATGATTCTATATGAATATTCTATTCGTAAATCTTAATTAAACAAATTCTATAACGTGTTTTATGATCCAGTATCTCTGAATCTGACGACACATTTATCTCACCAATTAAATTACAGCAATATTCAATGCACCACGAATAACGTTGTTGTTTTTAAAATGTTAAATATACTTTCTTCGAACACCTAAATGTGACTTTACGATGGTGACATAGTCAGATAAATACTATAAAGTTAAAATTAATTTTAAGCTACTATCAGTGAAAATGGAAATTAATAATCTGACGTTAACTTTAAGCTGCTAGCAAAAATGGTAAATCTAACGATAATTTTAAGGTACCAGTAAAAAATGGAAAATCACTGACGTTAACTTTATTTACAGTTCGCTTTGCCGACAAAATAAAAATAAAAATTTACAGTTCGTTTTTTTTTTTCCTCATCACAATTCAGTTTTATTTTAAACGGCCCAACTAAATCATATTGGGCTTTAGCTCATGAGAAGCCCATCTAGAAATTGTGAGAGTGCATAAAACATAATGACGGCGTCAGTCGCCATCACTCCGATTCTCCGAGATCCTCCAACGTATCAGAACCTCCGTCTTCTCCTAGTTATTAAAAGAAAAAGGATTACGGAGAAAAGGGCACATATTTAATTATTTTGAAATTTTGGGGTCCTATATAAATAAATTAATAAATTAAAAGGAAATAAAATAATGATCACCTCAAAACGTATGTATATGATACTGTAATAGTTAAAAGGAGAGGGAGAGGAAAAAAGCGGCGACGAGAGAGTAAACAAGTTTCTCTGTCGCGTCATCTTTCCGGCGAAAGTTTTCACCTTTTTGCCCTAAATCTCACCGTCACTCTTCCACTTTCTCTCTTTCTCAACCTATTCAACTACTTTATCTCACTCGTTTCCTCGCCATTACTCGTTACGGTGAAGCCCTTCCATTTTATCTACGACGGGTGTGGGAAAATTTTTGCCGCTGAAGAGTTGGAGTTCCTTATTGATTCTCGGGTTTTGTTTGGAATTGGTGATTCTGTTCGGTGTTTCTATCTGAGCTGAAGATTAGGGTTTTGTAGCCAGTTTAGCCAATGGCTCCTGGGCGTAAAAGAGGAGCGAACAAAGCCATGGCTATAGGAGCGCTGAGATTGGGTGATCTCGTTCTTGCTAAAGTCAAAGGCTTCCCTGCTTGGCCTGCTAAGGTATGTGTCCTGCACTCTCTCGGCTTCACGACGCTTTGATTCATGATCATGATTTTTCGTTTTGGTCTTGCAAATATTCTTGTTTGCCTCTTCATAGACATTCAACGCTGTGTTTCCTCCTTGAATGTCTCACCTTAGTATGCTTTTATAATGAGGCTTGTTTATAGTATGCCAAAGCAAACTCTTTTTGTGCTGAAATTGAGTGAAGTTTGAAGCCAGTAGTTTACTCCTCTCTAGCTTATTGCTATCTAGTATCTCTTATGTTCAGAGCATTGAATTTGTTTGATGTGCTTTTAACTGTTGATTGAGCTGCGTGGGATTGTTCATTTTGACTGTCAACTAATTGGTTTTGCGTTTCAGATCGGCCAGCCTGAAGATTGGAATCAAGCACCAGACCCAAAGAAACACTTTGTTCAGTTTTTCGGAACACAGGAAATGTAAGCCGGCCTCTTCTGTGTTTACTGTTTGTTGCCAGATGTATTTTATCATTACCCAGAAAGCTATATGCACTTTTTGTCTAGTCAATTCATCAACTGTAATCAGGCAGTTCCCTCCCTGATGACAACTCTTCTTTGTTTTTCCTTGTTATTGGAGTGTGATTTTGTTTACTCAACATTAGTTGTGACCAAGTTATCTTCCTCTAATGCAGAGGTTTTGTTACGCCACCTGATATTCAACTCTTCACTAGCGAGGCAAAGAATAAACTATTAGCAAGATGTCAAGGTAAAACAGTCAAGTACTTTTCACAAGCCGTGGAGGAAATCTCTGCTGCGTTTGAAGAGTCGCAGAATCACAAGTCAGATATAGTAGGCAATGAGGCTCTTTTGAATGCTGTTGAACCTAGTGTGACGAAGCCTAAGATATTGAATCAAGCTAGTAGTGATGGAATATCTGATAAGTTTGATTCTAGGGCGGATCCTTGTCTCGGTAAATTAGTTGAGAATAATGGTGCAGAGAAAAAGCCTGATATAGGAGAGCAAGATTTATCGAAATCAAATAACAGAACCCCATCCCCAAGTAGTGAGCCATTGGAGCATGGATCACCTGTAGCAGTTGTTGATAAAATTGGCGGTGTCACTTGCACTGACCATAGTGATGGTACGGGAAAGAATTCGGTCAATGATCAGAGGATAATCAGGAAGATAACAGGTGACTCGAATAAAAGATGTAAAGATGTGCCTGATAGTCGAGGCAAAAGTGTGCCTGATAGTCGAGCTGCTACAGACAATCATCTCCTTGGTCCTAATCAGAAATTAAAGGGCAGAAAAAAGGGAGAAGATCATAGCAGTAGAAAAGAATCTTTTGATGACATTGCCAGTTCTAAAAAGCCAAAAGAATTGCTGAAAGAGAAACCTGTGAAGAAAAAGAGGTTTGAAAGTGAACTAGGAAAGTCTGCATCAGGAGTAGATGAAAGTAAACGTGCTGCTAAGAGGCCACGTTCTGAAGATGCGAAAGGTCAAAAACAATGTGAGAGCAACCGTCTTCTTCCTGTTGGTGAAGGCAAGGCTGAAGGATCAGATTCTACTGGCGTTGTATCAATTCTAAAGCGTGAGATTGTGTTAGGGATAAGTGCCCTGGGAGGAAAAAATCAATTTGATAAGGACATGGTCGCTTATACAAAGCGCCGGAAACAGACAGTGGAGCACACAAGTGTTTCCTCTTTTTCTGGGTCTCTCGTTAAAGAGAAGACAGATCACCCCGAACAGAAGATAAGTTCATCTTCTGATAGCGATGTGAAGGTTCAATCGCAGCTGCCGAAGAGACGGAGGGCGGTATGTATCTATGACGATGATGATGATGAAGACCCAAAGACTCCAGTGCATGGAGGACATAGCGATATTCCCAAAGCTAATTTAGCTTCTACTGATGGTCCTAAAAGTACTAATGCGTCCCATAATACTTCTATTAAAGCAAAGCTATTAGCTGGATCTGCAGAAAGTGCGAAAACAGGGAAAATACCTCTGTATAAACATAACAAGGATGCTTCACTTGCACTACCTGATAGGGTGGAGGGGTATAACTCGCCTATGGGAAAACCGGTCAAGGCGTTGCTCCCAAAGAATATCAAGCCGATCTTGAGATCTCCTAAGAATTCCTATCAGCTGGTTTCATTTAAGAAACAGGTGACAGGACAAAATAAAACTGCAAAAGTCTCTGGTGCAGGAATGCCAGATAGCGTGGAGGGCCCTTCAAACAGCTCCTCTATGGGAAAACCAGTCATCAAGTTACCTCCACAGAATGTCAAGCAGATCTTGAGATCTCCTAAGAAGTCCCCGCAGTTATTTTCAACTATGGAGCTGGTGGCAGGACACAATAAAATTGGAAAAGTCTCTGGTGCGGGGATGCCAAAAAAATATCAAGGTGATTCTACCAAGGACGCAGTGGCTGGTTCTGATAGAGTAAGCTCTTCTCATTCTCAGACAGCAAATCAGAGAAGCAAACCAGCTTTTGGGGAAAAGCCAACATGCACTCCGAAAGTTGCAACTCGTCTGGACGATGTTGAAGTGTCAAGGGACACTTCTGTGAACTTGTCTGCTGACGTGTATGTTTTTTTTGTCTTTTCCTATGTCATTGATATATTCGTATTTTGCTTGGAGGTTATAGCCTTTGTGTTTTTGTTATCATAGGATTGATGTCAATCAAGAAAATGGAAGTGCCCCATTGATCAGTTTTGGGATGCCAGATTCTTCATCATCTATGAAGGATCTAATCGCAGCTGCCCAAGCAAAAAGAAAACAAGCACATTCACATACTTCACCGTTTGTGAATCTAGACCATAATTCCCTTACCATCGATTCAATGCAGACGAGCCAAAGCCCTTTCATGGTTCAAAATGTTTCATCTTCTGCTGGCGATGCCATGGTGATTGTTGCTCAGGAACATCAAGAAGATTCGACTCCTTCAAATCATGGCCGCCAGTCCTCATCAAGTAACCAAGCTGGGACTGAAGAGAACGAAGAGAGAAGGTTTAGTTCAGGGCATAGGTCAGTTGGTGGTTCACTGAGTGGTGCCACTGAGGCTGCGATAACTCGAGATACTTTTGAGGGAATGATAGAGACTTTATCCAGAACTAAGGAAAGTATTAGACGTGCAACACGCCTGGCAATTGATTGTGCCAAGTATGGGATTGCCAGTGAGGTGAGTTAAATTGTGTTTCCTCAGCTCAATACTTTTCTTCTTTCTGTGGTTTCTTCCTTTTTAATGCTGCCAGCCAGAATTTTCTATGATAAACTTAGGAATAGACTGCAAATGAAGAATCAATTTAGTAATGTACCTTTGCCGGCTCAAAATTCCTATTTGTGTCACTTAATTAAATGTTTTGACAAAACTATCTACAGCGTTTAATGGGAAATTTTTTATCGTGTTTTGTAGGTTGTGGAACTTCTCATTCGAAAGTTGGAAATTGAGCCTCATTTCCCCCGAAAAGTGGACCTGTTCTTTCTTCTTGATTCGATCATCCAGTGTTCCCATAGCCAAAAAGGTACACCTTGGTCCTGAGGTGCTCACGGTATTTTTCTCTTATTGTTGTATTTCTGTCTGCAGTCAAAGAGAATATATTTTTTTGTCTTTTGGGTAACTAATAAGACTGAAGTGATTGTTCATGGTGCTTGTGAATCTTCTTTAGGTAGAGCCGGCTCTTCGTATATTCCTACTGTTCAGGCAGCCCTTCCACGCCTTCTAGGTGCTGCTGCTCCTCCAGGGACTGGTGCTCGTGAAAATCGTCATCAATGTCGCAAGGTTCCTTTTACTTTTTGTTCGTTTCGAGGACAGTCTCATGTTTTTGTTGTTCAGAGTCAGTGAATCTCTTGTTCCTGCTAGGTGTTGAGGTTGTGGCTTAAGAGGAAGATTTTCCCAGATTCTCTTTTGCGTCGTTATATTGGTGATCTTGGTGCTTCTGGTGATGATAAAACCGTTGGGTTTTCCCTACGACGTCCTTCTAGATCTGAGCGTGCTGTAGATGATCCTCTAAGGGACATGGAAGGAATGCTTGTCGACGAGTATGGGAGGTATGCATTACACTTATCTTGTTCTATAGTTCAATTTTTCAGATTTGACCTAGTTGATGGGCTTAGTGGGAAATTTATAATGCTGAATGGTTAAAGACAGTTTAAGTACGGTTCTGAAGAGTACTATTGTCCATTGATTTATATGTTAACGAGTTTTTTCTGCAGCAATGCAAGTTTTCAGCTGCCGGGGTATTTATCTTCTCACACTTTTGGAGATGATGAAGAAGATGAGGATCTTCCAAGCACATCACAGGAAGTTAAACACACACATATGGAAGAGCCAGTCCATGCTTTAGGCAAGTTAGAGGCACATGGTAGTTCGAGTGATAAACCTCACTGTGTAGTGGATGTCAATGGTGGGCTTGAAATGAAAGATGCGTCTTGTCAGCTTAAAGATGATATCTGTGGGATTGAAGCGAAGGAGGACTCACCGGCTGCAACCTGTGCAACTAAGCTTCCTTCTTTTCCCGCGGGTTCTCCTCCTCTACCTCACGAATCGCCTCCATCTCCCCCTCCTCTACCTCCTTCTTCCCCCCCACCTCCATCATCTCCACCGCAGCTGCCACCAGCGCCACCTCCCTCTGAGCATTGTTTACCTCCACCAGCAGCTCCATTGGCACCTGCACAATCGTTAGCTCTACCACCATCATCAATAACTCGACCGTCCATGCCTAGCCATCCTTCATTACCACTTCAACCAGGATTCGCTCCCCCAGCATATCCATTATTGCAACATGAATACCAGATATCTATGCAGCGGGATCATTCTAGCATTGCCACTGTAAGCCCTCTGATTTCTTGATTTAGTTATCTTGTAATTTCTCAAGTTACATTTTCCCGTACTTTTGCTTATGCAGAGTAATCAAATTGTCCAAGTGCCCATAAACAGTGCACATGGAAGGCATGCTGATGGGGGTGTAAAATCTGAATATTTATTACCGCAGTCATCTTGTTTTGCTCCGGTGCTTTTTAAACATGAAGCGTCTTCACAGAACCAACAGCTTCGGCCAATCAATACCTCTTTTCTTCAGAGACCTATGATTAGGAATCTCGCCCCAGCACCATCCAGCCATTTTCCGCTTCCATGTAGGGTTGTTCAATCAGAACCCCAGCGGTCCTCTTTTCCACATCCTTACCCTTTTCCTTCCCAGCCAGTTGATGGGCGACAACATATGAATGAGGAAGCATGGCGGATGCCTTCAAATGGATGTAATGCAGATACTCAATATGGAGCCTGGATAAGTGGAAGAAACCCATTTCCAGGCTCTCTTACAGTTACCGACGGTATGCATATGCGAGAGACATCTCAAGCCTTTGTATGTCAGTTTGTTCATATACACGTCTGCTTGCGGGCATTATGCTACTTCAGTTGGTTATGATTCTCCTTTAGTTGATATTGGTCGTTTTATTTGCAACGACAGGTTTCTTTCAGCCACCTCCAGAAAGACCTCCTTCGGGGACTATGAGCTATCAGCTTGCTGCTAATAACTTACAAGGTGGCCCTACGATTTCAGGTGAGATCTATATTAATTGATCTGCTTTTAGCCGCATAGGGGTGCAATTGGGGGATCCTATGCGTTTCACTGCAATGTTTAACGTTTTAATTTGCCATTCAAGGTAATATAGCTTCGCAGATGCTTCCGTCTCGGCCAGACGTACCTTCCACGGCTCGGTGGAGGCCGTCCTGAAGTTAAGGTACTGATTATTCTTTCACTTTGATTAGCAAGCTGCTAGTGTTCTCTCTCTTTTTCGCTTCTTTGTCTCTGATTTTCTTATTTCTGGATTGTTATCAATCAGTTCGAAATAGAGAACCTGCATTCTCTTCCATGAAGGACTTTTTTGGCGGTATATTCACATCCAGAGGCATCAAACGTTCAAAACTCTGCAGACTATTGTCAGGATATTGCTATATATTGTAATTGTTCCTGACGAATGTATCACCGGATCATATTCTTCACAGTATATGCCCTAGTTTCTAATTTGGTTAGTACTTCTGTTCCTCAGATCTTGTAATTAGGCCAATAACCATACACAGCTTTTTCTCGTTGAACGAATGTCAAGTTTTTAAGTCCTAATTTATTGAGTGCAATCTTTTTCTGATAAGAACCGTCTAACTAAAAAATTTCTTTACTGGTATCTGAAACACGATTTTTTAAAAATGTACATCCAATAAGTGTAGTGTCTACACACAGAAGTAGTTAGGCTCTAAGGTAGTTACAATAGTGAGGCAATGAGAAGTTCCAAATTATTAGGTGCAAGTCTGTCAATATGCCCTTATTATTGGTCCCCTAAATGGAGACCTATCTAGTGTTTCTTTTTGTTTGTGGCGAAAGTCACTTTGGAGTAACTTGGTGAAGTCTCTTTTTCCTCCTAGGCGGGATTACTGTATGAGAGCTCATATTGTTAAACCACTGTATCACTGCTTTCTCCAACGTATAGTGAGGCGATGATGCCATTCTTTCTAATTGACTTAAGTTTCTGCATTGTTGTTTCTGACAAAATGTCTCTTCTGTACATAACGTAGGTTGTCTAGCCTGAAAGCCTTAGCAGGAACAATGACGCATGCATTTCTAAACAATTGCGACTCCATGGAGCCGGTTTTACAAGAATATTCGTATCGATATCTTGCGCACTGCTTATCGGAAGTTTGTTGAGGACTTGAGGTATTGGACTATTGGTTCATCTATGTGTCTTGAAATATATATCTTTTATTCTTTTAAACCAAACTTGTCTATGGCTGCTAGTTCAATCTATAAGGTTTCCAGCTCCCATAAATCTCATCTCCTTTTCAAAGGAAACATGCAAAAGAATCTCCAGAAAAAAAAAAAACAACTTAACCAGCATTGTGGATTTTATGATATTAACTGTAACTTACTGGATGAATGTTTTAGTTTCTTGATCTGCCTGGTCTCTATGTTGTCTACATCTCTTTGGTCTTTCTATATCTGGTTACCTGATTTTGTATGTTGAGTTCAAATCCGAGTACATAAAACATTCAGCTGCATATCTCTTGCTAGGTTTACACGTTTAGACCCGGAGTGGTGGAGATGAACGTCCTGGTTGGACCAAGTTTAGGCGTAAATCTCGAGGTAAAGACTAGTCTTTGACTATTTATTTCTATAGACGAAGTGTGAATTCGAGAACCGGGCTCATCTGAGAATTGAGATGTTACTTCGAAGTTTAATAACCTGCCCCGACTGGGCTCGGTTCAGCCCGGAGATTTTTTGTTCACTACACATCTCTGTCTGAGAACATATATGCAACACAAATTCATGTATACTTAGGCTTAAATTGACTAGCAACAATCTCAAGTTTTTTGGGTGCTTGTTTCAGGGTATTGGGAGATTTTGTGGAACCGGAGAGTTCCAAAGTGATTGGGAACTAAGTCAGGCTTAGAAGCTTATGATTGGTTCTCTGAAGTCTGCAGGTTAGGTTTTTCTTTCGCATTCTCTTTGAAAGGCACAGTGTGTCGAAGATTCACCATTTAGTAAACAAATACTCTTTTGAGCTTTTTTTTCTGGTTAAAATGATTTTGAATAAAAAGCATTGAGCTGAAAATAAATACATGAGCCTAATGAAAATGGAAGATTGAAATCTTATAGATCAGATGTTTGGTGAATATTAAGGCACACAGTATATATATATATATATATATATATATTTTTAAATCGTATGATCGTAAAATAGCAACGAAGAGCCCAAACTGGTTAAACCGTATATTTTTATCACGTGAACCGATCTAATAGAATATTTTAGAAAGTAAAAAGTGATTTCAGTAACTAATGTTTATAAGCATAAATGTATTCCATGTTGCCCAAAAAAGTGTATATATCGTTCCATTGTTTTAAGGGAAAATGTAAAACAACTCTTTGACTAATTGTGAGGAAAAAGGTTCGAACTTCAACCTCAATAAATACAACAAATGTTACCAGTTGTGCTCATCTTTTTTTTACAGCGACAGCCAAAATCACCACCGCTTCTGCTACGAACGTGTTATGCCATCCTTTTAACCGTTGCTGCCACCACTATTACGGCCATCACATGAAAATCTATGCAAGTGGAAACGGTAAAAGTAGTGGCTGGCATGACGCGTTGGTAGCAGTACAGTGGTAATGTTGATAGCGTGAGCGGCAATGGAAGCATTGGTGGTGGCAGAAGCAGCGATGACGGGGACTGTCTATTTACGTATCATGCCTTTTTGATATAGACATATAGTAGATGAGGTCCATTATTCAAGTCTGGTTAGATGTTTCATTTTGTTAAACACTTGCAAATTTTTGTAGATTGTTGGATTAACATTTTATTGTTGATTCTTGAGAGAATTTGATACGTTAGACCTCCTCGTAGAAAAACTGACCCATATTGATTTAGATTAGGCTGGATAATAAGTACTACTGTACTTGTAACTGCCAAGTAAAACATGTCAAACAAGGAAAAGAAATTGCCAATGGAAACAAAACAAAGTCTGAGAAGGCTATAAATTTCAGGATTTTCATAGCGGTGGAGCAAATACGTTCACACTGTGCGTCGGTATTTAGTCAAATGATTCGACAGCACAACCCGACTTCGTCTGGAAAGCAATATTCTTTCTTCTTCAATCACACAGACAATGATTTGAGAGAAACTTTATAGTAAAATAAATGGTTCAATCAATAAAAAAGCATAAAGAACAGTTTCATTTTGGCTCAATTCGAGTTGTGGTTGAATAAAAAAGGGTACACCAAACATACAACGAGCCTTTGTACTTTAATAAAAGCATTATTAAATGAATGCATGAAAAATACATTTTAGTATGTGTTGTGACAATGTATCATTAAATCAAAAATAAAATAAAACTAAGCTACAGATTTTGTCGATACAACCCCCACCCAGAAAATGGTACAGAATATAAACTTACAAAAAAAAAAAGACCCAATCATTACATCATCAGAAGCTTCTTTATAGATTTCAATTTTTGGAAGTTTTTCTTTCTTCCTTCAATTTTTTTCTCTAATCTCTTTACTTTTGTATTTACTCCGCCTTAAGCCAAATAGCTTCTTTTGACAATTGATTTGTATAGTCCCCAAAAAATGAATAAGGTAGTTAAATAACCAGAAACTGACCTTTTTTTAGTCCAGAGCCGTTTTGTTTCTCCGTCCTGTTAAAGGCTTTGGTAATCCATCAAAGATGGAACTTGTAATAGCCGCTGGTGTAAGCAAATCAGGTTTCAAGCTCCACTTTGACGTTGGCCATAGAGACAAGGAACCATTATTGCTGTTACCATCTGGATCTTGTAGACTTGACGCACTCGACGATTTTCTTACACTGCTGAAGCTGTCTGCAACTGGAGCATCCATCAAGTTCATTGGCACTGGATTGAAATTACCGGTCTCAGATTCTGCTGCTGCTAGATTGGTTCTGCTTGAAGCTTTCGATCTCAAAGCTAAGCCTTTTCCGGCTATTGATAAAAACCCGCCATTGCTGCTACTGTTCTCTTCTTTCAACACAAGTTCTGGAGTCCGGGATGAAAAATCGGCCTCAGATTTTTGGCGTCTTCTCATAAACTTTTCGGATGTTGGTTCTTGAGTATTATTATCGGGTGATTGGTTAACCTCTTCGATAAGCGCATTGACCAAGCTTCTTGATTTCCTGTGGTGATTCAAGGGAGTATTTGTGGATGGGAAAGGTCTGAGATATCCGTTATCACCATTGTTAAAGAGATGATGAGAAGATTCCGTTTTGTAATTTCCCATCTCCAAGCAACCTCCATCAGAGACTGTTCTATCTGCTGGTTTTAGCCCGTAATAACCTTGCAATGAGTACATGGCTGGAGAAACTTTCTTTTCCGAAGATTTCAATCTCAGAGACTGAAATGAGTCAAACACTTCCTGGTCGCAATGGTTTGGTGATTCCGGTTCGTGGCATGAACATCCCTCTCTGCAAATAAGATTCCACGTATTAGAGCCATGAAAAGAGGATTACTCGATAATGATATTATGCAGTTTCAGTCTAACACAACCAAAGGCTTTAGTTGTTTATGTCTCAACCCCCAGACAGCTTAGCTATAAAAATTAAGGGGACGAGACTTGAGGAAGTGGATTTTAGGCTTAATGATAAACTCAAAATACTTCTAAAACTGAGAAAACATGAGTATCAGAAACAGATAAAAAGTAAGAAGCAACAACTTAAGATGTATCCTTGCAAAGTAAAGATAGCAAATGATAAATCATTCATTTTAAATGTATTAGAACCAGGGTAAAGAAGCTTTTAGTACCCATGGTTTAAGGAGCCATTCGATAAACATGGAGAAGGAGGATGCCTGCCGGGTAACGGAATTTGAAGAGACTTGAGAGCAAACATTTGAAGATCAGTAACAAGGTTATTCATTTTTTTCACATCTGCAACCTGAAGTAGAAAGTTTTACAACACAATGAAAAAATCAGAACAACGATTAGGAATAATAATCCAGCATCAAAAAAGCAAAGCTTAAACAATTTAGAAATAATCCAGCTCTCTCTGACAATTAACTTTTTCCTCATGTGTTCTTCATCATGCGTCAATTCCAACACAAACAAAAAAAATCTGAATGCTTTTTACCACTACCATAAATTCTACCTTTATCTCTAATTAAATATACCGTTGTATGTCAATATTACTCAACAACCTTAAGCAAAGTCATATATTCTGGAGCTGACCAAACCTCAATTTTGGGGATGAATCGTTAGCTGAAGAGAAAGAATTTTACCTCAACACCGTATTTGATGGCAATGCCAGCGAGAGTATCAAACTTGGAGATGCGGTGTTCGATGTATCCACGGTCAGGCGAATTGGAACCATGAAATGGCGGAGAAGAACTAGAAGGTGGAGGAGACGAGGTCGGCGACGGGATCCGAAGGATCTTCGATCTAGAAGGACTCTTCTCACGGCAATTTTCCGATCGATCTAAGAATCCATAACCATTATCATCACGGAATTTGCCGTTGCTATATTCAGGAGTCCCATTACGACCAGAACTCCGTCTCTCTCGATCCATAAACATAACTCTCTGGGAAAATCCTACCTATTCTACACTAGATCTGATCAAAATTGCATCATCAAGTAGAGGAACAAGAAATCGAAACGGTGAAGGAGGAGAGATTCAAAAAAAAAAAAAAAAAAAGGAGAAAAAGTGAATACAAGGAAATGGTGAAGAGGCGTTGAGAGAGATTAGCGAAAAGAGAGAGGTGAAAAAAACTCGTGGACTAGAGAGTCGAATTTTCTCAGAGGATCGATGGAAAATTTTGCTTATTATTTTTCCCCAGATTTTCCGGGAAAAACGAAACGAGAGATCTCTGTGCTCCTCTCTCGTCGCAGCGGTGGAATTGGAATTATACCAAATTTTATTTAATGACCTTAAAAATAGAACCAAAGCAAAACTAAATCAGATTCTAATTAATTATTGCATTATTAACACTAAGCTTTGTATATTAAACTGCTTTTTATAATCGAGCTGAAACAGCAAAACTTTATTAATTGACGACAAGTATTGGTGAAAAAATAATCAGATCTTTATACAAAAATTAAGTAAATTTCTTTTTTTCTAGAAGAATAATTATAATATTAATAAATAAAAGTGCTCAAAATTTTTTTTTACAAAATTAAAAATATTGTGAGATTCTGATTAACGTACAAAAATTAAAAATTATCTACTTGATGAAAAAAAAAAAAAAAATTATCTACTTGTATAAAAAATTAGATTACTTTATGTACTGGATAAAATAAAAAGCTTTGAAAGTCATAAACGAAGTGTGTGTGTTTGACAAAGAAGAAGTCCGCATAATGTCGGCGAGAGAGTTAAATCCATTCTTCTTTGCCTAACCAAAATTACACTTAACTAATAAATTAAACAATTGATTAGACATCCAAGAGTGGTCCAACTTCTCTTCTAGCTCTTGGATTATTTGTTTGGTTTGGGAAAAGAAACCGGGTTAGTTTCTCCGGTTTAGATGCTTCAATATTGGCTTTGTTACAAATGAAATCCAGATTTTGACCATTTGGTGATCAGTCTAGAAATCGATTCATGACTTCAGATTTATGAAGTTAAAACATAATTTAGGAAATTTGGATTCAAATGAAGCTAGTTGCTAAGATTCAAGACAAACCTTACTAATTACATCTGAATCACCTAAGTGATTTTAGATTCAAAAGGAAAAACACAAATCTAGGTTAAAAAGATGTAAAGAGCATATCAACACCAAGACGCGACGAATTTTGCACTTTACAGAGAAATGCTAGAAAAACAAAAAAAAAAGTCAAAAGGATAATGTTAAAAAAAAAAGAGATTCCTTTGCGGTTGATTAGCTTTGTAGACTTGTTTGTTGGGTTTCTTCGAGTTGCTCTGGTTGAGGAACTGAAACACCTCCATTCATTCTTGCTCGAGCTTCTGCAAACATTCTCTGTTGTTCCGCTGCTGCTTCTTCTTCCGTCATCTCTGCTCCGCTGTTCATCTTCACGCTTCTCTGTGAATCTTGCTGCATAATTTGCATAACACAATTGAATACGGATTAGAATTTGATTCAAGTCTGGATTTTTTGTAAATTAGGAGAAGATGATGGTGTGTAATGGATTATTACCATGGTTTCATATTTATGTTGCTCATAAGCGGCATAGACTTCTTCGACGTATTCCCCAAAGCCAAGAACCTGTGTTTCATGTCATGAACAAAATCACGATTAGTAAAACATGTACATATTTCACATAGATAATCTAACTGAACTGAATGTAACACCAAACCTGTAAAGCTTTGAGTACGTGCTCAGGGGCGATTGTTCGTTTATCCTCTTTGTTACACACTTCATTAGACTCCGAGGATATAAGATTTATGAACTCTGCAATAAACAGATTGACCATCATAAGTAATGAGATAAACAAATTTGAAACAATGATCGAATTCATTTATAACCAAGACAAAATCTTACCTACACAACACTCAATCAATAGGTCTTGAGCATCTCTAGCAACACGAACATCTGCGGGTAACATCTCCTTTATAATTTTCGTCATGGTAGCTGAAATTTCACAAAGAACAAACATATCTTTTAGCTAACAAAAATTATAAGTTAGGTGAAGTTACTATAACATTGATTGCATAATACTAGGTTTACAAAATCTATTCAATTTAACACAGAAATTGACAGAACCAAAAATTAAGTACATAGATCGATCCAAAGAAGGAAACGAGACCGAACCTTTTGGAAGCGAAGCATCTTCCTTTGATTTTCCAACTATATCCATCGGATCCATCGTTTAACTCTACAGAATCAAAATTCAAAACGACGATCAGATTAATGGAAGATCTAGACCGCGAAGTTATAAGATGAAGAACAAGGAGAGAAAACAGAGATAGGCTTTACCGAGGATCGAAACGGAGGAAGATCAACGACGGCGAGTTAACAGAATCTCAAGACCGAGTCACGGCGAGATCGGAGACGTGAAGTCGGTCGGGTTGTACGGATATCTTATCGGCGGAATTTCTCTCTCCTTTTTTCGGTTTCTCTACGCAGAAGTCGATTAGGGCAAAAAACATAAGACCAGAAGTAAGCGCGTGGATTTCACTTTTTCCCCAAAGTGATTGACGGCGCGTAAGATATAATTTCCTTTTTTTTAAGACAATGTGAAATGGGCTTTGGTTTGGAGCAGACACAACCTGTTTCAGCCCAATGTTTTTTTCTGTTTTGGTTTTGAACAAATCATCCGATTTAAAGGCGTGATATTTTTTAGTCCACTAGTTAATCAGAAATTAATAGGGGATGTATGGGATTAAGTATTTTGGAAGAGTTTGATTTATTTCCAAATCACATGTTATTCTTCTTTTTCTTTTTTTAGCATGCTATTCATGTTACATGTTATTCAAACAATTTCCCCTTATGTTATTGAACATGAATTTTGCTTAAAAATAATTTCAAATCACTTGTTATTGAATTAATGATTTATGAAAGTCCTACCAAATATGGTTTTATTCAAATTTACTAATTATGTTACTTAATTTTTTGTTTGTAAAATAGTATGAGAGTATAAGATACATTTTAGTTATAAATATGAATCAAACAAAACACACCTCTCTACAAGATGAAACTATCAAATAAAGTAAAAAAACTCTAGTCCAATATTCTCCTAATGTTTTTTTTTTTTGGGCAAACTATAGTCTCCTAATGTTTGTATACTAGAGTTTGAGTTAGATTTTCATAGTTGTTTGAACAAAAAGAAATCGAAAAGATATTTTCTTTGTTGATTATGGATGCAATTTTTTTGTTTTCCAACTCTCATCCGTCGTGGTTTTGTATATCACTGATAAATAATCGTTTGTCGCGAATTTGTGTGTTGCGGAAATAGTTGTATGTGGTATTTAACCTAGTGGTAAAATTAGTTATAATATAGTATAAAATTACAGTCATCAACTCAGGTCTATCATACTAATGTGGCAGTTCTAGAAGAAAACCTGATCTATAAAGTTTGTTATTTAGGAGATAGAGAGAGAAGAGATGTATGTAGTAGGCCAATAGGCAAATCACAAATCACAAAATCACAAATGGTATCTGGTCAGATTCCTGGTTTAATACTTTCATCTCTCTGTTTCCTTTTTTCTTTTTTGGATTCATAAATTTGACATTTACTCGAAATCTCTGATGCTCTTTGTCCTTAGTTTATCTGCAGATGCATGTGTAAAAAGGGCATGTTTTTGTCCATTTGATTGATAAAGATCCAGCTATTTATTACTTGATTTTGACCGTTGATTTTTCAGATCTGATATGTTTTGTTTGCTCCGATTCGGGTAATTTTATGTTTCTTTGTCATTTTTTTGGAGTTTAGTTGGAAAAAGAGCGAGAGTCGCTGGAGGCAGCGGTTCATCGATCTCTTCCTGGGAACAAATATATAAATACTGAAAGTGCATGAATAGATCGATAAACCTCTGCATCCAGCGTTTGCCTCTTTATCTTTGTTATTCGCTTCATTTTTTTTGGTTTTTGAAAAAAGTGAGGGAAAACAGAGTCAAGTCAGATTGTTTTTCTGGGATAATTGAGGATTTTGTGTTCTTAAAGAGCAGATAAAGAGGTGACTGTTGTTTCTGGTGAGAATTCGACCTCTTTAGTTTGTTTAAGTGAATTGCTTGTTTATTTGAGTATTTAGTTGACTGATAAGCCTTAGCTTGACCTTAATGTTTATTAAGTGGATTTGGCGTTGGACTAATCGAAAACAAGTTCAGATTCTTGTAGGTTCCTTTCTTGGTCTGACCAAACAATGGTCATGATAAAGTGGTGTGTTTTGTTTCATGTATCAAAAAGTCTAGATTCTTGCTTTTCTGCCAACATGCAAGATTTCTCTTTATGCCATGGTATAAATCAAAGGGTTCTAGTTTCTCCTCTGTTGTTGTAACAATGCAAATTTTATACTTTTGTAGGTGATATAGAAGTTGGCATCTAAATTTGCTTTCTTTTGACCAGTGAAATTCAATTGCCGTGTTGACATCTCCTATTGTTATAGGCGATGTATCAGTGGTGAAGCAAGAATAAAATCTGTGGGTACTTGTTCTTGTTCCCTCACCCTGAGCTGCTTTTAACGCATGGCAATTCACTCCAAAAAGGTGTTAACTCTGCCATGCGTTGAGCTGCTTTTTGGATTTTCCATTGTTTCGTTTTGTGTGGTAAGTTCATTGTGTAGTTTCTTTTCCACTGTATGAAACCCAAATTGTTAATTGTAAACACTTACTTATAAACGCAAACATCAATCTTCATCCACATTATTCCTACTTTACTTATTAACACGACAATGACACTCAAGCTCCAAACATCAATCTTCGCTTATGGCCTTTTGTTAGTTGCTTCTACTTTCCTCAAGCAAGTTAAAAACACGTTTTGATAACAAGATCATACTGCTTTTTGGTAATATATATGTCATGGATAAAGCAAAATTACTTGTGAAAATAGTGAAGTTGTTGTTATACAGTCTTTTCCTCTAATATAGAAGTCATGGATCTCTAAAGTCAATGAATGTTGCAAATCTTAGAAACTATATAAAGGCCCAAATAATTGGGCCGTCATATGTAACCACTTTACTTTCTTAACAAGCCCATATAGAATTAGGGTTCCTATATTTCATCTGGTGAAGCACTTGTATAAAACCCTAACATCTGATGGTCTTGTAACGAACGGCATAAACCCTAGATATTTCCGCCACACCTCTTCCGCCAATTTTTTTTGGAGTAAGCTCTAGCTAAATATGGGAAGCGATACCGAAGCAGAGAAGTCGATTCAAAAGGAGAAGAAGAAGTTCGCTATTTCTCTTGCTCCTATCGCTAAACCTCTTGCCGGCAAAAAACTCCAGAAGAGAACTTTCAAACTCATTCAAAAAGGTACCAGTCTCATCTCCGAGCTCGCCTTATGACTTTTACTTCAATCGCTTAAGTTCGATTGAGAACTCTTTCTCTATTTATTAGTAGCTCATGTTGGTGTATTGCTCTCTAATTTTTGCTAGCTGCTGGGAAGAAATGTTTGAAGAGAGGAGTTAAAGAAGTGGTTAAGAGCATAAGACGTGGCCAGAAAGGGTTAGTATTTTCTTATTTATTCCCATTGTTCATTGTGCTTTGTGATTGTATTGTGTTGCAAATTACTTGTTTGATGTTGAATCCGTGTACAAATAAGCCGATGCTCTGGATTAAAGTAATGAATGTAGCATGGTACTGTACACGGAAACTTAACTATGGATCGACATGTCTGCCATCTCTGAGTTTCCCTGATTAGACGGCCTGGTTTAGATCCACATTATTTTCCTGTGTTTGTGATTATGTTTGATCTTTATGATGTTCTGTCTTTGGTTTTACTAGGGAATTAGGTAGTTTTTAGTAGATTTTGAAATACGTGTACAATTAAGCCGATGCTCTGGATTAAATCAAATGAAGGAAGCATGGTACTGTGCACGGAAACTGAGCTACCGCAGATCGACATGTCTGCCATCTCTGATTATATTGTGATGAGACGGCCTGGTTTAGATCTACATTCTTTGTTTTGCTGATGTTTATGTTTCTTTAATAGGGTTTAATGTCTAGTTATGTTAGCTGTTTGCTTGATTGATATTAAATCCGTGTACAATTAAGCCGATGCTCTGGATTAAACAGAATGAATGTAGCATGGTACTGTGCACGGAAACTGAATCACGGATTTGAAATGTCTGTGCCCTCTCTGAGTTCCTTATTGGTTCTTTGATTTGCGGGCCTGATTTCAACCCACATTTGTTGCTTCTTTCTTCTATGCAAACTATAGATTCTTTATGTTTTTTGAGTGTTGCATCTGATGTGATGAGATTTGTTCTTGTGATTGTGCAGATTATGTGTTATAGCCGGAAACATATCACCCATCGATGTGATTACTCATCTTCCAATCTTGTGCGAGGAGGCTGGTGTTCCTTACGTATACGTTCCTTCCAAAGAAGTAAGCCAATGTTCTTTCTTGATTCTAATTTCTTATCAATCAATCCGTTTTGTGGTGCTAAGACTTTTTATTTTTAATGAAATTCAGGATCTCGCGCAGGCCGGGGCAACGAAACGACCAACATGTTGTGTCTTGGTCATGCTTAAACCGGCGAAAGGAGACTTAACTGCAGACGAGCTTGAAAAGTTAAAGACAGACTACGAACAAGTCTCTGACGATATTAAGGAGCTAGCAACTTCTGTAATCTGATTAGAAACTAGAATGTGTTTCTGTTGTGCTTTTGATGGTTAATGAAGATCATGAGATTTTTCGGCATCGAATATTACTTGAGTCTTTGATATTGTAGCGATTGTAAAATTTAGAATCATAAGTCCTATGTTTTCATCTGGTTAGTGGTTAAGTCTTGATGGCCTTTATTATATCACGTCCTTATCTACGTGTTCTGGGTGTTCGTACTGAGCCTTGTCTCCTTGCTATTGATTGGTTATTACATCGTTATTTACAATGCTGTCTGAATTAGTTCTTATCTACTGACTACTGTTGATTGGCTACTACATCGTTATTATGCTGATCAATTCTGGGTCTTGTTAATATTGGGTGACAGGAAAAAAAACTGTGAAGCAAATGTGAACAATAAAGTCTTTTAATAAAAAAAAAAATAAAATAAAAAAAAAAATAAAGTCTGTTAATAAATTTGATGTCTGGGAGAAAATTGATAGTATTACTATTAGGGTGACATGCGAAAAAAACAAACAGTGGCCATTAAAACCAGAACATGTCCCACAAATATACAACTTGTTTTAATATTTTATTCGTTAGACACAACATTTATTTGGCATGTTGAAAATGTTTTGTTAGAAGTTTGTTGAAAAACAAGAAAAATATCAACAACTTATGTCGTGATTCACCACTAGATTGGGTTTAGGAATCCGATTCTACTTGCTTCTAGATTCTGATTCCGCTCCCACTAGAAGTGGGGTCGTGGTTCGTGTAGGTGAGAATAAAAAGTTTCAGTCGAATAGTTAAAAAAGTGATGGGGTCCAACTGTAAGAAAACATATTTATCTGGGTCAGAAAAAAAGGTATTAGGAATCAATACGCATTTTGCATCAGTAAAACTATCTGACTTCTCTCTCAAAAACATCGTAAAAAATGGAGGAGTCACGAGAATCGCCGGCGGAACACGGCTACTACATGCCGGCGGAATGGGAACCTCATGCTCAAACTTGGATCGGTTGGCCTGTAATTCTCTATCTCTCTCTTCCTCTTTCTTTTTTCCATGTTTGTTCTTTGACCGGAGATAAAGTAATAATCGACGGCGATTCTGGAGGACTGAATCTCGCTGTTCAAACTTCGATTTCGAATTTTTTCCTGCTCGCAATTTATTATTGTTCGAATTTCTGTCTTCCGTTTGTTTGATGATTTCTCTGTTTCTGGGTTCGTTTTTTAGAGTTTCCGATGAATTTTGATTATTCTGGAGGTTTTGCTTCTATATTTCAAGTTAGCGTATTGATATGATTAGAGATGAGATCTCTTACATTGCAATCTGTATTTGTTACAGATTCTGCAACCAAAGCAGAACTTAAAACGTTTTCAATTAGGTTCATTGTTTAGACCATATGATTATGTTTCGATTTGTTTAATCACTGTTTATATGAATCAAACAGTGTTAGTTCTAACCTCAAACCGCTTTTGTGATTTTGGATCTGGATTCTATTCTGACATAAAAATGGCTGTAGGAACGGCAAGATAACTGGCGGCACAACGCTTTACCCGCACAACGAGTGTTTGCTGATGTTGCAAAGGCCATCTCAAAGTTCGAGTCTGTGACTGTCTGTGCAAGCCCTGCTCAGGTTTGTTTAGAATCATACCTGAATTAAGGAAACATCTTTGAGTTTACTACATACAGATGTACCAATTAGTCTCTCTCTTTTTTTTTTTTTTTTGCTTACATGATTGTGTTTGCATTAGTGGGAAAATGCAAGGAAACAGCTTCCAGAGGATATAAGAGTTGTTGAGATGAGCATGAATGATTCTTGGTTCCGCGACTCTGGACCAACTGTGAGTTGAGTTCTTTAGCTTCTCCCTTTCCACCATCTTACAAAGCTTTCTAACAATTTGTTGTTACCGCTCTCTTTTTCACAGTTCATTGTGCGGAAAAGACCATTTAAGCTCAGTTCTCTTAACCGAAACATTGCTGGGATCGATTGGAATTTCAATGCCTGGGGAGGTAAGGATTTGGAAACCTTTTTCCATTCTCCACTATTTGTAGTCACTGCTTGACTCACTTTCCCATGGCAGGAGCTAATGATGGCTGTTACAATGATTGGAGTCATGACCTTCTAGTTTCACGAAAGGTATTTTGGAGAAACAAACCTTCTAGTAGTCATCATCAGTTTCATATCTCTCTCATAAGCATTTTCAAATATTGATTTGATTTTTCTTCTCCTATCCATCAGATTCTCGCTTTGGAACGGATTCCAAGATTTCAACATTCGATGATTCTTGAAGGAGGCAGCATCCATGTAGACGGGGAAGGTTTGCATACATTTCATTGGGGCTTCAAAACTCAATAAGTTGCAAAAAAATCAGACCCTCTGAGTTTATTATTATTCACAATTCCACTTTGTTGTTTTGCTTATTCTGCTTTCAGGAACCTGCCTCGTCACAGAAGAGTGTCTCCTGAACAAAAACCGAAACCCTCATATGAGTAAAGAGCAAATAGAGGAAGAACTAAAGAAGTATCTCGGAGTAAAAACATTTATCTGGCTTCCTCGTGGTCTTTACGGTACTCCACTTGCTCTATCAGTTAGAATTGCCATCGCTTAGTAATTGTCAATCTTATACAAATTTAATGATTCTCAGGTGATGAGGACACAAACGGGCACATTGACAACATGTGCTGCTTCGCTAGACCGGGAGTTGTGTTATTGTCTTGGACAGATGATGAAATTGATCCTCACTACGAAAGGTCTGCAGAAGCTCTCTCGGTTTTGTCGAATTCGATTGATGCTTGTGGAAGGAAGATTCAAGTCATTAAACTTCACATTCCGGGACCCCTTTTTATGACTGAAGAAGAATCATCTGGAATCACTCAGGTAACGAATACTGACTGGAAAAACTGAAACACTGAAGTTGTTTTTGAAACGATTTGACAATGTTGGATATTCATTGTTGCAGGACGGTGAAGCTATACCAAGACTTGCAGGGACAAGACTCGCAGCATCGTATGTGAACTTCTACATCGCCAATGGAGGAATAATCGCTCCACAGTTCGGTGATCCAATACGTGATAAAGAAGCAATTCGTGTCCTCTCGGAGACATTTCCTCATCACTCGGTATTTAAACCATCTCTGTTTCATAAATCAAAACAAAAAAAAGGTTCTGATTTTTCTTCTTTTGAGGTTTTTTTTAAGGTTGTGGCAATCGAGAATGCAAGAGAAATCGTTCTTGCTGGAGGAAACATACATTGTATAACGCAGCAGCAACCGGCGGAGCCTAGTTCCGTAGCTGAGAACGGCCACTGACGGAGTGACGGTGTTCTCCAGTCTCCACGCGCCGCCGAGGGATTGATGAATCCTGGTCGTTGATTTTTCAAATACAGATTTGATTCGTGAGGACGAACGAGACTAGCCGTCCGTTAATTGGATCCTGTATTTTATGGTTCGTTGACTATACTGGTTCTTCATTCTGATCGGTTTAGCCTATTAAACCAGTCTGGGGGTTTGTTACCGATCAAACAATGCTTGCATTATGGCAAAACAATTAGATATTTGTTCTGTTAATTATGCAAGTTTGAATAATGAATTTATTTGTTTTTGTATTTTTATGAAGTTTTAATGTATTTGGTCAGTCAAATCTCTACTTTTTACGTATATTTGTTGATATTGTTGTTGGTGACTTGTGACCTAATAATTGTTATATAAGTTTCATATTACATGATGACTAAAATGCGGATTATAAACTGAATGTCTTTTTGGTACGACTTTTTCTCGTGAAATTTAAATTATTCTATTAGCGTTATGTTTATTTACCCAAACCAATTAGCTAAACGCAAATAAATTTAATGAATTAATTAATTAGTGAAAAACACGGAATTGTGTGCCTGTATCGTATAGCTGACATGAATGCTTCAACTCCAAATCTCTAGACTTGCATATAATTAAAACAGAGAGACGAGGAAAAATTCGAGATCTCGAATAATGCGAATCTGAAGGATCAACGAATTTCGTAATCTTCAGATCGGATCGATTCGTTGGTCAAGAGGAGACTGTGCGTAGTGTGATTCGTGAGGATGGGCTGTTCGTTTTCTGGATTGAACGCGCTTTACGACGCCGTCAACGGTGGAGGTGACGTCTGGATCAATGAGAATCGGTTCAGGATCGTCAGGCAGCTCGGCGAAGGAGGTTTCGCATTCGTCTTTTTGGTCAAGGAAATTGTCGCCGACGCTTCCTCCGCCGCATCCGGTGGTGGTCTAGCTAAGAAAGTCAAGGATCCGGCTCATCTCTCCGGTTTGTATTTTGATGTTTCTCGATTCGTGATCTGCGTTATCTCGATCGAATCTGAATTGCTGTTTCTGATTAGATTTGCTTTCGTTTTCGTTTGCCATCCGATTGTGGTTTTGAAATTGGACAGTTGAAATTGTAGATCAGCTCGGGCTATGAGAGATTGTTATAGAAGTCAAACTATAACAATGTAGGAATCGTATGTTTGTTTTCTGAGAATCCTATTCCATATAAGTTGACTGGAGATCAAACACTTTCGATCTTGCCTAGTTGTTTAAACTGCGGTGCATCTGAAACTTTGGTTTATCATTTGTTCACGGACACTGGAGATGAATAGGTTCTTGCTGACGAGAGCTAGCATCTAGTTGAATTAGGATGATACAGGCAGAACATAGTGATTACAGTGAATCCTCTTTCATTTAGTTTGACTGTGAATCAACCAATTTTGATCCACTATGCATCTGAAGTTATGGTATTCTTGAGCTTGGTTTTTTGTTATTTGTATATTGGCACTGGAACTTGACTGGTTGAGCTTGCTTGGTTCTTTACTTATTTCAAGTTTGTCCCATGACTTACCTTGACTTTTTATATCCTTGTAGCTGATGGAACTTATGCTATGAAGAAAGTTTTGATTCAGAACAAGGAGCAACTGGAATTGGTGCGGGAGGAAATCCGTGTTTCATCATTGTTCAATCACCCTAATTTGCTTCCACTCCTTGATCATGCCATTATTTCTGTTAAGGTAATCTGAACTTTCATTGGTTGATGCTTTTTGAGTTTTTTTTGCTATTTGTCTTTGTAATTTTCTCATGTAAAGTCTGATTTATAAAGTGTGTTGCTTTTGATTGGTTAGGACGGCCAAGAGGGAGCTTGGAAACACGAGGCCTTCTTGCTATTTCCTGTTCACTTGGATGGGACCTTGCTGGATAATTTCACATTGATGAAGGCTAAAAAGGAAACATTCTCAACAACTGATGTTTTGCACATATTCCGTCAGGTAACAAATTCTCAACAACTGATGTTTAATTTCTGTTTTTAACTTGGGTTTTCTGCAACTCTCTTTTTCTTCTTTTGCAACTAACCATTATGTTTAGTTTATTGAGAGCCATGTGAGTTATTGTATGATTAGTCATAAATTGCAAGTCGTTTGATATTCCATTGCAGCTTTGTGATGGACTCAAACACATGCACTCTCTGGAGCCACCTTATGCTCACAACGATGTCAAACCTGGAAACGTGCTTTTAACACGTAGAAAAGGACAGCCTCCTCTTGCGATATTGATGGACTTTGGAAGTGCTCGCCCATCACGGAAGCAAATCCGTTCCCGTCAAGAGGCCTTACAGTTACAGGTTCTATATTTATCCCTTATTACTCATCACAAGCTTTTGAGATCGTACAACTCCATATTCTCCATGAGTCATCGACATTCTATTTCTGATGAGAATAACTACTTACAACTAATGACTTTGCAAATTCTTCATGTCTTTTATAGGAATGGACATCTGAGCATTGTTCAGCACCGTTTCGAGCTCCCGAGCTCTGGGATTGCCCAAGCCATGCAGATATTGATGAGAGAACAGATATCTGGTCACTAGGCTGCACATTATATGCAATAATGTAATACAATGATATTTGGTTTCCTTGTAAGATTAAACGATTTCATTTAATTGAACTTTATTTAAGGTCTTTTTTTTTTGTTGCAGGTACGGTGTGTCTCCATTCGAGTATGCTCTTGGAGAATCTGGTGGAAGTCTTCAGCTCGCAATTGTGAACGCTCAGATCAAGTGGCCAAACACTGGACCAAAGGCTTCTTATCCTGAAGCTCTTCACCAGTTCGTAACTTGGATGCTGCAACCACAGGCTGCGGTTCGACCGCGCATAGACGATATCATCATCCATGTCGACAAGTTGATCGCTAAATTCACCAAATGATTTCCTAATTATGGTGGTTTTCAAAAAAAGGTGAAAGGAGGAAAAGAAAAAGACTCTTTATACATTGCTTTGTCTCTTTTTTTTATGTGCTTAGCTGTTTTTCAAAAATCCCATATTAGATACATATTTAATAGTATTACATTGCTCTTCGTAATGTATTTTGCACTATTTAGGATTCGGGGTTTTCTTTTTGACTATGGGAAGTTGTGAACGAATAAATTTACTTAAAAGGGCAATCTTTAAATTAGTTGTCTTAATTCTGTTTATCATGATATTTTTTTGTCTATTGTTTGATTTTTCCTTTTTATGTCTTGAGATGAGCATATGTCCATGATGCGTTTATAAATTTGTGCTGATTAAAAAAATACATACATTATATTATTTTTATTTTGCTTTAGTCAAGTTGGATTTATTATAACCATAGCTTTTGAAAGAAAAAAAAATTGGATTTAAGAGATTTTCGTAGAAATATATTAAACACTTCAGTTACCATTTTGTTTAGGTGTAAGATCACTTTCCCTAAATATTAATCATCTCCAATCTTTGAAGACTTCTTTAAACCAGTGTAGGAGGGGAATCACAAGTTGATAATTTTGTTGTCAACAACCACAACTTGATTGACATATACAACTTGTAAGGTATATTGTACATTTTGAAGATCTGTATAAAGAAGAATTGTTCACTAGGTACAGTGGTACACATAAATACATATCCGTAGATACCCATAACATGTTGTTGAAGAAGTTATTATCATTTTTATATATGAAATGATTTATTTTTCGAAACAATTCCTCATATCTATATGCGTGTGTGTACGACCTTTTACTTTTACGGATTTGAGTCACTTCATAGAACTCAAAAGAAATAAATTACGTAAGTCAATTTCAGGAAGATAAATGTCTGATCACTATTTATTTCACTCTCAGTAAAAATTATTATTTTAAACTTCACTTCTGTATTCTGTAACTCTAAAAATTGAAAAGATCTACAGTACCCCTACCACCAAAATTATGATCATACCTATACATCTATATTTCCATTTTCAGACACTTTTGATATTTTAACCTATAAAACCAACATTTATCTAATAACGATTAGAAGGAAACATTCCACAATTATATTGCTGTAAGAAAACATTCCACAGTTACTTAGCAGTATTAGTATGTATGTAGATTTCTAAAGATCATTCTAGAGAGATTGTTTCCATAATATTTGAAAGTTATAGTCGTCATCTATTTAAATGATTTGAAAATTATCCTTCAATTGTCATGAACTTTTCAATATCAGATCATATTAAGTCCATAATTTGTCTATGAACCTGAACTGAAATTCAAGTGATATATATAGCCAGTGAATACCATGTGAAGAAAATATTATAATTGAAATAATCCCTGATATAGGTAAATATTCTGCATGTTAAACAAAAGATATTTAATTGTCTGTTGTGACAAAGGAAGCGAGAGATGTTTGAACTTTTAGAGGAAGAGAAAGGACTTAACAGCAGTAAATTAAAGAAAGACAGAACAGCACAAGTCACAGGGGTATAATAATTTTGGGATGGTACTCCTTATTTATTGTTCATTACACATTTTCCAATATTTTCTCCTCAGATTATACATTATTCTTCCTCAACCATATTGATTCAATTGGATTGATCAATTCAAATGTTTATATTTAATAAATTTAAGAAAATTTGGAAACATTCTTCCCTTGCACTTTCTTTCGTTATATAAGTAATTTTCATATTAAAATCTAAGATAACATTGATTAATATTGGTGCATTTTATATATATACATACTATCAATCATTTTATTTACACTCCTTATCGAGTTTTTTTTTTTTTTTATGTTGGTGCCCTATTCACTCGAAGAATTTAACTAGAGTAGAAACCAAACCCTAAAAGCACCGACTTTACGAAGTCACATTATTACGCTCTTCCAACCGAAGTTAATTATTCTTAATTTTTTCTTGGTGTTATAGAAACTGTCACTCACTTAACACTATAACGATTTTGTGTGTAGAAGAAGAAGGGATATGAATGTTTTGTAGTCTGTTTTTCAAAGTAAGTTAGCTAATCAGCTTTCTCTATGTCGACAAAACAAAATCAGTTCTCATCAATCACTCTTTATTACATCTTCTTTCCTAGATGTGAAAGGCTAATTTGCCAAATTCCAACTCAATGACACCTACAACTATATTTTTAGTAATTTGTATAGTATTTTTTAAGATATGATGTTTAAAGTTATTGCATTTAAAAGATGCTACTTCGACGAGATAAGAGATTTCACTTTCTCTCCTTCACGGCTACTAGCTGGACTCTTGCTGTTCTCATCAACTCTCTTCATTTATAGCTCTCTCCCTCTGTCTCTCTCTCTCCCTCTGTCTCTCTCTCTCCCTCTCTCTTTCTCTCATTTTGTTTTCTTAAGTTAAGTTTTGCTTAGATAATCATATTAAGTTATTAACGTGTTTTGTTGTTGTTGTTAAACGTATATGAATGATAATAGCCTTAAGACTATACAAATTTAAATTTTAATACATTTGAATAGACTAGTTTAAAATTATTTGAATAATGGTTTCAGGCCTGAATGGTTATATACTTCTCAAATATCCAAAACCTCACATTTAGTGAAGAACATTGCTATGTTTTTGTCAATCTAAACTAACTCATGTGTTTATCAATATTTCGAAGAGAATATGCAAATAGATATACCATTTCGGCGTTATTTCTTTATTTTTTTCCTAGTTTGTATTTATTTAAAAAAACTGCTATTTCTTTAATTTTTCCCTAGTTTTTATTTATTTTTAAAAAATAAATTATTGGATGGGTATGTTTGTCTTGTATTATTTAAGTTTTATATATAAATTCGGGTAGTGAGCTGTTCTTTGGTCAGAAAGAAGATGAGAGATAAATAGCAATTCTCAGGTGTTTTAAATACAACCTCTTCTCCATCTCTATCTCTTCCACCCAACTCCCTCCTCTTATCTTTCTAAAAGTCAGCCTCTAATTATCTTTTAATTTCCCAAAAAAAAAAATCAAGTTATATTCCATTTTTTCTCTCTCTCTTTTTTGCAGAATATTCCCTTTTTCCAAATTCTTAAATTATTTCCAATTGTTTTTTATTTTATTTTGAAGAAACCTTCTTATTTTGTCTTTTATCACCAAATGCATATACATACATACACGGATACACACACGCTTACATATTATATATACGCGCTTACATACATACACTGATATACACATGCTTGCTTGTTGGATTGTTTACTTAATATCTCAGCTTCTTCTTGTTACTGTCTCACTTTAGGGTTTTTTTTTGTTGGTCTCTTTGTTTGGGGTCTCTTTGTTTCTTCTTCTCTTTGTTATTTATATATAAACACAAAAGAAAAAAAGAGTTATAATATTTAAAAATGGAGTCTGCAAACATCTTTGGATCCGATGAGGATGGTCGTAGCTGTGAATCTGGATGGACGATGTATTTAGCCTCGCAGTCCCATGATCATGAAGACGACTGTTACTATGATGATGATGACGAAGAAGCAGAAGATAGCGATGGTGGTGATTCAATGGATTCCGATGCATCTTCTGGTCCAATGGAAGCCACATCATCTCTCAAACTTGCTCAAGAGATTGAGGAGCAAAACTCTATAAAGAAGAAGAAGAAAAGGACTAATGAAGAGATGGTTTTGGTGGAGACTACTAGGGTTCACAACACCATCATTGATGATGATGATGACGATGATGGGGATAATCATGATTATGATGATGGTAATGATAGCTACAGTGTAGTTCATAGCTATGTTGGTTCAGTTATACAAAAAGGGTTAGTTTGATTTTATATAGTGACTTTGTGTCTATGTTTTATTTAAGTTTGTTCCAGTTCCAATATATATGATTTTATTCTTACTCGATCCATGTTATGTCCTTGTGTCATTACGATTTCTGTTTTGATTATGAAAGCGTATTTTCTATCTGATGATTTGCTAATTGTGTAGCCTTATATATATTTGATTAATTACTGTCTATGTTAGAGACATGTGTAAATCATTAAAACGAGATCATCATAGTACAGATACAGTGATGAAGATGATGATGATGATGATGGCTTGGGTCTCTTAAGATGTACATCAATGCATTCCATTATGGGTTTCTTTATGGTCACCATAGTACCCCATTATGGAAATACAGATATGCCATCTTAATTTACTTATTTCTAGATGATCATTTCTGTATATATTCAGTTTTCATACTACTACTATTAATAAATATACATTTGACATTAATTAACTTTTTATGATATCTACCTACTAATCATGTGGCAGAATTGACATAGGTATATAATCATTCTAATATATGGTATTAATGAGTATTTATACTCACCATTGCAATTTTACAGTATTTTTGTTTACTACAGCACATAAGTGAGAAATTGAACATTTTCTAAACAAAAATTTACGATAGATATAATTAACGATTTCCAACTTAAAACCAATTGACAATAAATTAAGAGAATCATATTTTCTTAATATATATGATTACTAGTGTTGAATCATTTTCACTTCCAATATAGAATTCTAATCTAACGCAACTGACGAATCCATCTACAAACTATCAGACCCTCTACAGCAACTTAAATCATTAGCTAACAATTTTTAAAATCATCCTTTATTAAACTACTACATTTTTTGAATGAAATTATTAAACTATTACATTGCTAATGTCTAAACTAGTAAACCAAATACCCTAATACCGGCCAAGGCGCTAATAAAAAATGTAACGAAACAGTATTTTCATAAACTTATGTAGAAAGGATATACACATACTATGTTCTTCTCGGATGAAGTATAAGCAACTCAAAGTTGCACAACACTTACCACACAAAAATTGAAGAGATCTTGACATCTTTTAGTAAAAACCACTATAATTGATTGAACAAAAGATTTATATATATAGTTACAAAGAAATAAGAACATTTAGAATAAATTTTTAGAAATAATAATGTTGCATAGATTTGGTTGGCATAGACACACACGTGCACACAGTATGAGTTGTATATAATTGAGAAATCGAGACATAGAATAAGAACCCATCATCTTTGGTTGTATCTTTAGTACAGACAGGGAAACATGTTTTGTGACCATAGGGGACATATCTCTTCTGCACGTGTATCTCTCTGCAATTCTTTTTATTTTTGTCCTTTTACCCCCAAAACTTTGACATTTGTTCACATGCATCCCCCTGCACAACTACATGTTGATCTATTGTTTGAGAGTAACGTCGAATCAATTCTGAAACCCGCCCAAGTTTCGTTTCCCAACTCTTTTTCGACTTAATTAGGATTTGATCCAGAGAGAATGTTTAGAAAAATATATCTATGGCTTTCACATGGTTTTTAATTCCATTAAAGAGAGTTAAAAGTGAAAGTCTCATGGTTTCAAACCAAACAATTATAGATTATGGTATAGTTCCAATTGAGTTTACTATCATAATCTTCGATAACAAGACGCATAGATAGTTTGTTCAGTTTGTGGCAAATTGTTGATCGTCATTTGTAGTTTTTTTGTGTGGCAAAATTTTGTGAATTTTTATTTATATATTTACAAGTTTTTACTTTTTACGATAGTTTTGCTAGTGTTATTTAGTCACCAGATCACCTCAGCTATAACACTATATTGTTGTTTTACTCGTAAAATTTCATAAACTCAAACCCACAATTGGTTCAAGACGGATGATATAAATTCCTCGACAAATATTTTATCAATTTGATCAGTACGTATAATACCAAGTGTTTGATATAGTATATATATATTTTAATATGGACATTGTTATCTTTTTTTACTTGTCTCGTCATTTTTTTTCTACACATGACATATTTGTAGATTCTACAAAAAAAAAGCTCACGCGGAAGTTTTTTTTTCTTTTTCCAAACTACGGAAGCTTTTGGAACCAAGGAAAGTAGAAATTTAAGGGCAGACAAAATGTAGCAAATTACTCGAAGATATAAGTAAACGAGAGATATATCGAGAAATCATGAAGCAATATATATACAATTATTAATCTTTATAGATAGAATCCAGTAAAGAGATAAATAATGAAAGAAGCTAATTACAAAAAAAAAAAAAAAAAAAAAAAAAAAAAAAAACTAAGCTAATTACATTAGAAGCATTGGACTAAAAATAATCTTTTTCCGACTTACCAGTTAAGTTGGTTGGTACGGAGATTGTTGATTTGAATCGAAATCATTGATGTTTCCAAGTATATCTTCATGTTTTTCATAAGATATAGTATATTGATCATAAAAGGAAGAAACTGTCTCTTTGAGCAGTGAATTCTCTTGCAAGATCTGGTGATTGTACTCCAACAAGCTAATATATTTGTTAGACAATAATTGATTGGACGCCATTAGTTGTTTTACTTGCATTTGCAACACTTCTTTCATCATCCTCGCACGCATCCGCGATCTTCTTGCTGATTCTCGATTAGTCGCCAGTCTCCTTAACCTCTTCTCTTGATCCGTCACAACATATGGTTGTTGATGACAGTAGTGGTCATGATTGTCGACATGGTCATGAACATGGACGTCTTCATCCTGTGGGTTTTGTTGGAACATTGAGTTGAAATTATTGTTAGGAGATGGATTTCCTTTGAAAAGATTGACATTATGAGAGGGGTATTGTTGATCTTCATCAGCCTCCATGTTTGGTTTCTAGATGATGCAATTTGAGAAAGAAATAGAGAAAGGGAGAGAGATTTTGGATTTTCAATATTACAATAACAATCTTTTAGATCAAAGAAAGAACATATATACATATCTTGTCTTGTACGCCAAGTTTAAGCTCTTTAATTAATGAGATACATAAATTTAATTGCATTGAGCTGTAATTAAGCATTTAGCAGTAATTAATATTCTTAAGTGGGATTTCTTGTCCAGCCTGATTTATGCATTTGGAAAAATTTCACCAACTCATTCTACTTTCTAGTGACACCTTTTGACAAAATGTCACTTGCAGTTTCACATCTTTGTCAAGGTTAATATAGGCAAATTTAAAATGCAAAACTCATATATCCATGTTCATAAAACATAGAAACAAGAGCTAAAAATGTCTTGATTAATCTCATGATGCTCTTGTTTCTTGAAAGCTTTTGGTCTTATGTCCTTTATTTTTACAACTTTCACTACACTATATGTATTTCGAACTTTATACTTGGTTCATCTGTAATTCAATGTTTTTGTGTTGTCAGAATTTTAAGTATGGCTCTGTAAATTGTTTTTTTTTTTCAACACAATAAACCTATAAACAAAAACAACATTGGTGATTGTGATTTATACAAAAAGAATCATTGGATGATATTAGCTTTTGCACGTTATAGCTATTTTCAATTTTTTATTCACACAACTTTACTTCTCCTAGACTTTGTATAACACTATTACTTCGTTAACGAAGTAAATCTTAATGCGTTGTAAATGCTATACAACAAAACATTAATGTTTAGTTCTTAAACAAGAAGTATCAATGAACTTAAGATTACTCTACTGGAGAATAAATGGACCCAAAAAAAAAAAAAAGGTGATTGTGATGTGAAACAGATTCCAAAATTAGTATGATTAGAGTTACCAGACGGCAACGTTGTTTCCACAAAAGGACAATACAACTCCTTTAACTTAAAAGCTATGTCGAGCCACAGAAATTGAAAACCAGGTTGTATTCTTCGTAACTCCACTAGTAATTATTCGCAAATCACATACATAATATATTAATTTGATATGATTTTTTTTTTACTTCTCAGTTCGACTTTACTTCTTGATTGAAATTTAAGTATAAACATTTAAAGATTTGGAATGATTGTTCCAGGTAAATGTATAAACCAGGTCAATAAAATGAGATAAAAGCAAACATCAAAGATTCAAAGTACATGAATATTTTCTTGAGTTCTTCTCTGTAAAGCTAGCCTCCTAAGCTTAGACCATCACATGGGTCACACAATCGAGGCAAAATACGAAAACAAAACCAACTAAGAAAACGCTTGACACAATCCAAACACAGAATATCTACATTATTTACTACTCAAGACAAAAATCTAACATATCGAGGATGATGTTTACCATTTACAGAACCATGCCAAAAGTATTTGTTGTTCTCTGGATCTTCCTTTGCTCATACTCTGCATCATCAGTAGGCAATTCATAGCGACAAACAGGACATGTGTTCCTTACTTTGAGCCACGGTACAATGCATTCACTATGGTACTTATGATTACAAGGCAATTGAACAGCTTCGTTCCCGATATTCATCTCATCTTTACAAACTGCACAAACCACACCATCATCATCATCGTTCTCACCTTCAATTTGAACCATTGGGAGACTCTTGAGGAAAGATTTGGAAGTAGGAGGTAAACCGACAACGGAAATCTCAGCATCGGCAAACTGTTCAAACAACATCTCATACTCTTGAATATAATCGTCATGATCACCACCAATATACAGCTCTCTGTTTTCCACATCAAAGTTGATCTCTAGAGTATGATTCAGCAAAACTTCCCACCCGAGATTTCCCGAGCCCTCTGTTCTTTCCCTTGTCACTAAATCCTCTAAGGAGATAATTGGCGAGACAGAAATCGAAACAGAACTTTCGTCATTGAAATCAACTTGTGCAAAGCCACTTCGTATCTCTCTCTCATCCCCCACGCCACCACCACCATCAACTTCTTCCCAATCAAATTCATCAGCAGTGACTCCACGATCTTCTAATTGGAGTGAATCCCAACAAAGAGGGATAGTCACACTAACATCATCATCATCATCATCATCATCGTCTTCATATTCATCATCATCATTCACATATACATCTTCTTCATTAAGATCAATCCCCCATAATTCCGTCTCATTCTCAATACCATCATCATCATCAGAACCCGATTCCACTGTAATCAACCGAATATCAGTCCCCATCGATGCGATATCGCGAAACTCGAGCCCAAAATCAGTCCTCCCCACAAAGAAATCGTCGTCATCAGGTTCATCAAAATCATTACTAACATCAATATCACTATCACCTGAATTCTCAACAACAACACTTCCTCCAGATTCCAACCCTAATTCGATAATCATGTCGCAATTTCCCTCTATCACAACAGAACAAGATTCGGATCTCGATTCATCCGTAGCCTCGTTATCAAAATCACCATGGATATTAATATCGTCATGAGGAGAAGTTACCTGAGACCGCTCACCTTGCTGGTGTAACTGATCCATGACAAAGCTAGAGAAGATCGAGAGAAGCCACGACTGAATCTGAAACCAATTCGTCGCCTGAAACAACGGCGGAAGAAGAAGAAGAGTAATCAGTTATCGGAGAATTGTGAGAAATCGAATCGAGGATCTGCTGCGTTAACTAAACAATCTCACATCTTTGTGTTGTTATCATACGACGTCGTTTTGCGATCAGAACACATGAAAATCTCCGCCATCAATTTTGACGATATTTACTCTTTTAGTGGAATAACGTTAAATGACGAGTTTGTCCCTCAGTCATATCTCGGATCAAGAAACGCTTAAATGGGCCAGATCGAACTATTGGCCCGTTACGGAGGAGATCACAAGAATCTCTTGAGCACCCAAACCAAATGTGAGATTGTATTTTTTACATCAGTTCTATTTTAAATGATGGGAGAAACCGAATGTGTGTGTGTACTCTTTGTACGGTGGGATTAGATAGATGCACATTTACACCATCGCGGCCCACGGACGGCCCATAAATTATCATGGTTTACTTCAATTTGTCAACACATATATCATGATGCTTTATTAATTTATTTGACTAGAAAAAGGAATTTATTTTTATACTTTTGGACCAACCAAAAAGGAGAAAATGTATAATAATATTAATTTTTTTAGTTGGTCCAAAAGTATCTCGCAATAAAATAGAAATAAATAAATAGAGAGGAGACACTTGTCGAATAAGGAATGGGCCGCGTCTTAATCGAAATCGCCATCAAGTAAGAATAAAAATAATAAAAAAAAGAGAAGCCCAAAGAGTCTAGCACGTGAGAGAGGCCACGTAAGCGAAAACCAGTGTGGGAACAGAACAAAAGAAAACACATCTTCTCTTTTTTATTTTTCTTTTTTGACATAATAATAAGAGCTTCTCTCTTCTCTTCTCTCTCCAGAGCTTTCGCTTTCACGTATTATCAATGACCCATAAACCGACAGGTCACTCGAGAAAGGACACCACATGCCCTCTCCTTCTATTCCCAACATAATTTATCTTATCTTCTTCTTCTTCTTTTCATCCACCATTAAAATGCTTAAAAACGTCATTAGAGAATAACCCTTTCTTATTATATGTAACGAGACAATGACGCTAATTACCAAAATTTTCGTCAAAATTTATGACATACTTCTAAACTTAAAAAGAGCTTTTAGTTATATGATTAATAATATATGACATAATAATGACATAATAATTTTAAAACGATAAGAAAAAAATAGTTTAGTATACTAATGTGTGTTTATCTATTTTCGAATACGTAAATTTGATGAATATTGAAAAAATAGCACGAATCCACGTTTTCAAATCATCATTTACAACTATACATCCACGATTTAGTTTAAATTGGCAGCTTAAACCTTAGTTGTATAGTGGTAAATGAGCACATTAACACGGATTCACAAATGTCAGCTATTTATTCACAAAGCGACTAAAGAAAATAATATTCATAGCTAGAGGACCCACGAGTTTTACTTTACCTCGAGTTCTAATCTTTGATATTTTGTCAGAGTGAAAAAAAAAACAAAGGGACCCAAAGATGAGTAAATTTGCCCTCACGTGATACCATCACGAGAAAGCGATCGGTCGCCACCGCTTCTTTCTCTCTCTTACAGGCACGTGCCCCTCACGTCTCTCCTCTCCTCTCCCATTTGCTCGTACCAAAAATCTCACTCTCTACTTAACGGCAACGTTTGGAGTTAAACGGCGTCAAAGAGTGTCCAACAGTGCGGCGACTCTCTGGTGGGGAGATGAAATGGGACCCACCGCACGCGAGACGGAAGGCAAGTAACGGCAGGGAATGGGCACCCCACGTGACCATCCTTCTCTGCTCCTCCTCTTCTCCGAATCTCACTTTCACCTTCTTGTCTTTCCTTTTTTTACGGCCTATATAACCTAGTTTTATTCTGACATTTTCTAAATCCTTATTTCAGAATTGTTTCACTTAATTAATATTAGAAATCTTATTTGGACTACAGGTCTACAGCACAATTTAACGATTATCTATGTAACGTGGCAAACGTCTCCGAGTGATCCCATATAATCGTACCAAAAGTAAAGTAATCTTTTTGTCAAATAAATTCTATAGATTTCTGATAATAACATGTATATATTTTTTTGGTAAAATGTATACAGTACAGTATGTTGAAATACGTCGAGTAAGTTTTAAACTACGGGGAAAAAAAATTGTTACTATAAAATATTTTAGACTGATTCAAAAAATCATAAGTTAGCGTCTTTTTTTTTTTGGGTAACGGCCTAACGGGTAGTCTATCTTTAAACGAGATTAATATATATGTCAATTGTTGTGAGTGAATTTGATTATTTAGATATCAACACCTCCTATGTGTCAAGTGGATATCAAATCTAGGTAAAACTCTAGTGGCTTGTGGTTTTCATGCATTAGTGTGTCATCCAAAATCATCTTGTCACGTAATTAACTAACGCTTGAACTTGGTGAACAAACATTAAATTCGTGACAAAATGATTGTCAGGCATATTATATATCATCTTACGGAAACATTACTATTGTTTTTAGCCGAATTTAGCAGACATGCATGTTTTTATGGCGTGAACTAGGTTAATAGCTAGGTTTATTAACCAACAAGCCATATATGATATCATCAAAATTCACAACAAATATCACATGCAGAATGGTAATACCCGACTCCAAATTCCATAAAATGGAGTTCTAACTCAAAAAGTAAAAACTTGTAAATTCATTATTACCTCATGTGAAAACGAACCGTGGATCCTACATAAGATCAGAACATTTAATTAAACGGTGAAAATAACATTATATATACTGTGATTCCTCTTAACCTTGTTCAAAATATGATAAAATCTTCCACATGAACATTTTACAAACAAAATTTCACCAGAATTCAGCAATATCACTGACACTTGTTTTTGTATATTTATCATAGATGGTACATTTAATGAAACTATTTTTATTTTATTTTTGTTTTGTTTGTCACCATAACTCATTTTCAGTACAAGAATTGAATTAGTTGCACGTCGAAAAAAAGAGTTGAAAACAATATATAGATCAGGGATCTGGTTCAGTGCATTTAATGGTTAGAGTTACTCTTTTCAATATCAAAATTATACGGTCCGTTATTTTCAAAGTACATAGTTTTTGTTCTTGTTTTCCCCTTTGCTAATCTAACAAAGCATTTTAACAGCTTTTGTTTAAAGAAACCTTTTGTATCCCATAATTAGCAAATTAATTTTTTAGAAAAAAATAAAGAGTGAAAACGGGATAGCGTAAAAAAGAAAAGTGGGACCCGCAATAATCGAGAGGTGTGAGTTGGCCACGTGATGGATGGGGGAGGCTGTGAGGTAGGCAGCCAAAAATACCCCAAAAGGTTTCCTATCACGTGATACGGCGCGATTCACGCGGCGCAACTGCCACGTGTCCTTTTAGATCCAAAGGCTCGTAGCCTCCTCCTAGGTTAAAAACTTATATTTAATTTAATGCATCATTAGTTGTTTAATCTCGTGTTTTAACCCTAAGTCACATGATATAGTGATAGATAAACTATTTGTTAACTGATCCCTAAGAGGATTCCTGTGCAAATGTACAGAGGAATGTCCGCATTACTAATACATTTGTTTTTTCTTGAAATCCAGCTTCTTATTCTTCTTTTCTAATTGCTTTATGATTATTAAATTTGTTATACTATTAACAATGATTAGAGACAACTAATAGTTCTCTTTACAAGGAAACAAAGAAGTAAAGAAGACAGCTAATTCAGATGAGATGCTCTCCCACACACTCTTTTGTGTATGCAAAGTTTCTGTAATTAATTAAGGTTTTAGTTTTAAATCCTTTAACAACAAAATAAATAAATAAAGGTTTAAAGTTTTTAGTTAAACTTATGAAAAGAGAATGCTTGATAAATTGTAAGAAAACTAGGTAGAGAGCATTGATAACTAACATTAAAACCAACAAAAAAAAAAAAAAGATGTTTGATAGCTAGTATTGTTTATTCTTAAAAAATTATCAAATCTTGATTTAAAAACAGTGGTTAGCGTATGCATGAACCTGGTGAGTTGTGATGAGATCTCGTATTGATTTATTTCAAATAGGTTTGAATATGATATAATGTGTATATATATTTAAGTAATCTTGCGATTCCGTGAATGATTTTCTCCTATACATTAATTTAGTTACTTTCATGGATATATTTTATATGCGTAGGAAAAGAAAATATGTTGTGTTATTATATGGATGCTTAATATTCCTTAACTGATTTTTATCTTAATTTTTTTTTTAACTAACTCAAGTTGCATATAAAATAGTAAATTTTGATTTATTGATGAATTACGTAGGACGAGAATAGCATGTTGTGCCAAACCGAACCACGGATGGTTCAGGATAGGTCGGTTTGTGGCATATCAATAAACAGTTCCTAGTCAAGATGTATTATTACTACATTGCCCTTGAATGTTAATGTTCGAAAATCTATTTATGTCCTGACTCTCGAGATTCAAGTATTCAACAGTGTTTTCTCACGTGAGTTGCAGAGTCAGTTCACGTGGCCCCACTAACATCATGAAAACGACGTCACACTAACCTCTTCTTCGTCTTTCACTTGAATTGACCATTTCGTTTTTATTTACTTTCCTTGATTTCCTTTTTTCTAATCTAAACGTGTAAAAAGATTACTGATTCCATTTACTTTTTTTTTTAAATGTATCTAACCAATTACTTGTGCTTTAGAGAAACCGAATCTCGAATAACAATAATACAATTCATGAAAGAACCATGAGATTGCGAGTGATTTAAATCATTATAATACAATTCATGGGGTTATATAAAATAAGGAGAATAAAGCGTGTTTAAGCACAACCTAACAACTCACGAGACAAAGTGGAGGGCATGTGGGGATGTGTTATTGTTTTTGCTCTTTCCCTATTTTGTACCATTTTTCTCTTCATGTGATCCAACACTATTTAGCTATAGTTCCTCACCTCTCCTATCTCTCTATCTCTTTTAAATTTATTATTTCTGTTTTCAGATTAAACTACGACAAAAAAGTGATGGGCGTAAATTAATGTCTAGCTTGTACGCATTAGAGTGTAAAAAATATAAATCGTGATAAATTTTAATCTATAACTACTGAAAAGTTCAAATAATTGTAATCAAGTATATACGTACTACGCTAAAATTTTAAATCCATATATATACTTACAATACTCTGCTCAGTAAGGATATTAAATTATACTATATTCGTTTCTATACAAATGGAATGAAAATATTTTATCATTTTTTGGGCCGGTTAAGAAATACTTGATTTTTTGCGAACACCTAACTCAAATCCGTCCATACACTAGACATATGTTACTTTAGTAAATGCTAACTAAACTTATAAAATATGTATCGTAAGTCGTCTATTTGGTTTACTGACAAGTTAGTGTTGTAACAAGTGGCATTCAACTAAATATAAAAATGCGTTTAGCTCACATGATCAGGGTCTTAATTATGGTTTTTAGACAATTGTTAATGGCACTGCACAAAGAAAGAGCTGTCTTTGTTCCACCTAATGTCACATACATATATCCCCACTCACACAAATACATAGACGCAGACACGTACAAAATCGTACTTGTCCCCCTATTTACCATCATTTTTTTTTGTTAAAGCATATACCATCACTTCTAGCATAATTTTCTACTATTGATTTACTCTTAAATTGTTAATTATCTTCAGCCAGCAGAGGTAGCGTTATATTCCGGAGTTTTGAAATCAAACTTCTGTAAAATGAGGTTATATAGATGAAGTAAATGCAGAAGCAGCTGAAATATATAATGAAATCGATGTATGCATGATACTAGCTAGTATGTGTCTTTGTCAAAATTACCAATTACCTTTCAATTGACCAATCAAAAAATCGAGTTATGCACATAATACAGTAGACTGATTATATGAAGGTTTTTTATAAGCATGATTTTCTAGACGGAGACACAAAATCTTCTTTTGTTATAGGAGTTTTTTTTTAAAGATTAGTAAATAGTGTTCTTCAAATTCGTAAGTTATTTTTATTATAGAAAAAACCAGCAAATGATGAAGAGACACAAAATGTCATCAGATCTTTTCTTTCTCTTCATTTAACTTTTGGTGGTATAAAATTTATGCAATACAACAATAACGATGACTTGCATATCAGATTCATGGGATTCCTAAATCCTAATACAGAAACATATAATAGAGTGCCTTGACACGCAAAAAGCTTATCGTAATGAATTGGAAGCATTGATAGAGAAAAACGTCACAAAAACTACAAGCTTTTTAATCGGAGTATTAAATTATGAATCCGTGAAGATTTAATGTTCTCCAGATCGCCATGATTGTAGTATATTATGAACATATTTTTCGAATGCATGCCTATAAAAAAGTTAAATTAATAGCGTGCATGTGAGTTTCAATTGCCGACAACGAATATTGAAAAATGACCATTAATTGGTAGAGTCAATGAATATTAATGTAAGGAAAAATGAATGAGTAAAAGTTAAAGGATTTTCTTATGTTTTTTTTTTTAATTTGATTTTTTTTATTAAAGTAAGTAAAAGTTATGTTTTTTCCCTCGACGTTGTAATTTTGTTTTAAGCTTTTGATTTTGTGTAAACTTACGCAGTTTTGTGATTATTTAGAGTTTTTCATTCAAAGGACGATATGCAATATTTGATGTTCAATCTTTGAAATCTCGTAAAAGTTACAGATGAGCAATAGTCATTTTTCCAAAAGCACCAGTATTTTTAATGCAGTATATTTTAAAATATAGGGAAAAACGAAACAAATTAATGGGGATCGTCGAACACAATAAAAACAAAAGCGTACATCGATTAAAACCAAACAAAAAAAAAACAATAAATAAAGAATAATAATATCGATTCGTGTGTGTATTATTTTTAGTTACTTTTTTTTTTTAATTTTTAGCGCCGCTAAACGGATAAACCCGCTCTGTTACCTTACACTAGAAAGCAACTAACTAAAGACATCCACCACGTGACTCCGTTAGATTAACGTCGTTTAAACGGAGTGTATTTGCTGTTTAACGGGGAGCGTTATTATTATGACTGTATAAAAACATTTCCGCCTTCTCATTTCCTCTCTAAACACCGAGAGAGAGAGAGACGAAGAAGAAAGAAAGAGAGAGAGAGAGTGAGAGAGATAGCTCTCTGGCTGATCTTTTTTTTCCGATCAGATCGAAGAGTTTTATCTCGAAATTCCAAAGTTTTTGTTTGGTTTCTCTGACTTAGAGATCTCCAAGCTTCACGTAATTTGTTGTCGAGTAAGGTACGCTTCTCTAATCCTTTGGTTTTCTATAGAGATTTGACTTGGATTCCAGTTTTTGTATCTCCATGTTCATGGGTTGACTTGAATTACGCGAAATTGAGTTGGTTTGAGCTATGAATTCTGCTGAATTATGGTTATTGTCTTGAATTTGTATCCAATTTTGATGACAGATCTATCGAATCCACGAAATTGGTGACTTCTGGCGATTGTTACGGTTGAATTCCCGTAAATTCTGGGGAATTCGCGGCGGAGGCTGATTTAGGTTAAATCGAGCAGAATTTGACCAAATTCGAGGATTTTTATCGGGAAAAAGCCACAGAGAAAGCATAATTCAGCGACTTCTGAGCTCAATTCCGCTTCTTCAACCATCGGAAAACACAACACCGCTTGAATCAGTTGCTACCAGTCACAGATCTGAGCTACTAGCTACAGAATTCCGTCGAATTCACGCCATTTTTTGCGAAGATTTGTCCAATTTTTTGATAATTCCCGCGCACAGACTAATAATATAATTTTAAAGAATTCAAAAACCGTCGAAGCTGTCGTTCATGGAGCTTCCTCAACCTCGTCCCTTCAAAACCGAAGGTAACCACACTATTCGCAGATATTATTACCAATTCTTTATAGATACAAAAAGAGAGTTTAATTTCTACAAGATTTAGAATTTTATATTATATAGTTTTTTGTGTTTGCATTTTTTGAATTTTGATATATATATTAAGAAGAATTTCCACAGGGAGAAAACCAACACATGATTTTTTATCGCTCTGCAGTCATTCAACCGTCCACCCAGATCCAAAGCCAACACCACCTTCTTCTCAAGGTATTTTTACCATTTTACCCTTTTTCTTGTTTTTATTTTTATTTTTTTCTCTTTAAGATTCTCTTAAAAGGCGTCACGTTTTTTTCGCGCGTGCATCTGATCTGACTTTAAGACGAATCATGGATCAAAATGTTGCTATTTTGTTGGGTCCTTATGGGCCCAACTGTGTTTAAAGCCCATGGAAATTTGGGACCGTTTTTTTTCGGTTATGGGGGATACACATGTCCTAAACCTCGCATTCGAATAAATATCTTTGAACCCTCATGATGTTGATGCATGCAATGAGATTTTAGAACCAGTAATTGAATAAATGGGTGATTTTCATTTTCGTTAATTACTATAAGTGTTTAAATGCATACAACTTTATCTAGGTATTTATATCTCTAACATATAGTTTATGTTTTTAATTTTGATGGTACATGGAGCAGGTAGTCACTTGAAAACCCATGATTTTCTTCAACCGCTTGAATGTGTTGCTGCTAAAGAAGAGGTAAGTAGGATTAACACTACCACTACAGCTTCCGAGAAGCCACCGCCCCCTGCACCTCCTCCACCGCTGCAGCACGTGCTTCCCGGTGGTATAGGGACTTATACAATAAGCCCCATTCCTTACTTCCATCATCATCATCAGAGAATTCCTAAGCCGGAGTTGTCACCACCGATGATGTTCAATGCTGCTGCGCAAGCGAGTGGCGGTAATGAGAGAAACATTGTCGATGAGAATTCAAACTCTAATTGCAGTTCGTACGCTGCTGCATCAAGCGGATTCACTCTGTGGGATGAATCTGCTTCTGGAAAGAAGGGACAGACAAGGAAGGAGAATAATGTTGGGGAGAGAGTAAACATGAGAGGTAACAAGTAAAATTGAATCTTGATGTATTTTTGGACTAGTTTAAAGTATTTACAAACCACATGAAATGCTGAAATAAGTTTTTTTTTTTTATGTATAGCTGATGTTGCAGCAACTGTGGGACAATGGCCAGTGGTGGAACGACGGTCCCAGTCTTTGACAAATAATCATATGAGCGGTTTCAGTTCTCGCTCTTCCTCTCAGTCAGTCTCATATCCTCTTTGTTCTATTACTCGGTCTATGGACTTAAAAGGGTGATCAACTAAGGTTTTACTTTGGTTGCAGAGGGTCTGGGCTTAAGAGCCAGAGCTTCATGGACATGATAAGGTCAGCAAAAGGAAGTTCACAGGAAGATGATTTAGATGATGAAGAGGATTTTATCATGAAGAAAGAAAGCTCCTCGACTAGCCAGAGCCATAGAGGTTTGTATTTTCTGAGAGTTTACCATTATGTTTTCTTAACCGTAACAGCTTAGGATCTGATTGATTGGTTCTTTACAGTGGATTTGAGGGTAAAAGCAGATGTGAGAGGCTCTGCTAACGATCAAAAGCTGAACACACCTAGGTCTAAACATTCTGCTACAGAGCAACGGAGAAGGAGCAAGATCAATGATAGGTAAGTCCTGAATATGTGTACATATGCACGATATTAATTAGCAAAAGCCAGAATTGGTTATATAGTTTAGCAGAGTGGAGATACTAATCAAACATTGTTAATGGATCCCTCCGCAGATTTCAAATGTTGAGACAACTAATACCTAACAGCGACCAAAAGCGGGATAAGGCCTCTTTCTTACTAGAGGTATAACTATACTTTTTTGGCCAAATTTTCTGTGACTGTAAGATTCAGTCTCATCTGTTCCTAATCTCCAATTGTTTTTTTTTTTGGAAAACATAGGTTATCGAGTATATTCAATTCTTACAAGAGAAAGCAGACAAGTATGAGACCTCTTACCAAGGATGGAATCATGAACCTGCGAAGCTATTGAATTGGGTAAATATATTCTCACGTTTTCCGACCATACTTCATACTTCATTCCCTTTTTTTCTCGGGTTGGAAACTGAAAACAAACAAACCATGTGATCCATTTACAACCAACAGAGTAACAACCAGCAGAGTAACAACCAACAGCTAGTACCTGAAGGAGTTGCTTTTGCTCCAAAAATGGAAGAAGAGAAGAACAACATTCCGGTTTCGGTCCTTGCAACAGCACAAGGTGTTGTTATCGATCATCCAACAACCGCAACGACCTCTCCATTTCCATTGTCGATCCAAAGCAACAGTTTTTTCTCTCCTGTGATTGCGGGTAATCCCGTACCTCAGTTCCACACAAGAGTCGCATCATCAGAGACTGTAGAGCCAAGCCCGAGTTCTCGGAATCAAACTCAGCCATTGAAAGAAGAAGAAGAAGTAGAAGATGAGGAAGTTCTTGAGGGTAACATCAGAATTTCAAGTGTTTACTCGCAAGGGTAAACTAAAAACCTCTCTTTTGATCTTGTAAGAGTTGAAAGCAAAAAGTTATTAACCTTTTATTCATTTTTGTGGAGCAGATTAGTGAAAACACTGAGAGAAGCATTGGAGAATTCAGGAGTGGACTTAACGAAAGCAAGCATCTCCGTTGAAATCGAGCTCGCTAAACAATCCTCGTCTTCCTTCAAGGTATCTTTTTCTTTACTTACGTTTGATTCTCAATTCAAACACATTTTTTTATGGGTTGGAATCTTGATAGTTTATAGTTTTGTTTACTACTGATAGGATCATGAAGTTCGTGAACCGGTTTCTCGAACCAGAAACGACGATGTCAAGCAAACTCGGAAACCAAAACGGCTCAAGACGGGACAATAGAAGTTATAAAAACAAAACCCAAAACACACAATCCGGTAAAACACCAAAATTGATTCCTGTTTTTTCTTTAAAATCTTTTATCTCAAAAAGGGATTATAATTTATTATTATAGTTATATCTTGATTTTTTTCTTTTGTACATCCGAAATCACGTTTTATCTCGTGGGTCCATAATCTTTTGAGACCTAAGAAGACTATTGCGACCCGGTTATGCTAACCGCATTTTAGCCTGTAATCTCAAATCTTCTTTGGGGTTTTCTTTTGAGGAATATATCATTTAAGGGGAAAGCTTTGAATGTTTTCGGGAAGCTTCCTGTGTTATTAATTGGAACCATTTTTCACTCTCTATATATCATCATCTCACACTTTTTATATATGTTTCTTCTTCTTAAACCCTTTCTGCAGCATATAACAGACATATCAATAATCATGATTATGCAAGGAAAGCAAACCAATGGAGACAGTTACATATCTTTATCAAACATTTTCATGATAAAAAAGCAACAGAGCAAAAGAAAACACTATCCACCACCACCTCAAACACATAACAGCCGAATTGAATTGCCTGTTAAAACCCCTAACTAAATGCAGAAAATTAACAAAGCAAAGCAATTACAAAAGATGGAAACTAAGAGATGACATAACTATGAATTGGTGAATTGTAGCAAGAAAAACACTCTCAAGAAGGAAGATATTCAAGAAAAAAAGTTACCAGGCAAAAGTGTGTCCATCATCCAGATCCTCGCAGTAGGGTTTTCATCACAGAAGATAACAGACGCACGTTTCTCAAAAGAGCTGTTCATTCTCACACCGTTAAAAGTTACCACAGAAGTACATGGTGGAAGTGGTGGCGGCCTTATATTCTTTTTAATGGCTCTCATAGCATCAATCTCATCCTGATAGGGATGCGGATCTTCAGGGTGAGATAGCCGATACCAATGTGCCTCCTTTATGTCCTCGAGCAGCTCCTCTGCCGTATAAAAGCCACACCTGGATATGATAGCCTGGTTCGAGGAAGATGAAGATTCCACTCTCTTTTTATACATTCTCGTCACACGTGGGAGAGGTTCATCTTCTACTTTCACCGCGGCCGTAGCATCTTCACCGCCGATTTCATCGCCGCCGTAGTCCCCACACCGCCGGTATTTCCTTGGACACGAAGAGGATTTGACACGGTCTTTCTCGTTATTATGCTTTCTCGTCGTCACACGGAGAGCTATCTGCTCGTCGTCGCCTCCGAAACTTAGGAGATTCTTCTTCAGGGCCGAGGCTGGGAGCTTTCTAGGTTTCCACGAGGAAAGAGCCGAAGACGCGGTGGTTGCTTCTTTACCGTGGAATTCATCGCCGTCGTCGTCCCTGCGCAGGTTACTTTCCATGATCTTTTATCTCTCTCGAATTAGGGATTTTACAAGTTAGGGTTCGAAACTTTTGATTGGAATTTGAATTTACTATAAATAGGATCATGAAGTTTGTGAACCGGTTTCTCGAACCAGAAACGACCACGTCAAGCAAACTCGGGAACCAAAACCGCTCAAGACGGGACAATTTGAAAACAAAACCCAAACACATTCCGGTTATGGGTCCATAATCTTTTTTGAGACCTTAATTTGAGTGTTATCCTTTTTTATTGAATGAACGGCTAAGATAGGCAGATAGTCCTTGCTATTTATTCACAGTTACAATTATGGTGACTATATTTTTGTTTTCGATCAGAATTACCCTTATTGATGGGAATATTGCTGATTTAGGCATTTTTTAGCCTAAAAATTTGAAAAAAGGAATGAGTATCAGGTCTTCAGATTTAGGTATTTCTGGACTCAGTGGAATTACTCATTTACCCATGAATTTTGGTCCCAATCAACACAACCTCTGGCAACGTCGTCGTCCGTCTTCAAACACCATCTCCATCTCCGATGAACTCAATGGAGTCAATTGTTTTTTTTAAATACAAAACTAAACCCTAATAGTATCTACTAAACCCAAGGGCTCCAATTATAAACACTAATTGAATCAAAATTTCCAATTAATCTTCACCATCGTCATCGCCGCCGGTCATAAGTCGCAAACCACCGTTGTCACCGGATCTCGTCATCACCACCATCTAATCAGTGTCGTTTTCTTCGTCTCGTCTCCTCATCGTCACTGAATCTCATCATTGTCATTGAATCTCATCGTCGTCACCGAATCCCATCATCGTTACCACCATCTCGTTCATCAGATTTGTTCACAATTTCGTTCACCGAATTGATTTTAACAATCATGGAGGTTGACAACTCTTTCTTCAAGCCACGACGGAGAGATCTGAGAATTGTTAAAAAAATTTGTCTGAAGAAGAGAAAAAGAATCGTGAGAGAGAGATGATTGTTTATGTGAGAGGGGTAGATTCGTCTTTTTGTTCAAATGAAAAATACCTATTTCTGAAGTATGGGCAGTTGTACTGGATTTGATAATTTCAGTTGGGATAAAGCCCAACCCCGTAATAATATCCTTATTGTAATCCATCACGAAAAGCGACCTTTAAGTAAAATGAAATCTCAGTACATGATTCTAATTTCTCGATTTCCAAACATAAACAAAGCATAATGTTAAAATTAAGGGAACATAAAAGAAGGAAAGATAGTCTAAAAGGAAAGAAATTCAAAAATCACGGGTAAGTCCAGAGAATAGTGAAAGAATATGAGGGTAAATTGGTAATTCTAAGTTGGTAGTTTCAGATGAACGTTGGAGGAAAAAAGATTGAGATCCAAAGCTCAGACTCGAAGAATGGACGAATTTTTTAAAAGAAAATAAAATCCAAAGCTCTCTGTCTGCTCAGACTCTCTGGTGTTGAAGACCACTCACTGAAGCAGATCTATTATACGGAGGAAGGTGAAGATGTATGAGCAGCAGCAACATTTCATGGATTTGCAAAGCGATTCTGGGTTTGGGGATGATAGCTCCTGGCTCGCCGGCGATGACGATCTTCGACTCTCTCCTCACCAATCCGCCGCCGGTACGAACTCCGGCAATGAGAATCTAGATCGTCGTCTTTTAAAAGATCTCGTTGAGATGGTTCCCCTTATCGAGCATTACATGGTAAATCTTTTCGAACTCTCTTGGCCGTTTTGTCGAGTTATCAGAGCTCAAATATGTTTGGGTTTCGAGGGGATTGCACATTCGGTGATAGAATTCATTTGGGGAATTTCGAAATACGACGGATTTGGTTTCTTAATTTTGAGAAATTTGCAGCAATTTTGAAACTTTTTGACAGATCCATTTGGGGAAATTGATCGGTATTTGGTCATAAAAATCTGAAATTTCTGGAAGATAAGATTGTAGATTTCATGTTTAGTTCGAAATTTAATGACTTTCTTCTTCTCACTGAACGATATTTAGGAACACAAAGAAAGGAGTTCGTTTAAGCGGCGTGGTTCCATGATCTATACTAAGATGCCTTCTAAAGAATCCTTGTCCAGAAGGGTAAGATGTTAATCTTCTTGTCTTGTTGATCTATATCATCTCTTTATGGCAATTTTAACATCATCCATACACTCTTGCTTGATTGCATAGGTATAAATAAGTTCGTTTTCGACTTGGTTAACACTGGTAGTTTACTTAAATAATGATTTGAGTTTGTTATCTTTCCTTTTGGGGTATGAGCTGATATCAGTTTGGCGATCAAAAATTGTATATTTATAAGGGATTATAGATGTTTATTATATGCAGTAAATGTTGTTGTTGTTGTAATGATGGATTTCTGTTTTTGGAGCACTGTTGTCTTCAAACTTGGTTTAATAACTTCAGTGGGTGGTTTCGGGCTTTAATTTCCCTCGCCAAATGTTGGATCGTTTATCAAATGAATCTGAAGAAGACTGGTTTTCTAATGCTCGGCTGTATAACTTATTCACTTGTATTTGCATGTATTTGATCCAAAGGGAAGAAATACTTCTCAAACAGTCCCAGGGAGAAAGAAGAAAGACCAAGAGGGCAATGACGATGTTATGAACAATTCTAGAGAAGATGTTGAAAACGCAAAGTCTTTGGCTGGTGCAGAAAAGGAAGAACTGACTAGATTAAGAGAGCAAGTGAATGACTTGCAGACAAAATTATCAGAGAAAGAAGAGGTTTTAAAGTCTATGGAGATGTCAAAGAATCAGGTAAACGAGATACAAGAAAAGCTTGAAGCAACAAATCGATTGGTTGCTGAGAAGGAGATGTTGATCAAGTCTATGCAGTTACAATTATCGGACACAAAGGTAAACGTTTTTCTCTTATGTGTCTTCAGATTTCTCCTTTGTGTTTACTTTGAATCTGTTTTAAACAAAATGGAGAATACTCAGTTTGCTTCTGCACATAGCTCACATGTTAATAGCTTCCTTTCACTGTCTTCACTAGATCAAACTTGCAGACAAGCAAGCTGCCCTTGAAAAGACTCAATGGGAAGCAAAGACAACAAGAACAAGAGCAATCAAGCTTCAAGAACAGCTAGATGCTGTTGAAGGAGACATCTCTACATTCACACGGGTTTTCGAAACTTTGGCGAAAACTGATTCCAAGAAACCCGATAGGGATTATGATGCAACCCCATATGAATTTGATCATCTGCCATATCTTGTAAGCCAAAGAAACCACAATGATCATCTCTATTTTTTCCCTTTTTGTTTGGTTCATATCTAAAAAGTTGTTGCAAAATGCGTTATAAACAGGACGATGTAGATGAAACAGACCTGAGGAAAATAGAAGAAGCAAGATTAGCTTATGTTGCAGCAGTGACTACTGCAAAGGAACGAGAAGATGAAGAATCTCTGGCCATGGCTGCTAAAGCTCGAGCCTACCTGCAATCACTGGCCTTTACATAATAATCACCTTCAGGTACTTTCTTATAGGATATTTCTCTCCTTGGTTTGTTTTAGGTGTATGTAGATTTGTACCATGAAAATATTGGAGAAGATAAGCTTGTGTGAGAAACACAAAGTTATGGTTTCCCCTAAATCAATGAATAACTCGAGTTTTTGTTTCTTCATTTGAGCATGTATCTACAAATATATTGGGAACATAAAATCAGATTGTATAATGTATAAGTTTAATAGTTTTTACTTAGAGATGCCCTTAACAATAAAATCTATCAACTTTGGAATCTAATGCAGCCATATTTTTCAGAAAATAATGAAAAAGTGTATATACTTGTTCAACTTGAAATCGTGGATGATGAATTTGGGCTTAATTAGATAACAAAATATAGTTTGGGCTCACATTGAATTCCTTTTAATAAGATAAGGTCTTTTTAGTAATAATCTTAATCTAATATAGTTCACACGTGCCGAATCAGTCGCCTGTGTCAAAAATTCCGCGCCATAGCCCATTAATACGACGTCGTTTCTAAGCCCAACAAAGTTTTAAAACTATATATAAAAGCCCTTTCTTTGTTAATGGAAGGAAAAAGTAAAATCCGGTAATGAAGAACGAGAGACGACGCAGCGGCGGAGGAGACACTGTTGCGATTGTTGTCCGAAGCTATAACGGCGAATCGGCGACCGTTCAGGTTCCCTCAGACGGGACAGTTCGTGACATTAAGATTGCCCTAAAATCCTCTTTCCCTCCCGCTTCTTCTTCTCCCAATTTCCATCTGTGTTTCAAGGTAATGCTTATTATTCTACTACACTCGTTAGCCATTGATTTCAGGTTTCGTTTTCTAAATTAGCCCTTGTTGGATAAAATTGTATTGCTACAATATAGAATTTCTCCTTTTGTAGGGTGAGAAATTGAAATTGAACACTAGAGTGGCTGAGATTACTATTAATGCCGGTGATATCTTGGGTTTAGTTCCGTTTATCAAGAAGGAACGTCCACACAGTCCAAAACCTGATTTATCAAAGCCTTCCTTGAGTTCAAGAACCTCAAACTCCGCCTATTCTGAGAAGATTCGAGAATATTCAAACTTGAAAGATGAAAACGCTAAAAGAGCTGAGGATCATTGTGTTGGGGAGAAGCGAAAACGGGATGAAGAAGCGTGTCCATATGGATTCTTTAATGATGATTTGGAGTCTGAGTGTAAAGATGCATTTAAGGGTCAGAACACAGAGAAGCTTGCTGAGGTTTTAAAGTCTAGGAATTGCTTGACGGCTCCACGTTCTACAAAATGCTTGATGTCATGGGATTCAAGTAGCTCTTTGTGTTCTTGTCCAGATTGGGTGAAATTGTTTATGGAGACATTTACGTTTTTGAATCTTTTTTCATCTCTTATTCAATCACTTGGAGAAAAGTTATATATAACTCGCTTGAAGGAATCTCTTTCCCGGTTAGCATTGTCTGGAGTTCGTGTTCGTATACACGACGTTAAGAATCTCTCACTTATATGCCCCAAGGTGATTTTTTTCTTCTATATCTTTAAGTATACCTACTTGTTCTGTTACAAAATGTTTTTATATGTAACCGCCAATGGTTCTTTGTAGGTAGTAAAGGTTATCACTGATGACTTTGAGGCTGTGAACTATGAGAATGCTATAGTTATAGCTGATTATCCGGAGAGAGATGAGAAACCAGGTCGTAAGAAAACTCCACTTGCAAAGGTCTTTAGTGCCATGAAAAAACGGGAGACTTCCTTTAAGTCTGATTTCTGGGACTCCATCAAATCGCTACTGAACAAAAATACAGGTGAGAGTGGAATAGCTATTTCCTTGGAGGGCATGCTTAAATTTGCCAGTGAAGGTAGAGCTGTTGGTGGAAACGAAGCTAGAAAGGCTGGGAAAGGCAGTTGTCCTTCCTCTGGTTCTCGTAAATCCCAGACCTTGTGTCATGAAACAAATTCATTGCTACCATCGGAGATGGTTGAACATCTCAGGAATGGTATTGGGTCTAAAGGACAGGTAGTTCACGTTGAAGTAATCAATGCTAGAAAATCTGCCTATGTCGAAATGTCAGATAAGCTCTCAGAAACCACCAAGTCTGCCTTGAAACGGATTGGACTCAACACATTATACAGCCATCAGGCTGAAGCAATTTCAGCAGCCTTGTCTGGGAAGAATGTTGCGGTTGCAACTATGACTTCCAGTGGAAAATCTCTTTGCTATAATGTGCCAGTCTTTGAGGAATTGTGCAAAGATAAAAATTCTTGTGCCTTGTACTTATTTCCGACCAAGGTTACTCAGCTTGTCTCCTTTTCTTTTGAGTTTTTTTTTTTCAGAGATCTCAGAACTTTTTTAAATTGCCATAAAAGAGATTTGCTGTTTGTTTGAATAGGCCTTAGCTCAGGATCAATTAAGAGCATTGTCTGATTTGATAAAAGGATTCGAAGCAAGTATAAACATGGGTGTGTACGATGGTGATACTCCTTATAAGGATAGAACAAGGCTGAGGAGTAATGCTAGACTGGTAATTTCTTACTGTCCTTTTTTTCCGCAATAGAATAGTAATTCATTCACTCATTCTCATCTGAATTCCCGAGTACATATTTCTCTAACTAACATTATTGGAATTTATGCATGTAGCTGATCACAAATCCTGATATGTTACATATGTCAATTTTGCCTCTTCATGGACAATTCAGCCGGATTTTATCTAACCTTAGGTAACACATCTTTCTCCTCTCATTTTAAGCTTGACTAATATCACTTGAATCATTGCAAGACATGAATTGGTTTACAGAGGAACAAGGCCACCTTATAATTCATGAATTAAGTCGAGTCTAAGTTAAAAATTGCAGGTACGTTGTGATTGATGAAGCCCATACTTACAAAGGACCATTTGGCTGCCACACGGCCCTTATATTGAGAAGACTTCGCCGCCTGTGCTCTCATGGTGCAGTACTGATCCCATTGTCAAACCAATTTAGTCTTCATTATGAATTTCGTGCATTTAGACTTTGAAATGACCGAACATATCTTACTTTCCAGTTTATGGTGCCAATCCTTCTTTCATATTTTGCACTGCAACTTCTGCTAATCCTCGAGAACATTGCATGGTAGGCCTACATTACCGATTATCTGGATAAAATATCCGCTTATCCAATACTATCATACTGGATCAAAACATGATTTTCTGTTGGTGTAGGAGCTTGCAAACCTATCTGAGCTCGAGCTGGTAGTAAAAGATGGAAGTCCTTCCTCTGAAAAGCTTTTTGTCTTGTGGAATCCATCAGCTCCTCCAGCAATTGTATGGTTCAGTTTCCTAGATTTATTTTTGAACCAATTCGGAAACTTTATTTACTCCTTGTTTCCTTAATCTGTTGTATTACAGAAACCTGACGAAAGTTCGAAAGTCGTGAGCAGTAGTGAAGCTGCTGCAGATAAACCATCTGGAGCTGCTGCCGATACACCATCAGGGTATTTTTAGTCAACCTTACAAGAAATCAAAATTTATTGTCATCAATCTTTAGCTGACATTAAATATCATTTCATTTCTTTACAGCCCAGCTTCTGAAGTTGCACACCTTTTCGCAGAGATGGTTCAGCATGGATTACGTTGCATTGCTTTTTGTCCATCTCGCAAACTCTGTGAACTTGTTCTGTGTTTGACGTAAGTCCTCTTGTCAATCGCTGATAGAAACAAAATATTCACGCTAGAGTGTATGATTAAATAATGTTTATGGAGTTTAAGATCCGTAAAATATGCTGCAGACGTGAAATTCTAGCTGAGACTGCCCCTCATCTGGTTGAAGCCATAACCTCATATCGTGGAGGCTACATTGCTGAGGTACATTTTCTGTATATATGAGTCTGAACTTTGGTGTTGTTTGTAGATGAATTGGTTTTACCAGATCAATATTTTCAATATTTTGCAGGACCGGAGGAAAATAGAGAGCGATTTATTCGGTGGAAAGCTTTGTGGTATTGCTGCAACAAACGCACTTGAGTTGGGGATTGATGTTGGTCACATCGATGTAACTCTTCATTTAGGTTTTCCCGGCAGTATTGCCAGGTAAATCAATGTGATTTGCTCTTTTCTTTTCCCTATTAGAACTGAAATTCTATAAGCTGCAGCTGACAATAACTGATCACTTTTGAGTTTCAGTCTTTGGCAGCAAGCCGGCCGGTCTGGAAGACGACAAAAGCCATCTCTTGCTGTATATGTTGCCTTTCTCGGTCCGCTTGATCAATACTACATGAGTTTTCCGGACAAACTCTTTGGTAGCTCAATTGAGTGTTGCCATATTGATTCTCAAAATAAGCATGTTAGTAGTATACTGTTTGGGTTCTTATGCCAAGTTGCCAACTGTTAATACTTAATACTCTAGCTGAGATTATACCGACTTGCTTTGATACTTTTCTTCTTGTAGGTTCTTGCGCAGCATTTGGCTTGTGCTGCTCTTGAGCATCCATTGAGCTTACAGTATGATGAACAGCACTTTGGTTCTGGCATACGCGGCGCTCTTGCTGAGCTCAGGAAGGAAGGCATCTTGAGTTTTGATCCATCCCGTGATTCTTCTTCTAGAATATGGAACTATATTGGTCGAGAGGTATATATCCGAGCAATTACTTTGAAAAATATAACCTGAAACCGAGTTTCCTTGCTCTAAATTCCTTTGCTGGTCAACATTTTCTCAGAAAAAGCCTACGAAGATTGTCTCTATACGGGCCATAGAGACAGTAAGATACAGAGTCATGGAAAAAAAGAGTAAAGATCTTCTCGATGAAATCGAGGAAAGCAAAGCCTTTTTCCACGTATATGAAGGAGCTATTTATATGAACCAAGGAAGGAACTATCTGGTCACGAGTCTGGATATAAAAGAAAAGGTAGCTTTGTGTGAACTAGTAGACGTGGATTACTACACCAGGACTCGGGATTACACTGATATCAAAGTAACTGGTGGTGACACTGTAAGTATAACCGTGGCTCTCTTGTTTGATAGTTTTGCATCTTTCTGTAAAATTCATTACCAAGTTCATGTTTCAGGCTTACCCGGTCAAGGCTCCAAAGAACCAACTTAATAAGCCAACACCACAAACTCATGCATGTAGAGTGACAACAAAGTGGTTTGGATTTCTTCGTATCCGAAGAAAAAACAATGAAGTAATTGATGATGTTGAGCTTTCACTCCCAAGTTACACTTACCAATCACAGGTTATTCTTAAACATGCAGCCTCACACAACACACATACAGTCTTTTCTGTTTCCGCTGTGATTTTAAATCTGGTTTTATTGTGGATAATAGGCTGTTTGGATTCAAGTCCCGATGTCAGTAAAACTAGCAGTTGAGACGGCAAATTTGCCATTCCGTGCTGGTTTACACGCAGCTTGTCACGCTCTTGTCAACGTTGTTCCAGTAAAAGTGACATGCAACTATTCAGACATAGCTCCAGAATGTCCAAATCCGCAAGAGCAACGCTATTTCCCAGCAAGAATCTTACTATATGATCGTCATCCTGGAGGAACTGGCATATCCGCCAAGGTAAATGAAAGTAAAATTGTGAAAGTAAATTCTCAAGATTTATCAAGTTTAAGTTGTTGAATATGGATAACTAATTCTTGAACATTTTGTTCTGCAGATCCTTCCGTTCTTCACTGAGCTTCTAAAAGATGCTGGTGAACTCTTAAAGTCTTGCGACGAATGCTCACCTGAAACTGGTTGCCCCAAGTGCGTTCAGAGTTTTGGTTGCCGAGGTTACAATGAGCTCTTACATAAGAAAGCAGCCATCATGATCATACAGGTAACCAAAAAAAACTAAATGATTTCTTTCTCACTTTTTTTCTATATTACTACCAAAACTTTTTAAAAATTTTGGACATTAAAGCCTGATCATTGTTATCTAATATTTGCGTTTAGGGCGTTTTGGAGGCAAAGGAAGATTGAATCATGAGACCTCTCAAGATTACACTAGAGTAGCTGATTTTTTTTTCATTTTTTGTAAATCTAATTCATTCAAAAGGTTAAATTAGATTTGATTGACAAACTGCTAAATTGAAGAAAGAAACAGAAGATTTTAACAACACATTTTTGTTATTACTAATAAAAATCTTGTAATTTAAATAATGAAGTTGTAAAGGTAATTTCATTTTTATTTACATCTGAAAAGAAGATCTATCTAGTGATGGCCCATGATAGGTAAACTAAAAGGCTTTAAAATAGTCTGGGAAAGTGAGCCAACGTGTTTTTAGTTTTCCGGCGGGAGATGGTGGGGTGGGCGATAGCGTTACACGGCGGTGCCGGCGACATCCCGATCGATCTCCCTGACGAGCGACGTATCCCTCGTGAGACCGCCCTCCGTCACTGCCTCGATCTTGGCGTCTCCGCCCTCAAATCCGGCAAGCCTCCCTTGGACGTCGCCGAACTCGTCGTACGCCTCTCTTTCTTCATTTTTTTAAACTGGCATATGGGATAATTTTGACTAGAGTTTGGAATAATCGATGACGAAACTGAGAATTGAGACACTGAAATTAATACCAACTTTAGATTTCTATAAACTCTCTCTAGTGATCTCAGTCAACTAGTCTCAAATTTGATACGATCACCATTTCTTTATTAATTACTGTGAAATTTGTAAGGTTCGTGAACTTGAGAACCACCCGGACTTCAATGCGGGTAAAGGGTCTGTCTTAACTACTCAAGGCACTGTTGAAATGGAAGCTTCCATTATGGACGGTAAAACCAAAAGATGTGGAGCTGTCTCCGGCTTGACCACTGTTGTTAATCCGGTATCTTTAGCTCGCCTCGTCATGGAGAAAACGCCTCATATATATCTTGCATTCGATGCTGCTGAAGCTTTTGCAAGAGCACATGTCAGTGTGATCCTGATTCTTCTCTCTTTTCTTTGGTCATATAGCCTTTGACTTCTATTGATTATTAAACTCTCTCTACTCATTGTAAAGCTTTCTATTGATTTTGGTTTTATAGGGCGTTGAGACGGTCGATTCTAGCCATTTCATAACTCCTGAAAACATTGCTAGGCTAAAGCAGGCCAAAGAATTCAATCGAGTCCAGGTTATATGTTTATTCTCTTGTTTTTGAGGTTTGTATTCATTATAATCTGTTGCCTCATCAAAAATGCCCTTTTCGTGTGCTTCTTAAAGATTCTTTAAATTCCTTGAAAACAGTTGGATTACACAGTCCCTACTCCGAAAGTACCGGACAACTGTGGTGACAGCCAAATAGGAACGGTTGGATGTGTAGCTGTGGACAGTGCTGGAAATCTAGCTTCGGCTACATCAACGGGCGGTTATGTCAACAAAATGGTTGGCAGAATTGGGGATACGCCTGTCATTGGCGCAGGAACATACGCTAACCACCTTTGTGCCATCTCAGCCACAGGTAAAGAAGAAGAGATCATCCGTGGAACCGTGGCAAGAGACGTGGCTGCACTCATGGAGTATAAAGGCTTGTCTTTGACCGAGGCAGCGGCTTATGTTGTTGACCAATCTGTTCCCAGAGGAAGCTGTGGACTCGTTGCTGTCTCTGCTAATGGTGAAGTCACAATGCCGTTTAACACTACCGGAATGTTCAGGGCTTGTGCTACCGAAGATGGTTACTCTGAGATCGCAATCTGGCCAAACAATTGAAATCACTAGACGGAGGAGCGGCTTTGTCTATTGAGCAACTCTGTTTAATCTTCTTCGTTTGTTTCAGTTTGTATTTCTGCTTAGTTCTTCGGATTTGGTTTGATGATTTCGGTCTAAATGAAAAAAATAAATGAAGTGTTGAAAGTAAATCTAGTACTGTTCGGTTTGGAATGGGTTTGCCGTTTGCGGATCAAAAATTTTAGAAAAAACAAGCAAACAACAATCACTGTTTGTTTAATGGTTCTCTTTGGGCTTTCATTTTCACCGGCCCGTGGACTATAATATGGCCTTTATCAAACAAAGAGTTTGTATCACAAAAAAGGGTTTAATATTTGACCCAACATAAATTTCCATTAAGCAGCTTTTGAGCTGTGAATTGTGTTGGTATTTTTCCATGCTCTCTGTATTTCCCTCAAATTTACAAATTAAACAGAATATTATAATAATCTTTTTTATTGATGTGTTTTCAACTATAACAAGAACTACAAACACATTTGCTTCTTCCTTTTTTTGCAAAAATACAAAAGACTTTGGCTCCTTGGTAACAAATGTTTTATGCAACTTCTCCAATCGTGTGGGGAAGTTTTTTCTTTTTGTTTCTTAGAGTGAAAATAAAATTAGTGAAGTAGATGATTGATATTATTTTTAAAAAATTGTATTAAGTAATATATATATAGAAGATATATATAACTTATGGAATCGAATGATTTATTCCGAGATAAACGTATCTAGGAGCTATGAGAAAAATTTCTCAAGATAATCAAAATAAAAATTTCAAAGAAAACCCAATTAACAAACAACCAAAAAATACCCTAACATAAAAGACATTGTTGGGCTGAGGATGAGTTTAAGATACAGATTGAATTAACCAAAGTAAAGAGGAAAACGGAACCGAGCCATAAAGAAGAAGGTATTGCAATCCATAGAACGATGTGGTGAGAAACGGTATGGACCAAAAGCATGACAATGGCAACATTACCGCACACATGGCTAACGCGTCCTAACACGGCTGTGAAAGGATGCGACAGCGAAGCATACCCTATCACGCCAGTAACGTATTGAATAATCACCATCCCAATAACACTATCTCCCCAAACGTGTGGGAAATTTGGAAATAAAGGCCAGAACAAGTAAATCTCGACGGCGACAATGAGCAAGTGCATCGTTAACACGTAGATTAGAGAATTGGTCCACCCCAATGCAAGCCTCAAGATTTCAGGTAGAGTTTGGTTGTCGTCTTCGAAGCCTTTACCGCTCATGGTTAATTTTAGTGTTTAGTTTTCTCTCATTCTTTTATCTCTCTCTCTCTATATATAAATGTTTACTTCTCGGCTGAGGTTATAAGGTTTTAACCTAATTGTATAAATAAGAAAAAGGCTATTATAACATGTAGAAGATAAAAAAAAAAAAAAAAAAAAAAAAAAAAAAAAAAAAAAAAAAAAAAAACATGTAGAAGATATTATAATTTTTTCTTATCATCTTTTACATGCCTGCATGTTCTTAGCTTTTGATATTAATGAGTTTTTTCCTAAACGCAAACGAGAATATTCTTCTCTTACGTTTAACTTTGCAATTGACAATTGACAAAATTACCAAGTTTATATATTTTCATGTCATGTACACAACGCAAAACATAGAAATTGAAATAATCAGAAGAGCCTCCTTTCAAAAGAGAATTGGTTTGTTTGATCCAATTAAAAGAATATAGAATTTTGTTTTTTTTCGTTTCTTGGTAAAAAAAAACACACATCATAAACAAAACACTCTCACTCAAAGCCGTGAATAAGGATTTGATATTTTTTTGTACATTCTTTGTTTCCTCAAGCACTCTTGTTTTTCCAAGGCTTGAGAACACCAACAACGATCACTGCAACCACAATGAGGAGGATGATAATTGCAATACACATCCATTTTCTTGAGTTCTTCTGCAAGCTCTTCGCTCTTTGAAGAGCCGTATTTCCCGATTGCACGTGATCTACTGCACTTGACACCTATATTTGCCACAAATCCCATCATTATTTACTATTACAGTGCCTTGATGTTAGACTGTACACACTTAAGGTCAATATACATTTTAATAAGTTATAACTCTATTTTTATGGCCTTTACTTTACATTACCTGAGATTCTATATTGTCAAGCATTTCTCCTTGTGCATCAACCAAAACTGCCATATCCAAGAATATCTGCAAGAAAAGGGGAACCTCTTAGATCTGTCTTTACGCGAATAAATCCATACAATGACTTAAACAAACGAAGAAAAAATGTTTGATTAACAGATTGCATCAAACTCGGGTTCAAAGATGTTCATCGTGTAAGAATATATGAAATTCAACATACTTGTTGCAAGTCAAGAAGTTTCTTTTCCAAGTCTCTGACAGCATCATGACGTTCTTGGATTTCCGCCAAGGTGTCCATTACCTGGGAGGAACATTCAAAATTTTTGCAAGATTAAATATTGGATAATTGGACACATAATAAAATGTCAACATGTCCAAAGCATATGCTTCTCAATTATACGGAAAAGCTCGAACCTGTCCTCGTCCTTGCTCCTGAATCGCTTTCTGGAAGATCTGTTCGCTGTTTCCAGTTTCAATCAATTCATCAATAGTCTGAAAAACAAGAAACGGTAAGGCATGAGTTTTATTCAAACTTCTGAGACCATAATAACACTCAGAGTCTACTTTACTTACATCTTCATCCGCCCGCTCACCAGTTACTAATTCAAGGAAAACACACAAAATAATAAGCGAGAAGAAAAAGTAGAAGGGAATAAATAAAGCAATAACATAACATCAACGTACATACCGGTATAAATGCGCCTATCAACAACATCGCGATACTCTTGTTGAATGTTTTCTCGTAGAACCTAGAACAAGTCACAATCTTAGACTAAAATAACAGTTTCCATATAATTTTGAATAGTTAATCTTTTCCTTCCTACCTGAAACTCGGCCATCTTGTCTTTCAACTTCTTCTTTAAGGAACTGTTGCACAGAATGAAAAGCTCATAAAGGTCATACCAAAGAATATTTACATTATCTGTTTGCCCAGTTCTACAGCATTTGAATGAACAACAGCTGAACCCTACCCAAAAAACAAAGGGCTCAGAATAAATTATCTTATTGAAAAATAAGAGTGCTCACAGTGTCGTTGCTGTTCTTGATCGATCCACACCAGATCCTTTTGCACATCCAGGTTTTTGTCTATTTGCCAAGTTCTACAACATTTGAATGAGTATATTAATATAAAGGAAACATACAAATTAAACAACTGTAAAATTAAAAGATAAAGATCCAGTGAACCTACCTCTCTATCCAACTCCTCGAGTTTCCCCTTTATGAAACGGGCAATACTTCCAACTTCATCAACATCCTTTTCCATTGTCTTCTTTATCGCTGTCCATTACATAAGGAGCAACACACAAACCATATGTAAGGTTATGGAAAACCATTAACACTAACCCTAACGCTAGTCAATAAATTCCTGATTAATTTCCGTGACATCACTAGCTAGTACTAGTTCCGGAAAAATATGCATGACAAAAACATGTAGCAAATAAACAAATTTACCCTTCATGGCAGGAGCTTTGGTCACAGCTTTTGACTCCTCATGGGAAGCCTATAGGGTTTACAACAACAACCTCGTCAGTAACAGTGAAAAGTCACAACTGAAACATATGAATTAGCATAAAAATAACACAGAGCTACTGAGAAGCCACAGAATCATAAATCTTTAAAAGGAATTCCAACAATCATTGTAGACAAACTGCAATGAAGGTTCTCGCTCTTTCATGAAGATAATTGTAGCGTAAGGTAAGAAAGTCATTGGTTTTGTACCTGAAGTTTCTTTAGAAGCTTATCTAGCTTATCATACTGTTTGTCAATGACTTGAACCTAGGAAGACAAAGAGGAAACACTTAGATACACCAATTGGTAGAGGGGCAATTAGATACACTCTTTCTTTTTAGATTACCTTTTTGAAGAAATCTTCTAATCCTTGATCTCCACCTTGTTGTTCCCCTAGTTCAACATCCCCTTCTCTAGAAGATTGACCTCGGGGAAGCTCAAACGAACCCTACAAACAAAAGTCATCAAAATTAACACAAGAATCGATTGACATAAACCCTTATAGCTAAATCTAGAGATCCAATAAAAAGATAGAATTATTAACAGTGGTTGGCATTCATGATTGAATAACATCAGTAATGTAAGACAAAAACCTCAAGAACATATATCAAAAAAGAAGTCTCAATTTTGGAAATTAGCATCCACATTAGATGATCAACGTAATTCAAACTCAACAAACCCTAAATATCTAGAAGGAGCTAAAGAAGAAATAAGTCTCACCTTGAGAAGATCGTTCATCGTGTAGAGCAAAAAGATCAAAGTTTAGTTTCGGTTCACACCAATAACGAAGAAGAAGAAGACTTCAATAGTGCGAAGACAAAGGACGCCAGAAAGAGTCGATCTTTCAAAGGACAAGCGAGAAACTGAGTGAAGAAGACAAATCGAGAGAAAGTGGAGGAGAAACGGATCTGTGGCTCAAGCAAAAGAATGAGAGGAGAGAAGAATTTGAGTAATCTAGGGATTTTAATTTGTCCAAACCGATCGGTTTATTGTTCGAAACCTAACTGAACCGAGTATTGAATACATTTTACAAACAGTTAATACATGTAAACCGAAACCAAATCTTGAACGGTTCGGTTTGGTAATGTAAAACAAGGAATTTTCCGACATGCCGTCCTTGTCCAGCTAAAGACAACTTTCCTTTAAGTGCCGGAAAAATATGTAGAAAAACAGGAAAAGGGTAATTACGTCATTTTATCATTAGAGGAATATCATCATGTGCGACGCATGTGCATTAACGCCGATACACCTAAGGAATGTGAGCAGTCGATTCGGAATATCAGACATCCTATGCGTGTGGACCCCGTGTGATCCGACGGCGGATATTTTCGGATAGTTTTAATAATGAATAAATTGTCAGTGATAGTAAATAACGAAAAGGGGGTGTAGCTCATATGGTAGAGCGCTCGCTTCGCATGCGAGAGGCACGGGGTTCGATTCCCCGCACCTCCATTTTTTGAATAACAGTTGTCTTTTTTACACGTGTTCGACATCCAGTCATGAAACATTTACGTCCTATATATATGCTTTTAAATTTGGTCCAATCTCTTACCAAAACACATTAAAGTGAAAAAAAACTAGTACTAATAAATATGGTCAGGATATATTAATGGACAATAATTGTGATATGTTAAGATGAAAAAATGAATGATAATCTTCCTATTTAATTTTATAGATTTGATCATTATTTCAACATTTGTAATGTATCTCTATTCCCTACATATTGTTTTATTAACAAAAAAAATGAATAAAACAGAATTCAGAATAGAATTAATGTTGACATTTTCCCATATATCACTCAAATAAATTTTGGTGATCTACGGAAGAACAGATTTTTGTTTATTTTTAAGGTCATGGAGCCAATTTCTAAGGTTACAAGATTCGGCATAGCATATATAAATCTTGATTTCCATTTGTTTATGATGAGGTACAATTGATCCTTTAGACTCGCTCAAATAGGCAAATCCTTTTAGTAGGAGCCCCAGTAGTGTAATAATCGCATCATAGTAATTTTTTTTTTTTTTTTTTGCTAAATATCATAGTAATTTTTTTCTTTTCTTATAAAGCGTATAGTAATACTACAAGATACAGTATTTGGTCGCAGGAATTCTACGTCTTCCGAGGCCACTTAATCAAGTAAGTGAGTGAATTTCTACACATCTATTAGTTCTTCATGTACACAAATATATGGAAAATTAAACGTCCAAAGTTGAAATTAGTTATTTGTAAAATATAACATTGGCTTTATACTGATGTATATATAATTGATGTGAAATAAGATAAAGAAAAAGTAGTAGCAACAAGAAAGGGAAGATAGGTGGGGGAAAAGGGAGAAAAAGAAGAAGGATTTGCGCATGCCTATAGATGTATAAGTAAGTGAGTGATTTGTGTGAAAATGAAACAACGTGTGAATTCCTTTTTGTCTCTATATTATTTTGTTCCTCACCTAAATTTGAACCATGCCGTTGATGGAAGCAAATTTTGTAGTCATGTGGACCATTTCTATCCAATTTGATATAAATATTCTCATACAATTCAAAGATTTTACGAAAAATAAAAAAGGTATTGTGGTCGGTCAAGCGTGCCTACGAAAACAAGGTACGCAGTAGCAAACCTTCACTAACTAGTCGATCATCTTAATCGTTGTCTGGAGTATATTTGAAAACGCATACAAAGAAGAATCCAAAGAATTTTTTTCTTTCTTTTGGTTGATCAAAGAAAAAGTTCATGTTTTCGAATTTACCATGGTATATTATGTGTGAGAGAAAGAGAGATAGAGAAGGAATTAATGGAAAGTGAAAAGAGGAGACAAAAGAGAAAAGAAAAAAGAAGAATAATTAAAAGAAGATATATAGGGATCAGTGCTTGACTTGACTGCAGATTCAGTTGCTGTCTTAACTGCCTCATCTTCTTCTCATTTTCCTTCTCTCATTCACCGATCCCAATAAGGCAATACTCACCACCTAAATCTATCTCTATATAGCTAAGCTAGTAGTTGGTTGGAGTATATGATACTACTCACTTTACATTAATCCAATTACCGTAAGATACTACAACAAATCATTGATAACTACGGATTTTCGAGATAAATTAAAACGTTTTAGTTGTCGTAAATCCTTGCAATAGGTCCAAGATATTCGGTTCGATTAGTTTACATGTTAAGCCCTAAATATACATACAACATATAATTGTGTGTGTGTGTGAGTGTTTTTATTTTTATTTGTAGATATCATATGAGTTGTGTTCCTTGTATACGACACATGTATGTGGTTGTGGACATATACAAGTTACGGTTTGGCGTGCAATGAGGCCTGTGTTATAGCATTTTAGGCACTACAAACTTCACATACAAATATGAAATTAAAGTTTTGTATGAGAGATAATTATATTTATATTTATTGTAGCGGTACAATGAATTAGATATTATACCAACTCAATCACAACATGAATATGTACCTTTGCTCGCATCAGATTTGGCGTCTATTATATAATCTTTAATAAGACTGTCTATTATAAATACACGCATGTGACGATTAATCAATCCAACAATAACCATTAAACCATATAAATCTCCATCTCTATGTACATATAGTAAATGCCTTACATGTCACATGACTTAAATTCTTCAACTTGTTAAAGATCGTATAAAAACAAGCTGCAGCTGGAACTACTCGATATGGTCTGGTTGTGAGCTTGTGCTACTAAAGAGTTGAAGTTGACCACCACCGAGAAACGAAGGGTACCTTGTTGGGAATAGAGAACTCATAGTTTCCGCCGCCGGAGGATTGAGATTATTATTATTATTATAGTTATTGGAAAATGCAACAGTGACGTTACCAGATTGGTCTAGTAGTGACTGTTGGAGATGTCCAAGGTTGTAGTGATAAGAGCTGCTAGACGAAGTAGTGATGTTGCTCTGGATTGAATTCGAGAAATGGTGATGATCGCTGTGATCAAACCCATGATCAAGATTAATCCATTTCCTTTTCTCAAGATCCAAAGTTTCTCTCTGTGTTCTTCCAAGATCGAAGACCCCGGGAAAAGATTCTCCAAGGCCGGTGAGATTAGGGTTAAGTTGGTGAAACCCAGGTGGGAATTGCAAAGGAGGAAGCAAATCGACGTCGTTTTTGGCAACTTCTAAGAGCCAATCAATGACTTTGCTAGGCTGACTCAGCCCTAATCGTTCTTGAAGGTCGTAGAGTTGAATCGCTGTCATCACCGACAACCTTATCCTCCTGTCTCGGAGACCACGAACTGTGCACACTTTGCTGTGTCTGTCTTTGCCTCCGAATGCTCGATAGACTCGCACGATCCTCGGGTTATTCCATCGTTGCCTCAACAAGGACAAAGAACTCTTCTGATGATCTTCTTGTTTTATTCCCTTGTCCTCTCTCAATCTCATCTCCATTGATTCTATATGAAGCATATATTATCGATCATAAAACAAAAACAGAAGAACAAAATCAATATTGTAATCACAATAGTGTTCAAATTCGGAATGTTTGTGGGTTTTAGGGAAGTGTGATCACTTGAGATGAAAGCAAAATAACAAAAACCTATCAAGATCAAGAAAAAGTAAATTAATCGAACTGCACATTAATTAAATTTCTAAGATATTTTGTGTTACTTAAAAATGATCAAATAAAAGTGATTCAAAATTTCAAATAGAAATAGATACAATTGAAACATTCCGAAGATCCGAGGATCCAAAGAGGAAACATAGGTTTCAAATTAATCAACTACAAAAAAAAAGAAAGATGATTAATCTTACACAGAAACTGGTAAGCTTGAAGTCGTAGTGTATAATATATGGTTGAGGCTGTGCAAGAAATGATACCTATATATATACTCCAATCCCTAGGGTTTTAGTTGGGTATGAAAAGAATTATATACACAAGGATAAAAAGAGCAATTTATGTAGTGTATAGACTATAGACACTCTTATCCACATGTTTTTTAACGGAAAGAAAGATGCTATGGTTTCATTCACCTATACTAATAGTGGGTAATAAATTTAAATATACACACAAATTTATAATCAAAATGTGTATACATGTATATCTACTTATTTAGAGACTGCAAGTTCGTATTTCTTCTTTAGAATGTGTAGTCTTGACTCTTGATGATGCATACGATCATTCTTAAAGATATCTTTGACTCCATTCAATAGAAATACTTTTATAAGTAAAGTACTTACAGTAATTTTGAACTATGTCTCTTTTTTTTTTTTATATCATTCGAAACCATAGTTTAAAATTACTAAGAACCAACTTATACATTTGGAACGTATATGGGAGATTCAATTATATATGTACTGTACATCAGTAAATGTTGAGACCCAAAACTTGTAGAAATTAGGGTTTCCTTTTTATTTGATTCGTGAGATGATCCCTTTAAGTTCTATAATAAAGATATATATGCTTATATTGTACATATTATACTAGGCATTTAGATTGACAGCTAGAATGGTTGGTATTAGATGGAGGATGGACCAAATTAAAGAGTACATGTTTTTTTGTTAAAAGCATCTTAGATATGTAATATGCTTATATATACAGATTCATGGACCACTATGTGCATATATGGCAGTGAGATTTTTAGTTAATTCTTTCAACCATTATTTTATACACTCAGTCTATCACAATATCAGAATTTCATAGAACAAAAAGAAATTATCAAATTTCATAAGGATTCTTGTACATTCCATAACAATGACAATGGGCTTACATGTATCAATGAGTGAATTATTACCAATTTACCATACTGCTAGATTTCACTGTATTTAATAATAAACTGTTTTACTTTTCTCCTAAACGTTTTAGCAATCGGACCACAATTTACGAATAATAATTAGCTGCTTATGTAAGTGTGTATAAGTAGACCACACCACTGCGTATGTCAGAGAATCAGAGATTGAGAAGTTTCTCTAGTTGGGACCTAAGGTCGGATGAAGTAGATAACGATGATGGGACTTCAGTTTCAAAATTTATTACATTTTAGTGCGTTGGATTATGTTATCTTCAAGACGATTGAAGCATATACAAGAAGATAGTTTTAACATTTTCCTAGAAATTGTTAAGTATGAACGATTTCAATTTCATAGAGGTCACATACATTACATACTAGCGGTAGATCACATACTAGTGGTACCGGTTAAAAATGAACCTTTAATTCGGTTACCAATATTGAATTGGATACTTGGACTTGAAATAAGCGGTTAGAAGCTCAAACGAATGATTACAAACTGATTTTTCCTCATTAGTGATCTAAAACCACAATCAATTTCAAGTAAACCTTGCTTATCTTTTACCACTGCAAACCGGACCATATTCTCTGATCGCTAGGGAATCTTATTAAGGTTTGGTCACACAACCTAGGTGTAACTACAATGAGTGCAAAACGGTAACACAGAGTGCAATTGAAACGCTCATGTGTTCCAGTTTAGACCAAAAGTTGGAATACGTGCATATGATGACGTATGCATGTCACTTAAACAAACACATTTTGGTCCCAAATTGCATAACACAGCTCTCTTTTTCTTTTAATCCTGAGCCGTCGTTCTCGGTCTGTACGGAAGTAAATGCAAAAGGCTCATGCCGAGAGAGAGAAACAGTGACATGTCCTTGCAAGAGACAGGAGCAAAGAGGTGAAAGAAACAGTAGTTTGGGGTAAAATTCATAAAAACACAACATGCATTGATGGAGACATAGAGTTTGTTGGCATAATGGCTTTCCACAATTTCTGCTTCTTCTTCTCTTAGTCACTGATGCATGCAGAGAAGAAAGGGTCCCCAAAAACACAGAGACTACTACCTGTTTCTCTCTTTGTATTACATTATTAACCATTTCTAAATCACTCAGACTTGAAACAATCACGGGTTCATCATAAACATAAGGAATACAACTGAACAACAATCTGGTTCTTGTGAAGGAAAATGAAGTGTTTTGTAGTTCATAAAGCTACTAGATATCTTATTGAATAAATCAAACAAGGGAGAGATTTTTTGTCGGTAGAGAAATGTCACCCGCAGTCTTTCGCCCATCGGTAGGTTACAGGAGAAAGACGAGATGAGCAAAAACCTGCAAAGAAGGATACATATTCAGTCTCGAATCTCGATAAATGGAAACTCAAATAATATTAGCCATTTAAATGGGTTTTTTGGAGACGGAGGTTTTTCTGCGTTTAGGCAATAAAGTAGATACGACATGAATATTTGAATTACTAAACTGTTGCAGCAAGTATTAGATTGTAGGCTGAAGAACATAAGGAGACATTATCTAACTGGTAGGAGTCATCAGCTAGCTATAACTATTCAAAAGGTTACGCATGATTCTGATGTCATACAGTTACCCATCTGCATTGTCACAACTAAACTAAACTAATCGAGCATCACAGATTTCATCTAGTCAAGACCAAAATGACAGCTCATACTCTCTGGAAAGCTACAGCAGCAGGGAAACTAGAAAAAACCTACAACAAACATGGCGTTAAGGACACAGTGCACCATACCAAGTATAAAAAAAAAAAACCATTATTTTCAACTCAAATCGAACTCTAATTCTATTGCAACTAATTTTGCAGGACAAAGGGTCAAAAAAATTCCTTGCAGATACAATCATGTTCTTCCTCCACCAGTTGTAACTTAATGTTTGGAGTCTAACCTCACAAAGGGAGAAAGATATTTCAAAAACTAACATAAAGACTATAAGAAGCTTACTATAGTCCCGTGGTTTCATTAGTTCTAACTAAAAATTTGGTAGAATCGAAATGATATAACAATGATTCACTCTCGAGAATATGGTTCAGTTAAGATAGTAACCCAGTTCAGCATCTAACTAGAGAACACCAAATCTTCCTTACAGGGACAATTTTATCAATCTAAGGAAAATGGACTAGTCTAAATCCAACTCAGTGACATCCAAATCCAAAAGTCATTCAGTCACTAGGAGAGACCTTGGTAAGACAGTGTACACCTTAAAAAATCAAACCAGAATCCAATACTGCACTTAGCCATAAAACAAAGCTTGATTCCTAATTCCTAAATTCAAAAGCATTCGCCTAGAGCCTTACATGAGTCAGCAATCACATCATCACACATGCTATTTCTTGGGAAAGCACTAAAGCCTAAAATTTCAACCTTGTAGAAATCAAGATTCATTTTCCAATTAAGAAACTTTAGCTGCAACAAATCTAGAATCCAAAATTCCCAAGCTAGTTGTTATCTTGTCAGCCTTGAAATTAGATACGAACCCTAAAGCTAAAGTCGAAATTCCAATGCCATTAAGAAGAAACTAAATCTATAATACATGAGCTCAATTATTCAATAATCAACTGAATCCGAACAACATAAACCTCAAATTTGATAATCTTATCATGCCCAATCACCTGTTTATTTCTGGTAGCCTCCACCACGCGTGTCCAAATCCTCCTCGACTGTGGTAGTCAAGTAAACCTTAGGGAAGTCCGAGACATCGAAAGTCTTCTTCTCATTCATCATCTGAACCACGTTGTCTTTCTTCAATATGTATCGCCGGATCGGTGGGCGGTTTCTGCGCTGATCTCTGCCGTGGTATACGATGTTGTATACGGTATCTGGATCCGAGCAGGGCACGATCGCCTCTTCACCAATCGTAGCGGGGCATCGGAGACGATACTCCGTCGCCTTGGGAACAGCTTCGAGGTATTCTGGGTGAGCGCAAGGTCCGGTGATCTGCCATGGCTTTTTGATGTACCGCCTAAGGTTTTGCACAAGCGAGGAAGCCGCCGTCGACACTGATTTCGCCATTGATGAGAGACCTTCGCTTCGATTTGGGCAAATGAGATGAAACCAAAACTTCGAATCGAAAGGGGAAGGACTATTAAACCGGTCTCAGATATTGGATTGGTTAAACACTTAAACCGAGATTTAACCTCCAAGTGTACTGGTTTGGTTACAAAAACGCGAGAGACGTGGTCAATCATTTTGACTTTTTGAGATTGTTATAGTAGGCCCAAAACAAAAAAATCGAATCCTTTACACATCTTGTCAATTATAGTTGGGCCAAAGTGATAATTTATTTTTTGAAAAATCTGTATGGATTCAATTTTTTGTTTTGGGCCTCAGAATCTTCAGTAGATGTTTTATTGTTGTAAGGGCCTAAAAAAGAAACGAATTTTACAACAGTTGTTACTCACTTACACAGTCACACATGGCCTCGCGTCGATTAATTCGGGTGAACAGAGACCCCTTGACACGACTTTTCCCCGACCCCCAAGTCCCACCACTAGAAAAGGAGTTACTGAAGAAAGTTAAAAGGGTAAGTTTCCAAGAATCTTAGACTTGGTGGGCAAGGAAAATTTAGTGAAGGCCATTATTACCATCATTTTCGATTAGGGTTTCTTATCATCTGTCGTCTTCACCAAGGAAAGGATACACTATGAGATCTCTGCTTCTCTCCAGGCTTTGTCTTAGGAGCAAACCATCCCCGCTCGTAATCATAAGCTTCTCTTCGTAAATTGTTCTGTTATGTTTTCTTCTTTTCTTCTGATGTGTCTGATTACTTTGCAGAGACACCAGCATCTCGGTGGCGTTCGATTCATGTCGGAAACCTCTCTCTGTCACATTGTCGGGGCCGAACATTGTGGATCTACTCCGAGAGATGGGGACATCGGTAAACTCGTAATCAACGATTATACTGAATCTTCTTCTGGAACCATCAAGGTTTTGGAAAAGACAGTGCCTATGGATTTGATGAAAGAAACCGGAACCATAGGGGCATCTCATGGCTGGGTGGCTACTTTGAAAGACGGCGTAGTGTGTCTCCAGGATGATCTCAACCCGAGTGCTTCTGATTCATATCCAAAGCGAATCTCACTACCTCCTCTCGTTACTCTGCCTCATTGCCAAACCCAATTCGTAACCAACGTGGCCATGTCCTCCTCTTCTCCTGAGGACGATGACTGCATCGTGGCCGTCAAGTTCGCCGGTCCTCAGCTCAGCTTATGTAGGCCTGCTCGCTCGGAGTGGGTCAACATCAGAGTCGAAGATCCACACTTCTTCTTCTCCCGAGTCATGTACTCAAGGAGAGACAAGATGTTCTCCATGCTGAGTTCTTCAGGCTCACACACAGGATCTTGGGATCTTGGAGAACACATGCACAAACCCAAGATACAGCTTTTGCAATACTTTACAACGCTTCCTGAGTTCGTTCAGTCAGAGTTGCAAATACTAGATTCGTGTTGCACGGCCGAACACTTGGTGGAGTCACAACCCACAGGAGAATTTTTTTTGGTTAAGTCGTTCCGAGAGAGAAACTATACGACGGGGAGAATGGAATCAAGGCATACAATGGTGTTCAAGCTAGACGAAGAGGGATTTCCTTCGTACACAAATAACATTGGAGATCTCTGCATTTTCCTCTCCGAGTCTGAACCATTTTGTCTCAAGGCTAGCTTGTCAGGCCAATGCAGTAATATGGTCTATTACATAGAGAACAACGGACGCGGAATAGTTAACCTCGAAAATAATGACCATGATCGTATATTTAGAACTTACCCGGCCCCTTACTTCATTCCACCTCAATCCTCCTCCTATTAGTAAGCTACTAAGCTCTCTGCTTCAGTGTATTAATGGTTTCATCTTTCTTTAAGGAGCTTTGCATTAGTCTGAATTCATCCTGTTTGCTATGATGTTCTGTTTTGTAATGAGTCCATGTTTCTCCTTTTTATAGCATAAATTTATCGTTTTATCTTCCAGTTTCAGTTGAAACACTTGTTATCAATAAATTTGTATCTTTTCGTTTTCACCGAAACAAGTGTCATGGCTGGTGCAATACAATCTTCACTCTACTTGGCTGTGCTTTGCTCTGTTTGCTTTTTCACATCTTATTGGCTATCTGGTGCAAATCTGTATCCTTTTTATAAATAGATTCTCATCTCAATAAAATTTACCATCTTGTTAAAAAACAAAACACTTTTAATTTAGTATTTAAACTTTGGTTTGAAAATTTTGATTTGGATATTTAGTTTGGCGTTTACAGTTTTGGAGAAATACGAGACAAGGCATGTCAACAACACTAAAAGTTGTGGAACAAAGAATAGCATTGTTAAGAAGAATACCAAAAAAAAAGTCTCTGGATTAACAACCAGAGGATGTGTTATACTATGTATAAAACACCTCTACGGCTAGTAATTATATAAAAACTAAAACGTACTAAACATAAAGGCTCACCAATTGCTCTGTTTGGATAACCCGGTGGCCTTTGCATCAAACATTAGTCCTTAAGCCATATATACGCAAAATCTTTCACTGGACCAACACCATCATATTGATGACGTCGTGGACTCACTCATGCATGGGTCCACTGTTTTTTTTCCCCCTTATTAATACAAGACTGAACACAGGAATATAAATAATTAAAGAAACGACAACCACACAGAAGGAAAAAGGAGTTATTGAAGAAAGATAAGTGTAAGAAACTTAGACTTGGTGGGCAAGGAAATTATATTCATCTTTATTTAGTGAAGGTCATTATTACCATCATTTTCGATTAGGGTTTCTTATCATCTGTCTTCACCAAGGAAAGGATAAACTATGAGATCTCTGCTTCTCTCCAGGCTTTGTCTTAGGAGGAAACCACCTCCGCTCGTAATCATAAACTTGTCAATTCTTTTCTTAAAGTGTTTTCTTCAATTCTGCTGATGTCTTATTAATCTGCAGAGACAACACCATCTCGGTGGCGTTCGATTCTTGTCGGAAACCCCTCTCTGTCACATCGTCGGGGCCGAACATTGTGGATCTACTTGGAGAGATGGGGATGTCGGTAAACTCGTCATTTGCAATTTCAGTGCTTCTCCTTGTGGGACAAAGGTTTTCGAAAAAGAGGAGGTGCCTAAGGATTTTATTGCTCCTGGTTGTGGGAAAGAGGTTTTGGAAAAGACAGTGCCAATGGATTTGATGAAAGCAACGGGAACGATAGGAGCATCTCATGGCTGGGTGGCTACTTTGAGAGACGGCGTAGTGTGTCTCCAAGATGACCTAAACCCGAGTGCTTCTGATTCATATCCAAAGCGAATCTCACTGCCTCCTCTCGTTACTCTGCCCCATTGCCAAACCCAAATGGTAACCAACGTGGCCATGTCCTCCTCTTCTCCCGAGGACGATGACTGCATCGTGGCCGTCAAATTCCTAGGACCTCAGCTCAGCTTATGCAGGCCTGCTCGCTCGGAGTGGGTCAACATCAGAATCGAAGATCCAGGGTTCTTCTCCTCCCGAGTCATGTACTCAAGGAGAGAGGAGATGTTCTCCATGCTGGGTTCTGGAGGCAAACGCACTGGATATTGGGATCTTGAAGAAAAGCAGATAGCGTACGACTTGGTATTTCCATACTTTCCCGAGTTTCTGCAAACAGAGTGGGATCGGTTGCTTCCATATAGCAGGAGCCAACACTTGGTGGATTCACCCACAGGTGAAACTTTTTTGGTTAAGTGGTACACAACGTACTTTCCCGGGCATCTGTTTTCAGTTCGTTTCGATGTGTTCAAGGTAGTCAGGTTGGGATTGGCCGGGGTTGAATTGGCTATCTTGACTGAAGATATTGGAGATCTGTGTATTTTTCTCTCCTACAAAGGTGAACCTTTCTGTCTCCAGGCTAGCTTGTATGACCTATCCCCAAACTTCATCTATTTCTTGAGCACCCATGACTTCGGAAAAGCCAATATCCGGGATATTGCCAGGGTTCGTCGATATGCCATGGTTCGTGGAGTTGCCAAATACCCAGCCCCTTACTTCATCCCACCTCTATCCTAATTCCTGTGTTTTTTTATGTATTTTGAATGTCTTCTTAATTTGTTTGTATCAATGGAAAATTCATCTACTTTCCTGGAAAAACAGTCACTTTACTCAATGGTTGTTATGTGGTGAGGATGAGGGAGAGACATACAAACAGGAGAAAAAGATTGTCAATGGAGAACAGAGCTACATACCGACTTAAGCTCTAGATGTTCAAGAAAGAAGACGAAAGTGTCTGCATAGTATGGAATCTGCAACTGAAGCGAACAACCAGAGTAGTATTAAAATGATCTTTGGATTTTGGAACACAAAGAGAGATGTCAGGCTGAGGCAAGAGATCCTATTAGACACTCGGATTGATCATTGATCATAAACAGCCTCGACATTCGACTTCACCAACTCCAGCATATTTGTAAACATTAAAAGTTTACTGTAATGAGAAAAAAGCTTTGACTAATAATGAACTAAACTTATTGAAATTCAAAACGTTTCTCTTGGAATTCTGTATATGAAACCATTTACATAGATAGAAAATAGTGATAATGAGTTTATACAATATAATGTAATCAAATACATTATAAAGTTTTCATCTTAAATGCAGAAAAGTCTCTTGCTACACGGGGTAAATAAATTTGATACCAAAAAAAACGAGCGGGCTAATCAGATTTCTGCAAATTGGAGACAAAACCAGAGGCAGCAAAAGCAGCAGAGCCACCAAGAACAGAGAGCAGAGCCACAAGAACCTGAACCACTACTTCCCAAGTGTAATCTTCAGGAACTACATATGCACAAACCGGTCCAAGAAGGAGTAAACCGAGGCTCAAAGTGAATAACGTTCCAGGCGTTTCCGGGTTTGTTGCGGCAGACAAAACGCCGAATTCCTCTGCTTTGGTCAGCAATCCAAGACGCTCGATGGTTGATAGAGAGAAACCTGATTTCTCTGCTAAAGACAAAAGTCCTGCTTTCTCGGCTTTGGTCAGAAGCTTAAGCTGCTCAACTCTTGTCAGTAGTTTCACCTGTGGAGTCGCTGTACTCTGGCAAACATAACAAAGTGATTAGATTTTGGGAAATTTATGAAGATAAATTGATTTTCAACTTTTACCTTCTTTGAGGTTATTGTTCTTGTTGCAGCAGAAGGTGAAGGCTTCTTGTTCGCCATTGAATGCACTGTTAAAGACGAACAGATTAGTTTAGCCGCCATTATCTCTCTGTCTCTTTCTCTGGTTTTGTCAAAGCTTTTTCTTCAATGGAGGAACCCAGAGTTTGTAGATCACACAAGTTTTGAGATTGCTATGAATAGGATTGTGTTATACACGTGTCGTTTCAACGATTGGTTAACTCTTCTCCGGTTGAAATCAATCCAAATCACATCACTTTTAACCGGTTAGTATATTAGTAAAGGTTAGTTTGGTAATTTAACGAACCCTAAACCCTTAATAAGATAATTGGAAGTGACCGACTAATTTCCCGATCCCAAATCGACGACGTTTATAAACCCTAGCTTTTCTTGTCTCCGAGACCAGACGATCAGAGTTTCGATTTTTAGCAGCAACAATGGTGAACAATGTTGTCTCACTCGACAAGCTTAAAGCTTTCTGGCACTCTGAGGTTCACGACGAACAAAAATGGGCCGTGAACATGGTAAACTATCCTACCTTCTCTCTGGTTCTCTCTTTCGTTTAATTCCGAGTTGATTCTCAATTGAATATCGAAGTCTCGATTCTCTTGTATGTTTCATGATTAGATCATAGGTCATCGACTGAATTTAATGAGTTCTACAGCGATTTTGAATTTCGGTTTAGGGTTTCCAAATTGAGCGCGTACAATTTGATTCTTTTGTCCTTCTTATGAAATTGTGTGTTCGAATTGGAATTTGGGAATGTTGGGTCTCTCTGAGATTTAGGGTTTATCAATCACAAGTTCATGCCTTTGAAGTATTTGGATCGGAATATCTCTATTGGAAACATTCTCATATGAATTTCTTTTTGGTTGCAGAAACTTCTTCGAGCACTTGGGATGTTTGCAGGAGGAGTCTTCCTCATGCGTAGCTATGGTGATCTCATGGCAGTCTGATCAAAGATGAAAGAGCCTCTCTTAGTTTTCACTTTCTCAAATTCGTGTATTTCTCTAGAATTGGTCTTCATGTTTCTGATTTCATCAATGTGATATGATCAAGCTTTGTGTCTTGGGATTTTATTATATGCTATAAAGAGTTTATTTTTCATTCACAACCACTTCTGAATTGCTATTTATCATCCACAATTTCATTCAACCAGAGATGTTTTACAAAGTGCGATTGAATTTTAGCAGGTTCATAAGTAAATTAACAAAGGATCAAAAGACCAAAGATGCTTTCTTTGAAATACAAATCTGCAACTTCATTGCATTCTCCAGTTACCTCATTCACTTAAAAATGTTGAATAAAACCTTCTGAAATAGAAGAATATTCTTTCAAACAACGATAAGCTGCAGACGAAACAAGAGTTTATCTTCTATTGGCATACTAGATTTCTCAGAGGAATATTCTTATGCTGATTAGGTTGTTACGATTTTTTGGCTAAATCTTCTAAAGATAAGCTGGTCTATCTATATAAATATGTTGGATGCATGCAGTGTGGTCGTTGGAGGAATTTTCCTAGCTCAATTCAGTCATGGGTTTCAAGTGTAAGTGTCAAATCTCCATTGCTTCTATGTCTAGTTGATTCTTTGTTTTAGCAATTTTTGTTATAATTTTTGCAGATTTTCTACCATTGCTTTTACTGTCATTGTTGGTTGCTAATTGTGCCTCAAGGCCATTGTATCGTCTCCCAAGTGAAGCAAAACATGCAACCAAGAAACCGCTTCAGACTTCTCGTCCTTACAACCTTGCACACAGAGGATCAAATGGAGAGCTCCCTGAAGAAACTGCTCCTGCATATATGGTATTGGATCTATTACAAAAGTTTCTACCTTTACACTAGTTTTCTCCGGTTTCACAAGGTTGTTTTGATTGCAGAGGGCCATTGAGGAGGGTGCAGATTTCATTGAAACAGATATTTTGTCTTCCAAAGACGGTGTACTTATATGTCATCACGATGTGAATCTCGATGATACAACCGATGTTGCAGACCATAAGGAGTTTGCAGACCGTAAGAGGACTTATGAAGTCCAAGGAATGAACATGACCGGCTTCTTTACTGGTAACTAATAACACTCCATTAACATTTGTTTGGTATAATTCATTTTTTTCAAATTTTAACTATGAGATTGAACATTCCAAGAACAGTTGATTTTACTCTCAAAGAGCTGAAAACACTTGGTGCAAAGCAGAGGTATCCTTTCAGGGATCAACAATACAATGGTAAATTCCCGATTATTACCTTCGACGAGTATATTTCGATAGCACTGGATGCACCTAGAGTGGTTGGGATATATCCAGAGATCAAGAATCCGGTTTTTATCAATCAGCAAGTAAGCAAACTATAATCATAGCTTCAACTTTTTGTCACTAATGATAACAAATGGAGAGGATGTTTAACTCTATATGGAAACTTCTGCAGGTGAAATGGGCGGATGGTAAAAAATTTGAAGATAAATTTGTGGAAACTTTGGAGAAATATGGATACAAAGGCTCATATATGTCTGAAGATTGGTTAAAACAGCCAATATTTATTCAGTCTTTTGCAGCAACTTCGCTAGTTTACATTTCAAGCATGACAGACTCACCAAAATTGTTCTTGATCGACGACGTCACTATTCTTACCGAAGACACTAATAAGGTCTTTTATATATTCACTTTCTTCCTTTCTCATTATGTCAAAATTGCTTATACATAAGGTAATGAATGTGAATGCAGACATACGCAGAGATCACATCAGACGCATATTTGGATTACATTAAACCATATGTAATTGGTATTGGTCCATGGAAAGACACAATTGTTCCTGTCAGCAATAACCGTCTCATGACACCAACAGATTTAGTTGCGAGAGCACATTCACGTAATCTTCAGGTTTGTGTGTAGGACTTTAACTTCTGTCTCTACTCTCTAGCTATCAACATTGATTTGTTTTATTGAACTTCACGTTGTATAATGTTTTTGCTAGGTCCATCCATACACATACCGTAATGAGAACCAGTTTCTGCATTTAGAGTTTAATCAAGACCCTTATCTAGAGTATGATTATTGGCTCAATAAGATTGGTGTTGATGGTTTGTTCACTGATTTCACTGGAAGTCTACACAATTACCAGGAATTGAAGTCTCCTTTGCCTCAGCAACAATGATTCTCCAATTGAATTTGTTCTTTTTCTTTGCATTCTTATTAAGCTAGTTTATGTTCTCTTAGGCAATTTTGTAGAAGAAACCTTTGATTTTTCCATTTTCTTCAATTTAATAATATAGTGCTTCTACTTACAAAGATTTAAACACATGAACCAATTTAACAGACTGCAGAAAAATTACATAGTTTGGGAGTTTTAGTTCAACAAAAGCCAGACAAAAGATGTTAAAAGGTTAGAATTACTGAGATGTCTTGTTCTTGGAAATGTCTTGGAGCAATAATCTTGTTTCAGCAGCAAAGTCAATTGGAGAAACACCTCTTACAGTTATCCTCTGTCTCTTCTCACTGTTATACTCTTGCTGAGAAACACCAATCCTGAAGAGATGAGATGACCAAGTAGCTTCTTTCAGTTTTGTCTGAAACTCATTCACTTCACCTTCCTGGCAAAAACCAAACATAAACATCGTATATTGAATCAGAACATGGAGAAATAGAATGTGTTCCAATTGTTTTATAGGGTTTTAGTTTTCTTACCTCTGATTTTAGATAATTGAGTTCATCAGCTGTGCAGCCAATAATCTTCTCTGCTTCATCATTGAATGCAGAAAACCACGTTTCACCAGTTGAGTCGGAGACTTTCAGCGCCATTATATACCTGATCACACAATAAGTACACATGAGTAAAGAAGAACACAACAAACAAGATCTAATATCTATTCTTGAGTGGGATTTTTATAATCTCACTATCTTCTTACCTTAAACTGCAATCTTGATCTTTTTTCTGACAACCTTCGCACCAATAGCCAGAGTCTATTGCTTCAGTCACTTTCTTGTTACAGGTCTTGCAAGCACGATACCACATTGTCTGGTCCGGCTTAATGAAGCTAACATAAGCTCTAGTACTGAAGAATACAGGCTGCAATACATATACAAGACACATTAACCAACGTTGCTTTCTCCCAGATCTTAATGAGTTAAGTGTTCTAAGTACCTTTTCCTCGCCTAAAGAGGGGTTGCTTGTGATGTGAGAGAGAAAAACTCTGTCAGAATACATGGATCGTGATCCATTGTTGGCAGAAGAACTCATTCCAGAGCCAATAGCAGACATAGATGTTTCTTTCCCTTCAGCATCATACCAAGATTTCAACTTCTTAGCTTCTGGAGAATCAGGATTTATCACCACATTGCTTCTGCTGATAGTAGACAATGAAATACCTAGAAAAACAGGTTTACATCAGCACCCAACTTGACAAAATGCTTATTTTCTCTAAAATGAAAACGATGGATTTACCTTGAAAATCTCCGACTTTGAGAGACTTAATCGCAATAACAGGGTGATTATCAGCCATGTCTAGCAGTTCTTGGCCTATGCCAGTTGCCAAATCATTCCAAAGGGACACCACAACAGTTTTCTTTGACTCATCAGCCAAAGTTATATCCCTCTTTGGGATCATCTCATTGTCATTCTTCCTTCTAATGCTCATGGTAGGAGAAACACTTTGAACAACACCAATAACATCTGGAAATGAAACAACATTAAAGTCACTAATTATCATCATAAACCAATGTTGACCAATAAGAAGAATTCTATATAGAAAACAGCTCTTACCAATAAGGTCTTTCTGATTCACGTATGTACCCAACTCATCAATGGGTACAAAGTTGAATTTAATTTCAGGAGTAAACATTTCTTCATTACTAGCTTCTTCAACCTCAGAATTCTCATTTAGAGTCATCTCATAGTCGTTCTGAACTGTCTTGAACTGCTTATTAGCAAGCTTAAGCGATCCCCTGGATATATAGTAAACCTTTCCCATCTCGAATCTGTCATAAAACTTTCTTGCAGCTGCGTTAAACATTGTTCCCTGAATCTGTGTTCCCTGGATTTCCATAAATAAATAAAAATCAATAACCACATAAAGTCTAAGACAATAATGAAGAACCATAGAATTCATCAGATTAGTCTTACTTCCTCATCAGTTAGTTCCACATTAAACACACATCCTTCTCCTCTGGCGTTGTTATAAGTTCTCATGACTCCTTTGTTAGTGACACGAACTTTAATAGTCCAACTTCCTTGATAAGGGTTCAAAGACACAAGAGGATGAACCCTTCTGGTCATAGCCATTCTTGCAGCTGGTGCAGCACTACAAAAACCACAGAGACTTGTTTAAGCAACATTCACAACAACAATTACAAAGAATATGAATCAAAGAAGTTAAAAAGAAGAAGATTCACTTACTTTCCCCTTTGTTCATTTATTATCTGTGAAGCTGATTTGGCAACAAACTCCTGCTTAGGTTTCAACGTTATGCCTGTGGAAGCTTTAATCTCCGCCTTAATCTCTGAGTCAAGTGCAGAAGCAACAGCCTCACATTTTGTTATAAGCATGTATCTGAAGTGACAAATAAAGAAAACAAATATTAGTTTCTATTTACTTGAAAAATCTTGATCATCAAAGAAACATAAGAGATTATTATCATTACTTTTCTTCTGATTTGCCTGGAATATCATTGACGGTATAATCAAGGAGACGAATCAGACCCAGATTCTGAATCTTTCCAGAGATGATTTCAGATGTCAAAGTCGCTGGTAACATTGCTTTCATCTTCATTTTTCCATCATTGGCATTAAACCTGATAACCAAAATCACATGTCAAGATACTTCATCGAACCAATTAAGATTGAATTTGATAAAAGCTAAGCACATAGCCCTGAAACTAGACCCCTCACCACTAAAAACTAGTATTATAGACAAATCTAAAGAAAAACTGAGACTTGCAAGATTCAAACAAAATCCAGATCTCAAACCTTAATCTACAACCAGAAAGGAAACTCAAACTGGAGAATTTTGCTCTACACATATCAGAAGAACCCAGATCGATGCATACAAAATCTAGATCGAAACTTACGTATATCGATTTCCGACAGGCTTAAGATCCACGACTTGAACAACGATATCGGGTCGAACAGAGGAAGAATCAAGGGATTGATTTGATAATACTGTCGCGATACCATCTTGGGTCACTGAGTTCTCCATCTCTCTCTCTCTAAATCTCTAGCTCTATCTCTTTCTCTATAGAATTTACAGGAAAAGTGAAGCAAAATGGTTTTTGTAAAAGAAAGATTTGCGCGGGAGCTATTAGATTTTTGGTTAGTTATTCCCGCCGATTTTTCTTTTCTTCTTTTCAAAACTTCACCGCTTCTTCTTGGCTCGCTTTTGTTTTTTTTGGCGCCTTCTCTCAAACCCTCTGATGCATCTAGCAGGTTTTAAAACACTTCTTTTTGCCAGAAGATCTTAAAGCTTACTACTATTGTAGCTTATCATATCTTAAGCTTTGACACTGGTCTTAAGATATATACATTGAATTTGACAAAACATCTTCTTCTTTTTCTTTTTTTCAGTTTGTTTGGATCTGACAAGAAAAGTTACATATCTACACACACTAACTAGAGACGTGTAATACTTTCATCAGAAATTATAAGAATTTGAGTAAATGCTTTTTTTTTTATAGATTTTGTTCTGTTTCTTCCATGAGAAATAGCATCTTCTGGGCATTTAACACAGCAGACGATCCTTGCTTTGTTTTCTCAACAATCTGCTTTATCAGATGCTTCTCCATCTCATCTTCTTCTTCTTCTTCGCTCAGACCAAGTAGATCTTGCAGCATGGAGAAATTCACATCCTCTGAAGTTCTTGAAGAACCCTTTATGTAATCTTTATGGCTCCAAGGTGAGCTTTTGCTCGTCAAAGACAATTCTTCTTGCCGCTCATTCTCCTGCATCTCACATTGTAAATCATCTTCTTCTGAATAAACGTTAATATCTATCAGTTCCTCGTAAGATTCATTGAATGCATCAAGTGCTTCCCCTTCTAAATTCATAACCAGAGGTTGGATCTCTGCACGATTATGCTTATGCTCGACATGAGCTACAGAAACTGGAAGATTTGTTGTGTCTCTCTTGTATTTCATCACTTCATGTGTTTCCCAAATCCTTGACAATGGTTTCTTCTTTTCCTCTGATTCTATGACCAGCTGCTCCACTTTCCTCTGACTCTCTTGTAAGGCATTCTCAAGTTCTTTTATCCGTTTTTCATAACGTGAATTGATAACTCCGAGCAGACGCAAGCTTAACTCACGAGGTGAGACTATATAGTTTCCTGATTCAGGTGTGGCATTGCCACTCCTGTCCTGGTTGGACTCGGTTTCATCAAAACGCTGCCTTTCAACCTGATCATCTCTCAGCTCACCCTGCGCAAATTCTACTTCAAAATCTGGCTCCAGCTGCAGAATTGAGAAACAATTTACAAGCTGAACTTTTTTAGTGCTGCTGCGGAGTAACTTCCAGAATGAACAGACATTATCGATCAAAATGGGACAATGATTCAGTGAAAGCAAAGGAAAGAGAAATAGCTAGAGTATAAAGCTCACCTCAATGACATCTAAGAGTTTTGTCTCAATGTTGGAGGAATTCATGTTGGTCTCCAGCCTTTCCAGCTCAGCTTCAAGTTCTGCTTCAATTTTACTTATAGATTCTGAATTCTCTGCTGTCTTTTCATCACACTGTTTTTCACCATTGTGTAAATCATCTTGCACTGTCAATGAGTCCTTTGTCTTGAGCTTATCTTCTAACTCTTTGACCATATTCTCTGTCTGCTTTGACTCTGCTCTGACTTTGTTTAGTTCGGTTTGGTTTGCTACAAATGATGACATTATCCCAATTGAAATCCCAACGCATAGCAGCAACACTGCATCATTTGATCCTATAAAAAGATAACATGTTAAGTCTTCTCCTTTGTCAGTATAAACAAATCTTACATGTTATTATGTTAAAAAGATAGCAAGAAGTTTACCAAGCCCATTATCAGATCTTCTACTTGCGCTCTTAGCATTTCCAACTCCCCTCTTAGCGTAAAGAAGTGAAGATTCCAACTTCCTAAGCTGAGGAATCCCGCATTTCGGAACTTGCTGGCTAACAGAATCTCCAGTGTTCTTGCTAATTACTTTTGTACCATCAGTAACAAGTAAGGGCCTCGAAACTGAACCACAAGGTGATGGAAACGGACTACGCATATATTCCTCCATGGCCATTTTCTCTCTATGCAAGCGAGACATTACACTTTTCTCCAAAGAAAAAGGCTTGATAAGACGCTGATTCCTCCTAAGAAACGCTCTGTTCCCAAAAGAACCTGAACGAATCTCATCATTATATCCCAAATTCTCCTCATAACTCGAATCAACTTCCACTCCATATGCATTGCCACATTCATATAGATCAAGAGGTTCCCCATTTAAGCAATCCTCAAAGTTTTCTTCTTTTGGTTTCTTGACTCTTACTACATTACTAGCCAAGCATCTCGGAGACTCAAGCTTCACATTAGTCAAATCTTCAGAAGAAGGTTTACCTTTAGATACATTTTGCAAATGCTTGGTTATATATCCAGTAGCTGCGATTAACCATAGATCCATTTATTCTCTCTTCGTCCTCAACAATCAAAAGAGCACTTGGATCATCTCCCATCCAATTACATAAACATTAAACCTCATAGAAAACATCTCCATCAATTCAAACGAACTCACTCCAAGCTTTAGAATCAAAGGCTCAGGCTTTCAATTTCGAAGAAAGAAGCTATAATAAGCATATAAAAGCTACCCACCAAAGTTCAAATATCAGAGAACAAAACCCAAATTCTCAAACTTTCACTGTGTACCATAATACGCGGAAATCGAAGTACTTAGCAATACCCATTAGAGAAACCCAGAAAAAGGCTTCGACTTTTCCATGAGAGAGATAGTCATGAGCAGTAATTAAAGAAACAAAGAAGAAAAGAACAAGACTTTGGAGCTTTGTGAGTACAGCAATGAAGAATCTGGACTCTGGATGATTAAATGAAGGAAATGATCTTCATAGGCCGGCAATTTTGTGAAGAAGCCGTACGAGCTACCAAGGGTTACCGGAATTTCTATTTTCCAACCAATAAAAAAAAAATTAGGGACTTTTTTTTGTTAAAGGGTCAATATCAATATCGATGACTATCAATTTCATCCGGTTTGCAGCGGTTTATTTGGTTTCCAATTGATCGGTTTTAGAAAAAACGTAAACCATATAAAATCTCCATTCGGTTCGGTATAGTTTTCTTTTACCAAGAAAAGTGTTGTTATTCAATCGGTATACTGATTTATCAAATAACTCGGTTTTCACACATCTTCAAAATTACTTTGAGCTTTATTTATTAATTTGCAGCTTGTTTGGTAAAAAAACACTAATTTACTAATAACTCAAACTTCTATTAATACTTTCTTAATTACTTGCATGTTTTTCTATCAACTAAATTAACTTTATTTGTTGGGCAACACTAAGAGAAAATCAAATTCATCTTCTGTGGCTATATCTTGACTAGGGTCGGTACTCTTTGGTAATTTGTCTCTCAACTCTGTAACAATCTCAGCTTTCGTACGGTTGAACACATAGATTTCCGCACTAAGAACTCCTTTAACAAAAGTCATTGTTCGTTCTAGTCTATTCAGCTCAGCTCTTAGCTTGTCCACCATATATTTCTGTACACATCACAAGACAGTTAATGTTAATTTGGCATTTCTTACCTCTAAAAGATTGAATCATAGTTTTAGGTTTTGTAACCTTTCTTGTCAACTCATTTATTTTGTAGAACTTAAAACAATAAGTTTTAGATTCACCATTCATAATCTACCATAAGTAATACATACATGATACAACTTTACCCTCAATTTATAGGCTTTGTTATAGTCAGTTAGCTCTCACACATTTATTATACATCTACAATTGTTTGTAAAGTTTGTGAAAGAATATAAGGTAACAAAATTGTAGTAGCATATTCATTATTGTATCATAAATAGTTTTGACCAGAATAAGATGTAAAAAAAAGACCAGCACAACGCCAATTATAAGTTCATAACTACTAGTAGTAAATAGCAGAGGCCACATGTTTTGCAATGTTTGATGGTATGTGTCATTTTACTACAATGTCGATTTTGTATTAAATTAAATAATAAATGTCTTTGCTCAAATTTTTTTAACAATAAATGTCATAAAGAAAAGTAATTAACTTGTTGACAAGATAGCTCACTATGTTATACATTTATGTACATTAAATTTATATTTCATAAATTAAAATAATGTAAATTTAAATTAAGTAGGATTTTATGGAATGGTTTAAGATTTTTGAAAATGAAACAAAACAACCTAAACAATTTGATCACGAAATTTAAAGAAAATGGTAATACTTGAGAAATACAATCAAAAATGTATAATAAAGCTCATAAATAACTAGCTTTCAAAAAAGTTCAAATTAAGTACGAAAGTAGTTTAACTTTTTTTCATGAAAATCCCAACTGCTATTACAAAATCAATTATTACTAGAAGTAGAAATTACTGTAAAGTCGCAATAAATTTCATTGACACATTATTAAACTAAGTGATCATATAGTATTTTAAATTGGTTTGTGATGATACGTTTATTTACTTTTTAGAATTGAATAAATCAAAATTTGACGTGTTTTGTTTTTATAGCTAGATGCAAAAATACGAAATTCTAACGATCATCTTAAAAATCGCGGGATAGTTTAAAATCAAAATTTTATGTGTCTTGTTTTTATAGCCAAATATGACAATGTCAAATTCTAACGGTCATCTTAAAAATCGCAGGATAATTTAAAATTCAGAATTAGATTATATCATTTAAAGTAAAAAAAAATATTAAATCCTGCAAAAATTAAAATGCTGGGAACATGTATTGATCGTCTACTTCATAGCAAATTAAATCATCATTTTTTTTGGCAAATCAAGAGGTTCTACACATCATACGGGAGCTCACAAATAAAAAATGCTAAACTAAACGCAAATTTTCTGCACTAAACATAGAAATATGATGGATATCATAACAATGATTTATAGACAGGATACAAAGAAGGAATGTCAATGTGAGCAAGTCACATGTCATTAAAGTCCAATCTTACCTAGCTTGTAAGTAACTTGAGATCCAAGGGAAATGAAACCCTAAAAATCTTAGTTACAGATGCACTCACTTAAGCAACTTAAGCAAAGATAGGCTCAGTAGAAGTTAACACAAATGTCTTAATCAATTTGATGAAATACACAAGGATGTGAGCTTTGAGGTCTTTGACGCTTAGTTTCTTCAATATCTTCTTCTACAAACATAAACCAAAGAAAATCACATAATAAAACATAAGCACAATATCATAATCTCATTTTCTAACAGAAAATTGAATCAAAAATAAATTGTGGTAGTCACCTGCAAGCCGAAGTGTCCTACGTTTTCTTTTCGGAGAAGGAAAAGCCAAAAATTGTGGTCGATGTTTCTTGATTGGAGATGTATCATTGGACACCAAATTAGAAGCTATCAAAAACAAAATTAGGCACCTCATGTAGATTAGTTCAATAAACCTAAACACACTACTTAAGTAAACATAAACAAAAACTTTATATATATATATATATATCACCTTTACTAGGACATGATTGTGCCAGCAACATAAGTCCATGAGGAGGCGGATGAAGTCTCAAGCCGCCATTCGAAGTATTATGACGAAGAACCGGCGTAGAAATCTCTTTCTTACCGCTATTAGTTGAGTTGTTCACATGATCCGATATCTGTAATACGCGAGTTGAGGATCTGCACTCTTGACATAACCAAATATCGGGGACAGATCGTAAACAGACTGCTGCGCAATAACTGTAAACACAAAAGAGAAACATCCATTGAAAAGAATGATAATCATAATCATGTAAAAGAATATTCTACAAAAAATATATACAAGAAACGAAAGTCATCATGTACATGTGTTCTCTGACTTCTCTGCATCTGAAACAAGTCATAATGAAATCCTCAAAGCCTATAACCCCACATACGTTACAAGGTCCCTGTGTGACAAAAAAAAAATCGAATAAAATCAGCATAAATGTATGATATTTTTTATCAATCGTAAATTTGGATTCATCGTAGAATCATCAAAGCAAAACAGCTGAGTTAAATCATGATTTATATCTAACAGATCACGCCTAACAATTTTTTTGAATCTAAGGATTTTTCAACAAAAGCATCATAAGAAGATGGGTTTAATCAACATAACCCCTATAATAATCTCGTAATATTTGAGAACATCTCATGAAAGAATAGTTTAACAACAAAATTCTCAAGTTTTCTTTAGGGAAACAATCAAATATTTGTAAAATCTTCTAAGCAGAGATCTTCTTGAAAAAACAATTGATTCCATATATAAAATAAATAAATAAAAAAACAGAGGATAAATCAAGATTAATTGTAGAAACACATCAGATCAGAAACTCTTTTCACCAATCGAGGGAATTTACAGTTCGAAATCACAAAGACTCAAAACCAAAGAAAGCCAAGAAACATATAAGAAAAAAAAAAAAGTTACAATAATCAAAGAATTAAACAAAAATAAAGAACATGGATATTTTAATATTTTTCACTGCAGAATAATTGTCCTTGTTCACAAATCTTTGAACTGTTATTTAAACGAATGAAATAATAATCTTACTGTTGGATTCTTCATCTTTTCTTGTTTTCTTGAAGATCCTCAAATGAAGTCGATCGATTTGTCAGAAATTTATATATTGAAATCGAAAGGAGAGATTGTATAGGAAATCATTAATTTATCTTTATATTTTCTACCGAGGGGACACTCTAATTCATCCAGAGTGTTTCCCAAGAAAAGCACAACCAAACTAAACCAAATCAAACCGAGATGCTTTATTCATATTCAATCTGGTTCACTAAAATGGAAATTTCCAGACCCGTAAATCTTATTCTGGTTAAGTTAGTTATGAAATTCTTAGACCCAATCCGAAACCAAACAAAAATCAAACTTTAACTTTGTAATTTGTTTCTTAGATATAACGAATTCGTACCAAACCGAAATATAATAGAATTGGTTTTACATTGATAACTGTTTTCTTAAAACCGGAAAGTGATAAAAGAACCGAAATCCAGATTAAATTATCTCTAAACAACAAGAACATAAATAACATATTTTTGACTAAGCATAAGACAGTGATTTTTCTTCAAAGCATCATCAAGAGAGAACAAAAGCCGGTAAACATAAGGTTGTCGGAGTAATGGAGTGCGAATCCACTGCTTTCGGTAGAGTAATCTGGGTTAAACCCGGTTCCAGTAGCATCAGTGACATTGCCTCCTAATAATCCGGTAGATGGTGTGCCAGTGTATGGACTGTTTCCGCCGGGAAATGTGGTGATGCTGTTGCTTCCTTTTGGACTGTTTTTGCCTGGCGTCACGGTGGTGCTACCGCTTCCACTAGAACCACTGTAAACAAACAACAATACTCATAAAGTCATTATCAAGCTAATCAAAAAATCTGTAATCTTTAATTAGGCCTGATTGTATTGGTTGCGATTATCTTTAGCTTGCACTTTTTTTTTCAAATGAACTTACAGTTGTTATTATTTTAAGCAAATTTTATTTGTTAATTGTAAATGTAAACACATGTCCATTGACTTTATAAATTTTAGGATAAAATAAAAAAAAGTTGTATTGTTTAAAAATCTTCTTTGAAATATTTTTTTTTCATGTAAATAGAAAAATTAGCTTTTGAAACAATTGGCACCTGTATACCTTTTCAATTTAATTAGCATTAATGCGTTTTCAAAGAACAGATTATAGCAACATACTCCCTCTGTTTCACAAAGAGTGTCGTTTTAAAGTTTTGCACACAGATTAAGAAAACATTAAATTTTTTGTTTTTTCTAAACAAAAACATCATTACCTATATACTTAAACACAATCTGCCCAATAGTAAAACAATCTGCAGAATACTAATAGTCATAAAACATAAAAAATCATTAAATTTTGCATTGAAAACCTAAAACGACACTCTTTGTGAAACAAAAATAAAACCTTAAAACGACACTCTTTGTGAAACGGAGGGAGTAATAAAACTCTTGCAAAGAGACGCAAGTCAATACACTAACCACAGGTTCAAACTTTATACAATCGCCCAAAAAGGCAGTTGAATTGTTGTAGATGTTATCTGAATTTTAGTAAAAGATTAAACAATAGTGCACTTTTTGACCCAAATCAAGCTTTTTTGTCCACTTTTTCTCTTTCCCACAAAATAGGCATTATAAAAGTAAGTTAATCCAAGATTAAAGTGTAGTATTAAATGGCTATCCTTTCATTTCTAGATAATGTTGGATAATCTTCAAAGGCTTGAGGCCCAACTAATCATAAATAAGACGGTTTATGATTAGAAGATTCTAGATAATGTTTAGATAGGTTTTGGAGTTATCAAACCCTAATCATAATAGGTTTAGGAGTCATCTAAGTCCTATAAATATGTTTGTTGAGTTGTGGCAAACATCAAGAGAGAACATTGAATGCTTTGTGTTTAGTTTTTGAGAGAGTTTTCTAAACACTAATAAAGAAGAGTGATTTCTTTAAAGGTTACTTTGTTCTTAAGAAACTATAGATAAAACCATTAAGAAAATAAATGTGTAGAAGCAAAGAGCCGTACCTAGCACTAGAAGGGAATGCACATCCTGTATAGCCTGTGACAAAAAAAATCACACATCAGAGAAAAAATGTCAAAAATTTCTCAAGTCTAGTCTATAATACCAGTTCGTATTAAGACTTTAATTAAGAGTAACCAAAAGACCTTGAACTTGAACTTTCTGAGACTCAGAAACTTGTAGGGTTCTAAAGAATCACAAGAGTATCAGATTTCTGAGAAACTTACTGGGATCAGTGGTGGTAAGAGTTGCAGAACCAGTGAAGTTACAAGACTCAGCAGCTTGACCTTTCTTTTGGAAGAAGCTATTGACTGCATAGTTGCAATGAGCCCTAACATTGTCAGGGTTAAAGCAAGAGCCTTTTGGGTGAGTTGGGTTACAGTCAGCTCCATTTCCACAAGCATAGTCTAATGTCTTTTGTAGCACTGAGTCACTCAGCCCTGTTTTGCACACACACCATGAGGCACCTACCAAAGCAAAAAAAAAGGACCAAATTGTAAGTGAAGCCACGAAGATTTGGATAAATCTTGTTTTGAAAGGATAACAAGATATTTGCAAATCATCAACAAGAGTTTCTTAAGAGATAAGTGAGGTATAGTTTCTTTGTCAGGGAATGGAAGCAAGGTTCTATAGTAGATCTGATAAGGAGACTAGGGGTTTCTTAAAACCAGAGAGCCAGAGAAGAATGTGAAAGGTAAGAGAGAGCGAAACTGAGAGACCAAATCCATCAACAAAGAGGACAGAGGTAAGTCAAGAACTTAAAGGATTTGATTGAAATTGTGTTCCCATCAATAGACACATTGAAAAAGAAGAGAGAAGAAATGTGAAGAAGAGTGAGAGTTCTTACTGGAATGGCCAGCCATGAGGAGACTGAGAAGGTAGAGAACCAGAGCAGCCATGGTTGGAGTTCAGAGATACAAATGTCACTGTTAGACTTGTTGAGAGAAGGATGTAGGGATCTCACTTGTGATAATTTTAGAGAAGAAGAAGAAGAGAAAGAGAGAGAGTGATGCAAGCTAGTGTACTGGAGATTGAGAGTGACAACTTGTTCCGTGAATCTTGTTTCTTCTATAGCCCTTCTTGAGTCAGCTTTTTCATTATTGTAGCTCTCCGTGTGAAGTGTGAACACCCGAACTTGTAAGTAAGTACACACCTTTTTGAAATCGAAAAATTATAGTAACAAATATTGTCATGCTTCCAAAATTTTAAAATTTTAAAATAAAAATTTACAAAATAAGTAAAAGGTAAAGCTGTAAACAAGTAAGTATGTCGGCTAGTTTGGTCCGATGCATATACATATTCGGAGACTTATCACACAAATATAATTTTTAAAAAAAGAGAAACAAAATTCACTATTACTAATTTTCTACTGTCTACAAACAATTGCTATTTATAAATTATTGAAAACCGCCAAAAGTGAATGTGTAATGTAACATGTGTTGCAGAGTTGCAGGTGGTGGTGTTCCACCTCTAGTATATATGAAATATTGCAAAATCTGATTGTGTTGGCTAAAAAAGATCTAGATTTTTAAATGCATTTGGTACTGTAAGGAAAAGGTTTTAATTGAACTTGCGGTACTGTAAAAAAAAAAAGTTTTATCCTAAAAAACACTACATTATTTAACGTGTCCTATCTTATCACGCGAGATTAAAACATATTCAAGATTTCTGAAATCTTCCTCTTCAAGATAAATAATTACTTCTCAGTGACAAACATTATAGGTTACAAACAACTCACAATACTTAATATTCACTTGATTTGGCGTTACTACACGTTCTTAATCTTACATTAAGCTAATTCCGGATCAAATTACGCTAGTTTAAAACTTTATTTTCGTGCAAGCCCTATGCCTTGGCCGAGAAGCAACATTAGATTTTAACCCGACCCGATTCCATAAACATTCGGAGCCAACCTTGGCTTAGGATGCACCACCAAAGGAACCGCTCTTTGCAAAGTAAGCCCATAACTCTCCTCCATATTCAGCTTCTCCGGTGTAACACCTCCGGCTAATTCCCAATCAAATCCTTGAACCAACGTCGCCGTCAGAAACTGAATCGTACGTAACCCTAAACTTAAACCGGCACAGATTCTCCTCCCAGCTCCGAACGGTATAAGCTCGAAATCACTTCCTTTAACATCAACGCCGGATTTTTCACCACCGGGTAAAAATCTCTCGGGTTTGAACGTTAACGGGTCGGACCATTGATCCGGGTCGCGGGCTATGGCCCATATGTTCGTCAATAGTGTCGATCCTTTAGGGATATGGTAGCCGTTGATCTCACAGCTCTCTGATGCGATGTGTGGTAACGAGAGTGGTGTTGGTGGATGAAGCCTAAAATTCTCTTTGATAATCGCCTGTTTTAAACCAAAACCGGATTAACAATAGCTCGTTAACCAAAACAATTCCAAATTCCCGGTTTGGAAGAACGGTACCTGAAGATAAAGAAGCTGAGATATGTCTGATTCATTAACAGGCCGTGACCGGCCCACAACAGAATCAAGTTCTTCTTGGGCTTTAACCATTATATCCGGGTGACGGATTAGTTCAGCTATAGCCCAGTCCACCGTACTTGCTGACGTGTCAGTTCCAGCTGTGAACATGTTCTGTATTTACAAAAAAAAATCAATAATTTTCTTATATATTTAAGGAAAGTAATTAGTAAAAAACTAACCAATAGCAAGGCTTTAATCTCAGTATCCGTTAAACTTCCTCCGTCACCGTCAAGATCAGTTCCTTTAAGTGAGATTAAAGTGCTAAGCATATCAGTATGCTTTTGATCTTGACCGTTCATTTCGTGCTCTTCCAAAATCGACGATAGAAAAGCGTCGAATCTTTTGTGAAGCCGTTTCATTTTACCAGCGACGCCTTGTAAATCTAACCAATCAAGTGACGGCACGAAATCTCCGATGTTAAATACTCCGGCGAGAGCCATCATTTCCGTCACCATCGATCGAAACTCGTCCGCTTTATGATCGGCGTCGGCGCCAAACAATCGCCGTCCGATCATCTCTCGTCCAAGCGCGTTGACTACACACATGTTCACCAACTGGCCTAAATTCACGGGTTTCGTGCCTACACGCGCTAGTTCCCGCGTGAGCGTTCCAACCTCTTCCTGTAAAATTCATTTTTATTCTGTTTTTAGAAAAAAGTTTCTTTAATCCTTCTCTTAAAAGATTTACTCTAATTTAAAATTTATATGAAAATAATTTCGTCTATGTATGTAGTAAATAAAGTATCAGATTCATCTTGTTTCATTCGCCTAATCAAAAATAATTTACTATTATTTTTATATAAAAGTATCCTGATAATATAATTTAATATTAAGTATTAAATGATCAGAAAACAAAATCTATAAAAGCATATTATCAGTAGTCTGAAATTGAGAAACTCGTGACACCTTCCATTTAAGGAAACAATGTGGTCCATACATAATATTATTCAAGCAATATTTCCTCTGGTATCTAAACTTTCCAATTTCCAATTCCATGGCATCATCAAAGTTTGATCGTACAATATACATCCACGACAATGACAGTATTGCATGGTTGCACTTATGCCTCTTATGTAAATTCATTTGAGTAAAACCCAATTATTTATATATTTTTATATATAATTCATTTGAAGAAAACCCAAATTTAATATAACATTTATATGCAAATACTAATTTTTATTACAAAAGTGAGAGATAGGGTTTGAAAACACAGGCACCAACCTATGAGCTTTCAATGCTAAATTTTTAATATCTTTTTTAAACACTATATTTTTTACAATTAAAAGAAAAACGATGACTATATTTTTCTGTTCATGCAAGAAGAACTGAATAACTATCAATTCTTCTCTAAATTTCTTCTTTATATAATACTAGTTAGTGCCTAGTTTAATTATTTATAAATTATAACTATATAAAAAAATATGAGTCAAAACATTGAACTGACATGATTTAATATCTGTACAGGTGAGCTATAGCGTTAGAAAATGAGAATAACGTTTATAATTGTTTTACCTGTCGAACATGTTTGAAATCTTCTAGAGCTTTAGCTGAAAATAGATGAACAGAACTAATCTTCCTCAACAGTCTCCATCGTTGTCCGTAAGGTGCAAAGACAAGATCTTGATAGTTATATGCCATGTGTTTGGCTCCTGAGTTTGGTGGTCGGCTAGCGAAATTGGCGTCGTGGATTTTCAAGAACTGCTCGGCCACGGATTTAGAGGCAGCGACCACGACGTCGACGAAACCTAATCGGAGGTGGAGGATAGGGCCGTAAGTAGTTACCATGGCGGCAAGGGTTCGATGAGGCTTAGGGCCCATGTGAGGGAGGTTTCCGATGATGGGCCATGGGTTTGGGCCCGGTGGAAGACGGTTGTTGTGGCTGCGGTTGCGGCGGAGAGAGAATACACGGAGGAGGAAGAGGAAGAGGACAGTGGCTAGAAGGATTGTGAGAAAGAGAGTTGTCATAGTGTTGGGTTTGAATGGTAAGTGAAAAATGAGAATACAAAACATAAGCTATAAATAGAGGAGTTTTGAAAGAAAAAAAATCTATACATGTCTTGGCTAGGCACCTTTTATTATTATGAAAAAAATAGGAATTGATTTAAAGCTAAATCTCAAATGGAACGGTTTAGTACTGTTTTGGTTTGAAGTCGGGTTTTTCCACCTTTTTTTAACCAGCGCTGACTGTATTATAGAATAAAAGAAAATATTTTGGGCAAGATAGAGTATATTTAAGTTTCGATTTATTTAAAAAAAAAAAACAATTGGTTTATCTTGGATCCTTTTGATACACACAAAAAAATAAAAATAAAATCTTGGATTCTAAAATTCCTCAAAGGTAAAATTCAGTGTGACCCTAATAAATTATTTTGGTTTTCTTCTGTTTTCGTTTAGATGGGGATTACTCAAATATGTACATGTATTTGTGTACACGTGACGTGAGCACATCTGTACTTTGTTGATTTGTTCAGTGTTTGTTTTATGAAAAGTAGAAGGTTAATCACGAAAAAAAGGAAGTCTTCTTATTAAACAATGGATGTGCTGTCTCATATATTCCCCACAAATCAAGCGTTCGAAGTAATTTTTTTTTTTCTTTTTTTCTTCTTCTTACGCAGTTCATTAGATTGGGTACCTTTAATTTCTAAACTTTTAATAACAGTGTCCCCTTCTAACGTTTATCAAGTATTCGAATAAACTTTTGGTGGATGTTTCTCAAATTTTTGAGATATATATGAATATATCCACATGAAAACCTCTCAATAAGGTGTTTTTTTTTATAAATATTTCAGAACACTCAAGAAATAATCGCTTTATCTTTTATATATATTATGATATTCATAAGAAAATAAAAATATTTATGATATTTATGATAATCTGAACTATAAAAATATTGGACTTACATGTCATCGATGAACAGTTTAAATGATCTTTAGATAAATTGAAGTTCGTTAGTAAGTATAGTAACATATCACACTCATAATTCTAAAAGAATCAAGATTTGATAAAAACTAAAAAAGAGACAGCTGAGGAGAAAATGCATTCTCGCCACTTCAATATAGCGACCAAATTTATGTTTTGAAGTATACAAATGCGACGTTTTTGTGTGTGAAAATGATTATAATTTATTTACGTTGCTTGCAACTTGAGAGTTACGTTTACAATCGAGTAGCATATACAGAGATTGTTATACACTCTAGTTTCGCGTAAGAGAATATAAAGAGACATTATAATATAATGTACGTTTCTTTTCTATTTCAAGTCGATAAATTGTGGATCCTACCACGTTTCAAACATACGAATATGTACTTAATTACATTTATCATTGCATTTATTTACGTAGAAAAAGTTGGAAGCGAAATGGAGAGAGTCGAATGGTAGCCTGGTACGTGAGATTTTGGGTTCGTAAGATTTGAATGATAAGCTGTGAAAGGTACGTACGTAGTGGAAAGCCATTAACATAAGGTAGACCATCTTATAAAAAATAGTAAGTTATATATATTATATATTTGAAGATACATACATACATGTATATAACATGATTAATAATAGGGTACCCTTAATAATACATTAATACTACAAACAAAAAACTGTTGTTTTTTTAGAATATGATATTTTAAAAAATAAAATCATGATGGTGTTTTAAAATTTTCTTAAAATTTACCTACAACAGAAGAGATTATTTAAGCAAATTTTGTACCTTCATCTCCAATCTAGTTTAATTATATTTAAGCAAATTTTGTAACGATACTATAACTTAGGCGAGCTTTATAGCGTAATATAAATTTAACCAAATTAGTATTCTATGACTAATTATAATCCTCGATAATGCAAATCACTACTTAGAAACTCAGTTATACTTGAATAGTACTAGACTATTAGCTGATGATTCGGAAAATCTGGACCATATATTTTCGTCAATCGTGGTAGCTAGTGAACTCGAGAATGGTAGGTAAGATATGTGGTTGATAAATGATAATGTTTGATGATATGTTATGGTACGTAAAATACAATTCTGGTAAGTTTATTTTATACTTGTTCCAGAATTCTACCTTAAAAAAAAAAAAAAAAAAAAAAAAAAAAAATTACGCACAATTGTTTTTTTCTCGAAGCGGGATCGAGGTTTTGTCGAAAATTATTAACTGCATGCATCATATATATATATATCTCTAGTTATATACATAAACATAAGGTACGGTGGCAACTGCCAATTGGCAATTGATCAACCTAGCATATAAGTATTTACATAACCATCAATTTCAGCGATATATACATGTATAATAATCAAACCTTTTTAACAAATCTCGAAGGTTAATCTCAATTTCGGTCGAAAATCGAGATCTATCCCGTTCAACCGCATATTTGTTGCAGTTCCAATCATAGTTATATATTTTGAAAAGCAAAGAGATGGAGACGGATGGGATTTGGGTAAGTAAGCCGCCACGTTAGTGGATTATACACCGCATTTGATTTCATAAACAACTTTTTGTTTTTTTCCTCTAAACGACAAGAGGGCCCAAAAAAAGGTACTTAACGAGCCGACAAAAACAATAAATATGCATATTTATATTTTAATGTAATTAAATTTTTAAGAAATAAAAAATAGTAAGAATAACTTCGTGTAAGCAGGAGGCTCCGGGCTCGCACATGAGTTTGAAAGTTGAGTAATAGGATGGTTAGGTAAGGATAACCAATGATGGCGGTACTAGGAGATGGAAATATCTTCATAGACGAATAAATTGCCACTTTACTATCTACATGTCACATGTCATCACATGATGTCAATATACTATTTCTGTTACAAATTAAAAGTATCTCTAAAATTAAAATAATTTGCATGTGGGGAGATGTGGAATCAAACTAATACGTCAAGAGGAAACAAAGAAGAGTGACTTGCCATATTTGTCGAGCTACCCTAGGGAAACCAGAACGAGAAGGTAAAGTTTGGTTAATTTTCTTTTTCCGTTCCGTTTCTATTCTTCAGGTTTCAGGTTTTAGGCAAAGCACACAAATTTTAATTTTAAAGAAACTCAAACCTCTAGATTTACAGCCATAAACAAAGACTATTAAAAGAATTCGTAATACTCAAAACTCTGCAATATATTTCATCTAATTTAACTTGATTAATTACGTACAAAGACAAAATATCAGGTTAAAGAAAGCTACCACAAAAGTCAAAACACAAACTAATGAGTTACTTATGTGGCTCAAGATTTACCACAAATATGTCCATTGTTTGAGCAAAACTACCTACCAAGGAGCCAAAAAATGTACGTCGAGATAGCCTATTTTTAGGACCGATAATTGGTTTATATGAAACATATTTTAGCATAATCAAATCTTTACGAAGATTCTTAATAATATCAGACGAGTTCTTTGTCATATCATGGAGACTCATATACGAGGCTTGGTCTTCATCCTCTTCGAAACGTTAAGCTATCAGATAAACCCTACGTAATAACCGGCAAACCACCAATATAAAAATGGTAGCTTGTCAACAATATATTGTATTGAGACATATTTTTAATAAAGCTTAGGTATGCTTTAAGTTTAACCACATAAGCACAAATGAGGTGAACTTTATTTCTCAATTTAAGAACTGGAAATTGTTGTTTGTCATTGCTTTTGTAGACCTCGAACATGGATGAATGCAGAAGAATAAACTAAGCACCATTATCAACAAACAATTTTCAGTTAAAATCCAAATCCATATCATGGAAGTCGAACCAAGCAATCTTGTAAAAATACATTTCGCGCAAAATAAATAAAAATAGGGCTAAGAAATCACTACAAAAACAAATCAAAATGTGACTGTGGAATAAATATACTTTTGCATGAAAATAAATTTCACCTTCTCATAGAAAATATAGAAAACGTTCATCAAAAAGTGTTGTAAATATCATGAACAAAGATATATATTTGAAAACAATGAGAGAAAATAGTACCATATGCATAAACCACCAAAAGATTACAAAGTTTAATGGAAACACCATCCAATCCATACTTGATACTTCAAATGGTGGAAGATGAAGGAGCAGGAAAGTTATAAAATCCTAGAAAGAGAAGCGGTTGCGATTAGGCGTATAAAGCAAAAAATTTTGGATGAAAGTAATTTTCTTTTCAGCTTTGTTCGGATGATAAGAGTGTTGAACTGAAATTTACAGTTTATCAGCAACAATATTTGGTTTATTAGTTTCCAAGAAAGACAATTTTCCGTTAAACTATTCAAAAGTGTGTGATATAATACGGCAATAAGTATGTTATAAAAGATGCCATAATCTTACTTAAAGATAGTCAAAAGTATCTATAATTTGACTAGGCAAGTCTTATGAAAAGATAATAAAAATCGGAGAAAAAAAAAAAAAATCGAAGCTACCTATAGAACAAATTAATAAATATCTAGACTATGAAAGATTGCGATTAACACGGTGCCGTTTAAACGTCTGAGGTGGGTCCCTATTTAATAATGGTCCCCACTGGCCCCAACAACTAGTCCAACCTTCTGTCTTTGGAAGAGAGTTCTAATCTACGACACATCTGCTTCGGATCCGAGCCTGGGATTTTTCTCCCGGACCCAAGCCTCGGATTTGCTCCTGCATCCGCCGTTGAAAATTTTCGTACTCCATTCGATCACTTTATCTCTCTCTCTCTCTCTCTTCTCCTGGTTTCGTTAATTCTCGGATTTGAAAACCCTAACCTATTCTTAGCAATTGCGGTCGGAGAAGAAAGCTTTTCAGGCTTTCCAATTGTTGTCGACGCGACAGAACCAGTGTAAGTACACATACATCTCTCTTTCTCTTAGTGGAAACCCTAGTTTTGTGTAATGTCCTAAAAGGAGAATGATGTTATATACCCAATTCTCGGTAAAATTGAAGTCAGGGAGGCTCTCATTTGAGGTTGAATTCTAGGTTATGGTAATGTTCATGTTAACCAGAGCTTCGATTTTGGGTGCAATTCTGTTGCAGCAATTTGATCTCAGAGTGCGTTCACGAGATTTCCGAGAAATTCTGTAAATTTTTCTAAATTAGCTTAATTTCAGCTGCCATAGAGTGTTCATAGATGTGAGATGCGAATTCAGCTTGATGACATTTACTGCAAATGAGTTCTCGAGTTTACTAGATTAGGAGTGTGTTATAGTTTCAAAAGTTGATTGGAGCTTAGGCTTTGGCTTAGTGGACCTTGGATGTCAATGTACGGTTTTCATTTAAGGAAACTATGCTGATTCAGGTTTCCTTATAACCTGGTTGGCCTTGTATCGATTCTCAGAGTTTTTTAAAGTCTCGCTTCGTTCGTCTGAGGATTTTCCTGTCTTAATAATTTTATTGTCTTAAATTGAATCAGGGTTGAGGATCTTGCCCGATGATTTTCATTTGACGCACTTTTGTTTCCTATTTTGCAGAAACAACGGTTGTTTTTAGATCAAAGGGGACGCAAGCTTGAAATCTTTTCCGCTTCTTTTCGAGCTCCGGATATTTTAAAATAATTTCTAGAAGCTGAATCTATGCCTGGAAACGAATTTGGAGAAAGGATCCACAATTTCTTTGGACAGGAGGGCTTATCCCAAGACCAGCATCAGTCTCAGGTTGTTGACGGAACTTGGTCCAGTTTTAGTAATGGTCTAGTCGGCAACCAGAGGCAGATAGACCCATCCCTTGTTGCCAATCTGAATAGTTATAGCACACAACAATCTGGTATGGATCTTGTCTCCTTATGACGGGGAATTCCCAACTTATGCTCTACATATATGTTTCATTCATGGCTTAGAGCTTAGTATGCTGGATGATGCTCTCGTTGGTAGCTTTTAAACATAGCCTTTTTTGCTTATTCCAGTTGATCCTGAGAGACGGCAATCTTCAACTTCACAGCATGGTTTAAATTTTACTCAGCAGCCTATGAGGTCTGAGTACTCCAGAAGTGTATTACAAGAACCCCAACAACCCACAAATGGTTACATGCACGGGAACCTTGGGTTGCAGACCATGCCGAATGAGGCAAGTTTTGTGGGAATGGATGTAGAATCTAGTAGGGATAGATTTTCAGGGAGAGGATTCACTCCAGACCGTTTTAAAACTCCTATGAGATTTGATATGGGAGAATCTCCGGTTAACTATGATTTCTTTGGTGGTCAACAACAATTAAACAATCAGCTCCCTGGCATGCTTCAACCTTTTCCAAGGCAGCAGATGACATTCAACGATATGCAACTACTAAAGCAACACGCTATGGTTAAGCAAATGCATGAATATCAAATGCAACAACAACTTCAAAAGCAACAGCTAGAGGCCAGGCAGCTCATTTCTTTGAATTCAAACGCAGTCAATGCAAGTCGCTCAAGTGATAACCAATCACATCCTTCGATTAGTGGTGTCCCTCTACAGGATGCGTCTAATAATTGGTTGCAGCCAGATCTTATGACAGGAAATACAAAGTGGATGCATCGCGGTATCTCGCCAATTGTTCAAAGTTCATCCAGTGGGCTCATGATTACCCCTGAGCATGGACAGGCAAACTTAATGGCACAACAATTTGAAACTTCCTTGTATGGTATGCCTGTTGGTGGGACAGATGCACCTCAAAATGCCTTTTCTTCTGTTCAGATGAACATGTTAGCTGCACAGCATGGTTCTGCAAACATGAGTTCCTCACTCACTAATCAGCCAGCGTCATTTCCGAATCAAGGTGACGTACAGGACAGTCATATGCTCCCTAGATCCACATACCAGGAGAATTTGTTCTCCCATATATCATCAGTTCCAGGTTCAAATAATGTTGGAAGTTTTCAGCAAGATAATTCCGGTCAGCAGAACATTTCAGGGCAAGAGGAATTTGGTCAGATGGAGGGTTCTGGTCTATCAGAAAAATCATTTATGAAAGTGCCTGAAAATATAAATACATTGCAGAAGTCGACAACATTGGATCCAACAGAGGAAAAGATTTTGTTTGGTTCGGATGACAATTTGTGGGAGGCATTTGGAAACAGCACTGATATGAGCTTGACAGGAAATCTTATGTCCAGTAGTTCTGACCTTTTTGATGCATCTTTGCAAAGTGGGAGTTGGAGTGCTCTTATGCAATCTGCTGTAGCAGAAACGTCCAGTGATGACGCAGGCGTACATGAATGGGGTAGTAAACAGCAATCTGTATGGGCTAACAACATTACTGCCCAGGATCCTGGTGTTCATAGTGATTCAACTCGATCAACTGTTCAACATTTGCAAGACAAAGGAAATATAGTTTCAGATCATGGCCTGTTGGAGAAGACAATGACTCAACAGAGTCAAATGGCTGGAAATATGTTTCATTCTTTACGTTCTGGTATTGATGCGCAGAATAATTCGTGTTCTATTGGAAAGAATGAGGACATTGATGATAGACTTGGTAACTGGAAGGCTGCTTCCAATCCAAACTCAGCTGCTCTGATGGAACAGAAGAAACATTTAACACAAAATCTACAAATGCAAAGGGAAATCTATGGTACAGGAAATGATTCTAGTGCTTCGAGGGATATCCAGAAAAATATCCAACAGCATTTGGATAATAACTCTGTGGAGAAAGCTACTCATCAACTGAAATCTGGAGACAGCAGTCAGATTCTTGAGTCATATGCTAGTAATAATGTTGGTAAAGTCATGACTGAATCAAATGAAATTGGGAACTCCGGAAAGGAAAACTCAAGTGATAGTTTTCGATCAAAGTTCTCACCTCTTACTCAAGTAAATGCCCATGATTTTTCTGTGTTGGCTGGTGGGAAAGAAACACAATCACCTTCAAGATCTGATCGTTTAGTTAGGGATGGATTTAATCACAAAGAATCAGTGAATTATATGCTGCATTTTGGCCAAACTGTTTCTCAGAGTTTCTTCAACAAGAATCATGGAGCCTCGGCTGGAGCAGATCATCAACAAATCAGTCCTCAAATAGCTCCATCCAGGTATAGTCAATATGAGGCTTTCAAGAACGGACTGGTGCAACCCATGAATGATACAGGGAGAGTCACTCTCTTGAAGATAGGAGAACGATATTCTAACCTTGGGAATTCTGATGATGGTTTACATTCTGTTCAATTGTCAAAGCAATTAAATACTGCGGATCCTGGTTACGCTGTTCATATGCAACAAATGTCAGGCTCCACACCAGGAGTGGAGACTCTCTCATCTACCTCATTGCCTCATGGTGCTACTGACCAACTTCTGAAGGTTGATAAACCAAAGAAGCGCAAAACCGCCTCATCAGGACTTTTATCTTGGAATAAAGAAGTTATGCAAGGTCCCCAGAGGCTTAAGACTCTCAGGTGTGTGGCTTATGAGCACTATTGTTTAGAAAAAAATTCATATCCAATATTGTATTAAACTTTTTGTATTCTTTACAGTGAGGCCGAGGTTGATTGGGCCAGAGCAACAAATCGATTTGCTGAAAAAGTGAGTTTCCTCATTACACAGTTTTCCTGCCGGATTTCTTTGTACAATGTTATTGAATACGCTGATGGCTTATGTTCTCACAGGTGGAATTTGCAACTTTACTTGAGGATGGCCCACCAACCAGTTCAAAGAGAAGGCTTATATATACAACACAACTCATGCAACAACTGTTTCGTCCCCTTCCTGATAGGGTGAAATTTTTAGTTGCTAGCTCAAATTATGAGTTTGTTGCTTATACTGCTGCTAGAGCTGCGCTAGGAGATGCATGTAGCTCCACTTCTACTGACAGGATTGAGGGCTTTTCGCCCCCGAACAATTCAACCCCGTAAGGATATCTTCTGTTTATCCCTGAAATACTGGGAAATGTCTAGACTTCGAGGTTTTGTATTGACTCGAATGGATCCACTCTTGTGTAGGTTGTCTGAGAGAACGGAAACTGAAAAAATGAGTGACCAGTACATCTCCAAAGCAGCTGAAGATTTCATTAGTAGAACAAAGAAACTAGAGACTGACTTTGCAGGGTAAAAACTGTAGCTCTCTCTTGTAATTGATTCCAGTTTGAAATGGTTTCTCATTTGGGCTGGTTTGATCTCATGAAAATCTTGTTCTTCTTGCAGACTAGAAAAAGGAACTACAATTACAGACTTGAGAGTCGAAGTCCAGGATCTAGAGAGGTTTGCAGTGATCAATCGTTTTGCAAGTTTCCACCAATCGTCCTCATCTATGGACCGGTCTGTGAGTTCACTTAGGTTAAACCCACAGAGATATGTTACCGTAGCTCCAATGCCTCGGCATATTCCAGACAGGGTACAATGTCTCTCTTTCTAACTATTGATAGTTCCATATAATTCACTTTTTGGCCAATCCTCCCGAAAATGTTTGTGTTTATGGGTGGGTACGAGTTAGTTGGTCGGACTTCTGAGAACAGTGAAGGCCTCCATCGTCTGGAGGCCGGAGATTTCGTAGTAGACATGTAGCATTACTGTATGCATAATCAAGAATATAGGATTTCGAATCCATATGTATACTTAGTAAAGATAATTTGCCCATAACAGAAATCCCACAAGGTAACACCTCTAGTGAAAATAATTTGGTTTTCACTCACTCTATCAAGTCGTTGAGTGCTGTTTAGAATCAGTCATTGAAAAGATGAAACTTGACCAGAGCTTCTGCTTTAGAGTATTACAAGGTGACTCTATTTACCTCTGGAAGCCAAGTTGACATCATCATTCCATATTCATCGTATAGCAAAGAAGTAAATAAATTTTTGATAAGAAAGTAGAAAACACAAGCTAACATGAAAGGCTCTTGTTCTTCATTAGTTCCATATAAAAAGATTGAAACAAGAAACTTGAGACAGTGAGAAGTTCGTTGTTTGAGAAGTGGTTCTTTGATGTAAGCCCACGTAATAATAACTAATATCTGTTGTAAGAATTTCAACATATGTTTTGTAACAAATTCCAATTTCATCTTCCGTCTGATCTATCAACTACGATCCAAGCAACCGGGTCCAACAAATGAGGCGATCAAAAGAGAAAAGTCGCATTTCTCATTCTTTGCATCCGGACTGAGAATCTTAGAACTCCACAAATGAACAAGAGCTCAGGGTTCTAGTTTGTTACTCAAAGATTAGAGAGTCGAAACACAAAAATAAATAACTAGCAATCTCTGGTGCGGAAACAAGAACCAAACAAGGTTGATAAAAGGCGAGCAGAGTACTTGGTTACCCTCTTAAACATAAGGATTATTTCTTTGTCGCGGGTCTATTAGGCCCTAAGTAGTTTGTAACCAATCCCATTATAGCAAACCTGTTTTAATACAAGAAAAACTTAAGAGTCAGAGTAGAAACAATCATCTTTTGCGTCCAAAGAGCTACAATTAAGAAGGATAGCATCTATCTGATCCATCTTCTTCAAACTAGGGGATTTTAACAGGAAGAGTTATGTGCAATGGTTCACTTCATTACTCAATGCTTTTGGCACTATTAACTTAAAAAAAAAAAAGAATGAATGAATGAATGAGAAGGAACATACATCATAGCCATGGAGATCTGCTTTAAATCATTTTCCAAGTTCCTCATGTTGGCGAGAGATTGTGCACAGAATATAATTGCAAGCCACGAGCATATCTTGTACTGAAGACACAAAAGCAATAATAAAGATGGATTAGTTTTTCTCACTCCACATATTATCTTTTAATCCACTCTCACCGTGACTATCTCCACCTCTCGAGCTCAAATCTCAACCGAGATCTAACATTTTCTCTAGTTTTGAATCTGCCTATTTGGGGAAGTAAGCTTTAATCAATTCAACATTCAAAATCACTAGCGAGTTTTGGAAAGATCCAATGTCAAAGATCACGACCTAGCTACAGGTTGCTGATGATAAATTCGACGATCTAGCTTACCAAATCTGCCTACGGAGTAATAGTTTCTACGACTGAATTGCTTTTCAACAGAGCAACGATCAGAAGAAGAGATGTGAAGTTTTACCCTGAACATAACGCCGGAGACGCCGAGGATAACGGCGATGAATCCGGAGTAGTCAACGGGAAGATCCTCCGGCGCTACAGGCCGTGGAGTGTAAGGTTTCGCCGCCGATGGTTGCCGTGGATCGTTCGCCGACGAAGCGTTCCCGTGACTGTGAGACATCCTCTCTCTCTCTCTCTCTTTCTCTCTCTAAAGCTCCGATGGTAAATCTGATCTACTGTAATTGTTCTTAGAGATTCTATAATCTATATAGAGATAAATGCTAATTAGAATTAAAATTAACTAAAACGATTTAAGAAGTTTGGGAAATTACAATTGTAACCTTTGCGTATTTATTTCTTCATAAGCCCGCCCTAATAAGCTGGGAAATAGAAAAGAAACTATCGCCGGCCGTTCAATTCCCGGCGACGTAACAGAGTTTCGGAGTATTCATTCAGCTTAAAAAAACTCGTTCTTTATACGATGAGCATCTCGCAGTTTCCGCCGCCTGTTTCTCCATCTCCGGCGTCTTCTTTGCGATCGCTGGCTTCTTCATCTCCATCTCCGGCGAGTTTATCATCATCGATGAGGCTATGGAGACCAGCTGCTCAGCGGAATCTTAGGAACCAGTGGTCTAAACTGTCGAATTGTCGGCAACAGTGGATCGTCGCTTGTTCGGCGGGAAGATCTCACGCTACTTCGCTCGTCAATTCGTATTTGTCTCAAAAGTGTGCAAACTTAAATTTTTATTTGCACATTACTCTGTTTTTTTCTGGTTTCGAATGTCTTAAAAGCAATCGTTTTGGAATTTGGTTTCACTTCGGTGATTTGATGAGTGTTTGAGTAAAAATATTGATTCTTACTAATTTGTGTTTCCATGGCAATAGGTATATGCCAATGATGGAGCTTGGTGTGTTGAGTGACATGTTTAATATCAAGAAGAAAGCTTTGAAGAAGCTATTTAAGAAACAGGTGAAAATATGCATTTCACAACTATTTTTGTCTTCTATTCATTCTCATTCTTACCAATCTCTTTGGGTCTTATTATGTTCAGAGTTCCTATCGAATCAAGCTTTTAACGTCGTACAAGGAAATGGTGAGTGTGACAATGCTAAATCTTGTAAATTTGGGAAATTTATTCTCTTGTATTGGAATCTATAAACAAAAACTGTAGAAAAATGCAGGTAGCTGTTGTTGTTGAGATGGTAAATTCAAGCAGATCTCTGAGATGTTATACGAAGCTAGGTACCGGGTCACTTGTACAGTTCTCTGGCTCTAAGGAAGATTCAAGTGATGCTGGAGATTGTGGTGGCATCCCTGTGTTTAATTTTTGGAATGTTTCTGCATTCGGTAAGACCCAGAAACAAAAGTTCAATAGTTGATTCTCCTTGTATGTGTTGTCTCTAAAGTTTGATACTTGCCATGTTGATATGATCACAGAGAAGATGGCTGGGGAGCTTGTGGAGATGTTCAAACGCGAAGTAATGGTAAAGGTATTGTCTACTCCTAACTCCTGCATATACCTTAAACTCTAGATCAGCTTCTGATCTTTTTTTTTTTCTGGAAATTAACAGAGATTGCTCATAATGGAACTGATCTCTTTAAGCACTGAAGTTCCTCAACCCGTCAACAACAGTTGGTCAGATGAGCTTTACCATGGGGAATTTGATCATCTCACCACATGTTCTTTATATTCCATGGAATTAGCTGAGCCTGTTCTCCCCAGAGTGAAAGAAAATAATCTCGGTATTTCTTCTATATCACATACCAACCAGCCAACCGCAGAAAATTTGCAGGTATGTGAGTTTTGATCCAGCACAAGTAAAATAGTCTGTTAACATTATATCGTAAAACTTCAAATAGTTTTTCTCGTTCTACAGATTTACTTGACAACTTGGCTTGCAGAGGTAAACATCGACACTCATAGGTAAGTTTAACATGTTCACCATTATCATTCCTGAGTTATGCTCTTTTGGGCACAAAGTGGATCTGATTAACCCAGTGTTGCGCATTTGTTACAGGGTGGATGAGATATTAGCTTTGGTCGGGGAAGAAATTAGAGTCACATTTTAGAGCTCGAAAGCTGTTCATAAGTTCAGCTTCTGTAAGTTTCAATGACTTTAAACAAAGCATGACTGATTCTACATAAGTACTCAATGAATTGAGAGAGAGAGAGAGAGGTCTTTAGAATCGTAGCTGTGTAAACAAAATTGCCACTTATTGCTATATTTTGTTTACTGGATTACCCTATTGGGGTTACTGTACTGAACGATATTTCTTTACTAAAGTATACAAATGGATTTAACTTACAATGTTTGTGATGATGCATACAGTAATGCTACATATTTAGTAGAGGATCTCCCGCTTTTTGACAACGGAGGCCCTTAGTTCTCAGGATTCCGACCAACTAACTCATACCCACCCAAAAATAGAAAGATTTGGGGCAAGAAATATATGAAAGCAAAGAATGGGGAAGATTGGCCAAAAAGTGAATTATATGGATCCATCAATAGTTAAAGAGAGAGACATTGTACCCTGTCTGGAATATTCTGAGGCATTGGAGCTATGGTAACATATCTTTGTGGGTTTAACCTAAGTGAATTCACGGTCCGGTCCATAGATGAAGATGGTGGGTGGAACTTCGCAAAACGATTTATCACTGAAAACTTCTCTAGATCCTGGACTTCAACTCTCAAGTCTGGAATTGTAGTTCCATTTTCTAGCCTGCAAGAAGAACCAGATGTTTATGAGATCAAACCAGCCCAAATGAGTAGCCATTTCAAACTTGAATTAATTACAATAGAGAGCTACGGGTTTTACCCTGTAAAGTCAGTCTCTAGTTTCCGTGTTCTACTAATGAAATCTTCAGCTGCTTTGGAGATGTACTGGTCACTGATTTTTTCAGTTTTCGTTCTCTCAGACAACCTACACAAGAGTGGATTGGTTCGTGTCAATAAACAACCTCGAGCTTTGAAAAATCTCCAGCATTAAAGGGATAAACAGAAAATATCCTTACGGGTTTGAATTGTTTGGGGGCAAAAAGCGCTCACTCCTGTCTATACAACTGGAGCAACATGCATCTCCTAGTGCACCTCTTGCAGCAGTATATGCAACAAACTCATAGTTTGAGCTAGCAGCTAAAGATATCACCCCAGCTGGAGGCGGGCTAAATAGTTGCTGCATGAGTTGTGTTGTATGTATAAGCCTTCTCTTTGATCTGATTGGTGGGCCATCCTCCAGTAAAGTCTCAAATTCCACCTGTGAGAACATAAGCCATCAACGTATTCAACAACATTGTACAAAGAGCAGCGAGAAAACATGTACTGAGGATACTCACTTTTTCAGCAAATCGATTAGTTACTCTGGCCCAATTAATCTCTGCCTCGCTGTAAAGAAAATACAAGTTTAATTTGATAATAGATATGAAAAGTTTTAGGAATATTAGTGCGCATAAGCCACACACCTGAGCGTCTTAAGCCTCTGGGAATCCTGCGTGACTTCTTTATTCCAAGATTGAAGTTCTGATGTGGCAGTTTTGCGCTTCTTTCGTTCATCAACCTTCAGAAGCTTGTCAGTAGCACCATGAAGCAATGACTCGGATGAGGGAGTCTCCACTCCTGGTGCGGAGCCTGACATTTGCTGCATATTACACTGCTTCGATTGAACAGTATGTGTACCATCAACCGAACTCTCAACATTAGACGATTGTTCTCCTATTTTCAAAGGGGTAAATCTCCCTGTATCATTCACAGGTAGCACCAGTCCATTCTTGAAAGTCCCATATTGACTATACCAGGATGGAGCCATCTGAGCACTGATTTGTTGATGATCTGCTCCAGCCGAGGCTGCATGATTCTTAGAGGAGAAACTCTGAGAAACAGTTTGGCCTAAATGCAGCATGTGATTCGCTGATTCCTTGTTATTCAATCCACCTCTAACTAAACCATCAGATCTTGAAGGTGATTGTTGCTCCCCTTTGTGAGCTACCTCTTGAGGATCGAAAGCACTATCATCAACAGTCATCTTGGATGTATCGCCCTTCCCACTTCCAACCATTTGTTCATCGTGATGTAAGCTATCCTCTGGAACGTTGTTTGAAGGAAGAGAGCGATCAAAGGATTGATGATTACTCTGCACCATTTTGGAGAACATTGAAGCAACATTAGATGTTTGTTTTGCACCCATATCTTTACTCTGTAACCCATGCATATTCACCATGTCCCTCCCACTTAATGACATGTCTCCATTTTGGGAGGATAATTGGGTTGTCTTCTCCTGCCTTGAGAAGCTAGCTGCCATGTTGTTGCTGGCCAATGGATGCGGCCGTAAAATATCTGGCTGAGGTTTAGATGGCTGGTTCCAAAACCGATGTTGAGGTGCTGAAATACCGGCTGGTGAGTCAGACATCATACCGGAAGAGGAACTCTGCTGAGTCGAGCTGGATGCAACCAGAGGCTGAGAAGCAGACAGCATACGAAATCCTTCAGCTGAATCTCCTTTTTTGTTGTGGGTTGTAGGATTGAGTAGGGAAGGTGTTTGTGCTGAATGTCCACGTTGATCAAAGTCACTACTTTCATCTCTTTCTTTCACTTGAGGGGTAGACAACTCAGAAGATGAATTGACTGAATTATTAGCAGCTGATTGTCGGGTAGCAACAGGCATCTGTTGATTTTGGCGATACCCTCTGGAATAAGGGAAACCAGATGTCATGTTGGATCCTCCTAGGATTCCAGGAAATGGTCCTTGATGAGTGGATTGCTGAAAAGATTGATTAGATGCCCACGGAGCATACCTGGAGTGACTTGTTCCTCCTTTTTCAGGGCCAGTATGAAATGAATTCAATGGCTGAAAAGAATTCTGAGAAAATTGCACGTTATCAGGTGAGGGAGCTAGTTGAGATGGAGGTGCCAACTGTAGATTAAACCCCTGAGAAGCAGATGACTGATTATGCCGAAATTGACCACCATAGTCTGCAGGGGCATTTGCTTCAGGAATCCCAGAAATATTTGTTTCCGAGGAATTCTCTGGCGACTGGTCAACCTTGTGAAGAAGCTCAAGCATAGTTTGCCTGCACAGGAAAAAAGATTCAGAAAGGCCATTGGAGAGCACGAAATGCAACCAATTAGGGAATATGAGCTACGTAACGACCACAGTCAGAATTACATCTCGATGAAAAGTGATGAGAACATATAGTTTAAGAGTGACATAGTTAGGTAACTCTGTCAGTTACTTGACAAACTATCTATAAAAAGGTCACACTACCTAAATAACTTCACAAACGCATTCAAAGAGAGAATAGTTTAAGCACACATAACTAAAAAAAGCCTTTTCAACGCATTCAAGAGAGAGCAAGTAACCTTGACGAAGCACTCTTCACTTGATTACACCTATCAACACTTCTGTCAGCTGAAGCAGATGTACTATGTGAGTTTTCTGAACCCATGCCATTAAAAGCCTCATTTGTGCAATTCAAGTCGTTTTGTGAAACATGTCCCTGCCATAGAGAAGCCAAAAGAATGGTCAGAGGGATTCAGATTTCTAAAATACATGTTCAAAAACCAAAGGAAAAATTTACCCTGTCAATTGGCATGTTCATAGCCGACTGACCAAGAAACTTTGCCTGCCCAAAATACCCTTGGTTTCCTACAGAAACCTGCTTCAATGTGGGTGGCAAATGAGAAACTCTTTCTTGACAAGACTCATTAGTGACATCAATATTACCCATGGGATGATACTGAAATTTGCGACTTATCGAGCGCCTACTATCGACATGACCAGATTGTGTGTCTTTTCCACCAGGCAGCATAGAAAAATCACGGGCATTTACAATTTCATTTCTTCCAGCATTATTACTCGCATATGACTCAAGAATCTGACTGCCGTCTCTAGATTTCAGTTGAGGGATAGCCTTCTCCACAGAGTTATTATCCAAATGTTGTTGGATATTGCCCTGGACATCCCTAGAAGCACTAGAATCGTTTTCTGCACTGGCAATGCCAAATCCGTAGCTTGTCCTTTGTGGATTTTGTGTGAAATGATTCTTCTGTTCAATCAGAACAGCTACATTTGGATTAGAAGCAGCCTTCCAAATACCAAATCTATCTTCAATGCCCTCATTCTGTCGAATAGAACACATATTATTCTGTTCATCAATACTTGAAGAATGAAATATATTACCAGCCATTTGACTAAGTTGAGCCATCGGCTTCTCCAACAGGCCATGATCTGAAGATTTATTTCCCTTGTCAGGCAAATGCTGAACAGCTCCCCGAGTGGAATCACTGTGGAATCTCTCACTTAGTGCATTTGAAGCCTTTGAATCACTGTGGGCTCTACTAACAGTATGAGAATTCGCATGTGGGACAGTATTGTTATTAACCCATCCATGTACACCTGCGTCATCGCTGGATGTTTCTGCTACAGCAGATTGCATAAGGGCACTCCAACTCCCACTTTGCAAAGAGGGGCATGCATCGAATAGGTCAGAACTACTGGACATAAGATTTCCTTGCAAGCTCATATCAGTGCTGCTTCCAAATGCATCCCACAAATTGTCATCAGAACCAAACAAAATCTTTTCTTCAGTTGGATCTAATGTTGACGACTTCTGCAATGCATTTATATTTTCAGGAACTTTCATAAATGTTTTTTCTGATGGACCAGAATCCTCCATCTGACAAAATTTCTCCTGCGCTGAAATGTTCCTCTCACGGGAATCATCTTGCTGGAAATTGTCAAAATTGGGCCTATTATTTGAATCTGGCACTGATGTCTGAGAGAACAACGCTTTCTCCTGGTATGTGGATCTAGGGAGCATTTGACTATCCTGTACACCACCTTGATTGAGAAATGACGTTGGCTGATTAGTGAGAGAGTAACTCCTGTTTGCAGAACCATGCGGTGCAGCTAACCTGTTCATCTGAACGGAAGAAAAAGCATTTTGAGCTGCATTTGTCCCACTAACAGGCATACCGTACAAGGAAGGTCCAAATTGTTGAGCCATTAAGTTCGACTGCCCATGCTCAGGGGTAATCATGAGCCCACTGGACGAACCTTGAACAACTGGCGAGATGCCGCGATGCATCCAGTTTGTATTTCCTGTCATGAGATCTGGCTGCAACCAGTTACTAGACGCATCCTGAAGAGGGATGCCATTAATCATATGTGATTGGTTATCACTTGAGCGACTTCCATTGACTGTATTTATATTCAAAGAATTGAGCTGCCTGGCCCCTAGCTGTTGCTTTTGAAGTTGTTGTTGCATTTGATATTCATGCATTTGCTTAACCATAACTTGCTCCTTCAGTAGTTGCATGTCATTGAATGTCATCTGCTGCCTTGGCAAAGGCTGGAGCATGCCAGGGAGCTGTGTGTTTGATTGTTGTTGACCACCAAAGAAATCATAATTAACCGGAGATTCTCCCATATCAAGCCTCATAGGAATTTTATGAAGTTCTGGAGTAAATCCCCTTGCTGATAACCTATCCCTACTAGATTCTACATCAACTCCCAAAATATTTGCCCCATTCGGCATTGTCTGCAACCCAAAGTTCCCATGCGTGTAACCATTTGGGAGTTGCTGGTGTTCTTGCAATAAACTTCTTGAGAACTCGGACTGTATAGGCTGCTGAGTATAGTTCAAACCATGCTGCGAATTTGAAGATTGATGACCTCTCTCATGATCAACTGGAATAAGAAGAAAAAAAAAGGTACGTTTAAAAACTAGCAATATATGTAGCTATTAATGATTACAAGTTGTGGAATTCAGTGTCATAAGGAGACAAAATCAGTACCAGATTGTTGTGTGTTATAACTCTTCAGATTGGCAATAAGGGATGGGTCTATCTGCCTCTGGTTACCGACAAGACCATTATTATAATTCGACCAGCTTCCGTCAACAACCTGAGACTGATTTTGGTCTTGGGATAGGCCCTCTTGTCCAAAGAAATTGTGGATCTTCTCCCCAAATTCGTTTCCAGGCATAGATTCAGCTCCTATTGATTATTTTAAATTATCTGGTCTTTGAAAAGAAACAGAAACGAGTTCAACATTGTGCCTCCCTTGATCTAAACTTCAAATGTGTAAGAAAAAAGGGAACATATAAACACCTCTTTCCCCAGAATTCATGAGCTACCTCCAACAGACATACTTTGAATACTCATAGATTCTCCTGCTAAACAAACAAAACAGATACTGCAAAATTTAATATTGAACAAAAAAAAAGTGAAACAAAAACAGTAGACATCAGAAAGCAAAGACAAGCGTTGTTTCTGCAAAGAAGAAACAAAAGCCACATCAAATGAAAAACACAGAGCAGCAAAGTGAGACTTTAAACTCGAGAATTGATGCAAAGCCCTCAGGGTACAAGGAAACAGAATCAGCATTGTTTCCTTAGATTGAAACCCGTACACTGACGCCTAAGCTCTAATCAACTTCTGAAACTCTAACACAATCAATATCCACCTAATAGAGCTCATTTCAGTAAATGTCATCAACTTCATTAAACAAATACCATCAGAAATCTTCCATTTCACTGCTATAAACACTCTGTGGCAGCTGGAAATTAAGCTAATTTCGAAAATTCAAAGAATTTATTGGAAATCTCGCGAATATAGTCGAGATCAAAATTGCCGCAAACACAATCTCTCACCCCAAATCGAAGCTCTGGTTAACATGAACATTACAATAACCGAGAATGAATTGAATTCAACCTCAAACAAAACACTTTCTATCGACACGCTACAAAGAATTGGGTAAAAAAATCATTTCTTTTTAAGATATATTTACAAGAATTAGGGTTTCCACAAAGGGAAAGAGAGAGAGAGAGATGTGAACTTACACACTTGTGTCACGTTTAGCCGTACAACAAATGGGAACCTGAAGAAAAAACCTTTGCTTTGCTTTGCTTGCTCAATTTCTAAGAATAAGTTAGGGTTTTCGAATTCAAGAATTAACGAAACCAGGAGAAGAGGAAGAGAGAGAGAGAGAGAAGAGAGAGATAAAGTGATCGATAGCAGTGCGGAAAAATTTCAACGGCGAGCGCAGGAGCCAAACAGAGAGGTTCGGGTCCGGAGGCAAATCTGAGGCTCGGGTCCAAAGCAATTGGCTCGTCGATCAAAAACTCTCTTTTCAGGTCAGAGGGTTTAGACAAGAGTTGTTGTAGTGTGGGCCAGTGATAAGACAATTATAACCAAACCCACCTAAACGTCAAACACGACACCGTGTTTGGTCCATTTCGACATAATTAAATTGCAATAATTCATTATTATCTTATAGAAGGTTTGTTTGTTGCTTTTTGTTAAGATTTCACAAAAATTAAAGAGAAAAAAACTGTATAATTCGAAAAAAGTCAAATTTCATTTATTGGGTCGGTTTATTGGGCAAGGAATTATCTCAAAACCCTAATTGGATCCATCATCTTCATTTTCTATCAGTATGTTTGTAGCTTTCACTCTCTTTCTTTGTTTTGTTTTGGTCTCCAATGTTTATTTTAATTCTCTTTGGCTCGGCTCCTATCCTTTCGCAGTCTCAGTGATTGGCGGCGACTTTCATTGATACAAACTTACTCTGTTTTTCTTCATAACAAGATCATAGTAAATGAATAATACAGAGATGACGATAAATTTACCCATAGTAGCATTCAAATGAATATACAGAGATGAAGAAAAAATTATTGTTGAAGAGAGTATTACTAAAGAATGGTAATATAGGAAAAAGGAAAAAAAAATAAATGGGGAAAAAGGAGAGAAAAATAAAAGAAAAAAAAATTGTTGATGGAAAAAAACCTTTTTGGTCATTAATTATTTGTAGGCAGCCTACGATGCATGCAATCATGCACATCTACGTCACTTCTCGCTCCATTCTCCAAGAAACGAAGATTTTTGTCAAAGTACCGCAGAATCTATCGTCACCCAAACTAACAATGATGGTTTCGGCTCAATAAAAACTGGAATGTGGAAAGGTAACGCCAGAATAGGCTTAGGTCTATAGTAGGTTTTTACACGATTGAATAAGATCGGAACAGTCCAATGTACAGTACAAAACCGAAAACTACTTCTCGAAAAGTACCTTTCGCTGCATGATTCTCTAGTTACATTTGTTACAAATGCGAGTTCAGATAAGAAACTTTTTTCGTACGTTCCTTCCAAAAAGTCCTAATATCTAAAATTATCCACCGTTGACAAAAAAAAAACGAAGTTCTAATATCCACCGGCAATCCTTGGCCAAGTCATTTCTTTTATGTTTGTTCATGCGATCCCCTTCCAAGATAAGAGTTCGTGGCTTACTTCTTTTAGGAAAATAATTGGTGCAAAAAAAAGAAATCCTCTTTGTAAAAGAGATCTATTTGTCTTCTCTATATTTTCTCAAAAGAAAACACTTCAACCAAATTTCTGAAATTTAGAATAATCAATAACACAAAAATATTAAAAGAAGAGAAAACTATAGCTATATTTTTATATATAAACATCAACAGTTCAACAACATAGAGAATAGAGAGACCAGAGAAACAGGTAGACCCTTAAACATAACACTAATGAAAAGTCAAAACTCACACACATCATACACCAAATCCAAAACTAAACATTTCTGAGTTTTTTACTTGGATTTGGTTCGGTGTCTGAGTCTTTTCTTTTCTATCCTATTCCTAGTTCCATGTTCACCATCACATACACTTTTTATTATTCATAATCCATAATCACCATCCATAATCATAGGATTATGAATAATAAAAAGTGTATGTGAAAAGACTAAACCGAGCTCACTGGTTCGGTGCATTTACCGACCATTGTGGTTTGAACTGTATTATCCCCTCCGTCACGAGCTGGGCTAAAACATAGCGCACTGTATGCCTCAGCCGGATAGGTCATTTGCTGGAAACGTTTCACCAGCTCATCTTTGCCCTACACACAAGTGTTACAATAAGATTGATATAAGATAAAATATACAGATATGTGTATATATGTAGAGTAAGGAGTGGGAGACTAGCCTGAATCCTAGCAAAAGTAATTTCAAGCCATTTTTTTGAGTAAAAATGGCACCACGGCTTGTGGTTGCAAGCAGCCTTAAACTTCGACACTGCTTCTGCATTTGTGAAGTTCACGAAAGCATACCCTTTGTTCATTGTAGTCCTGTTTAATTTTGTACTATTCATTTAGGTAACATTTTTCTATTATAAATACCTTAATGCAAAAATAAAAAATTCATGATTATGATTTGCAAGATTTGTATATCATCATTTTGTTGCTTCTCTTTCTTACAAGTTACAAACATACACACACACACACACACAACGATAAAAACAAAGATGAAACTAACGAATAGTAATAAAGATATTAACGATTAAAACTTACCTAAAGTCCATCGGAAGATAAATGAAATCATAAGCAGAGATTGTAAATTCTTCATTTTTCCCACTTTTATTGGCTTCTTCGCAGTGCTTATCCATGTACTCAATCATCATCTCTCTCCTGCAAATATTGTTAATCATAAGCTTCAATATATATGCCTCATTATTTCATCACCACAACGAAAATAAAATAAAAACACACCTTGCTTAAAAACTAACATAGATAATCTAGCGCCCTAGCGGTAATAGAATTAAAATGAAGGAATTATATAGACTAATATGAACTTATATATAACGCACGTGTATCGGTTGGGTATGTTGCGAAGCATGACGGTTGTGATATGTTCGCCGTTCGATTCAACTTCCGGCTTGATACTTCTTCTCCATGTCACCTTCCCACATCGACCGTGACTTCTCCGACCAAAAACTCTTCTGCTACTAGTCGGGGGAAGAGTCAGCTCTCGGCTAGGGGTTGGAGAGTAGGGTTGCGGAAGTTCTTGTATTGACTCATACCGGTTAGGGTTAGAGTTGATATACCAAAGAGGATAATACACCCATATTGATGGAGGAGGAGGGAGATTTACGTCGGAGATGAAGTAAATTTGTGGTGGCGCCGAGAAGTAGTAAGTACGAGGAGAAAGAGTGTGAGGAAAGAAAAAAGGTGTGTGTGGGTGTAGAGGTTGTCTAGCTACGACGGAGACGTTGTTGTTCTCCGGAGCTGAATCATTGGAAGAAGCCATTGGAAGTGTTTTGTGGAGAGAAGGAATGATTTTGGTGCATTATATATTATTTTCTAACAAGAAACAGATTTGATATCTCAGTCTAGAAGATCCGACTAGTGAGTGTCTAGCTACTCGCAGCTTCATAATTTCGTTTTGTCAGTAATTGTTAACCGTCCGATTTGTTGTTTTTTCTTTTCTTCTTCTTTTTTCCGACCTCGAGATCCGTGAGGCTCAGTACCTTTACGTTGATTAAGTTAAGCTTCGGCGATATATATATTTTTGGCTTAAAAACTGACTAGTTTTATAGTGTGTTGAAATCTGATTCAGTACAAATTTACCAAATCTAAATGTATACTAGATTTCCCAAATCTTTTGTGATATAGCTGTACTTGAAGTGTCCGTTTTCGTAGGGACATCTAAAGTTTAAGACTTGGATCATCATGACACATTGTTGTAAATAACAAAGGGTTGTTAGAAAAATACGATAACAAGATTTGTTCTACATGTCTATTTAGTAGCTAACGAAATTTAGTGGAAATTGAAGATTTCGTATCGTAAACAATTTTTTTTTTGAATTGTTAAGAGGTTTTAATTTGAGTCTACGTCCGTACATCTTCAAACCGAAACTAGTATACTCATTCCGTTTTAAAAAGAATGTCGTTTTAAAGTTTTATTGTTGTTTAATAAAGAGTGTCGATTTGTGTTTTCAATGCATATATTTAAATAAAATCTCAGTTTTATCCATGTTTTTTAAACTTATTAATTAGAGAGAAAAATTATTTTAAGGTATTAATATAGGGTAAAAAAGAAATTTAAATGTTTTTCTTAATTTGTGTGAAAGATGGTAGAATGTCATTTTTTGTGAAACAAATATAGTATTTTATATGGTTTTCTCCCAAGTCTCACTTGAACCAACGATTTGAACCAACGACTTCTTAGTATTTTGAAGTGTTCGTATCGTAAACATTACTTCGACCGATTTTTTAAATTCTCATATAAATGCTGTTTTTGCTAGTCCTTCTATTTGTTTTCTAATAATTAAAGGTATGATCCAAAAATCAGATTGGCATGCAACATTGTATCAAGTGATACAAGGTATATTACCAATCATCCAAAAACACATGTTTAGGTGTTGTATTTTTGAACTTGGCTGCAATGGAGTAGATCGATCGGGGTCGAGTACCACAGATTTGGTCCAAGGATGGAGCAAACGAGAATAGTGACATATGCTTTAAAGAGTTAAGTCCCATGCCGCAAAAGGATTCCTCAAGCCATGCTAATGCCGTCGGGAATATGGATGGGGACTTGTTGGAGTACTTGGACAATATTTTTTTTTTTTTTTTTTTTAATAATATAAATTATCCCAAATAAGGCTGGGCCTTTGCCTTACATGTTTTAGATCCAGTTACAAAAAGCCCAAACGGAAAGAAACCCTAAAAAGGGAAAAACAAAGCTCGGATCCTGTTGATGGCCGTCAGCAAGACGACCGGAGCATTAAATCCGGCGGACTCAAGATGGCCGGCTTCTCATCCGCCTCGGAAGATCGAAACCACCGCCGGAAGAGTCCGGTTTCCGACAACAATTCCTCTCCGCCGACGCATCAGATCCACTAGAAACCTTCCGGAAAGCTAGTCCCCTCGACAGACGGTTCTGCGGAGTCGGGTCCCGACCTAGCAACCCGACCCACTCAGATCTATCCCTTTCCTTCCCTCTTCAGATCTCTCCGTTTGACCGAGCAAGGAGACGTCAACCGGACCGATGGACACACAACGCGGCGGATCCAGAGGGTGGAGGCTCTCCCAGAGCCTCTGAAGCCGAACTCCACGCCAGCCAAGCAGATCGATAGATCCGCCGTTAACCACCGCATCAAAACCGCGAAACCCACCAAAACGCCACCAACTTCCGCCATAGTCGCTGCCAAAGAAGAGCGGCTGAGCCTTGAGGATCAATGAAGCCTTCCACGGCGTCCTCAACCGGGAACCACGACTTCAATCTCCTCCACCGCCCAACAAGAGCCTCAACTACATCGGTGACGAAAAACCACTCCGCCGCGGACGGAGAAAACACCAAGCTCACTCCTGGATTTTAAACAAGAAGACGTGAACCTGCAATGAAGATCAATCAAAAGCTAAACCGGAGATGAGATCTGAAATTCGCCTTCAAGAGAGAGAGAAGCGCAAGGTTCGATGCAACGATTGTGCTCCTACTTGGACAATATTTATAACAAACAAATTAGAATTTGATCAATATGTATTTGCAGGTTGTTTGTTAACATTAGTATATAAAATAGTAATAATTATATAAATATATATGTATATTTTTGCTTAGATATATTTCACTTTTATACTTTTCACAACATTTAATGTAGTGGTAGAGAGAATCATGTCAACATCGATCAACACTTTTTTTACTTACTAAAACATCACAATCGCATTTCTATTTATTTTTTTTGCCAAATGTATTTTAGAAACCTAAGCGACAAAACCATACAATCAAAACATTTGGATGTCAAAAACCAGATTTGGACAATTTTCCCTTTAAACTAATAAATTTATATAAATCCAAAAAGGATTAATTGTATTTGTTTTCTTCATGTTTTGATTGGGTCAATCAATGTCATACATTCATACATGCTGAATTAGTTTAGAAATCGTGTCATGAAAGTAATGGGCCTGGGCCCTTTGCCGACAAAAAAAGTATGGCCACGTGGCAATCTGAAACTCTGAGATTCATTTATCCTACGTGGCCAAGCCGTGTAAAACGGATACGATAGATTAACCCTCTTTTTCGCCCAGAATCTTTCTTCTTTCACAAATCATATATATGGTCCGATCGAATAAATCAAAGAAAGATTTAATTAACATTATAGAAAACTGAAGAGAGAAGAGAATCTCTGCTTTTTCAAAAGGAAAAAAAATTGGATTTGGGAATTTTCGTTGGAGTAAAAAAGCTTCGTGCTTGGTGCATCGATTGTGGGTTTTCTCTTCTTCTTTCGCTTTTCGCGTCGCTTTCTCGATCTCTCTAGGCTTCTGATCTCTTCTTCTCTCTCGCTTCTTCAGGTTAGGTTTTTTTTTTTTTTTTGTATTCTATATTAAAATCTCCTGTACATTGGATCTTCGTGGGCAGAGAGAAAGATTCAGTTCATGCCCTTTTTTAAATAGGAGATTTTGGAATTTTGTGATCTGAGTTTGTTTTCCACTTGAGCTGAGTTTTTTTAAAAGGTTATGTTTTTAAGTCCAAGCTTAAAGGTTTTGTTTTGCGTCTTATAGTATTGTGGGGACAATGAGCAGAGTATGTTTTCATCAATATGTGTCAAACATAGGAACTTGAGCAAGGTTCCATATTGATTTTAAGGTGTTGTCGTCCAAGTATGATTACGATTGAAGTCTGAATCTGAGTCAAATACCATTAATAAAGTTTGAATCATTAATTTTGGTTTCTGTTTACACTGTTCAGGACCTTAGTAATCTGTGATGCAATGTTTATTATGAAAGCGATTGTTTCTAACGTGTTATATGGTTGGATGACATGTACTTTTTTTTTTGCTGGACAGGGTAGAAGAGTTTGTCTTCTATAGTTGAAGTGTGATTGTTGTCTATAGTGAAGTGTGATTGTTGTCTTCTGCGATATCACTTGCTTCTGAGCATATACTGGTTTGATGGATGATGAGGATATGGGAGTTTGAAGAAGAATTTTTGATGACCTGTGTGTGGACCTGACCAATACAAGAATCTTTTGGGGCTTCTGATTGGCTCGAATTTCAGGGATTTTCACACTTGTAGTAGAGTTGTAACATAGATAAATGGATGACGATGGAGAATTGGGGATGTTCTTTCCTAGCTGGACCAGCAAGTATCCTATTGACACGGTTGAATCTCGTGGTTTAATGTTCTCTTGTTTTGTTGCTGCCCTTGTTGGTATATTGACCATCGCCTACACTGCTTTTCAATGGCGAAGAAATATTAACTTAAGTTGGACGAAAGCCATAGCCAGATCAAAGAAAAATCCAAAGGCACGGCATAAGGTTCCTGTTGCCCCACATAGCTGGGAACTCGACCCTATCTCTCGCGCAAAGAACTTGAACTGTTGTGTTTGCTTGAAGTCGATGTCGCCATCTCAGGCAATTGTAGCTTCAGAAAGTTTTTTCCACAGGTGCACAATCTGTGGAGCAGCAGCACATTTTAACTGTTCTTCAAGTGCGCCTAAAGATTGCAAATGTGTCTCTATGGTTGGATACGAGCATGTGGTGCACCAGTGGGCAGTGCGGTGGACAGAAGGGGCTGATCAGCCCGACGACTCCTCGTTTTGTAGCTACTGTGACGAGTCATGTAGTAGCTCCTTTCTTGGGGGTTCTCCTATATGGTGCTGCTTGTGGTGTCAACGTCTTGTGCATGTTGACTGTCACAGTAACATGTCTAATGAAACTGGTGACATTTGTGATTTAGGCCCTCTTAGAAGGTTAATCTTGTGCCCTCTCTACGTCAAGGAATTGACACGGAATTCCTCTGGAGGATTTCTGAGCTCAATCACCCATGGTGCTAACGAACTTGCATCAACCGCCCTTGCCAGTATCAGGAGTCAAAGCAAAAAATACAAGCAAGCTAATGAAACTTCAGCTGACACAGGTAATAGTGGTAGCAATTGCGATGAATCCACAGAAAGCACAGCTGATACAGGTCCAACTGTTAATGGCTCCCATGCCGTGGTGGAAAATTCTATCAGCGTTATGAATGGGGATTCTTCTCACGGGGACAGTGACAGCAATGGCAAGCTGGATAAGAAGCCCAGTGTTAAAAGAAGCGGGTCTTTTGGTCAGAAGGAATATCATGCACTAAGGTCGAAACTTAAGTATGAACTAGCTGATTTACCTTCAGATGCAAGACCGTTGTTGGTTTTTATTAACAAAAAGAGTGGAGCTCAACGAGGTGATTCCCTTCGTCAACGCCTTCATCTTCTTCTAAATCCCGTGCAGGTAGAGTATGCTACCTTGAAAACTTGTCACAGATTTATATCTGTGGACATTCATAATGCATTTTCTTAATCACTGGTCTTTAAGTTTATTGATGGAGCCGTTTCTTGCAGGTATGTGAATTGAGTTCAGTGCAGGGACCAGAAGTGGGACTTTTCCTCTTCAGGAAGGTTCCTCACTTTAGAGTTCTTGTTTGTGGTGGAGATGGTACTGCTGGTTGGGTATTAGATGCCATAGAGAAACAGAATTTCGTCTCTCCTCCTGCAGTTGCTATCCTCCCTGCTGGAACCGGGAATGATCTATCCCGAGTATTAAATTGGGGTGGTGGTTTGGGTTCTGTTGAGAGACAAGGAGGGTTGTCGACAGTGTTACAGAATATAGAGCATGCTGCAGTCACTGTCCTTGATCGTTGGAAAGTATCGATTCTGAATCAACAAGGAAAGCAACTCCAGCCTCCAAAATATATGAACAATTATATAGGTCAGTTAAATTCAAAACCTCTAGGTGAAAACCTTCAAAAGCTTTGGTTTCGATATTATTTCAATTATTTCTGAGGTTGATAACCTTCGAAGTAGTGGGCTGTTTCATTGTATTCAACCTATCTGAGAGTTCCAGAGACCTTTAGTTCTTTGCAACTTTTGTCCCGTATATAATACTCTTATGAGGACTCATCCCTGTATATAAATTATTTGCAATTAACATGGCACTTTGCATTTGATATCTGTATAATTCATGAGGGCTAGTTTGAACCATTCCCGTTTTGTATATTGTCCTTGTAAATGATGTGATTGCTATCTTGAAACCCATAGCCTATAATTTGTTACAAACTTTGCTTATCTTAACAGGGGTTGGGTGTGATGCGAAGGTCGCCCTTGAGATTCACAATCTACGGGAGGAGAATCCAGAGAGATTTTATAGCCAGGTAACAAATATTCAAATTCTCGATTCTAGATCCGAATAAATGTGAATTGATAAAATATAACCTCAGGAAAACTGTACTTCTACATTTCATAATCAATGATATAACTGGCATATATTGTAGAGAAGCTGTATTGTTAATCCTTAGTCCATGTAACTGATATTTGAATGGTCTCCATGTGCAGTTTATGAACAAAGTCCTCTATGCCAGGGAAGGTGCAAGGAGTATAATGGACAGAACATTTGAAGATTTCCCTTGGCAAGTACGAGTTGAGGTGGATGGTGTTGACATCGAGGTTCCTGAGGTGAGTCACAGATACCTTACAGATAAAACCTGCATGTAATTAATGCTCTAACTTCTATATGCTAAATCTCTGAAGGATGCGGAAGGAATACTTGTTGCAAACATTGGAAGTTACATGGGAGGGGTGGATTTATGGCAGAATGAAGATGAAACATATGAAAACTTTGATCCGCAATCGATGCATGACAAGATAGTTGAAGTCGTGAGTATATCTGGGACATGGCACCTTGGGAAACTTCAGGTTATATTTGCATTCTATCTTATTTGTATACATTTAACTGGTAACATGAAAACTAACATCAATTGATTTTTTTTTGTTTTCACATCTTCAGGTCGGGTTGTCTCGTGCGAGAAGGCTAGCTCAAGGGTCAGCGGTCAAGATACAACTTTGTGCGCCTTTACCTGTGCAAATTGATGGAGAACCTTGGAATCAGCAACCATGTACCTTAACCATATCACACCATGGCCAGGTTCTTTACTCCATTTCCCTAAATTAGATTCTAGATTCAAATCGAGTTTTCTACTGACAAAAAGTTGCACTAGATTGTAAAAGTTTGTGGTCGTTTGTTGTTTCTTAACTCCTCTAAAAGCTCGAACCAATTTTTGTTAAACTGTTTTTTGCTTTTTCATTTGCCTTCACTTGCAACAGGCTTTCATGCTAAAGAGAGCCGCGGAGGAGCCACTGGGCCACGCAGCGGCTATAATCACAGATGTTCTAGAGAATGCAGAAACCAATCAAGTGATAAACGCTTCTCAGAAACGAACTCTGCTTCAAGAAATGGCTGTACGGCTAACTTAAAAAAGGGAAAAAAGAAAAGACAGAAGACAAAACCTTCCCTCTTCAACAACCAATATCAATCATCACTGGTTAGTTACATATATTTACAAATGCGTGTATTTAGATAGTCTTCAAGATCGAAATCTGCCGAATGAAAAGCGGGTTCTGTGTGGAAGTAGGAAGTAGGAAAAAGGAACCAAAAAATGGATTCTGGTTCCTAGATTTTTGGCTGTTCTTATAGTGAATGAAACAAAGCGTGTTTAAATACCTGTGTTTTTCTCATATTATTATTATGGGTTCCTTTTCTATATCAAATATATATAATTTTTAGAAGAATCATGTATGTACATTTAGATGAACCCTGTTCTTAATTTGTGATTATTTTCTAGAAACTGTATTATTAGGCATTTTTTCTTCCTGTTATTTGTTGCTGCGTGTTTGTTCCTAATGTTTACCGTTCATAAAACCTTTGAAATTATGGGCTGAGTTCGTTGATATTCAGGAGATAATAGAAATAGTATCAAGTCAAAAGACTACATATTTTGGCTTTTCACATCAACTTCACAACTTATTAGTGTTTTTGGTTCGAAAATTGACGAGATGGGTATGGGAATAAATTTAATTGAAAAATAAGTAAAGAAAAATAAAAATTTAGTCCGACCATACTGTTGCTTGAGGAAGGGGTTACTGATCAAAAGAAGACGTATAACAACAAAAGTTTGACAAACAGAACCACTAAAAAAAGATTTGGTTAGGTATGATCAGCTTCACAAATCAAAAACTCTGGTTTTGTGCATTTGTGATATGATATTAAAAAAGCTGGAGGTGTTGTAAGAAACAAGACAGGTAATGTGGTCTGAAGACAAGTTTAAGTTTTTTAAAAATTGAGTCTTTGGTAACATAAATATCTGACGTTGAATTCATTCATTGACTCGATAGTATGAGTCTTGGGGCTTGAAACGAGTCGATGTTCGATGAAAGTTTACCGATCTTCGAGTTTCCAAAAGCTAAGCACTTGTATGAAATTTAGGGTTTTTTAACTTTTTCCAAATTATATTTTTCTTTTTGGGGACGAATTTGGCTTTCTTTCTATATAACCGCGAGAGAGAGACCTTGACCCTCACCTAAACCTCAAAACCAAAATTGGTAAAAAAATTGGCCCAAAAAGCCATCTCTTTTGGCAATCAGATTACTTTGAAACTTTCTCTGGGTCTCTGAGATTTATTCTATTATTTATATAATTCATCTCATCAAAATCAACTCGACGATCGGCGAAGAATCGGAAACACAAAAATGGGGTGTTGCGCGAGCAATACAGCTGGTGGTTCAAAGGCTAATCGGATCTCTCGCTGGCGATCTACGGGCATTGTTGGTCTCCGCGACTCCAAATTGAAGGTCAACTTGTTTCCACTTATCTTTTTTTTTTACTATGAATAAATCTTCGAAGAATCTTTGGAAATTTTATAGACAAACTTGTTTCTATCTGTCATATGAATGATTGAGAGAGACGAAAAAGCACCAAACTTTGTTGATTGGGTTCATGAATGCAGCATAAGAATTGGTTTTAGGGTTTTGTTTGGGGATTTTTTTAAGTCTGGATTGGCTGATTATCTATTGATTGGTGAATTCCTGTTTTTTGTTTTGTTTTGTTGAGTAGACATTTCCTGATGAAGTGATTGAAATGGAGAGAGCAGTGCGAACGCTTGATCTAACACACAATAAGATTGGTCTGCCTTCTGCCTCATTTCGATTTCTTTCTTCATCGACGTGTTAAGAGTAATAATAGTTGATGGACTTTGTATTTGATGCAGCTGATGTTCCTGGAGAAATCAGCAAGTTAATCAATATGCAGCGTCTGGTGAGAAAACTTTGCCTCTCTGTACATTATCTGCAGATTTCATCGTGTCTTGCGAACTTGTTTTAGCTATGATCTCAGCATTTGGATTCAACTGAATTCTAGTTAGTGCTTTCTGTCGATTTTGACTCTTTCCCATCATGCTGAATTTTGGCAGTTAATAGCTGATAATCTAGTTGAGCGCCTACCAGGGAATCTAGGGAAACTTCAATCTCTCAAAGTTTTGATGCTTGATGGAAACCGCATCAGCTGTTTGCCTGATGAATGTAAGATCCTCTTTGATACAAGTACACTGTTTTGTCTTGTGTCTCTATTATGGTTCGCATTCATATGTTCTTTTTGTTTTTGTTTTCCAGTGGGTCAGTTGGTTAGGCTTGAGCAACTATCAATCTCAAGAAATATGCTCATATACTTGCCCGATACTATTGGTAGTCTCCGCAATGTAAGTGAGTTCATTTACTAAAGAATAACTCAATGTTCGGCCTGAAAAAACTAATTAGTTTTCTTGTGTTAAATTGCAGCTAGTGCTGTTGAATGTCTCAAATAACAGATTGAAATCCCTTCCAGAATCAGTAGGGAGCTGTGCTTCTTTAGAAGAAATACAGGCTAATGGTATGTTTCTAGTTTCGCTTTTTAGATTCTGTTTCTTTTAAACCCCCATGTTTGTTTGGTGATTCAGAAACATAAAAAATCTTTAGGAAACAAGTGTTATGTTTTTTCTATTGACATTTTGTTGTGGAGTTTCCTCTGGTGGTTTCTTCTCCAAAGCTTAATCATGATTCGGGATAGCCTTGCAGATAACGTTGTTGAAGAGCTTCCTGCATCACTCTGCAATCTGATTCAGTTAAAGTCGCTTTGCTTAGACAATAATCAAGTGAACCAGGTAAACATATCGAAATGTGATTTGTTTCTTCATCCCTTTTAACTTTTTTTTTTTTGGTTTATTGAATCACTACCTTCTTCCTTTGAATTCTGTGATACTTATTGTTTTCCAGATTCCAGATGGATTGCTGATACATTGCAAGAGTCTGCAAAATCTTTCTTTGCATAACAATCCTATTTCCATGGATCAGTTTCAGCTGGTAAGTCAATAATCGACAACCTCAAAGAACACTTTTTTAAGTTGTTTGTTCGAATTGGGTCTTGTGTAACATACCGTTATATATAAATGGATAGATGGAAGGATACCAAGAATTTGAAGAGAGGAGAAAGAAGAAATTTGATAAGCAAATCGATTCGAATGTGATGATGGGCTCTAAAGGACTTGATGTAGGCGTTGATAAATGAAAACTGTCTTCACATCCCCTTACTTTGTAAGTTCATTCAGACTAGAGATCAGATTGATTTGGTATTAGTCTCCATGTAGTATTCCTCACTGATTGTAAAATATTTGTTTTTTGCAGGTCCGATCGGTGAATGAGGATCATCGTTTCGTGTAAGAAATATTGTTGTAAAACTCTCTCTCTCTTTCTCTCTTCTGCAAGATTTAGAATCTCTGTTACTGTGACTCGCCAATTCTTATGAACACATCCACGCATGTACGTATATATATACTATATCAAGGCGTGTATGTGTCTGTATATGTATCTTTGCGTGTGTGTATACATAACATATAGGCAAACCGATTCTTGCCTTTTGCCCTTATATTGAAGTGACGATTCTACATGTGTCTTAAAACCACACTTTGGCCTTGCTAATCAGCTTTCTTTCACTACCAAAATTGGATTACACACTACACTCTTTCCACAAAGATTCCTGTCTCTCAGCAGCTGAGTTTTGATAATGAAAACAGCCAAAAACAAAAGCTCAGAGTTTGGTGCATCCTAGATACACATCCATCAACTCAGGCAATTCTTCTTCGTACTTGATCACGAGCTTCTCCAAGAACACTTTCTCCACTGGAACCAACAATGACGTCAAGCTCCAATCCTCCGTCACAAGCCCGTTCGATACCAACACTTTAGTAACCGAACACCTTGGGATAATCCTCTTCTCCAGACTGAAGAACAGCACCACAGGACACTGTGCGATTGATCTAGGCGCCAAATTCATCTCATTCACAAAAAACTCCATCGTTCTGTTAATCTTCCTCTCTGACAACATCATACAGTGAGGGTGCTTCTTGAACGCACACATTATATCATCTTCCGACCAACCCCATCTCTGGTAGACCTCAAAGCATTTGTCCCATATGGATTTGTTTCCTTTCCCTGAAAGAGCATGAATCGCCAACACAAAGGTTGATTTTTGAGGATTGAATCCCATCTCTTGAGCTTGCTTAGCAATTGCTTGAAACTCATGGCTCTTCTGCATCACAGCTTCAGGAAAATGCGTGAGAAGTAGCTTGATACATTTCTCAGGAACACCAGTCTCCGTCATATAGTTGATGTTTGGTACAAGGTTCTTGGTGTGATCCTCAAGGAAAACCCAAGTCGTCCGCCGCAACGCCGCCACGATCTTCTCGTCGGAATCAAGAACACTTTTGAGGAAATTGTAAGAAGGGATAAGCTGGTTAACAAGGGATCTAGTCAAAATGGTTGGATCAGAAGCTAAGGTTCGAGCAAGTAATGATTTTGAGACGCCAATTGAGAGAAAGAATCTGAGTTTCGGGAGGAGGACTGATTCAGCATTGGCTAATAAGAGAACAGGACGTTTCTTGACAAGAGTTGAGATTTGAGCAGTGGTGAATCCATGGTCACGAAGAAGGTTTAGAACAGTGTTGGGTCGTTCTGGTGAATCTAGTAAGAGCTTACGGGCGGCTACGGTGGCGGAATCTGGAGATAATCCACATGAGTCGATAAGGTAGTTGATGGTGAAGGAGAGTTTTTGCTGTTGCTCATCTTTAGGGGTTTTGGAGGTGAGTGTGGTTACTGGAGAAGAAAATTGAGTCTGGAGAGAGAATACGAAGATGGGTTTCCGATGGTTCTTAGGTAGTAAGGTGGTGAAGCTTCCTCCTGGGATTGGTTTCGTGAGGAAGAAGAGCCTCGTAAGAGAAGTGGCTTGAGGTACTGCGACCGCCATTACTAGATTGCTTACTAAACTCATCCGAAATGATTACTAGTTTTGGGATTTTTTTGGCCCACCCGACCTGATCCGACCCGACCCGACCGGAATTGACCGGGTTTTGGTTTTTGAGAAAGCAGGGAGTCATTTTTACTTATCTGGTCTGGCATCGTTTCGAAGAAACCGAGAGACAAAAAAAAGAATTTGGAGGATAATCAAATTCAAAAATCATTTCTCCGATCAAATTCGCCGTCGGAATTATCTCAGAGAGAAATTGAGCTGCGAAGGTAAAACGTTTCCTGCGGTTGTATTCGTGTGTACGCTTATCAATTTTTTTTCTCGTGTTCGCTTTTTTTTTTCCCTGGGTTCAATTTTATCCGTCGTTGTTGAAATTCGATATCTAGTGGTATGCATAGTTTTGTTTTCCCCAATTACTTACAAAGGAATTGAGTAGAGCATCAAGGCCTTCATCTAATTTAGTGAATAAATTGGACCTGTGAAGTTGACGTGTTGAAGTTTTTTAATAGCCTAATTTGATTTCTGTGGAAAGATAAGCTTAACGAAATTCTAGTTTTAATTCAGCCATGACAACACTTGGATTCGTGTGAGTTAGTTGTAGAAAGTGTTTCTAGTTCTTGTTACTAAATGATTCATTTCCTTTGCAGTGGTGATTCTTGTATTTAAATGTCGAGTAGCTCGGGAAGTTTCTCGGGAAGCAGTAGCTCGGCATGTAGTTCCAGAAGTGATTGCGAGAACTCGTTTGATGTTGAAGAACTTTTGCAGATTGGGACAACACGCAGGGAGGTAAACACTTCATTGACTGTTGTATACTTATGTTGATGAAAGTTGGACTGGGATGCTCATTATAATGCGGTTTCTGATTCTTAGATTGTTGAAGTTGATTTCTGTTTTGTTTTGTGATCTTTGATTGTTATTAGCAGCTAAGGAAACAAAAGGACTTGCTGAGAGAATCGCAGCCCCATAGTATCGAACTAGTCAGAGTAGACTCTTCTTCTCCTTGTTTAATGTATTTTCTCACTCTATTGGTTGAGTTTCCGGACATTAATCTTCTCTTTACCACAGAGGTTGGAACTCCACACGAAGTCATTATCGGAATCTCGCTTAGAAGACACAGCAAGAATTCAGATGATGGAGAAAGAATTACTGAATTGCTATAAGGAAATTGGTAATGTCTATTTAAGCCAAGCAATTTTGATTTTTCTGAACTAATAAGTCTCACCATATATTAATTCTTCGCGCTGTAGATTACTTGCGAGATCAACTAATTTTCAGAAGCAAGGAAGTGAATTATCTCAATGAACATCTGCACGACCTTGAATTCAAATTGGCTGAATCAAGGAATCTGGAAGAAGAAGTTAACTCTTTAAGAGATGAGTTGTGTATGTCTCAATCCGAGCATTTGTTGTTGTTGCAAGAACTTGAGAGCAAGGAAACAGAGCTACAGTGTTCGTCTCTTTCCTTGGAGAAACTGGAGGAGTCCATCTCATCCTTAACATTAGAGTCCTTGTGCGAAATAGAAAGCATGAAGCTTGACATAACAGCGTTGGAGCAAGCACTCTTTGATGCAATGAAAATCCAAGAAGAAAGCATCCAAGAAAAAGATCAATTAAAAGGAATAATCGAAGAGTCCCAGTTTCAGTCTCAAAGGGCACAAGAGAATGTCAAGTATATCGAAAAGAAAAATGAAGACTTGAGGGAGAAATTTAATGCCTCTGAAAAGAGTATCAAAGAGTTCTTTCAAAGTACTAAAGAACGGTTAGAAAGTGAAGATGAAGAGCCTCTAACTGCAGGGTGCTTCTTTGCTGAACTGAGCCATGTGCTTCCAATGTCTAATGAAGTTCGGTAAGTTCTAGCTTGAGACTTATTTATTTAGTCATCAAATTGAGCTATCCCTGTCCCTAATAATGTTGGTTTTGTGTCTCACAGCAATTGTTTTGATGCAATCATGAAGAAACTAGAACTTTCTCAGAATGTGAATTTGACTGACAAAGTGGAGGGTATGGCGAAACAGATACATCAGCACGAAGATGTTGTAAAGCAACTCAAGGTAGTTTTGTAAAACTGACGAACTCTATTTCCTCCCTTTATTACCATTACAGAAAAGATCGTAGTCCAACTAGTTTTACCTGCGGTTGTTGGTATGTGCAGGAAGAACTGAAACAGGAGAAACTGAAGGCGAAGGAAGAAGCAGAAGACCTTACACAAGAGATGGCTGAATTAAGGTATAAGATGACATGTTTGCTTGATGAGGAACGCAATCGCCGTGTGTGCATAGAACAAGCATCATTACAGAGAATAGCTGAGCTAGAAGCACAGGTACTACTTATGTAATGCTTCCTTGTTTTCTGGTCGAGTATGCGAGAATGGAATTTAATCGTTCTTTTCTTTACTCTGTTGGTAAGATCAAGAGAGAGATAAAAAAGCCCTCTTCCACTGAAATGCTGCCTCTTAGTGGGTTATGAAATAGTCTTGAGCTTTACCCGATTCACCTATCTTCACAGTTCTGAGTCTCATCCATGGAATTTATGTTGAAAGTGCGTGTAGCAACTGCTCAGAGTGATTGAAAGACAGATTGTACGTTTCGCTGGTGATTTGTATGCACATCAAATGGTAGGGTGGTCAGAAATCCAGAGACTTGGAAGAGGTTTGGAGACACAATCAAAAGAGGTTTGGGTAAAGCATATAGCTTTAGAGATTGATGTTTTCTTTCTTTTGAGTGTACATAATTGCTTGGAAGTTGGAACATAGAAATAAAGTCGTTCCAAGGTGTTATTGGTTTGTCTCAAAAAAAAAAAAAGTTAAATAAAATATTCTTCCATTTTTTCCCCATAATTTATGTTCTTTTCCTCTTTATAAAGTAAAAAGAAATTTAAGTCAAAAATTTCAAATATTTTTCTTATCAAGCTGCATTGATTAAATACGTATCCATTTTTGTAAATTACATATTTATTACAATTGTTGACCAAAAAGAAAAAATTACAATTATGCAACTGTAATTGTACACCTATCCTATCACCATAAGTTTTAAATCTACTATTATCTTTTTTTTTTTCTTTAACGCCACCTGTACTTTATGTCTTTTATCTAAAGAAAACAAAAATAATCTTGTTAGATTTTATTGATATTAATTTAATAATCCGAGAAAAGTAAATATATAAGGGTGAAGAAACAAAACAAAACTCTTTTTCAACAATTGTTTTTGCCTTAAGTTTCTCACCAGTTTCCTCCTCTATAACGGATTCGAAAATTTGAACTCGTTAAAGGCCTCTTCTTGCTATCAACCTTTCTTTCTCGGAACCTCTGAATCCTGCTTCTTCTTCGTCTTATTCTCTGCAATTTCCAGGTACAGATTCGTTTTTTCCTTCTTCTGGTAATCTTCAAAGTCGATTTAGGTCTACTTGATTGTTGGAAACTTAGATCTTACGAAACGATCGTTAATCAAAAGAGATTGCAGTTTAAAAACTTGTGTATCCTTTTCTTGCTTTTGCTCAACTTCAAAGTTGATTATCTTCTGGTATATTTTGAATTAAGAATCAATAGCAATCTTAGTTTTGGATTTCTGTAGGATTTCTATGGCTGCTAAGAATTTCAGCTTGAACCCTTTCGATGATACTGATGATGAGAAGGAGGCTGCTAAGAATTTCAGTTTGAACCCTTTTGATGATGATGATGATGATAAGGAGGTTGAGAAAACATTCACTTCATCGTTGAAGTTCTCGGATGCAAAGGAGAACCACCAGACGGTTCAAGAACTTGAGAGCTACGCTGTGTACGAGTCTGAGGAAACAACGAAAACCGTAAAAGGGTGTTTGAAAGTTGCTGAAGAGATTAGATGTGATGCTACTAAAACATTGGTTATGTTGAATGAGCAACGAGATCAAATTACAAGAACACACCATAAGGCCGTTGATATCGATCATCATCTTAGTCGGGTGAGTCAGATACAAGAAGAGAGGAGTTTTGCAATCTCTTTCTGGGGATGATCCTTATTGTATGTTTTTGTGTTTGGTTTCAGGGTGAGAAGCTTCTTGGACGCCTTGGAGGCATTTTTTCAAGGACTTGGAAGCCAAAGAAGACTCGTTCCATAACTGGTCCTGTCATAACTAAAGGTTTATTCTTCTCTGGTTGATGATCACTTCTAAGGAATGAGTATTTTGCTTATTACTTCATCTAACTATTCATGATCTCCTGAGCAGGTGATTCCCCTAAGAGAAGAGTTATCAACTTAAAGACTAGGGAAAAGCTGGGACTGAACCATTCACTCAAACCAAAATCAAGAACACTTGCTGAATCCGTTGATGCTTATCACAAAACACAGGTTCGGATTCTCTCTTTTTTTCCTTGTGGGGTTTCAAAAGTCATTCCTTGTTTTGTTAACCAAGATTCTAAATATCATGCTGTGTTAACAGATGGAGATTGCAAAGCAAGATGAAGTCCTTTCCAACTTAAGCGATCTTCTTGGCGAGCTGAAAAATATGGCAGTGGACATGGGAACAGCAATCGAAAGGTTTTCTATCAACTCTCTCTCTCTATATATATATCCATTCTCTAAGAGCTTTCTCGTTTCTTCCTTGATAAAATTTGTTTGTAAATGGAAATCGCAGTGAAAACCATGGACTAGATCATCTTCAAGACGATGTTAATGAGCTTAACTACAGAGTAAAGCAATCCAACCAACGGGCTCGTCGTTTACTCAGGAAGTAAAAAGTAGCCAGAACTCTGCTCATAACCAAGCTTGTCAGCTTCTACATTCTTCTGATGACTTAGTTGCTTAAAGTCAAACATAGATTTCAATATTTTTGTTCTGATATTAATGAAGTTGAAACATTTAACAACTGCAGAATACTGTAACAAGCAAAGACAGTAGTAGTTAAAACATTTGATTCCAAAGCTACATTTTCAAATAAGGAATAACTTGAGTTCTGTGTCTGGAAATTATGAATAGGATCAGGTTAAAGAAGAGACAAGAGATATGAACTCTTGATCTGATTCCAAAGCTTCCATAGACTCTGGAAGTAGACATACTTCCAAATCTATGCTTGCTCCTCCTTCTCTTCCTGGATAAGCTGATACCTTCCCGTCATACTTACCGCCATAACCGCTTCTAACCGCCACCGCTTTCCCCATCCCAAACTCGCTTCCGTACTTGTTAAACCTCGGAGAGCTTCCCATGTGAACAATGTTCAAATTGGAAAGTCGATATACTTGCAACGGTAAAGGAGACTTCAACCATTGATCTATTTCGTAAGAGATCTTTTCACCTATGTGTTCGGTTACAGCCTGATGCAGTTTCAAAGCAGCCCATTCAAACTCATTCTCTAGTAGACTACCGATTGTCGTAGTCGCTTTCACAAGAGAGATGTAAACCCCAAAGTGATTCGTCGGCAATGGTGGATTCATTCTTGATCTATTGCCAGCAGCAAACCTGCAAGTAGTTTCTTGATCATTTGGTAGTTTTCTTGCTCTTGTAATGCTTCTCCATATAAATGCGGTTAACGACTGAAGCGAAGAGATCTTTGCTGTTCCGCATTCTTGATTCGCCTTTGATTTCAGCAATCTCACTGTTTCTGATGAGAAATGGAACATTCTCTCCTTCAAAACCGGAGGTTCGGATTGACCAAGGGACTCATCAGGTTCACTGAAGGGAAGGCTGTACATAGGACCGGACACTTCACGAAAGATTGGAGGATTCTTGAGACAGAGCAATGCATTGTTATTACTACCAATGGTTTCTTCTTGTGAATTGAAGATCTCGGACAAAGAGTTAAAGAACTGCCAGAAGGAACTTCCATCTCCAAGCGAATGATTCATAGACAATCCTATGAACACTCCATCTACCAATTCTGTTACCTGTACATTGTACAACCAGAAAAAGATTCAGCATCTTTTTTTCACTGACACAATAACACACTTCTATAAACCAATTCACCTTTTATTAGTACAAATCTGCTGACATATTTGAATAATATGATTTTGAGATATCTATATACAAGAATGAAGTAATGTACCTTGACTGATAAGAGACTCATGGTGTGACCATCACGATTCAATACTTTGTGATGATCAAAGAAAGATTGAACAACCAAAGGAACATATTTGGACCCAAGAATGTCTGACACACTTAGATCTGACTCAGCATGGATAAATCCAGCACCAGGACTGTTATTACAATCCACAAACACCGAGTGAGATCTTGAATCGTTGGTTTTCAAAGTAGAGAGACGACCTGCAAGCGGATAGAAATGGACAAGTGCTATGGCTAGAGAGTCTTTAAGCTTTTGCAGCAAAGCCTCAATGAACTCCTTTGGTTTGACTGCATTGTCAGATTCAGAAAATGATGGTTTGAGAAAAAGAAGACCCTTTTGGATGTAATGGATTGAGAGCATCACATGATCCATTGGTGAAAAATGGTATGGCTCTTTCCATTTTTCAGGGAGAGTTTTGGGTTTGACGAAGCATTTAGAGATAATCTTTACTTCTGATGAAGAAGAATCCATCTTTTCAAGAAAAAAAGACAGAGAAAAAAAATGTGTATAATATGCTTCTTTTGTTTCTTTCAATGTTTCTTTGCTCTTCTTTTATCTTCCTACTTTCGTTTATACTCTCTTTATATAAACAATCCAAATAAAATATTCATATGATTATAGATAGCTATCATCATCAATGATGTCATCATATGTTCGTGCATAATTTGATCTACTGGTCATCATCAATGATGTCATCTTTGTTATAATTGAATAACATTAGTTTTAGGAGTTTGTATTAATCTTTAATCAAATAAATAACACATGCATGATTTTAACAAGTACCACTAAACAGAGAGGGTTTGAAGAAGAAGCAAGCAAATCCTGAAGCCCAAGGCCTATCCGACTTATGATAAGCACAAGCACGTCACGTGATTCTATTTCTTGCCAAAAGTAGAACTGTGTTGTTTTAGATCTTGATTTACTTTTAGAACATTTCAAGAAACAAAGGGGACAAAAGGTTCAGAGAGTAGGTGAATCATTATCAGTTGAATAACACATTGTCACATAATATTGAATTGGATTTTAACAGCAACATATAACTCAATCCACAACAAACCAAACTTTATTTAGAGATATGATGAGAGCATATATGAATAAGATCATGAAGATCAAGAAGAAGAAGAGGCAAGAGACATAAACTCTTGATCTAATTCCAAAGCTTCCATAAACTCTGGAAGTAGACATATTTCCAAATCTATGCTTCCTCCTCCTTCTCTTCCTGGATAAGCTGATATCTTCCCATCAAACTTAGCGCTTCTAACCGCCACCGCTTTTCCCATCCCGAACTCGCATCCGTACTTGTTAAACCTCGGAGAGCTTCCCATGTGAACAATGTTCGGACTGAAAAGTCCACCTAGTTTCAAGAATGACTTCAACCATTGGTTCATTTCGGATGAGATCTTTTCGCCATTGTGTTCGGTTACAGCCTGATGCAGTTTCAAAGCAGCCCATCCAAACTCATTCTCCAATAGATTACCAGTTTTTGTAGTCGTTTGCACAGGAGATAAGTAAACCCCAAAGTAATTTTCTGGCAATGGTGGATCCATTCTTGATCTATTGCCAGCAGCAAGCCTGCAAGTAGTTTCTTGATCATTTGGTAGTTTTCTTGCTCTTGTAATGCTTCTCCATATAAATGCGGTTAGCGACTGAAAAGAAGAGATATTTGTCGTTCCGCATTCTTGATTTGCCTTTGATTTCAACAATCTCACTGTTTCTGATGAGAAATGGAACATTCTCTCCTTCAAAACCGGATATTCGAATTGACTAATGGGCTCATCAGGTTCACTGAAGGGAAAGCTGTAAGTAGGACCAGACACTTCAAGAAAGATTGGAGGATTCTTGAGACAGAGCAATGCGTTGTTGTGATTATTACCAATGGTTTCTTCTTGTGAATTAAAGATCTCGGACAAAGAGTTGAAGAACTGCCAGAAGGAACTTCCATCTCCAATTGTATGATTCATAGACAATCCTATGAACACTCCATCTACCAGTTCTGTTACCTGTACAGTGTACAATCAGAGAAGGATTCAGCTTTATCTTTGTCTATAACTCACATGCAAACCTTTGGTAAAAGAAATTCACTTTTTGTTACTACAAATCTGTTAATATATATATAACATGATCTTGAGATAGCTTATATAGCAAGTATGAATAAATATACCTTGACCGATAAGAGACTCATGGTGTAACCATCGAGATTCAATGCTTTGTGATGATCAAAGAGAGACTGAACAACCAAAGGAACATATTTGGACCCAAGAATACCTGATACACTTAGATCTGATTCAGCATGGATAAATCCAGCTCCAGGACTGTTATTACAATCTACAAACACCGAGTGAAATCTTGGATTGTCGGTTTTCAGAGTCGAGAGGCGACCTGCAAGAGGATAGAAATGAATAAGTGTTGTGGCTAGAGAGTCTTTAAGCTTCTGCAGTAAACTGTCCATGAACTCTTTTGGTTTGACTGCATCCTCAGATTCAGAAAATGATGGTTTGAGAAAGAGAAGACCCTTTTGGATGTAATGCATTGAGAGCATCACATGATCCATTGGTGAAAAATGGTATGGCTCTTTCCATTTTTCAGGGAGGGTTTTGGGTTTGACGAAGCATTTTGAGATAATCTTTACTTCGGATGAAGAAGAATCCATCTTTTCCAAGAAAGAAAAAAAAATGTGTATAATATGCTTATTTTGTTTCTTTCAATGTTTCTTGCTTCCCTTTTATCTTTGTACTTTCGTGTATACTCTTTATATAACATTCCAAAAAAAATATTCATATGATTATAGATAGCTAATTACCCTAAAGCCAAGCCTATCTCATTTATGATTAGCACAAGGACGCCACAGGTTTCTTGCCAAAAGTAGAACCGTGTCGATTTGGATCTGTTTCTTGTGTTAGAACATATCAGGAAACAAAGGGGACAAATGGTGTAGATTCAAGAGATTGAGTAAGAGACTGAGAGTAATCTACAAAGACATCAATATTATCTTCTCTAAACCTCACATTTTAGTTTGTATTAATCTTTAATAAATAACAATCCTTATCAGTTGAATAACACTTTGTCACATAATTATAATATTGATTGGATTTTAACAGCAACACATATACTCAATCCACAACAAACCAAACGTTATCTAGAGATATGATGAGAGAGCATATATGAATAAGATCACGAAGATCAAGAAGAAGAAGAGGCAAGAGACATAAACTCTTGATCTGATTCCAAAGCTTCCATAAACTCTGGAAGTAGACATACTTCCAAATCTATACTTCCTCCTCCTTCTCTTCCTGCATAAGCTGATATTTTCCCATCAAACTTACCGCCATAACCGCTTCTAACCGCAACCGCTTTTCCCATCCCAAACTCGCATTCATACATCTTAAACCTCGGCGAGCTTCCAATGTGAACCACCATTGCTCCCAAAAGCTTTTCTAAATGGAAAACATAAGATGATTTCATCCAATTTTTGATTGTCGCCGAGACCTCTTCCCTAGTGTTTCCAATCACAGCTTGATGCATTTTTAAAGCAGCCCATCCCAAATCATTTTCTAGTAGCTCACCGGATGTAACGGTCTTCGACCTTATAGCAGAAATACAATTACCAAAATAGCTCAAAGGCAATGGTGGATCCAATTTTGTTCCATTGTTAGCGGCTAGGCTACAACGAATTTCATGATCATAAGGTAATTTTCTTGCTCTTGTGATACATATCCATATAAATGCGGTTAACGCTTGAAAAGAAGAGATTGTTGTTGTTCTGCATTCTTGATTAGCCTTTGATTTCAATGATGTTATTGTTTCAGATGAGAAATGGAATATGTTCTCCTTCAAGACCGGTGATTCGAATCGGCTAATGAATTCATCAGAGTGAGTGAAAGGAAGGCTGTAAACAGGACCGTACCCTTTAGGAAACCAACGTGAAAGGACTGGAGGATTCTTGAGAAGCAAGTTATCGGTTTCTGCATTGAAAATCTCCGACAAAGAGTTGAAAAAATGCCATAATGAACTTCCATCTCCCACAGCGTGATTCAATGACAATCCTATGAACACTCCATCTACCAATTCTGTTACCTGAAAAGATTCATCTCTTTAGTTAGTCTAATTCATATTTGCATAGTTGCGTGATATATACAATTAAGATTACATCGATCTACAATTTTTTCTTTTTCGACTAAGTGAATTATATGATTTTCAGATTTGTATACAAGAATAAATTAATGTACCTTGACTGAGAAGAGACTCATGGTGTGACCATCATGGCTCACGGCTTTATGGTGGTCAAAGAAAGATTGAACAACCAAAGGAACATATTTGGACTCAACAATATCTCTTACACTTAGATCCGATTTAGCATGGATAAATCCAGCCCCGGGACTGTCATTACAATCCACAAACACCGAGTAGGATATCGGATTATCGGTTTTTAAAGTGGAGAGACGACCCGCGAGCGGATAAAAATGAACAAGGGTTTCAGCCATAGAATCTCTAAGCTTCTGTAGCCAAGTTTCCATGAAATCTTTTGTTTTGATTGCATCATCAGATTCAGATATCATAGATGGTTTGAGAAAGAGAAGACCATTTTGGAGATAATGCATAGAGAGCATCACAAGATCCAAGGGTGATAAATGGTATGGCTCTTTCCATTTTTCAGGGATGGTTTTTGGTTTAACAAAGCATTGAGAAACGATTTTTACTTCCGATGAAGGAGAATCCATTTGAAGAACAAGAGTGGTCTTTACTTTGATTCTGTTTCTTGCTTGTCTTAGTTTATTTTCTTAAGCTACTCCTATAGCATCAATCATGAGGTTCTTATATAAGTTTATCATTTTGGGGTTTGTTGTAGTTTTTAGCATTTAGAAGAAATAATAGCATTATTATTTAAGGTAATATTGCAAAATGATATGCATAATGGATGAAATACATAGTATTATTTCATTTTTTAGGATGTCTTTTAATAATGTAGATAAATATATAGATTTTACTCTATTCTTATTAATCCAATTATCTGCAAACATTAATAACTTCCACATAAAATTTAAAATCTAATTAAATACTACAAAATAAAATGAAAAAATATCTTTGTAATTAAATTAGTTGATAATAGACTAATTTTAGTTTATTTCACTTAATTGATTAAAAATATACAAGTTTAATCAATCTGGGCCAAATGCAGGCCTTTTATTGTAGGCCCAACTGTACGAAGCCTCGATTAATTAAGCTATATGAGGTGGCATATTCGATTTTAAAGTGAATCAAATATAGTAACAAACAAAAAACCGAAATTTGTCTCTGACACACACACGCGCCTTTCTTCTTCATCTGGAAATCGAAATACGATTCTCTCTCTCTCTCTCTCTACCCGCGAAAAACCCTAATCCGATTCATATTCTCCGTCAAGGAGAAGTCTCTGACTCACCGTCTCTCTTTGTTCTCTCCGCCGCAGTAAGCTACAGGTTTCTTCTATCTTTCGCCGATTCAATTCGATTAAGTTGTCGTCGTCTTTCTGTGAAATTGAGTTGGTCTTTATGTTGTTTGGATTCATCAGCGAGCTTTTATCATCTTAGTTTCTTTGCTGCTTTAGTATTTTGGGTGATTTTGATTTTCAGCTTATTTTGGGATTGCTCTCAGTTTACTGAGAATTTGCCAGAGTTTTAAAATTTTCCATTATCTGAGAATTCTCTAGAGCGATTCTAAATACTGGTTCTTGTTACAGAATTTGTTATTGTTCGTTACCTTAACTAAATTTTGATTTCTGAAAATATTTCAGACGATCTTGCAGAGAGATTTATTACTCGTTCTGTAGCAATTTGCTTATTTTTATTACCTGAAAAATCCACTAATTTGTTTTTCTATCCTTGTCTTTTTGGCAGATCTGGTAAAATCACGCAGATAGAGAGAGTGTGTTTTGACTCTGGCTCGATGTTGTCACTGATCTCTTTACCCATTGATCCAGGCTTTTTCTGATTTCTCTTAGTTCCTAGAAACCATTAAGCTCCTATTCTTTTCAAGTTGATGCTCGTTTTCTCTTCACTGTCTATGACTCCAATTGTGATCCCTCAAAATCTCCGTGTCTTTGGCCCTGGTTTGAATCCCTCTTTCCCTTACTGCAATTCTAATCACTCCCCTTGATTTTAGTTGCTTCATTTCAACTGAATCATCTAAATTCTGCTTCTTCCATAAGTTCTTCTTCTGTTGACATTGGTTGATGATTGCTAGCCACAAGTAGTGTACCTGCTTTAGACATTCTTGGGTGATATTGTAACCAATATTATGTAAATCTGAGTCACTCCTAGAATCTCCCTGTCTAGTAAGTTTTCCTTAGGAATTCTCCTTTGAGTCTTTCCATCTGTGAATCCGTGTATTCGAGTCAGTTCTGGTTTATCTGCAAGATGCTCCAAGAGCAGCCAGTTGTGTTGTCCTTTCGGCGTAACTCATTTAGACGCCGGTCCATGAAAACGGGTGTTGACAGAGACGACAGGGGCTGGACTCAGCTCCACATCAAAGCTTGTAAAGGCGATCTCAGAGCTGTTAAAGAGCTTCTTGACCAAGGAGCTGACGTGAACGCTTTAGCGTGTGGGCCTAAATCAAAAGGAATGACTCCTCTTCACCTTGCAGCCAAAGGAGGTCACATCGAAGTCATGGACTTGCTTCTTGAACGTGGAGCCAATATTGAAGCTAGAACCTGGGGTTCTTGCGGCTGGACTCCTCTCCATGCTGCAGCTAAAGAACGGAAGAGAGAAGCTGTCAAGTTTCTTGTGGAGAATGGAGCTTTCTTACCCGATGATATAACTGACTGTAGATTCAACCCGCCGGTTCAGTACTGTCACGGCTTGGAATGGGCTTACGAGGAGAGGAAGAAACTCAGTGGAGAGACTTCTTCTTCATCTTGTGGAGACACTTCTTGCAGTTCTGAGAATTGATTCATGTTTCTTGCAGTAGCCCCTGCTGTCTCAAACACTCTTATGTGTGATATCTTGAACCGTTGATTTGGTTGATTGGTTTGAGATGTAAACCATCACCTGTTTTTTTATCTCGCTTTTGGTTTGAATATGTACTATCCGGGTTTGATGCCGTTTGCTCATAAATTGAAGAAAACACAAAACAAAGGTTTCTTCTAATCATGTTGTATTGAAATATGAAATGATACATTTATCACCAGCGTTAGATACAATTACCAAAAAAATTACATCTTTTCTTTATTTTTATTTTTTTCCAATGAGCAAAGAGAGACCCCATTAACATCATGAACAAGCAGAAGCATCAAAATTCGGCAACACAATGAACGACATCGACAATGGCAAGACGTTAAGTGGAGAGTTCACACCACGAAGAACCGGTTCAAGGCTCGGGATATCTCCTGTTGCCGTCGGTTTCAACGATTTACCATTCAAGATCATTGTTTTGCTCCTCAGCACACCGTTTTCTGGTGTCAGATGATACTCTTCTCTGTTCAAATATCCATCCGAAGCTTTGCTTCCAATCCAAGAAAATGGTCTTTTTAAAGTATCCAACAATGACTTCTTCTTCCTCGATTCCGCATTCAAAACAACCTTTACGCCATTGCTGACACTAACCGTAAAATCCGATTGATTGCTTAGATTTATCAGAAGCAATGTCACACCGGCCTAAAAACCAAGGAAAACCAAAGCATTTAAAGCAAACTCTAACTCAAAAGAGACATTTGGAAACTAAGATTTAAAAAATGAGATGAGTAACTCACTCTTCCTTTTGAACAATGTGCGTAAACTCGTAGCTGCGGTGGTCCATCTGTTCGAACCGCAAGAACCCCTTTTCCCATTAAACGATGCCAAAGCAGCGCACTGTCCCGAAACCCGACCAAAAAAAGAAAAGATTGGCGGAAAATCAGATAAATCTTCACGATCAATCAACCATAACCTAAAACTCAGAGTCCGGATTTGGTTTGGGACTCTCACCTATAGTAATCAGGATTTGGAACAAACGTTCCCTTTTCGAGCAAGCCGTAAAACCCTCCAACTAAAGTCTGTCTGCAGTAAACTTTAGTGTTGTATCTCGCCGACATTCCAAGCTGATCTAGATACCTTAAGAAAGATTGGATCCAAAGATGCCTCTTTTAGTTCATTCGGTAATAGAAAACAGGGGCCAAAAACAAGAAATCTGAAATAGATTTTTTGTTTTTTGTTTTACCAGAAGCTATCTATGAATGTATCAGAAACATGACGGCCACCACTATTGTAAGCTCCACCAGACTCTCCAACCCAAGGAGAAGCCCACCGTCCATGTTCTTGAATCGTCTGATTCACGTCCTTGAACGTTTTTGATACCTGGCTTAAGTAACTCGGATCCATTATCTTCTTCACAAGCGCAGGATCATTACCTGCAAGACTCAAACAGAGAATGCAGCAAATTCCTCAGAAATGATCTATAAGTAATGGTTTTGAGTTTATGTGATTCTCTTCTACAAAACCAGACCTGAACCAAGATTGTATATATGATGAGTCACGACGTCGACAACACCAGGACCGGAGATCTGAAGAAGTTTGGTGTACCATTGTTGTTCATAGAACCCTCCAGGAGCGACAAGTATAGGCTTGTGCAACCGAGAATTTTTATAAACTGTGTTGATTACATCTTTAAGTACAATCAAGTCTTTCCCATAAAGCTCCGCGCTCACACTCGCACCAACTCCGCTTCCACTCAGCTCATTTCCTATTCCGAGAACAAAGAAAAGCTAAGAAATAAAACAGAGTAAAAGAAGGGCGACTTTGAAAATGTTGGTTGTTACCGAATTCCCAAGAATCTATAACGTAACCCTTTGAGACTGTGTAGTTTATGAAATCTTGAGTGTTTATGTGATTCCATGACCCACCCCACGCCTTTCCGCGGAGTTTGTGTCTCCCATTCAAAGCGTTTAAACCGAATGTCACTACTGCTCTGCTCGATAAAAACAAGTAAACACAACTATTTCAAGATTCTACTAAAAGGGAAAACGTAAACGTTGATGAAACTAAACCGAAACTGAAGGCTTACCCGGTTGCGGTTAGGAAACTGTTGAGCTCGTCCCATCTCTTCATGTGCAAGCATCCTTTAGAGAATCCAAACAAACCGCTGTTCATTTTTTGGAATGGACGGCAAGGAGTTTTGAGATTTCCTACGTCGTAAGTTACTTGATCTTGCAGCGAGCCACCAATTCTTATCCTCAGTGGCTTGAACGCTAAGCAAATACAAAAATCCAAATCCCTAAAAGTTTCAAAAATCAAGAACACACAAGCAATGGAATGAACATGTTTGGTCTGCTAGGCGCAAACCTTGAATAGCTTTAGTAAGAAGGGGACGAGTTAAATCCTGTAAAACATTAGAAAGATAAAAAACTTCAATCTCAATCATGGACATTAAAAGAGACCGAAAGGTGAATCGTTGTCTCTAATTCAGCTATTACCATATTGATAACTGAAGAGTAACCCCAAGGACATTGGTCATAGTTGCACTTGTCATGAGGCCACCAGTCCAATGTGGCACAGACAAAGTTCTCGTCGGTCTCACAGACTCGACGAGCTCCTTCGACAACTATCGATGCACGTTTCGTTTCTTGAGCAATTGTTGCCTCTGGAACAAGAAGAAGACAACCCAAGAAGACAAAGAAGCAAAATCTGAAGCTCATTGTTTTGTTTTTGAGCTTCACTATCCAAAAAGCTCTCAACTTCTGCTTCTAACTTTCCTGCAGTAAAATAAAACTGAACTTTCTTTCAGACAAAAAAAAACATCAAGTAGAAGGAAAGTGTAAAACAGAACTCAAACCTCTGCAATTTGTCAGAACAAGCATGTGAAAAAATACACATAGAGGAAGGAATAAACTTTTTTTTCTGGATTGTTTATGATTATAACCATAGAGTTAGGTGTAATTAACCCATTAAACAAGAAAAAAAAAACTAACTTTTGCTGACAACATCAGAAAAAAGGAGAGCCTTAAACCTCTGAAATTACCAGGACAAGGAAGTGATTACAGAGACACAGGCTTGCGTGTGATGAATTGGTTAATATACAATTACAAATGAAAAATAAAATGGAATTTGAGAAACTAAACAAAGGAAAAACTAAAAATGGACAGGAGTCAAAAAGATGACGATGGCAACCGATTGAAATTCTCAAGTAATCATAATTAAACCTCTTAAGAGTTTTTAATTAATATATGGATTAAAAAAATGAACCCAGAAACATGTGGTATCATTTGGAGATCGAACTCGAATCCATGGAAATTGAAGTGAAAAACCAAAACTTTCGATATGGAATCATCAGATTGAGATAGAGAAGCAAGAACTGACCTTAGAAATCCAGCTTCAATGGAGAATAATCAGACTCTGAAGCAAAAGGGTAGCTGTAAAAATCTGATATAAGTTAGATTCTGATGATGTGATTGTTCTTGAGCTTTTATGATACTGAGATCAGAATCTGAAGGTGATGTAAGATGGGTTTAGGTAAATTTTGCAATTTGTCGGCTTCTCTATATTACTTGCTCGATTTGGTCTTTCCAAATTTTGGTATATTTATTTTGGTTTTGGTAATATATATGGAGTTGGTGCAACTTGGTTGATGAATCAAACCTTCTCTTGAAACATGAGCTTTCTACCACTTTTTATTCGTTAATTCCTTTTTATTCTCGTTAATTGATTTGGTTAACAGAAAAAAAAACAAAACAGTTGAAGCATCTCTTTGAAAACAAGTAAGATCGGTCGAAATTGGTGGACAAATAAATTTATTAACTATTGGCTTTTAGCTTTTACTTTTCCCTCTCTTACTACTGAAGTTTTTTTTGAGTATATGTTTCTTACACGATGATCACATACTTACAAATGAATTATCAATTATTTGGTTAAACACAATCAAATTACTTTATGACCAGAATTTATAGCTTGTTTTTTTGTAAGTCGTTGTGTAACTATTCAGAATTAAACTCGTATATCGTATATTTGTATTTGACTGAAAAAACGAATTATTTTGTAAGTATTTCCAATGGTAGTAAAATTTCAAAATCTATATAACTATTTACAAAACAAAGTCATTTTCATAGTATGTTGTTTTGTTTTCATCTCAAGACTTTTCAAATAAATTCAAAATCTACAAAAGAAAGTCACTTTCAACTATTATACTCCACGACAAAAAAAAAATTTTATTATACTTTAAAAAACTTCCAAGCACAAGTTGCATAACCAATAATATCTAGAGAACATTACTAAACTGGATTAGATCTTAAAGGAATATTTCTTATATTTTTCTACTAAAATTACTAAAAAGTTAAGCCTAGATTAAATAAAAAAAATATTGTGGTGTCAGAAAGAACAATTGCTAAATGGTAACAACTGTGGAAGGAAGGTGGTTCGAGTCGGTGCATCTGTCACTCGAAGACATTTTAGTCAGTATTGCCACCTGTCATGCTTGAATCAGAAGCAATCAATTGAAACAGATCTGTCCTAAAAAAAATAAAAATAATAATAATAAATAATACAGATATATGAATATATCCCTTTATTTTCTCTTTATATATTACTATCTTTTGCAATCAAAATAAAGAGATGAAAAATCATTTGCCACATACTGTTTTGGATTTTAGTAATGATAGTAAATATATTTATTTTAGTGTTATAAGTTAGTACTAAGTAATTTGTAGGCAATAGTTAGCTTTCAAATGTTATATCCTATATTATTTTTTTTAGAAAATCATAATATTCTTTCTACTTATTTCTGCTTTACGGGCCACGCAATGTAGAAAAGTCTTTTGTGAATTGTTGGTAAGCTACTTTATATGTAGGATGATCACAGAGTATACATTTTTGTCAATTTTCTAAAATCAGTAAGCAGAAACTAACACTTTGGGCCTCAGGTCATATAGGCTCGGCCTTTCTAAGAATTGGGCTTTTAAAAAATGTTGTTTCCATATTTTTGATTGAAATGGTGATAGTGTATTAGTGTTGGTTTAAAATGGCATAAGCACATTAGATAACAAGGTTTTTCCGACGGTACCACAATTTTTCATGTTGCTAATTGCAGCACATTTGATAATAAGCTTCTTTTTTTTCTCATATAATTTAGGTATAAGCTTTAGAAACAACCACGAAAAGTATTATTTTAAATATTTTACAAAGTATTATTTACTTGAATTATAAATTATTGGCACGAATTATTTAGAGCATCTCTGTTCTTTTTGGAAATCAGCATCTAGATCTTATCTTTTTGCAATATATAATCAAAAGAATCCAAAGTCGGTCCATCGCGGAAAGCATCATTCTTTAGAAAAATACAAAAAGACTTGTTTCCATATCTCTGGTCCGTCAAAACCTAAAACCTTAATATATCACTATCATTAATATATACAGGATTATTACATAATGAGTTTTATAATTTGAATTTGTTTTGTTACCATCATAAATTTTCAATCTTGAGTTGAATTTAATAAATGAAATGAAATTCAATTCTTTTACTTTTATGTTGTATCAAATAAAAAAAAGATCTTAAACATGTTTTGACTAATTAATGTGTTCACTTTCTGTAAATTGCAAAATCATATGGCTGAATGGCTATGGCTCTGTATTAATAAAAGTCCAAAACTGAAAATTTTAGAAGAAAAAAAATGTCAAAAGATTCTCTCCTTCCCTCTCCTTCTCTCAATTATAGATTTGTTGACCTCATTTGTTTTTCTTCTAAAAATCAAATCTAACTTTCTCCTTTTTCTTCTGAAATTCTCTAATCACTCTTCATCATTTTCTGGGCAAAACTATATAGTATTTTGTTCTTCAGCTTCAATTCTCTAAGAGTTTTTTTTTTGGTAAAATAATTCTATAAGAGTTGGGTGATCTATAAAGGTAACAACATCTTTCTATTTGTATCTCACATTTTCCTCACAGTTGACTTCGTTGGAATTTCTTAGAACTATGTTACTATAAACTTTTTTTTGTTAAAGGATCAACTATGTTACAATAACTCTAGTCTTGATCAAAACTTGAGATCATAAACCAAATCTGCCTTTCTTTTTTCTGGTTTCTGTTCATCGGTTTAGTTACTGAATTGAGTCATGATCAAACGTCGATTTTTTGTTGTTGTTAATGTGATTGCTTATTTATTGATGGTGGAACCAAAGATTCAATATTGGTAAGACTTTTTCATTCTCAAATATGTTCAACGTGGTTCCAAAATCAGAGAAAAACAGTTTAGGATCATTATGTGTGTTGTTGTTTAAATGATTTTGAGCTCCCAAAATTGATTATTTTGTACATTGTGTTCTCTGCAGTTGTTGTTGTAATAAGTTGCAATGTCTGAGGAGAATATTTCACAAGTTGATGACAAGTGTTGTTTGGATGATGCAAACCCAATGGAGATCTATGTGGAGGCTATCCCTGTAGTGAATGACGAAGTTCAAGGAGATGATGTTCTTCTTCCAGCTGCAGAGACCAATCATGCGAATTTGAGGCGGTATTCGACAGATAAAAAGACAGGCAAAGCTCAGGTTCAAACCCGTTACCGTGGGAACCAAACGAGTTCAACTCATGATCTATGTAAACATGGGAAGAGGCGTGAGGAAGACTTGGTGATCAAACCGTGGAAGTTGGTTAAGAAAAAGAATGTTGAAAGTAGTGGAGAGTTGGAAAAAGGTGATACTTTGAGGAAGTCATTTGGAAATGTTTCTAAACCGGACAAGCCATCATTGCAGGTTGCAAAGAGAGAAGCTGCTAGTGGCATTGTCAAATCTTGTGATGGTTTACGCGTTAAGGAGAGTGAAACCAAGAGTACTAGTCCTAGCGTTTCAGCTGTTGTAAGAACGGTCAAGAAGACAAATCTTGATGTTAAGCAGGTTTCAAGAATCAGCGAGAACAAGAGTCCTAAAGAGGATCTTTCGAAGAATTTGAAGAACAAAGAGAAGACGAAGATTGATGAACTTGTTGGATGTGATGATGTATTAGAGAAGACAAATCTTGATGTTAAGAAGGTTTCAAGGATCGGTGAGAACAAGAGTTCTAAACAGAATCTTCTGAAAAACAAAGAGAAGGCGAAGATCGATGAACCGGTTAAATGTGATGATGTATTGGAGAAGACAAGTCTTGATGCTAAGAAGGTTTCAAGGATCAGCGAGAACAAGAATTTGAAAGAGGAACGTTTAAAGAATCTGAAGAACAAAGAGAAGACGAACATAGATGAACCAGTTATATCTGATGATGCATTGGAGAAGACATTGTATGTTGTTGAGTCTAGTATTGAGAAGAAAAAGAAGATGAGCATCAAAAGTGTTAAGAGTGAGATTCAGAAATCTTCTGAGAAGAAAATCTTAAGAAGCAGCGGAAAGAAAAGTCTTAGCTCATTACCGTCTTTGTCCACATCCTCCGAGGTGGTGAAAGAATCACGGGTTACAAGGTCAGATCCTAGGCCAATAAGACAGACTACTTCAAGGTCCAAAACTGGTTTGTCTGAGAAGAAACAGAGTGGTTCTGCAAATCTTGTTACTAATCCGAAAACCGAAAGCAAGATTAGGCCAAAAAGAATTGGTTTAAAGGTTACTCCACCTCCTCCTGCAATGAAGCAGCAAATGAATTTCAAGAAAGGGAAAGTTCTTGAACCGAAACCAGAAGATTCCACTACGACATCGATCAAATTCAAGAAGAGAGTTGTTCAAGAACCAAAACTCAGAAGTGATGTGAACAAAAAGAAGAAGAACCTGAAAGATAAAAGAGAAGGTGTTGGGAAGATTAACGGTGAAGGTAAACGAGAGAAAGTTGTTTTGAGACATAGAAAAGTGGAAGTGAAGAAGAAATTGCAAACACTTTTCAATAATGTGATTGAAGAGACAGTGAATAAGCTTGAAGAAGTGAGGAAGAGTAAAGTTAAAGCATTGGTTGGTGCTTTTGAAACTGTTATCTCTCTTCAAGATAACAATAGAACATCTCAGAAGAAGAAGATTAAGAGCAAATCCACATCTTCACAAGTCGTTGAAGGCGGCTAGTCCTTGAGCTTAAAATCCAAGATTTGAGAAAGAAAGAGATCAAAGTTGTGAATTTAAAGTTGTTGAAATGAGGAAAAAATGTTTTTTTTTTTGTTCATGAAGAATCTTGTAATGTAAACTTTTCAAAGAAATAGTACTCTGTTGTAAAATTAGGAATCCGGTTTGATTGGTATTTCTTCGTACCGAACCGGATTTAATTTTAATTCACACGTGCGTAGTTAACACGTGTGGTTTCTTCGCACCCGCTCTTCTCTTGTACATGCTCGTTCGATTTCAAGTTTCAAAATTCAAAACATCTTCTCTTCACTTCACACAACTCAGCTCTCAGATTCAATCAATGGAGGTTTCCGAAGAGCAACGGCGGAGAGACAAAGCGAATCAGTTAGCTTTTTCTGAGAACCGAAAGACGTCGTTTGATTCTTCAGAAAACCCACAGCGACAACAAGATTTCCGGTTAGCTAAATGTCGAAAGCTCGACGGTGGTAAAGATGTCTTCTTTCAAGAAGGGTATCGTAACTACGAACCGGAACGAGGATTGAGTACTAGTGTACCGGAAAAGTTCCGGGTCAGGCTCGAGATCTGTTCTCCTGATTCGTTTTCGGTGACGCCGGTTCAATTGCAAGGGTTTCGATGCCCTGAAGAGCAAGAGTGTTTTCGTCAATTGAGAGAGATTCTATCTGATGTAAGTTCTTCTTGAATTTTCTCGCGCAAAGTTTTGTTTTTTGTTAAGGGGTGTCAAAATGTAGACGAGAAATTTACGAAAAGGGGAATTTTTGAGTCTCCGATTTTTAGGGTTTTTGGTATAATGCGAAGAACGAAGTTGGTTTTTTGTTCTTCGCAAATGTGTTTTTGTTGATATTCTAATTGATTTTACTTTCAGGCGATTCCTTCACACTACACTCAAAATGATGATGGAGGAAAAGCTGGGGTTTATAAGATCAGAGACTACAGTATGGTTACTGGATGTCTTAAAAGGTCCAAGAGCGTTGAAGTTGAAGGGATACCTTGGAAAACGTTGGCTGTTGTTGAGAAACTTTCCCAGTCATTCATTTCTTGGAAATGGCAACCTTGTTTACCTGAACATTATACGGAGGAGAAGGTTGAACAACTGATTGAAACCCTGCCAAGAAAATTGGTGAATGCCCTTTTGCCTTTCCAACTTGATGGTCTAAGATTTGGTTTACGGAGAGGTGGCAGGTGTTTCATTGCTGATGAAATGGGGCTTGGAAAGACGCTTCAGGTGATATATTTGGTTTTGTGATGAAATTTTGAAGTTTTTAGTAGTTTGGTTAAGTAGTTAATCTGAGTGTTCAATCTTTTGTCAGGCCATTGCCATTGCTGGTTGCTTTATAAGTGAGGGTTCCGTACTTGTTGTCTGTCCAGCTGTTCTGCGTTTCTCATGGGCAGAAGAATTGGAACGTTGGTTGCCATTTTGTTTGCCTTCTGACATACATCTCGGTAAAAGTCTCTACTGAATTGCTTATCTTTTCTCTATTAAACTTCTGTGTCTTGCACTTGTTAGCTACATTAGTTAAGGATTAATTTTTTGCTTTTCCTTTCTGGTTTTATCTTTCACTGCCAAGTCCTGCACATATTAATTGGTGGAATACAGAATTGCAATATATGTCTCAAATACTTTTTTTCTCCACTGGAGCTCTAAAGCTAAAGCTTTAATTTAGTTTTAGAGCTGTTAATTGGCTATCTTCTCAAATCGAGTTGTGTTTGATAAAACTTTTTGGTTCAGTATTCGGTCATCAAGATAATCCTGCCTATTTACCAAGATGGCCAAAAGTTGTGGTTATCTCATACAAGATGCTTCAGCATCTCCGGACCACCATGCTTGAGCGAGAATGGGCCCTCTTGATAGTAGATGAATCTCATCATCTACGGTGTTCGAAAAAAAAGTCAGATCCACCTGAGGTATGTAATCGTTTTCCTCACTAGTGAGATTTTCAAGCATGCCGTCCTGTGTCCCTTTCTAGTTGACTTTAGTTACGTTTGATAAACACAGAGATGATTCAGTGACACTTTCTCTAACACTTCATGGGACATCCTTAACTCTGAGTGGAGAATTTGTGCTTTTTTAAAAAAAGGTTGGTAGTCAAAATACTATCGGTTATGTTTTGCAGATAAAGACAGTCCTTGATGTTGCTGAAAAGGTTAAGCACATAGTTCTGTTGTCAGGAACTCCTTCTATATCGAGGTTGTGGAAATTTAACTCTGTGTAAAATCAGTATCTTCTGTTTACTTCGAATTTGTAATTTATCCTTACATTTGTTTCCTAGGTGACCACAGGCCCTTCGACATTTTCCATCAGATAAACATGCTATGGCAAGTCATCTGCTAACTTTGACATAAAATTTTGGATTTGCACTACTTCCCTTTTCTAACACTGATTCTGCCACCAGGCCTGGTTTGCTGGGAAAAGACAAGTATGAGTTTGCGAAAACCTATTGTGAAGTTGGGCTTGTCAGAGGTATGCAAGGGAAGATTTTTCAGGTAAATATGGACTTTATGTGGTAGCCCAAACTTTAAGTGCATAATACTCCCATTGCATGGTAAATCGTCACCCATAGAGGATGCTGCTATCATACTTCGTTTTATTTCTTTTCAGTCGCTTCCTTTCTAATATGAACTTTGGTTCCCCTTTCTTAGTTTTTTTTTGTTAATGTTGCGAGATGGTAACAAATCTTTTGTTCGACGATTCAGGATTTTTCAAAGGGTACTCGCTTACTGGAGTTAAACATACTGCTAAACCAAACAGTGATGGTAAATCCTTGTTCTTCTATTTCAGTTTGGCATTAATGGTTCCATAACAATGGTCGATACTGGGAAACTTGTTTTTTTCTAATTGAATTTTCCCCAGAATTCAAATAGGACCGACCAAGTCTCTCAAACCATGATTTGAATGTTTTACAACTTAGCAGTATTTCTAGATAAATATGAAGACAATTTAATCTAGATGTTTGGGTGAAAACATTCCCATGTTCCAACATTCACAGTTCAGTTAACTATCTGTTTATTGCCTGGTGTCGTTCGTGAAATTTTGTGAAGAAATAAAGAAATGAAATGATATCACTGATATGTTATGCCAAAGTTTCTTGTATTGTGTTGTGAGTTGGTGGAGAACTATGTGATTTGAAATTCCTTTTTGTTTGTAAATAGATAAGAAGACTGAAGCAGCATGTGTTAACACAGTTACCCCCAAAACGTAGGCAAATCGTAACCATCTTGCTAAAGAAGTCTGATATAGCTTTAGCAACGGCTATTGTCAGTGAGGCTAATCAGAAGGCTAATAAACAGAATGATGGTGCTATAGCAGAAGTCACAGAGAACTCACATGAACCTAAAGGTATGTGGCGTGTTTTATACTAAGCTAGTAATGATGTTGAATTGTTTCTATATTCAGTATTTCAAGGCCTTTTTATTTTTACCAGTAATACAGACCTTAAGTTTCTTGGAGTTTAGATCTAGTTAACTACTGTGGTCCATACAATGTTTTAACACATGCTGCCTCGTATAGATCAAAATGATCATGGATCAAATGAAGCTGGACATGTAAACGCAGAGAATTCTGATGGTCCTAACTGTATTTTTTGATTATTTTCTTTTCATAGATGTCAAGGAGACAATTCTTTTTGCAAATATTTGAACTCTTTTTTCATTTTTTTTTCCTTTTGTTGTTCTTTAGCTGACAAAGAGAATCAACTATGTGGGAAACTTTCCTATCAACAACTTGGCATTGCAAAGCTTTCTGCCTTTCGTGAATGGTTATCTCTACATCCTCTTCTATCAGGATTGGATTATACCCCAGAAGAAATTGATGGAGACACAAGCTCAACAAAAATGGTCGTTTTTGCTCATCACCATAAGGTTCTGGATGGCATTCAGGTTAGTATGCTTCATTCTCATCATTAACTCTTTGAAAGTTCAAAAATTTATATGTCTGCTAGCTTAACATATTTTGAACAAGTATTTTGCTTTTTAAATTTTACTTATTGCTTTTCAGGAATTTATGTGTGATAAAGGGATTGGTTTTGTCCGCATTGATGGGACGACGTTGCCAAGAGATAGACAATTGGCTGTACAGTCATTTCAGTTTTCTAGTGAGGTATGCATAATTGCACATCTCCTATACGTTTATAACTCTTGAATTGATTGTGCTTGTTAGGATGTGTGGTATTTGACCTATGCTATGGCTTTCCCCTCTAGGTTAAAGTTGCAATAATTGGCGTAGAAGCTGGAGGAGTTGGACTTGATTTTTCAGCAGCACAAAATGTTGTGTTTCTTGAATTGCCTAAAACACCGTCACTGTTGCTTCAGGTATTTTTCTTGTACTACTCTTTTTTATACTTTTAACTTCTTGTTCTCGTTCCTCAACCTATATAGCAAAATGCAGTAAGGCTGCTAGATGCATAATCAATTGATTACATTTTGAAGGCTGAGGATAGAGCACATAGGCGAGGCCAAACAAGTGCAGTCAATGTATACATCTTCTGCGCAAAGGTAAACTCGTTTGCTGCTGCTATACTAGTTATTTGAAGTTTGTCTTATCCACTACTTGAATAGCGACTCTTATGTAATAGGATACTATGGATGAGTCAAATTGGCAAAATCTGAACAAGAAGTTGCACCGTATTTCATCTACTACTGATGGAAAATATGATGGGAAGACCGAAATCGAAGTACCTCCCAAATCTCTGCTCTTTTTCTCAATTCTCAGTAGATTACTGTCCTTCGCCTTAGATGTTCACACCACATAGAAGTTTATTCACATGACAGCCATTAGTTTTTATCATAAAACTGTATGTCTGGGCAGATTGAAAGAGCATATATTTTCAAGCCTGATGAAGAAAGCAGTGAAAGAGAAGTTCTCGAAGCGCAACCATCAAAATCTAATACTGTAGTAGCTGATAAGATTGTTGAAAGCTGTGACGATCTGGGATCTGAGACAGATATATCAAATACTATTGATCTCAAGGTTTATCTCTTGACTTGTCACTGATCACATAGTTTGGACCTTTATGACCTCGGAATTTATCTTTCGTATACCATGAAGTATACAAGCCAAATGTCTCCTTGATTATAAAACTCAGACATTTACTCGTTTTGGCTGAATGCTTTTATTTTTTGGCTGAGCAGGACGACATGACTTCTCATCTGGAAATATTAGAAGTCTGTCCTTTTGTTGAGAATGGTTCCGGCTCTGAGATGAGATCTTCTGACACCATTTGTTTAACTATGTTAGACCAGGAAAACCAAGAAAATCATCAGCCTAAAAATGTATGAACTTAAATCTTATGAAAGAATCTATTTTTCTTCTCTGACATGTCCTAAAATGTAAATACATTTTCTTGTGATGCAGCTTATTGCTGATGACGAGCTTGCGAAAGAATTTGATTCCAATTCCATTTTTCCACTCATAGATTCTCTCAGATTTGAGGTAAATTTTAAAGTCTGCATTGGCTCTTTATATTTTATCTTGTTATTCTTGTTGCCTTTGTGGTCATGAAAAGTATAATCATGTCAATGAGGCCAAATTTGGTGAATCCACTGCATACTTTTCAATCTCGTGTCTATCTCTAAGTTTATTGGATCTAAGCTGCAATCTGATTCTTACTTCTATTGTGAAATTTTACAAATGTCATTATTTTTACTTGTTTGGAGCTGAAAACGCATATGAATCGGATCTTAAATTCTTTCAGGTGAGCCAAAACACTGGAAGAATTCATTTATACTCTTGCATTCCTGGGAAAGATCCACGACCAAGGCCTCATTTCCAGAACTTCCGTCCAGAGGAGATTGAAGCAAGCAATCCAAGTCAGGGTCCCAATAAAGAAAAAAATCCTGAATCCATTACGGATGATCCGGTTCATGTACTTGCTATCTTAGAATTTATGAAAGAGTGGAAATCACTACGGCCAATCGAAAAGCGGAAACTACTTGGAAAGCCTTTGCAACTACCTTTATCACTGGAGTTGAGCTACTTGAGTGAAAGTACTAGTCACAACAGCGAGGTATATCCTTTAGCTGAAAAGTTTTTTTTTCCAAATATATAATTCCAAAACCATTATTAAGAGTTCTTTGCATCAGGGATTGCTTAGGGGAGGGAGCAAAAGACGAAACACACCCTTTTCTGAGATCAGTATTCCTGTACCTGAAAATGCAGTGTGGAAAAAGGTCAACCTTCGAAGTGGCCACCAAAGAAAGGAAAAAGAATACACCCAAGCTTGGAGTATGAGCGATGAACCACTCTGTAAACTCTGTCAAAAGCCCTGCAAGTGAGTGAAAACATGTGTATTTATTGACTGATAAGTTTTTGGTCACTGTTTTTAATTAACTTTAAATTTTTTGTTTGATCTAGGGGAAACAACGCCAAAGAACCTGAGTATTTTGAGGATCTTTTCTGTGTTCTTGCATGCTATGAAGATTACCGGACGAGAACAAGCAGCAGATACATTCGCCAGGTTTTTCTTGGTCACTCTTTCATTGTTTAATGCAAATGAGTTTTGATTAACAAAGTTCCATATCATTTATACCTTCAATGCATCACTAATAGATGTAAAGTTTCAAATCTCAGGAACTTTTTCAGATAGAACATGGAATTTGCACAAACTGCGAATTAGACTGCCACCAACTCATCAGACGGTTAAGGCCTTTACCATTGGAAAAACGCCGTACATACATAAACAAAGTTGCTCCAGAATTGTTTGCCCGGAAGAACTTGTGAGCCATTCAAGCCCAACTTTTTGTTTGTATTTCTATTTGAACTTGCACTTTTTTTTTGAAACTGAATTTCTTAATTTTCTCCTCTAATGTTCAAGGCTCGAAACCCTGGTTAATGATCCAACGGAGGGTAATGCGTGGCATGCAGATCATATCATTCCAGTCTACCAAGGCGGAGGTAAGTTCCAATCTCTTACACTAGATAGGCCTAACACTAGATCACTCAATAAACGTTTTAATATGTGAATTCAACTGACTGAACAAGTTTTCTTGGATCATTGATAGGTGAATGCCGGCTAGAGAACATGAGGACACTTTGTGTGGCTTGTCATGCCAATGTCACTGCAGCTCAATGCGCAGAACGTAAACTGATACGGTCCAAAGCCAGGAAGCAACTCAAAAACACTTTAAACGAACTCAGAAACAATCCAAAGCAAAAAGAACTGCCAGCTGAAGATAATACAAAGGTATGATTATGAGACATATTTAAATGAAATGGAGCACTTTTACAATACATTGTGAGACTCGATGTAGCATTGAAACTCTGTTCCATTTGATCCCAATCCCAGGAGACTGATTCAGCTACCGATGAAGAGGAAGATGAGCTAATGGTTGAAGTTCCTGGTAGTGCCTACTCCATAGATCAGAAAATCAGTCATGTCGCATAAAACTCATTTTTTGACTTGTCAGTAAATTGACCTCTCAATTGATAAAGCACAGGTCCTGTTTGTATCCTTGTATCTGTTATCACAGTTTTGCTTGGAATTAAAGCTTCTTTCCTCGGCAGTTTCTTGTCAGAAAAGCAAAGTTGTCCTAATTTTTTTTCTAATGGCGTAACACTCAAACATATAAGGAAAACTACTAAAACCCGTTTTAAGTACTGAAACGTTGATACTTTCCATGTTAAGAGCAAAATGTGTCTTGCTAGTTTTTTTTTTTTTTTTTGGCAGCATGTGTCTTACTAGTTTTAAGGGACTTCTTGCTAGGTTTTGTGTCTTGCAATAGATAACTCAGACAAAATCTCGTTAACAGCCATTTATGTTATATAGTAAAGGTCAATTTTTATTTACATTTTTCTGGAAATTACACATCTCAATTTTTTTTTTCGGATAAAAATCTCTAGTTTTTCTTTGTATTCATGTTGATTTAACAAAAATACATGTTGATATTCCGTCTTTCCAAAGCAACAAAAACAACTAAAAAAGAAGTTAATTATTGAAAATTCTCAGACTTCTTCTTTTTATTAAATAAATAAAAGAAAGTTTTTGTTGTGTAATTAACAAGCAAGGATGTTCCAATGGGCGAAAATCAGATACTGGAAAAACAAAAAGTGGATCCAATGCTATATTACGTATCATCGTTTTATTACATAATAGCTAATAATATAAAATACTTCTGACAAAAGATCTTTCAATGTTCCATAAATTTTCACCAACTATTTCTATTGCAAAAGATAAACGTAATTACCTTATAATTTACTCTGATTAACTTCAAAGAAAACCTACATATTTAAATTTTTATTACATATCTACATCTATGTTATTCATTTTTAAAACGTAAATAGTTAACTCCCAATACGTTGCATGAAGAGTTTTTCTCCATTTTCTTATTAAATTTTCATGAGATAAAAAGATCAATTGTATTATTGTATATAAATATATATATATATATATATCAAATCTGAGTTTGGTTTTAAAGTTCATGAGGGGTTATGTAATCGTAGGAGGATGGAATCATAAAGAGCCCAATGAAATAATTGTTGATGTTCCCTTGCCTTTAAGACTTACTCTTTCCAATATATATGTGGGGACCCATTTTAGTCTTCTGCTCCCAATTTCAATAATTTGGTTATATATACTTATAATATTTGCATATATAATCATATATGTATATTTGATAGATATATATAACATATCATTCATGCATGTTTGTAAAGATATTGTAGATATTTCGTCATTTTTGTTATTTAAAATAGAAAATTTATATATAAACTCATGATATTTAACATTTAAAAGTATTTCTTTATATCATATATTATATTTAAATTTAATTTCACTTTGATTCCCATACATATATGTATATTATATAGAGGTGGGTAATGTTTCCAACAAACCCTAAGCACAACTTTTAACAGCAAGGAGTTTTCTTTGAGTTAGAGGGACACAATAGCCATTATTTTGTGTCTCAAGACTGTTTTTTCACCTTCCTTTTAACTTCGTTCGAAAGGGTTTACTAACTTTTTGTCTCACTTTTTCTTATTTTATAATTCTTAAGATTAAGATTGATATTTTAAGTCGGTATATACTGAATTTTCATATAAATTTCTCATCAAAATTTCAAGAAAAATCAAATTATATGGTTGAAAAATAGAATATAAAGCATAAATTTGACATCAACATCGATCAAAAATTCAAAACACATGCAATGTATCTCTCTCCGATATAGAGCCAAGCTAATTATAGGTACCATTTTTAGCATACAATTAAGTAACCAAATGCCAAAGCAATGATATAGAATTTTAAAATTGTTTCCTAAGGAAAATGATGATTTTTTATTAATTATGAATCTCTTTTGCCGGAATAAAAGAAAGAAAAAAGTTTCGAAAAACTAATTTTCACGTAGAAATATGAATTTGACCTACAAAACAAGTCATATGGACGAAGGTGGATCGGTCAGAGTTTTTGATTGAAAATCATATCGGGACCCATTTACTTACTCAAACTGAATTCTTTTCCTTTTTTTTTTCTTTGAGTTTTTAAACTATATACAATTGTATGCTAAAAATGATAACAATTAAGTAACAAAGCTAATTATACTTTGACCACACAAAAAAGGATATTAATTATACGATAGTTGTGTTACCATCCAGCTTTAAGTCTTTAACTATTGTATAATGTATATATACAGATTTTGGAAAAAGAAAAAGGAAAAAACTACATTTACATGTATGTATTTATAACTATTTTTATTACCACTTCCAGTCAATCTAATTTGTCATGCACGTCTTCTCTCTCAAATATATTTCTAGAAATAAACAAAATAATTTTATGTAATCTGCATAAATATTAGAAGTGTGATATTTATAAAACCAGCAAAAAGTAACCCATAAATAAAAACAAAAAACATGACATATCGAGTTGTAGTAGTGAGGAAGTCTTAAATTTCAACTATAAAAACAACATCCGGTGAGATACCACACAAATTAAGAAACCAAATCAAGAAGCCACATTCCAAATATCTCCATCTTTCTTCAAACTAACAAGTATGGTTTCTGTGACATCCGAAGCATCAAGGAGCCGATCAAAGAAGGTATGTGTTATCGGAGCTGGACCGGCGGGGCTAGTCTCGGCAAGGGAGCTAAGAAAAGAAGGACACAAAGTGGTGGTGTTGGAGCAAAACGACGACGTAGGAGGTCAATGGTTGTATCAACCAAACGTAGAAGAAGAAGATCCATTAGGAAGAAGTAGTGGTTCCATTGATGGTGAACTTAAGGTCCATAGCAGCATTTACTCTTCCTTGAGGCTAACCTCACCGAGAGAGATAATGGGTTATTCGGATTTTCCCTTTTTAGCGAAGAAAGGGAGAGACATGAGGAGGTTTCCAGGGCATAAAGAGCTTTGGTTGTATCTTAAGGACTTTAGTGAAACTTTTGGGTTAAGAGAGATGATTAGGTTTAAGGTTAGGGTTGAGTTTGTAGGAGAAAAAGAAGAAGAAGATGATGTGATCAAGAAGTGGATTGTGAGGAGTAGAGAGAAATTAAGTGGTAAGGTTATGGAAGAGATCTTTGATGCTGTTGTTGTTGCTACTGGTCATTACTCTCACCCTAGATTGCCCTCTATTAAAGGTATATTATTTCGCATTTGATCATCTTATCGATATTAAGTCTAGTGACATTTGTTGATTATTTGCTATTTGTGTGTATGTATGGTTATTGAATTGTTTATCATTTTTCTTTAATGGTTATAGGAATGGATTCTTGGAAAAGGAAGCAAATTCATAGTCATGTTTACAGAGTGCCTGATCCATTTCGTAATGAGGTGATTGAATCTCTATATCCTTAATTTTGGTGATGATGATGATGGTTATGGTTATGATGATGGTGATGGTTATGATGGTGATAGGTGGTGGTGGTGGTTGGGAACTCAATGAGTGGACAAGACATATCAATGGAGCTTGTGGAAGTGGCAAAGGAAGTTCATTTAAGTGCCAAGACACTTGATATATCTTCTGGCCTTTCCAAAGTCATTTCCAAACACTCAAACCTTCTTATTCACCCACAGGTTCTCTTCACTTAATATATAATATTATATATATGTATAAATTTGGATTTAAAAGTTTCATTCTTTGATTTTTGTTTCGTAGATTGAATCTTTAGAGGATGATGGGAGAGTCATTTTTGTGGATGGATCTTGGGTCGTCGCTGATACAATTTTATATTGCACCGGGTAAGATTTAGATCTTAGATAGACGAAAAATCTTATCTTCATCTATTTATTTATATGATTAAATATTAGTTCATTACAAAACAGATTTCGCATATATAAACAACTTTGAGTGAATAGACTAAAATTACTACTTTTGTTTCCGTTAGAGAAGACAAATAGTGAAATAGATGATGATGTTAAGATGTTTAAAGTTTCTCAGATAATGTTTGACCGTAATTAGTTAAGTTTTAATTAATTGTGTTGTGGCTCTGTGGGGTATTGTGGTCTTGTTTCATGTAAGAAAAAAAGAACAGGAAAAGAAATAATAAATCATTGGGATCTGCATGACATTGCGTAACTTAGGTATTAGTCATACTAGAAAATCATATCGATGGAAATCTTTCGATCGAACAAAATACATATTCATTTATACGTGTTATTTCAAATAACTTATTTGTAACAAAAATACTATTGTTAACAGTGGGACTCGTAAAAGCCAGAATGAGTGGGCTACAAATCTTTTTACATTGGTCGTCTCAATTCATTTCCCCTAGTTCTTGGGGCCATCATATTGTACAATAAATAATAATCAATTTCTGTCATATGTTTTAGATCTTTCAAAATGTATTTTGGTTATTACTTAAAGTAATAATGTATATGTTGGGGGACCAAAACACAGGTACTCGTACAAGTTTCCATTTCTTGAGAGTAAAGGAAGAATAGAAGTGGATGATGATAGAGTTGGTCCACTCTTCGAACACACTTTCCCTCCTTGTCTCTCCCCTTCTCTCTCCTTTGTCGGTATCCCCAGAAAGGTCCTTTATTTTATCTTTTGGTTTTAACCTAAACATCATTGATTTGTTCCTCTAAATAAAAATTAACAAAAAAAAATTGGTATTTTTCAGTTGATAGGATTCCCATTCTTTGAAGCACAAGCAAAATGGATAGCACAAGTTTTGTCAGGAAAGTCATCTCTACCTTCTCCTGACCAAATGTTACAATCCGTGGCCGACTTTTATCGGTCAAGAGATCTCGCTGGAGTCCCTAAACACAACACTCACGACATTGCCGATTTCACGGTAATTAAAACCCTCTCCAAACAAAATTCTTAACATTTTTTACTTTTGATTTCATGAGACCTAAAACAACTTTTTGTGTTGGATCTTTTTTGCTTTAGTATTGCGATAAGTATGCGGATTATGTTGGCTTTCCGCATTTGGAAGAATGGAGAAAGCTACTATGTTTGTCTGCTCTCAATAATTCACAGGAAAATCTTGAGACTTATCGCGATTCTTGGGATGATCATGAACTCCTACAAGAAGCTCTTCAAAGCTCTCATTTTACAAACCTCAATTCTTGAAATACTCATTTGTCGTTATCTTAGAAAGAAAAGTGTTTATTATATCCATACATTTATACATTTGTTTGTCTGTTGTTTTTTCTTTTATTTAGTTTGGTCTGCCTATGTTTTTGGTTGATATTTATATCCATACATTTGTTTCATTCATTATAATACAGTGTCATAAGTCATAACCAAAACCAATGGAAATCTCTATTTTAAAAAGACATCAATATGGTTCTAAACATTTTCCTCAAAAATCAGAAACCATACTATATTTTGAGGTAAAACTAAAGCTTAAAATCATTAATTAAAAACACAATGGCCATGGTCATTGTCATGGTAGTGTAGAAGACTGATAATGATGGTTCATGAGAAAAATCTTGGCCCTTTTAATCTCTGATGTTGAACTGGCTTTTAACTTTGTTTTGCATTTGCTTACATATGTATAACTTCTTCAGTACCATCTCCAGTTTAAAACAGATTCATTGCCTTTTGATGAACTGATATTCTAACAGTTTAATATCTCCTATGTAGTCTTCATATCTAGAACAAGACTTGTTACAAAAAGCAACATCTTCCGTAAGATTCTTGATTCTCCAAAAATCATGAAGCAAACTATGGCATTGGCAAGTATTGTAAATTACCTCTTTAGTTTGGCTATACTACTTGGTTGATGATCATATGCTTAAAATCAGCAGCAGGTATTCTAGCGCCTCGTCTTCGCTTCTTTAAGGCTCCCCAATCGACGCCCGTTTTTGCTTCCCCCGAGGAAGTGAAAGCATCTATTGGTTTAGGAGGAGAGCTTTTGCGCTTGTTCTTGGGGAACCCACAATTCCATTTTAATTCAGACGCTTCAATTAGCTTTCCTATTACCTGCAGATCCTCATTGGCTTCACATTCTGAAAATGTTCCTAAACTCGGGTTATCATCGTGCTGGTCATCTTTGCATTTCCGCTTCCCCTGCCTGGCCCGGCTTCTCCTCTGCTTTTTAAGGACAATGCTGGAGACTGCTGCTATGTTGTCTAAAGAGTTCAATCTCAGATCTTTCTCCTGCTCCTCTAGCTTCGTCTCTGTCAGCTCCAAAAATTCTGTTTTGTAGTCCTCAGCAACAGAAGAAGAAATCTCGGCGAACCAAAGTAGATTTCTGCTTACAGAAGTGATACAATCAGCCGTTTCTCGACCAGACTTTCTAGACATATCAACTATGGCCTCAGCAGCAGATACTTCTTGATAATTTCCCTCTGTAACTAGAGATATCCTTCTGCTCTTCTTCCGTTTAACTCTTCCACTTCTTTTCGCGACTACCTTTTGACCCTTACTGGATTTCATTTGTGGTTTACAATGCCTTTTCTTTCCTAGATTAGTCCCCTTTTTTGCAGATTTTGCCTCAGACAAAGAACTTGAACTCCCTTTCTCCATACTCGTTTGATTGCTTTGAGATTCTGAGGTGGCTTGAGCACTCGACTGCGGGTCAAGATCTAAGCCTTTGAAGGTTATGTTGCTTGGACAACGTTTTACCTTTTTCTTCGACCTTGAGCCTCTCATCAATGACTTATATCGCTTGTCCAAAAGTAAAGTGCTAGTTAAACATGGTAGCGCTTGGACAACCACTCGCGGCTGCTCTGAACCGTGCTTTCCATGCAACGAAACTAAAGAAGACCCTCTAGGTTTCTCGGTTTCAAACTTCTTAACAATAGTTATTTCTTCTTCGGATGAAAGGGGAGACATATTCAAGTCAATTCCGTACTCTGCTCAAAAGAAATACCAGAGCAATTAGGCTCTATTCAATATATCAAGAAAGTGTGACAAAAATGCTTAAGAAGAAACAGATAGTTCCATTTTCTTACCTTCTTGACATTTGACAGATCCTTGCGCTTCATTCATCCCGTTGGAACCTTTTACTAAACTTTCTCCCTCATTCTTTGTATCAGACTCTTCTCCAATTTCATTTGATGTAACTGTACTTAGGAACTGATTGAACACATAATCTGAATGTTCCTCGATCTTGGCCGGTTCATTCAAATCAAGTAGTAGCTTACTCGACTGCTTACTCGAATCCAGAGACATCCTTTTCAGAGATTGCTCTTCCAAAAAGTTTTGAGCTTCATGAACTTCTCCAAACATATCATTATACTCAAAAACCGGTAGTTCAAGATCCAAGACCTTCTTTTCAAACTTCTCAACCTTGTTATCTACAAGAAGTCTAGGAATGTCTTCTTCTTCATGAGGCAAATTCCTAGTTTGATACGCGGAAATGCTTGAACTCATCCAGTGTGTTCTAGGGATAGGGAAACCAGAATTTAAGTACAGGGTCTTATGATGTCGAGTTTCCTCCATTTCCATCATCAGTTCCTTCTGCTTCCGATACAGACGATGAAGCTCATAGATCTGAAATGAAAATGTATCAAACTCTTAAACTAGGAGGAAACAAGAAACACCAAAGATGAAGCATTACAGAAAAAACGCACCTGACTTTCAAAGACAGATTCATGTACCAGCATGGTTTGTCTCAATGCTTCCTTCACTTGTCTAAGATAAAGATCATTATAGAAGAAAGAGAATGTATCATCAACATTCAAGTTCACGCTGTATCTATTCGTATCAATGTCCTGTCCAGGACGCAAATTCCAGCCAGTTCTCGCATCGGTAATGTCACGGGTCGACCCCAGGAAAAAGCTGTTCTGCTGCATTCTTCATTCACTTTCACACTCTGAGCAAGACTGCTGCACCATGAAAGAAACATGAATCAATCTTAGTAACTTGCATGAACCAAAAAATTTCATTAAAAAAAAAAAGCAAACCCCACAAGACATCATCAAATCTGGTTTTATTCTTCTCTATACCAACAAAATTTGCAAATATGGAAGATGAGGTTTAAGATAAGATCTCAAAGACTACTAACAACATTCTTTCCACAAGTGGGTTCTAAAGCAGCAAGGAAGGCATTAAAACAAGACATTGTTAACATTAAAGACCTAGAATGAAGCAAAAGATGAAACTTTGAGCTAGATTCCTAGAAGAACATGAAAGAAAATACAGATTTTAGATGAAGTATATAACAGAACAAAAAATCTGCCAAAGAAGAAACCCAGAAGCCTTAAGAGCATCAGCAAAGTGATTAAAAATCAAAACGAGAGAAAGGATCTACCTTTAGAAGAAAGGAACAGTTTTTAAATCCGAAGAATAATCAAAATTCTGAGATTTTAACTCAAAGCTTCTTTCTTTTAACATCAGGAAGCTGTAGTCTGGGAAAAAAGCTTCTTTTTATTTTCTCGGGAAAATGCAAAAAAAAAAGAGAAAGTGGGATACACCACCAAAAGAACAGGGATCTCTATAATATCTTTTTACAAAAATGTTTTTGTTTAGCAATTTCGATGAAAAAAGAAGTGCGTATCCGAGATCTGCTGGGCCATTATCTTTGGAGAAGAAAGAGACTGGGTCGCAGGAAAATGGAGAATTTTCTCAGAAAACTTACAGAAGAAGCGAATTATTTCTAGTTGAGGGAGAGACCTGTGTGAGTAAAGACCACTCTAAGAAAAGAAAAAAAGAAAAAAGATTATTACTTTTTCGTCTCTCTCTGATTCTTCTTCTTCTTCCTCTTGTCTTTTTCTTACATTTAATGTCTCCTTACTTTCCCCAAGTCAGAGAAAATTATTCTCTTTTATCGTTTCGTACATTAGAAAAAGTGAAAAATAAAATACTACAGATCCAGCAAACCAAATCCTCATTTATTGGAAAGAATTAAAATCAAATTTTATAAAACAAACCATCCGGTCGAACCGGTTCCCTCTTGGAAGGCCTTTTAAGTGGGCCAATTTATGAAAGAAAAAAACGGCCCACACATAAAATAACGGTTTTTGACTTCCGTTCATAGTCCCAACTCCCAAGTTCGAGCAGACGATTAGTACATCAAACTTTGGACTATCCATTTATGGAAATTGTTACAAACACTAACATCCATTTTGTATGCAAATTTCAACAATCTTTCTCTTTTTTTTTTTTTTTTTTTTGCAACCCACACATATTAACAACACCAAGCAGTGAAAAATATTTACATCACTTGTTTATATCAACACAAAATATCTGAGTTACCACACTATAGTCAGTTATATATAAGGCAGCTTTCTTCTTCTCCAACTCTGATTGCTCCTTTTTAGTGAGACTAACTCCTTATTTCGTCTTCTCCATTTCCGCTTCCTTTGGAGCTTTATTCTTCTCCAACTCCGCTTGTTTGACATTCTCTTCGTGTGCTTTCTTAAACAACCTTATAAAACTGAAGAGGGTCGCGGTAACTGCAGCAATATCGATCACCAGGTATTGTTATTAGCTACATCATAACAGTATTGAGCCAGCCACTTTCTAATGTATTAGCACAAATGAGGGCGAACTAGTTTATTGTTTCCGAGGCATACCTTTTTCAAATGAATAATGTTCAGGATCCTCGCCAAAATAGTGTGCAAGTGCATCAGCATTTCTTTCCTAAAAGATTGATTCAAAAACAAATGTAATTTCAGGATCAAGTCAAAGGTAAGACGCTTGGAATCTAGTAGTAAGAGGTTGACAAACATTACCACGGAGGAGTAAAGACTAGATACCGTTGCTACTTGAGTCTCAGCCATGGATATGAAGTCTTTCAATAACTATCGAAAACATAAAACTAGATTTTAGTATCCGGAAGAAATTAAGTAGAAAAACAAACCTAGCTGGTATTGATTTTAGAAAATGATGGAAGATTATTTAGTTATGTGGCAGAGTCATGGACCTAATCTCAAATCTATGATTGATAGAAGATATGCAAAAGAATCGAGAAGATAGAAAAACAACAACATACTTTACGGAAAACTTGAGAAACAGGACCATCACTTTCGGATGCAGTGAGCTCCTGGTTCAGTTTTTCCAATCCTTTGGTTATAGCTTGCATTTCCTCTGCCAGAGACTTCAATTGTATCTGAAATAGACAGGACAATCAAATGATGAGCCAATTACAGCTAAGATCGGAAAAAGTAGGTACGTACAAACACGCAAACCTTTGAAGCTGATTCAAGACTTTCAAGATCCTTATGGAAGTCTAGTAAATCTGATGCCTTGGAAGCAAGGACCTGGAAAAAGAAAAGAGGAGGAGGGTTTAAGGATTTCTAAAACAAGCCTGCTCATTAAAATAGATGATGCATGCTTCTTTCTTTCGATTGTAGTTTACCTTGCAAAGATAATGCATGAGAGTCATCTTGCTGTTAGCAGCACATGTGTCGCTTAATATCAATAAACTGTCCAACTTGAATCCCACGGCACTTCCTGCAGAAAGCAGAGCAAGGTTCTTTATCAACCACAAAGGATTTGCGTTCAGACAAAACAAAAGTATATTATGCAATGAAACAATGGCGCCATTCTTGCTCACATTGAACACAAATATCTTAAAGCCAAAAGATATTTGGGTAAAAATAATTATAATACTCACCCATCGCAGTTCCTTGGTTCAATATGTTCCCCAGGCAGAGAATATTTTCCATAATCTCTTTTAGCTTTTGAGAAGTACGTACCTGATGAACAAGAAATGAGGATCGGAGATCGATTAAGGTCTAAGAAAGTGAAATGCAAATGGACTGCACAAAAATCTTACCTCCTCACATGCAGAATTTACCGCATTTAAACCTTTATTGAGTTCTGTTATCTGCAAAGTAATCATCATTAAAAAAAAGGATCAAGAATCTACAGTTACTTAGACAATGATAAAACCAAATCTTTATTTCCTCCAAAGAACCAGATAGACAGAAAATAACATTATTTATAGGTAATACCACCAGACCTTAGTGCCAAATTGAATCTTGAAGGAAAATACTCTCAGCTTCGATTCTACTCCTGGAACCTTCATTAGCTCTAGGAAGTACTGCGGTAGCAAAATGGATGAGAGAAGAAAACGCATTATCACGCGGAAATGGAGCTTTAGCTTTAGCTAACTAAGCAAATTGTTAAAATTATATGTATATTATAGTAGGAACCAAAAACAGTGTGAGATTGATAATCTAAAGAAGAGACCTGCTCACACTTTCCCAAGGTTGCCTTGTCACCAGTATAGTTCTACAAAAAAACAGTCAATTAAGAATAAGGACTCGTGTCAAGTAACAACCAAGAATTGACAAAATGATCTCCAAAATAAAGACAGAAGTAGATAATGCTACTCAAAAGTCAAGAGGTAACCTTAAGAAGCTCCATCTCCTCCTTTGTTGGGCAAAACCTTATAAGATTCTCTATTTGATCAACATCTAGTACAGACTCATCCATTGCTAGAACTGCAGCCTTGATGTTGCAAAGAATAATGTGAACAATTATCATTAAAACTATAAAACATTAACCAGTAAAGTGTTGGAATATTGAGAGAGAATGAAAAAACAGAGTAAGAGACATTTGTCTCTTCTCTTGTGAAGAAGACAAGAACAAAACAGAGAACGTTTAATTGAACTGAAACTTGTTGTTTTATTAAGACAAGACACACACACTTATATACATGTTTACATAACTCTACGTAACCGTTGGTAACAGTTGTAACTTATCTCACAAGTTACGTCTCTTACTCACACACACCCGTTCGAGTGAGTCACATGTAACACATGACATCCGTTGGATTTACCACATATGATATTAAATGATTTAATCATGGACTCAATTCTAACACTCCCTCTTGAGTCCTTTGATTAAATCCCCAATTTCAATCTAGGGATTTCATCATTTCAATGCTCTCGCTTCTTCTTCAACATTGATGATTCACCTCTTCTCTGGTTGAATCCCTTTCATTGACGATTGTATATGTCATTGGTAAACCTCCCTTCTCTTTCTCCCTCTTGACCGGATGCTTCACTCATCGATTTTCCTCTTTCGTGAACACTTCTTCTCCACCTCGCTCTGTTTCGATTCTCCTTAATCGAACACAGCTCTTTCTTTTCTGCAGGTGCTGTGGAGTTGAATCATCTTATCCTTTGGTACCTTCTTGTTTTAGAAACACTCAACAGATTTCTGGCTAAACCCGGAATTAGAAACACCTCTTTGATGATCTTCTCTTCTTGGCTTGTCATCACTTGGATATTTCCCTTTTCCATGTCTCATCATTCACGTTTGATGATGATCTTTCTTCAACTGCACTAAACAGCATATGACCCTCATCATCTGTTTCTTCTAGGCTTAGGTACGCTCTCTCGGTCTTTCTAACCTTTCTTCACTACGTGCCGTGGCTTGTTACGTGCAGAGCACCTTCTTTGCTACTTGTATTTGACGTTGCACACTTTGAGATTTCTCTTTCCCACAAGGCTTCTCCTTTGTCACCTTCAAATTTTTTTTTTTTTCCACGTGAGCTTTGTCACGTCTTCTCTGGTTGTTTTCGAAACCTTTTTTCCACTCACTTTCTTTTAAGTGAGATTTCTTCTTATATCCTTTTGGTGTCCTCTTGATCACCAAATTTGTGCGTGAACTCCTCCACGTCTTCTTCGGTGTCTTCTTTTGATCACCATGACGTCTTGTGCGTGAATCTTCTTCACGTCGTCTTCGGTTTACTCTTCAACCGACTTATGCTTCATTTTTCTCCGAGGTAAGCATCCTCTTGTGCTCCATTTTTCTCCGAGGTAAGCATCCTCTTATGGTGTCCTCTTTTGATCACCATCACGTCTCTGTGACGTCTTGTGCGTGAATCTTCTTCACGTCGTCTTCGGTTTACTCTTCAACCGACTTATGCTCCATTTTTCTCCGAGGTAAGCATCCTCTTGTGCTCCATTTTTCTCCGAGGTAAGCATCCTCTTATGGTGTCCTCTTTTGATCACCATCACGTCTTGATGACGTCTCATCAGTTCCCTTGAACCTTTTTTACTGAGTAGCCTTGCACTGTTCTCCCAACAGAAGCTTACTCCGTGTTGCAGTGTTCTTCACAACTCAACAACACCTTTTGATATTAAGCCTTGCTCTGTTTCTTACACAGGTGGCTTCCTCCGTCTTGTTTCAGTTGACTCCTACTTCGGATTCTCAACTTCATCAAGTGATGTCTTCTTTGCATCCTTGAACTTCACCAAGACCTTGTTGAACAAAGTTTCAGAATTCTCCTTCCACAACTCCATATCCACATCCGTTTTCTCCATTGCCTTTAGAGAAGATTTCCTATCTTCTTCATCGCTTTTGGAGCCTTCCTCTTGAAGGTACTTCATGTGAATGTGTTTGTGAAGGCTGATGGTACTCTCTCTTGTTACCACCTCTTCTTGTTCTTCCTTTTCTATTACGTCTTCTTCTTCTTCTTTTTCTCCTTTTTTTTTTCCGGTTTCTAACCGTAAGAAATGTTGGCTCCATCTTTCTCTTCTTCTCGCAGCGGAATTCTTCTTATCTTTGTTTTACTTGGACAGGCTCCAAGACCAAATAAGCTCTGATACCATGTTGGAATATTGAGAGAGAATGAAAAAACAGAGTAAGAGACATTTGTCTCTTCTCTTGTGAAGAAGACAAGAACAAAACAGAGAACGTTTAATTGAACTGAAACTTGTTGTTTTATTAAGACAAGACACACACACTTATATACATGTTTACATAACTCTACGTAACCGTTGGTAACAGTTGTAACTTATCTCACAAGTTACGTCTCTTACTCACACACACCCGTTCGAGTGAGTCACATGTAACACATGACATCCGTTGGATTTACCACATATGATATTAAATGATTTAATCATGGACTCAATTCTAACATAAAGTAGGTTTAGGAGCTTACCATCATATCAGGCAGCGGCATCTTTACTTTAGTAAGCATAATTTCCGTGTCATTGGCTCTCCTAAGATCAATCTGGAACCGAGTAGAAAAACCGTCCATCAAGCAGAGTGAAATATTTAATCACAAAGTAGCTTATTATAGAGATCCTCTTTGTACAACTTCTTATATCTTTTACAGATATGCGGGTATTACTCAGATTCCAGGTAAATCATAGCATGCATTCAGTCACTTGTTTATAACTAGATAATATTTAAGACTGACTCCTTTCACCTGCTTCATTTTAGCGGCTTTCTTATTCTCCAAGTCCGCTTGCTTGACATTCTCTTCGTGTGCTTTCTTAAACAACCTTATAAAGTTAAAGAGGGTCGTAGTAACTGCAGCAATCCATCACCCGGTATTATTATTAACTACATAAGAATTCCAACGTACTAAATAACAAATAAGGAATTTTTTCTTTCTATGTATTGCCTAAGAAGATTGAAGTTTTATATTCCTCTGACATACCTTGTTCAAATGGGCAATGGTTAGGATCCTCGCCAAAATAGAGCGGAAGTGCATCAGCCTTTTTTTCCTTTTGACCATCATAAGAAACAAAGCAAAAAATCATGTCAGGAGCAAACACATTGCCAAAGGTAAATCTAGTAAGAGGTTGAAAAATTACCACGACAGAGTAAAGACTCAATACAGTTGCCACTTGAGTCTCAGCAATGGAAATGAAGTCCTTCAATGTCTGTTATCGAATACATAAAACAAGGTTTTAGGATCCGGAAGAGGTTAAGTTGGATATGATCAAAACTCATCTGAAGATTTAGTTATGTGATCATGGAACTAAACTCATGATTGATCAAAATATCCATAAGAACAAAAAATCCAACATACATTACGGAAAACTTGAGAAACAGGACCATCAGTTTCGGATGCAGTGAGCTCCTGGTTCAGTTTTTCCAATCCTTTTATTATAGCTTGTATTTTCGCAGCCAGCGAATTCAACTGTATCTGAATCGACAGGACAACCTAATGATGAGCCAAAGGAGTACACGACAACGGAAAAAATCACAAATGCAAACCTTTGAAGCTGATTCAAGACTTTCAAGATCCTTATAGACGTCCAGTAGATCTGATGCCTCAGAAGCAAGGACCTGGAGAAAGAAGAGGAGAGTTTCAGGACCTGAGCAAGACCATACTCTAAAACAACCCTATAATTGTAGTTTACCTTGCAAAAATAATGCATGCTTTTAACAGCATGTGTATCACTTAATATTTTTTGTTTTTCTTTTCTAGGCCCAAAGAGTAATCTTGGGGTCCGGATAAACCATGTTAGATATCGAACCCCGGTGGCCAATGCAACTCGAACCCAGGTGGCGGAGATTTTTCTCTTCTGTACTACTGGACCAAGGCGACTTGGTTTACTTAATATTACTGAACTGTCCAACTTGAATTCCACTGCAACCACAGAGGATTTGCGTTCAGAACAAACAATGTATATGATGCAGCGGAACAAAGGCGCCGTGCTTGAATTTATATCAAAGAAATCTTATTCGTGGTCTTGTGAAAAAGATGTAGAAAAAGAAAAATATAAAACTTACCCCTCGCAGTTCCTTGGTTCGATGTGTTCCCCAGGCAGGGAATCTTTTTCTTAATTTCTTTTAGCTTTTGTGAAGAACGGACCTGATGAATAAGAAATGAGGAGAAAAAGTATACGAAAGAGAAATTCATATATGGACTGCACAAAAACTAGAGGTAACTATTGGTAACATATTACCTCCTCACACGCAGAATTTACCACATTCAAACTTTTATTTATTTCTGTTATCTGCACAGTAATCATCATTATAACAGCAGAAGCAAGAATATATATATACAGTTACCAAATTACGTTTTCCTCCACAGTATCAGATAGAAAGAAAACAACAGAATAAGTAATACCGCCGGACCTGGGTGCCAAATTGAATCTTGAAGGAAAATACTCTCAGCTTTGCCTCAAATCGTGGCACCTTCATTAGCTCTAGTAAGTACTGCCATATCAAAATTGATGACAGAAGAAAATGTATAACTAACCATATTTATAGTAGGAACCAAAAACAGTGCGAGATTGATAATCTCTAAAGACTTAAACAGACCTGCTCAAACTTTCCCAAGTTCGCCTTGTCACCAGTGTAGGTCTACAACAATTACGACCAAGAACAAGGACTCGTGTCAATAAAAAGTAAATAATGATGATGGTTAACCAAGAATTGACATATTTCACAAAATAAATAAATAGAGAAGTAAATAATACAACTCAAAAGTCAAGAGGTAACCTTAAGAAGCTCCATCTCCTCCTTGGTTGGGCAAAGGTCTATAAGATTCTCTATTTGATCAACATCTAGTACAGAATCATCCATTGCCATGACTGCAGCCTGGACGATGCAAAGAAAAAAAATGTGGATTATTATCACTAAGCTATGAAACGTAATGACTTTTTACTCAGGTAATGTAGGTTTTGGAGCTTACCATCATATCAGGCAGCGGCATCTTTACTTTAGTAAGCATTATTTCCTTGTTATTGCTTCTCATAAAGGCTCTAAAATTATTAACCATGTACGTGTTATTGTTATTGGCTCTCCTAAGGTCATTCTGGAAAACCATAAGAAAGTCAATACTTTCAAAAAGAGTGGAATATTGAATCACAAAAGTTTAGAGACATATGCAATAATAGGCTTCAAAGTAGAAGAAATTCTAGGGAAAAGAGATGCTGGAGAGTAGCTTTATATATAGAGACATTCTTATATTCTACAGATATGCCGGTAGTAGTCAAGTTCCTGGAAAATCATAAAGTCACTACTTGTTTATAGCTCTACATGACAAAAGTCTCCAACAGAAAAGAGCAAGTTAAAAAATATATGACCAATTGTGTTAGGGATGTTTCACATTACCAGTCGAACTTTTTCAGGTTTTGCCTCAACAGAGAAAAGGGTCTCTAATTCTGATATATCAAGTTCCATTGCACTAGCAAAAGAAATAAGAAAGAAAAAACAAAAAATGATGATTAATTGCAAAGCAATGGTCAATAAAACCTCAGTACGTAGCACATATTTTGAATTATCAAAAAGGTGCAAGAGGAGAACATAGAAGTAAGAGAAAAGCCAACATAAAGTTAAGTCCAATACGTTTGTGATTCTCCATGTCGTCTCTGTAACTCATCCCATAAGCTCCCCTGCAAAGCCCTTGTTATTTTAATCCAGTGTAATGGCTTCAGGGAGGCCCTATTTTCAGCTGGACGTTGAAAACAATACTCAATTGGTGGAGGTGGACGTGGGGCTCCTCCACATATCGGAGGACGTTGTGGCAGTGGTGCTATTCTACGCATAGGAGGAGGTGGTGGTGGTGGTGGTGGTACTCTTCCATTCATAGGCGCCACCACGGCATCAGCGCCAGAGATCTCGACAAGCGACATATGGATCAGGAACCAAACAGACGATTTATTAGTAGGTTTGACAACAGTTTATATACAACAACAAACCGATTTAGATCTAACTCAGAGCAAAAATGATGACAAAAAATTTCCAGAAAATATAAGAGAATGATCAATCGCATTGACTTGTGAAAGCACAGTTGACTTTGGGCAAAAGACTTTGTCCACAAGGTTTGAACAGACGACAAGACGGAGTGTACTGTCAAAATTTTGATTTCATTTTTTGAATAATTAATCATTTCCCGCATATTCTTGACGAATTCATGTACCCAAAACCACCAAGTCAAGAATAAAACTTTGAGCTAGATTCCCAGAAGTAATGAAACATTGTGAGCATTAAAATGTTTTTTTTTTTCAATCAATTTCGATGAAGCTAGAAGTGCGTATACAAACAGAAAACTTACAGAAGAAGCTAAACATGGGAAGTAGGCTTGGGCATAAAACCCGAAATCCGAAAACCGATCCGAAAAATCCGGAACCGAACCCGAACCGAATAGTCACAAAACCCGAACGGATAATGAATTCTCCTATCCGAATTACCCGATCCGAACCGAAAACCGAAAATATATCCGAAAACCGAAAATAAAATTATATATCCAAAAATATTAGTTATATTTAGTTGTAATTTTATAGCAAATAACAAAAATATCCTAAATAATCTAGATTTCTTAAATTTTTAGTTATATTTATACATATTATTGCAAAATATAACCAAATTTTAGTAAGATTAAACCAATTTTTATTTAAATTGAACAATTTTTTTGTTTTTTTTTCTCGAAAACCGATCCGAATCCGATACTTATCCGAACCGAAACCGAAACGATGACTCATAAAATCCGAACGGATAATAAATTCTCTTACCCAAATTATCCGAACCGAAAAATCATAAAATCCGAACGGATAATAAACTCTCATATCCGAATCCGAATATCTCCGATCCGAATCCGATCCGAAATCCGAATGCCCAGGCCTAATGGGAAGAGTGGACGGACTGTGTGAGAGAAAAGACAACTCCAACTCCAAGAAAAGAAAAGAAAAAAAAAAAGGATTATTACTTTTTTCGTCTCCCTTTTGCAATTGATACTTCCTCATTCATGAACATTGTTACAAACACTGCATCATTTTCGGTTACTATATGCAAATTTCGACATTTTTTTTTTTGCAACCACACACATATTACAACACTTGTTTTTATAGACACAAAATATCTGAGTTACCACACTATAGTCAGTCATGTAAGGCAGATTTGCAAAATAATATTGCTTTTTTAGTGAGACTGCCTCCTTATTTCACCTTCTCCATTTCGGCTTCCTTTGCAGCTTTCTTCTTCTCCAACTCCGCTTGCTTGACATTCTCTTCATGTGCTTTCTTAAACAACCTTATAAAGTTAAAGAGGGTCGTAGTAACTGCAGCAATATGGATCACCAGGTATTGTTAATAGCTACATCATAACAATGAGCTACCAGCCACTTTCTAATGTATTAGCACAAATGAGGATGAACTAGTTTATTGTTTCCGAGGCATACCTTTTTCAAATGGATAATGGTTAGGATTCTCGCCAAAATAGTGTGCAAGTGCATCAGCATTTCTTCCCTAAAAGATTGATTCAAAAACAAAAGTTATTTCAGGATCAAACACATTGTCAAAGGTAAGGCGCTTGGAATCTAGTAGTAAGAGGTTGACAAACATTACCACGGAGGAGTAAAGACTCGATACCGTTGCTACTTGAGTCTCAGCAGTGGATATGAAGTCCTTCAATAACTGTCGAAACCATAAAAACTAGATTTTAGCATCCCGAAGAAGTTAAGTAGAAATACAAACCTAGCTGAAGAATTATTTATTGATTTTAGAAAATGATGGAAGATTATTTAGTTATGTGGCAGAGTCATGGACCTAATCTCAAATCTATGATTGATAGAAGATATGCAAAAGAATCGAGAAGATAGAAAAACAACAACATACTTTACGGAAAACTTGAGAAACAGGACCATCACTTTCGGATGCAGTGAGCTCCTGGTTCAGTGTTTCCAATCCTTTGGTTATAGCTTGTATTTCCTCAGCCACAAGCTTCAATTGTATCTGAAATAGACAGGAAAATCAAATGATGAGCCAATTACAGCTAAGAACGGAAAAAGTACGTATGTACAAACACGCAAACCTTTGAAGCTGATTCAAGACTTTCAAGATCCTTATGGAAGTCTAGTAGGTGTGATGCCTTGGAAGCAAGGACCTAGAAAAAGAAAAGAGGAGGAGGGTTTCAGGATTTCAAAAAGAAGCCCGCTCATTAAAATAGATGTTGCATGCTTTTTTCTTTCGATTGTGGTTTACCTTGCAAAGATAATGCATGAGAGTCATCTTGCTGTTAGCAGCACGTGTGTTGCTCAATATCAATAAACTGTCCAACTTGAATCCCACTGCACTGCCTGCAGAAAGCAGAGCAAGGGTCTTTTATCAACCACAAAATAAAAGTATATGATGCAATGAAACAAAGGCGCCATTCTTGAACTTAAACTTAGCTCACATTGAACACTGTAGAGAAAACTGAGAATAAGAGTAGCTTGTAAAAGGAACAAACACAAGAATTTGATAACCGAGTTCACGGCTAACCGCTACGTCTCGGGGAAGGACTCTTGCTTCCAAGCTTCACTATATCAAAGAGGTTACACACACCACTAACTTGTGATGTCCTTGGTTCTTTTTCAGGTTTTTTACACACAAGAAGAACAAGATTCAAGAACAACCAAGAGTAAGAAGAAAGCTTGCTTGAGAAGCTTTTGTATCTCTCTTCTCTAGAACTCTCTCTAGACTGTCTTGTCTCGCACCTACCACCACTATCTCTCGTACGTTGTAATAGAGACATATAGGTGATATATTTGGGCCACAAATTATTGCCCACACCTTTGTTCTTCTTCTCCATGCCAAATTCGTTTGGCCCACTAAGGCCCAAAACTTGTGTTTTTGTCAAACCCAAATAACAAACACACAAATTTTATTGTGTTGCGTTAGGAAATATCTCAAAGCCAAAAGATATTTGGGAAAAAAAAAATTATAATACTCACCCCTCACAGTTCCTTGGTTCAATATGTTCCCCAGGCAGAGAATATTTTCCATAATCTCTTTCAGCTTTTGTGAAGTACGGACCTATAATGAACAAGAAATGAGGAGATCGATAAAGGTCTAAGAAAGAGAAACGCAAATGGACTGCACAAATTTTACCTCCTCACATGCAGAATTTACCGCATTTAAACCGTTAATGAGTTCTGTTATCTGCAAAGTAATCATCATCATAAAAAAAAAGGATCAAGAATTACTTGGACACTAATGAAACCAAAAATATTTCCTTCAAAGAACCAGATAGACAGAAATAACATTATAGCTAATAATACCACCAGACCTTAGTGCCAAATTGAATCTTGAAGGAAAATACTCTCAGCTTTGATTCTACTCGTGGCACCTTCATTAGCTCTTGGAAGTACTGCGACAGCAAAATTGATGACAGAAGAAAATGAATTAACTAAGTAAGCTATATATATAGTAGGAACCAAAAACAGTGCAAGATTGCTAATCTCAAGACTTCAACAGACCTGCTCCGACTTTGCCACCGTCCCCTTGTCACCAGTGTAGGTCTACAACAAATCATTCAATTACGACCAAGAACAAGAACTCGTGTCAATAAAAAGTGAAGAATTGATATATTTCACAAAATGATCTCCACAAGTAGATAATGCTACTCAAAAGTCAAGAGGTAACCTTAAGAAACTCCATATCCTCCTTGGTTGGGAACAGGTTTATAAGATTCTCTATTTGATCAACATCTAGTGTAGACTCATCCATTGCCATGACTGCAGCCTGGACAACGATGCAAATAAAAATGTGGATAATTATCATTAAGCTATGAAAGATTAACCAGTGATGACTTTTACTCAGGTATTGTAGGTTTCGGAGCTTACCATCACATCAGGCAGCTTAATATTTAATAACATTAGCCTAATTTCCGTGTCACTGGCTCTCCTAAGGTCAATCTTGAAAGCCAAAAGACAAACAAGTACTCTTCAAACAGAGTGCAATATTGAATCACAAAAGCCACTTGTTTATAGCTACGTGACAAAAGTCTCCACCAGAAAAGAGCAAGTTAAAATATGTGACAATAACCAATTGTGTTCGGAATATTTCACGTTACCTCTGGAACTTCTTCAGGTTTTGGTTTTGGTTTTTCCTCAACAGAGAAAAGGTTCTCTATTTCTGACACTGATAGTTCTATTGCACTAGCAAAAAAAAACAAGAAAAAAAATAATGATGATTAATTGCAAAGCAATGGTCAATGTTATATATAGGCACTTTATTCTTCCTTCTTCACTCCATTGAAATTCGGTTTCTACAGGGGATTACCAGAGAATCTGTTCATCCTCGATATCGCGGGATGCTTGTCGTCTCTGTAACTCATCCCATAAGCTCCCCGGCAAAGCCCTTGCTTTTTTAACCCAGTGTAATGGCTTCAGGGAGGACTTTTTGTTAGCTGGAAGTGGAAGTGGAGGTGGAGGTGGAGGGGGAGGCGGGGCTCCTCCACGTATCAGAGGACGTGGTGGCAGTGGCGCTTCTCTACGCATAGGAGGAGGTGGTGGTGGTGGCAGTGGTGCTCTTCCACGCATAGGCGCCACCACGGAATCAGCGCCAGAGATCTCGACAAGCGACATTGGATCAGGAACCAAACAGACGATTTAGTAGATTAATAACAAACAGATAGATCACTTTCTTCACCGATGTAGATCAAATAACACTAATTCAGAACAAAAAGTCCCATAAAATAAAAGAGAATGATCAAATCGCATAGACTTGTGAAAGCACAGTTGACTTTAGGCAAAAGACTTTGTCCAAAATTTCAGGTGTTTGGAACAGACGACAAGACAGAGTAACAAATAATTTCCGGCATATTCTTGACGAATTCATCTACCCAAAACCACCAAGTCAGGAAGACCAATGGGCCGCTAACAAGAGACTGATCAATCGCATAGACTTCTAAAAGCAAAAATTGACTTGGGAGAAGAGACTATGTCCATAATTCAAACAGACAATAAGAAACAGTAAGACAGTTTTGATTCCGTCATGTCTGAATAATATATTCTTGAAGATTTTGATTCATTCACACAAAACCTCGAAATCACATAATTCAGCATAAGAGTCGACGAAGAGAGACGGAATGAAATGAACAAAAGTCAAAGAACCCATGAGACGAAGTCACGTGACTCCGTAAGTCATTAATGGGCCGTTAAGTAAATTAAGCCCAACCTTTAATATATGGGTCTCGGCTGATTAAAAGAAAAATTAAGCAAATAAAAAGACCAATTCCAATATTATACCCCATAATCCATTTGTGTATCATTAAATAATTTTACACAATGACTTATTTATAAAAAAAACATCTGTAAGTTTTAAGAGAATTTTACAATTCGTAGAAATAATTAAGCCAATATAAGCCAATAAATAATACGCATATAATTTTACAATTCGTTATATATATGCGTGTGGATGGCTCTATTTGCAAAGAGGACAAGTTTGAATATACATATTATTGTCCTTTTTATGAAGAGATCCATTTTAAAAGGATAAGAAAAGACATTCCCCACCTCTTTATTAAAGTTTTTACATCATGGAAGAAATAGCAACCAGACATGAATATTACTAATACCGGTTCAATTATATAATACTCTAAATGTGATATAATAATGACATTTGGGGATTAGTAAAAATGTTCGTAGTGTCTTGTTTTAAATCAATATTAACGTGTTTCGACAGATGGGAAAATCACAAGTTGATGGTTGTAAATTGTAATATATATATATATATATATATATATATTTACGTTTCCACGTAGGATTAGACAACACCTAGATGTTAGACAGAGAAGGGTCTGGTCGTGTGTCCGAACCAAGTCTCGCTCTTTCTCTAAAGTCCACTACGCTTTCGTTCCGTAGAGTTCAATTTCAATTACGCAACTATGGAAAATCAAAAGAGCTTTTTGTTTGCTATTATTAAATACCTCTAAAAATATGAATAATCAATAAAAAAAATATTAATAATTTTATTGACAAAACATAAAAAAACTGCTGGAAGATTTGTCGAAATCTGGTTTCTTCGATCTTTTTTTCATTTCTGCTCCAATCTTTCTCCTTTTTTTCACCTGAAATTCTTCATCTCACTGTCACTTCCTTCTCTCTCTATCTCTCTTTATTTTTATTTTTAACAACTTTTTGATTAGCTTCGAAGATTCTTTGTTCCCACGATTGAGAGAAGATTCGACATTGTACATAGAGATCAAACAAAAGTATTTTGAAAAATTCTCAACTTTGGGGTTTGGCGTTGTGATTACGACTTGCGTTGTTGTTTCCAAAATTGGATTATAGGTGGAGAGAGATAAGGAATTTCTGCGAATTGGGTCTTTATCACGCTCTTGTAATTTGCGAAATTTGTCAACTTTTTTGCTAGAGGTGGAAAATTAGGGTTTGTGACCAGAATTTTGGGGGAAGAAGGGGATCTGGGGTTTAGGTCAACGGAATTGGAGCAATCGAGAATGATCTGCTTATTGGTTTACTAAATCGACGGTTTGGATCTGATCGGGGGAGAGACAGCGCCATCCCATGGCGCTGTTCCGTCGCTTCTTCTACAAAAAGCCTCCGGATCGGCTTCTCGAGATCTCCGAGCGTGTTTATGGTAATCACTCCTCCCTTTTTCTCTGTTTCTATGATCAAAGCTTCTATAAAAAGATGAACTTGTTGGCGGATTTATTCTTACAATCGATGAAATATGCGCATTGGGATCAAAACTGCTACGAGCTTCTGGATGGTGGAGGGTTTTTGGCAGTTTGATTGGGATAAGAATTTGAGTTTAGCTTTGCAAATGAATGCCAATTTGAGCTCAACTTGTCTCTGTTTGAATTTAAAGAGGTTTAGGAATCAGAATCTCTTTGAAGACAATCTATAGCTTTGTGGGATATTCTATTGTTTCCTTTAATGTTCAACAATGATAGTTCTTTGGAAAAAGAGTTTATTTCAGCTTCTGGATTGCACTTGCGGATAGTGATAAAAATTGCAGAGCTTGGAGATTTGTGTTTCCATTTTCTAGTAACTAATATTTTGCTGGAGTAGTTTAAGGTTTCAGAGCTGTTCGTCTCATAAACTTCTCTTGTTTTTTCTTCTTCTTTGCAGTTTTTGACTGCTGTTTCTCTAGCGATGTTATGGGGGAGGATGAGTACAAAGTATACTTGGGTGGCATCGTGGCGCAGCTACAGGACCATTTCCCAGATGCATCTTTCATGGTGTTTAACTTTAGAGAGGGGGAACAGCGGAGTCAAATATCAGACGTGTTGTCCCAATACGATATGACGGTAATGGATTATCCACGGCAGTATGAGAGTTGCCCGCTTTTACCTCTTGAAATGATCCATCACTTCTTAAGATCTAGTGAAAGCTGGTTATCGTTGGAAGGTCAACAAAATGTATTGTTGATGCATTGTGAAAGAGGTGGCTGGCCTGTTCTTGCTTTTATGTTATCGGGGCTTTTATTGTACAGAAAGCAGTATCATGGCGAGCAGAAGACTCTTGAGATGGTACACAAACAGGCTCCTAAGGAGCTTCTTCATCTATTGTCTCCTCTAAACCCACAGCCTTCTCAGCTTAGATATCTTCAGTACATTTCTAGAAGAAATTTAGGCTCTGATTGGCCTCCTTCAGACACGCCTCTGCTTTTGGATTGCTTAATTCTCAGAGATCTCCCACATTTTGAAGGGAGAAAAGGTTGCAGACCCATTTTACGGGTTTATGGTCAGGACCCTAAAGCCCGAACCAACAGGAGTTCCATACTTCTCTTCTCCACACTAAAGACAAAGAAACACACTCGTCTCTACCAACAGGTACTTTTCACACCATTGTAATCATCACACTTTTTTGTGCAAATAATAAACATTAATAAGGGATGGATTAAAGTTTTATGAGTTCTTATGGTAATTTATAATACCAGTTTAAGGCTTCTCTACTGAAGAAATATGCGCAAATTTCTGATCTCATCTGCAGGAAGAGTGTATCCTGGTGAAATTAGATATACAGTGCCGCGTTCAAGGGGATGTTGTACTGGAATGTATACATTTGCATGATGATTTGGTGAGTGAGGAGATGGTTTTCAGAATCATGTTCCACACGGCTTTTGTGCGAGCTAATATTTTAATGCTCCAACGCGATGAGATGGATATACTATGGGATGTCAAGGACCAGTTCCCAAAGGAATTTAAGGCAGAGGTAGGCCGTTGTGAAATTTTCTCTGTCCATCTATTGAATAAGGCTGTTAAGTTTGAATGCATACTCATATATGTATCAGGTACTTTTCTCTGGCGCTGATGCCGTGGTGCCTCCTATTACAACTTCTACAATATCAGATGATGAGAATGATTTTGATATTACTTCACCTGAAGAATTTTTTGAGGTGGAGGAGATCTTTAGCGATGTGATTGATGGGCCTGACCATAAGAGAGACTTGGATAGTTTTGTGGTTGTTGATACTGCTTCAGATGATTCTGAGGGTAAAGAGGTGTGGAAGGGGGATGTGGAACCCAATGCGTTTCTAGATTGTGCATCAGATGATTCAAATCATAAACATGATATGCATGCAGAGACTAGCACGGATCCAGTCAAAGATATCACTGTGGATGATGTACAGTATAGATCAGATGGGAAGGCAGATTCTAATATCGACTCAGTGAAGGATATAGGAATAGATGATGGTGATGAGCAGCGAAAGAGAAGAACCATGGAAGCAAAGGAAAATGATTCTAGAACAGTAGAGAGTCAATGCAAAGGTGATGGGGAAAGCAATGATTTGGAATCTATGAGTCAGAAAACAAATACTAGTCTCAACAAACCCATATCTGAAAAAACACAAGCTACACTAAGGAAACAGGTCGGGGCAAATGCAAAACCGGCTGGAGATTCACTTAAACCGAAGTCTAAGCAGCAAGAAACTCAGGGTCCTAATGTAAGAATGGCTAAGCCTAACGCAGTCTCTCGATGGATTCCTTCAAATAAGGGCTCATATAAAGATTCTATGCATGTGGCTTATCCCCCAACAAGAATTAACAGTGCTCCTGCCTCAATTACCACTTCTCTCAAGGATGGTAAAAGAGCTACATCACCTGATGGCGTGATTCCAAAGGATGCTAAGACTAAATATCTGAGAGCGTCTGTTTCTTCACCGGATATGAGGAGTCGAGCTCCAATTTGTTCATCACCAGATTCTAGCCCGAAGGAAAAGCCGTCTTCTCTACCTGCTGCGTCTCCACATCAGGCTCCTCCACCCCTGCCTTCTCTAACCAGTGAGGCCACATCCGTTTTACACTCTTCACAAGCAGTTGCATCACCACCTCCTCCTCCGCCACCACCGCCATTACCTACTTACAGCCACTATCAAACATCTCAGCTCCCACGACCACCACCGCCGCCGCCGCCACCTCCTCCTTTTTCATCTGAGAGACCAAACAGTGGAACTGTGTTGCCTCCACCACCACCACCGCCGCCACCTCTTCCCTTTTCATCTGAGAGACCAAACAGTGGGACTGTGTTGCCTCCTTCACCACTATCTCCACCTTGGAAATCTGTGTATGCTTCAGCTTTGGTGACTCCTGCAATATGTTCTACTTCTCAACCTCCTACCTCTTCACCACCTCCACCACCACCTCCGCCTGCATACTATTCAGTAGGTCAAAAGAGGAGTGACTCTCAAACATCTCA